GGGGGGGGGTCGGTGGCTTATTTATGCCTTGTCCTTCTGGGTACTCTCCATGACTGCGAGAGACTATATACCTAGGTACCATCCATTTAAATCTCATTCCATTGTTCCTATACATTTGCCATAAAGGAAAGAATCTTCCGGAAAATATCACCTTAATAAGCCCTCACAAGATGCCTAGTAACGGATACAAACAGCGGAAGGCTACTCACCTCACTCCTGACCAAGATGAAGACAAAGATCTGATAGAGCCAATTGCAATATGCGGCCTTTCATTCAAGTTTGCCCAAGATGCAACATCCACCGAGGCCTTCTGGAAGATGCTCGTAGAGAAACGAAGCGCAATGACCGACTACCCCAATGACCGGTTGAACATTGCAGGATTCTTCGATCCAACTCGGCAGAATGCCCTCAATCATCGTGGAGGGCACTTTATTGCCGAAGACCTCGCATGTTTTGATGCTGATTTCTTCACGATCAAACCTTCTGATGCAGCCGCCATGGACCCAATGCAGCGTCTTCTTTTAGAAACCACATTTCACGCCTTGGAGAATGCCGGAATACGACTTGAAGACGTTTGGGGCTCTAACACTTCGGTGCATACGGGCTGTTTTTCCAACGATTACTTCCTACAGCTGCTCAGGGATGCTGACAGACTACCTCAGTACGCAGCGGTAGGTGCAGCCCAAACAATGTTGGCAAATCGGATTAGTTGGTTTTTTGATCTTCACGGTGTCTCGTACAATGTGGATTCAGCCTGCTCTAGTAGTGCTGTGGCAGTAGATCATGCCTGTCAGTTACTCAGAAGTGGATCTGTTGACATGGGCATTGCTGCTGGTTCCAACTTGATCCTAGATCCGGACTACAGTACGATATTGAGCAACATGCGCATTATATCACCAGATTCACGAAGCTATGCATTTGATCACCGTGCCAACGGCTATTCTAGGGGGGAAGGCATTGCAGTTCTTGTATTGAAAAGACTTTCAGACGCTATTCGGGATAACGATACAATTCGTGCCGTAATTCGAGCCTCGGGATCAAGCCAAGATGGGTATAAATCTGGAGTTACTCAACCATCTCAAAAGGCACAGGCTCGTTTGATTCGTGAGACTTATCAAAAGGCCGGTCTGACCATGAGGCACACCAAGTTCATTGAGGCTCATGGCACCGGGACTCGGATAGGAGATCCTATAGAAATAGCTGCAATTGCTGACTCTTTTCGTCATTACCGAGACAGCTCAAGTCCGTTATACGTTGGTGCAGTGAAGACAAATATAGGCCATCTAGAAGGTGCTAGTGGCATTGCAGGCCTTATCAAGGCTATACTAGTTGCTGAAAATGGCATCGTTCCCCCTAACATCAATTTTGAAAAGCTACAACCAAGGCTTGCAGCATATGATTCCTTCATAAAGATGCCGACGTCGCCGATAGCAGCATGGCCACATTCATCAGAAATCAGGCGGGTTTCTTTACATTCATTTGGTTTTGGAGGAACAAATTGTCATATTGTGATTGATGACGCAGAAAGTTATCTCAGACGGCATCAATTGCAGGGTAATCATCGAACACTGTTGGAACCCACTGCTCATAAAACCACAAATGGTCACCACCAAAGGCACGACTCTGGGGTAGAGGACACATTCTCCCCATCTCATACTCCCAAACTCCTCTGCTGGTCAGCTTCAAATGAGCAGTCACTGAAACGGCTGCTGGCCGATTGGGACTCATACTTTCGAAGAAAAGCAGACGACAAGGAACCGTCATGGTTGGATGATGTGGCCTATACACTCGACTCTAGACGAAGCTCTTTCTTATGGAAGTCCTTTGCCGTCGTATCATCATCTTCCGATCTCAAGAAAGCTACGCAATTAGCCTCCGAAGGCAAGCCAAGTCAAAGTCTTGCACCCCGGATAGCCTTTATTTTCACCGGTCAAGGAGCTCAGTGGCATGGAATGGCTCGGGAGCTTCTCGCATACCCCGATTTCCTCAATGTGGTCGTGGAAGCTGAATCTATATACCAAAATTTGAATTGTTCTTGGTCTGTTCGAGGTAAGGTCGTCCTAATTATAGCTTCATCGTCTCAATTGCTGAAACAGTGCTATAGAGGAATTGTTGAGGAACGAATTGGATTCTAACATCAATGCCCCTCATATATCTCAACCCTTGACAGCAGTCATACAAATTGGTTTGGTTGATTTATTGAAATCATTTCGAGTGACGCCAGTGGCCGTCGTTGGCCATTCGATGGGAGAGATTGCTGCGGCGTGCGTATACAGATTGATCTCCAGCAAGTCATTGAAAATTATTTGGGCTAATTCTTCCGCTATTTTATAGGTACTGTGCAGGATTCATCGATAAAATTTCCGCTCTTAAGCTTGCATTTTATCGCGGCTCACTTGTCGCATCTATTCCAACCAGAACAAATTATACCAAGGGAGCAATGATAGCAGTAGCATTATCGGAGATGGAGGTACAGCAATATTTGGACACTCTCAGCTGCCAGACTGAAGCAATCAGTCTAGTTGTTGCCTGTATCAATAGTCCGGCCAGCGTAACGGTGTCCGGAAACGAAGAGCACATCGAGAAACTAGAGCGTGTGCTTCAAGAAGATAAGATTTCCACGGTACGATTGAAGACAGCTGTTGCATATCATTCCCCTCATATTCAATCTATTGCCGAAGACTGCTTACAGGCTTTCAATAACCTGCAGATAGCAGAACCATCATCATCAAATGTCAGAATGGTCTCTTCTGTTTCAGGTGATGAGCTCTGCGGAGAGAGAGCCCGGGAGTCAAGCTACTGGGTAGCTGGTATGCTTTCGCCAGTTCGTTTCTCAAAAGCTATCCAGCGCCTCTGTCGAGATTCTGTCGACTCTTTACGCATGAAAATTGACGGGAGTCATGGACAGGCTATTGTCGTGGACACTTTTATTGAGATTGGGCCACATTCAGCTTTGCGTCTTCCAATTCAGGAAAACTTGAAAACCCTACCCCGAGACCGGAATTTCAGTTACCTCCCTTCACTGATTCGTAACCGTCAGGCGGATTTATCACTGTTGCAATTGCTTGGAGACCTCTATTGTCGTGGGTTCCCAGTGGACATACGCCGGGTGAACAACCCGAGCCCTGATTCCTCAGCCAAGAACTGCATCAGTCTTTCGGACACCCCAGCTTACCCCTTCGATCACTCAAAGAAGTACTGGGGGGAAAGTCCCCTGAGCAGGAACTATCGCCTTCGCCCATATGGACACGTGGAATTGCTGGGGACTCGATCTCGAGATTGGAATCCTCTGGCGCCTGAATGGCGTTGTTACGTGCAAGTCACTGAGATGCCATGGCTTCTGGACCATACAGTCAATGGAAGGTCAATATATCCTGCGTCAGCATTTATCTGTATGGTGTTGAAAGGGGCGTCCCAAGTTGTAGACGGTGGAAAGAGTATTACAGGTTTTACATTGCGCAACGTCCGCTTCCTGTCTGCAATACCGATTTCCTCCAGCTCTACAGATCTTGAAACACGATTGAGGCTCAACCCTATCGGATCAGATACTTCTCAACACACCGAATGGCATTTCACTGTCTTTTCTGTAGTAGCTGGCAATTGGACCAAGAATTGCAGTGGAATGGTCCAGGTCCATTACCAGGCAAATCGGATATGGCTGGAACCGTCACATTATCGAGAGCGCTGGGCTTCAAGAGAAAAAATTTGCACGTACCGAATGAACGCTTCGGACGTTTATACCAACTTCAAGAAATGTGGCTTTGATTATGGTTCTTCATTCCAGGGAATTAGTACTGCTGCACATGACTCCAACGCAGTAGTCGTGGGTTCCATATCCCTTGATCGACTTTTGTCCATTTCCACTGTCAATGCAGGATCCGTGATACATCCTGCGTCTCTTGATTCTGTCATGCAGCTCGCATTTTTGACCCTTAACGCAAACCATGCGAAGCGCATACCTACCCAGGAGGTCTCCACCATCGATAGGATGTGGATATCCAACGAAGGACTGAGTCCTTCTTCAAATTCTATAGTCGCATCTGCAAGTCTTGATCTGGATAAACCTCGCAACAAAACCTACTCAATCTTCGCACTGAGTGCGGATAATCAACATGTACGAGTGGTATTGGAGGGTCTAAAGACGACCACCACCCAGTCACCATCATCGCCAAGTAACTCATACACTACAAACACCATTGGTGGCATCCCGAGACTGTCTAGCAAAGAACAGTTCTGGTACMCCTTCCGTACCGGACCCGACGTAGACATGATTCCGGCGGACGCAATGCTGAAACGGTTGGATCACATATGTGGACCAGATGTAGTAGGGCCGACGCAGTATGCATCAGCCCTACGATTGTATCTCTACTTTAAAATGAAAGAGATAAAAGAGTTCCTGAGCTCTACCAACTTTGTACCAGAGAAGTCACATCTTCGCCGATATTTGCAGTGGATAGATTGGCAGCTGTCCATGTCCGATGAGACGACGGCCCTATCACCCATCGAAATCAGCGGCAATTTGAGATCCCATATTGAGGAGCAAGGGGAAATGGGCAGATTCTTTCTACAGGTTTCAGATAATGCGTTGAATGTTCTGCGAGGGAATGTGGATATTGTCCAGTTGCTGTTCACGGGCAATAACGTTGAAAAGTTCTACCAGAACCAATCCTTTGGCTCAATATATTACCAGAAGCTCACGGCATATCTCAAGGACCTCTCATTCAAACATTCGAACATGACTATTCTAGAGGTCGGTGCCGGTACGGGTTCATTTACGGAGCATATCCTAAATGCTCTATCGGGGGAGGACGGAGCACTCAATTACGCCAAGTACTGCTTTACAGATGTCTCTCCGGCCTTCTTTGAAAGAACACAAAGCCAATTCAATAAACACAAGCGCAAAATGACCTTCAGCATTCTTGACATGGAGAAAGACCCAAATGCGCAAGGATTTGAGGAAGAGTCATATGACATGATCGCGGCATCCAATGTCTTACACGTAACCACAGATCTCGAAAAGGCACTTCATGGGTTAAGGAAACTGCTCAAACCTGGTGGGAAGCTGATATTACATGAAGTGGTGCGCCCAGATAGTATTCCGGCATCCTTTGTGTTTGGACTTCTTCCGGGATGGTGGCCAGCAAGCAAAGATGGCCGCTCTATGAGCCCCGTTGTAGATGAAGCACGGTGGGATACCTTGCTTCACTCAAGTGGGTTTTCTGGAGCCGATCTCTGTCTTAGAGATTATGCGGACCAGGAGTCTCATTTGATGAGTATCATTTGCACGACAGCCGATGAATTGCCAGAAAGAGAGAACGGGTGTAGCTCAGAAGTGACGGTTATCGTGGAGCCAGAATCATCCTTGCAACAAGATTTAGCAAAGGACATAATTTCCCAGCTGTCTACTCATGGCTTCAATGAGACTCGTATTGTTACATTGTCCGATTCGATTGCGGAAGGTAATATATCACCCAAGTCAGCGATAGTCACACTATTCGACGCCGGAGAGAAAGCACTACTTTCTCGCTTGAATACCGAGAACTTCATCTTGCTAAAGAATCTGCTTTTAAGTGCTAAAATTATACTCTGGGTGTCAAATGGAGGCGGATATACCCCTGACCCAAGTCATGGAATGATCGACGGCTTCGCTAAGGTCTTTAATATCGAGCAGCCCCAATCAAGACTAACGACGTTGGCTCTGGATGGTATTGGAACAAAGAATCCTCAAGCATCAACCGTCTCTAACATTGTATCCGTTCTACTTCAGGTTCTGAAAAGCACCAATATCAATGAATTGGAGGATTACAGGATGTTTGATGGCGTATTACATATGAGCCGGATCCAAAATGATACCGCTATCAGCCAAGCTCTTTCAGGAAATAAGATCGAAAACAAGACACTGGAGGCTGCAAGACCATTTTCACTTGAGCTTCAGGCTTCATCGTTGCTGATAAGACAAAACGACTGCACCGGTGCAGTATTGCAGGCAGATGAGGTCGAAATCGACGTTCGCGCGATGGGCATTGCTGCCGATGAATCTTCCATCATGAACAAGACGGAATATGGAAGAGAGTATGCCGGGGTCATAAAGAAGACTGGCTCTCACTCTTTTTTCCTCCCGGGAGATCGGGTCTGTGCATATAGTTTCGATCTTCCCAGATCGAATATACGAGTGCGAGAAAAGAGTCTCGTTCGCGTACCAGACTCGGTGTCCTTTGCTGAGGCTGCAACACTTCCACGTGATTTGTTGACTGTTGGCTATTTGGTTCAGAGAGTTGTGAATATATGCAAGGAAGATGTGGTATTGATTCATGGCGGTCATACTCGAGTTGCCAAACTGCTCATTAACCATCTCACCGGTTATGGCTGCAAAAAATTAGTCACAGTGCCCACTATAGAAGAGAAGGAAGCTATAGAGAACTTCTTCGAAGGAGTTACAGCGTGCGTTAGCATGTCTAGCTCCTGCTTTCCAGCAGGTTGCGCTACGGTGGTGGTCGAATTCACCGGTACATCTAACATTTCTGACCTTGCACAATGTGTTTCGCCTTTCGGTCAGATAGTCAGTATCGTCACAGCCAGCACGCATACTGCAACAAGAGATATCTCGTCTGTTCCGGCAAACATCTCACTCAAGCTTGTTGACATGGAACAAGTTATTCGAGGTTGGGTTCATGATCAGCCTCGGATGCCGACTCAATGTTTATTGAACCGATCTGTGGTCGACTATTCGGCCAAGGTACAATCATTCCGCCTTGCCAGTCTCTCCCCAGATGTATCAATACTTGCAAATATTGATGAAGAGACGAGAGGTGTCATTGAGTTTGATAATCAAGACATGATCGCAGTAAGTATCGTACTCTTCTTTGTGTACATTTTTTTTTTTGAATCTATTTACTGATCGTAATTAGGTCACTAGCACCGTCAAACCATCATACTCCTTCGACCGCCATTCAACGTATCTCGTCGCAGGCGGACTAGGGGGGCTAGGGAAACTCGTAGTTCAATGGATGGCATCGCGCGGCGCTCGTCATCTCATACTCCTTTCTCGCTCTGGGCCCCATACAGAAGATGCCAAAAGTTTTGTGCACGAGTTGGAAGTAAAAGGTGTTCAGGTTTATGCTCCGGCTTGTGATATCACGGAAAAATCAGCGCTTCAGGGTGTGATAGCGTATTGCTCTAAAAATATGCCTCCGATCAAGGGGTGTATTCAGGCGAGTGCGGTATTGAAGGTAAGATGTCCGTTTATCTACGTTACAACATAATCCTAATCAACTCTTCTTGGGGGAATAGGACATCACATACGAAAAAATGACACTCGAGGACTGGACTGCCGTTACCAGATCCAAAGTTCAAGGGTCCTGGAATCTGCACATCCTTCTCCCGCAAAAGATGGATTTCTTCATCCTCGCATCTTCAATGACTGGCATTCTTGGCCAAGCTACACAAATCAACTATGCAGCTGGAAACACCTTCCAGGATGCTTTAGCCAAGTACCGCACATCAATCGGCGAAAAGGCAGTGTCTCTCGATCTCGGAATCATTGGATCGGGGGTCGGTCTCCTCGCTGCGAGAGATGATTTGATCAAAAGATTAAAGTCGACGGGTCTCTACGTGCCCATGACTGAGACAGATCTATTGTCGCTTTTTGAGTATTTCTGTGACCCGTGCCTTGAACCAGGCAAACTTCAAGCGCAGGTCGCTGCAGGGATTGTGCCCCCTTCGCTTCACGGTAGTCGAGATATCGAAACGCCGGTGACATTCCAGCAGCCGCTTTGGAGCCATACACTAGATAACTCAGGGGACGCCACCAGAAACGACGTTTCTGCCTTGGAGACCTCCCGAGACAACGAAAATAATACGCGGAGTATCCACGCAGCTCTAACTCAAGCTCAGTCATCCTCCCAAATCCGAGAAATCATTACAGGAGCTCTAGTCGATCGGTTTTGCCGTCTAACTTTGATACCGCACGACAAAATAGATGTAGACAAACCGCTACATGCTGTTGGAGCGGATTCATTGACGGCAGTTGATCTGCGTAGCTGGATTGTGAAGGAATTGAAGGTTGATGTTCCTGTATTTGATATACTGGGGGGGAATATGTCGATTGCGGCGTTGTGTAATCAGATTGCGACGGAATGTGAGGGGAAGAAACCGTGAATCAACGAACTGGTATACTGAAGAGTTTCGGTCAGGAGCCATGTACATACCTAGGTAGCTGGTAATCTAGATATCCAAGGATGAATTTCTCAGTTGAGCTGGAGCTACTTATAAGTATACCTATGTATGCATCACTTTCCCCTCCTCGAATTGAACCTTGCTAAATATTTCCCAATATGCTTATTATGATATTCACCTGCAATGCAATTTCAAGCTTTCTACTTTTTCTTCTTCGTTTTATCCACAACTTCAACCCACTGCGACTTGACCCCCCTCTTCTCCAGCGCCGTCTCAACTGCCTTTCGCTGATCACCCTGAATCATAATCTCCATCACCCCCTTCACCGCGCCCGTAGCCTGCGCCACACTCGTACTCGAAGCACACTTCTTCTGCAACTCTTCCGCCAACAGTGTAGGGATAATGCCAAAGTACTCAATCCCAGAGACCTTAGTGGCTGTCTTGTTGCCTGCTCGTCGCTCAATCATGACGGCAACTTTGGGTGCGCTGCCGGATTTGGGTTTGATGTCTGCTATTGTTTGGCCTTGTTTTAGGATGGCGTGGTAAGGGGCGAGGAGGGTAGTATCTGATGTGATTCGTTTCAGGAGGCTGTCTCGAGTCACTTCGCCGCGGGAGAGGGCTGCTCTGTCTTCGGGTGAGGAAGATGTGTAGATGGTGTTGGCGAGAAATGGGTTGAGTTTGATGATTCGCCGATTAGACTCGGATACAAGTGGTGGATCTTGTGATGAGAGGTATTCATCTAGTCGCGTTGAGACTTCCGAGTATTTGTAGTAGTTCTTCGGGTCAGTCGTGCTGAGTTGAGGGAAAAGAGTAGGCGTAAGCTTTTGAGTCGGTCTGTACAAGACCTGAACGATAATCACCTGCCCAATCGATGGGTCTCCACCTCCCTCTTCGGCTACCTTTTGTTTTCCAGATACTGCTTTTCCGGAGCTTTCGACAATGTTCTTGGTGGGCAGTCTGTAGGGAGTAAACTGCTCAATTCGATGATCATTAAAGTCAACGTCAATGACCACCGTCTCCTGTCCGTTGCGATCTTTGGATTTGACGAGTCTTTCCTTGTCTAAGTATTTGATGAATTTCTTCACGTTTTTCCAGCTTGTCTTTTTGATCTGATAGTACTGCGCTTGTTGTGTGGAATAGATTGGTAGATATGGGGTAACGAGTCGTGAGATCACCGCAGATGGCTGAACCGGGAGCTGTAGTCCATGGTTTGGTGTGTTGGGGTTATCTTTTTTGAGTTGGTACAGAGAATAGACGAACGCCTTAACGAAGGCAGCATCGATCTCTGTGGCATGCGGTTAGATATGTAATATACAATAAGATGATTATGAGGACTCACCTTTGACAGTAGGCTCCGTCTCCGGTTCAAGAAGCTCTTCAGGAGCCGCTTGTCCTTCTTCGTCCAGGCTAGCAGCTTGCGCCGCCACTTGCTCCTCTTTCAAGGTCAACTCTCCAATCGCATCTTCAACATCCTGAATTTTCTCCTCATCCCAACCTTCCAGATACTCAGGAGAAGGATGACCCGGCTTCGAAGATGAACTCCACGACCACAAATCATCCCCTTCCCAATGCAACCCACGAACCGCATGCCCCTTTGTGCCCTGAACCTCCCCCAACGCAGAAACATCAATTTCACAAACCCCCACAAACACAGGTACCGTAGGAGTATCCAAGCTCGCAACCGCCACAGCAGCCCCCTTTACAGCTCTATCCGGAAATGGAGGCCCATTAGCCAAACCCGGTGTCATCAAATCAGCTCCCCCAAAGAGCTTTCCCATGACGAAAGACGGAGTATGTAGTAAGGGCAGGATACGAGAATTGTGCCATAGCGAGTAGACCGTAGGGTATATCCGTCCATCTGCGCCTGGCCCTTGTTCGATTTTGAACCATAGTATTCTTTCCTCGCCGCCTAATTCGGGATGTGAGCCGGCGTATACGGTGCCCTGGACTTCTCGAAGATCTGGTCCTGCTGTTGTCGTGAATCTTGCAGAGAGTGAGTTCTCTGGGAGAAGGGCGTTTCTTATTGCTGTGAGATTTGTAGCTGTCTCTTTAGCGGCGTTTCCTTCTTCATTGTTGTTGCTGGTATTGGGGTCGTCAGTCGGAGCTGCGGTGGGAATGGCGATTTGGTATTCTTTGATGATTTGATCGGCTATTTTTCGACGATCAGAAGAGCGGATGGGTGAGAGTGTTTTGATCTGCAGTTAGAAATAAACATTAGCTACAATTCTGTACTCTGCACCCTAGATCTCATCTCTTTCCGAAGTTTCGACGTGATATGAGGGGCATCTGCGGGGTGGACAAGCTTTGTGATATTTACCGTTGGCTTTTTCTTGAACATGCTGATCTAATGCTCGGTTGTCTAGAAGCTGTTATTTGATAGAATAGAAGGAGTACTTGTATCGAATAAAAGAGTGGTATGTTGTCGTGGAAAAACTCTCAGACCAAAGGGCTTTTGCTATGACATAAATAAATGCGGGGACATGGAGCTCCACCTTATTACCAGTATGGTGCTTATAAAAGAAAGCTAACTTATAAGTAGATAATGATCCTAATCTCTCTAACTACCCAGCCAACTAATATAGTACTAGCTAACTAACCATATTATATATGTGAGGAGGGTATGCTAGGTTAGGTGCGATTTGTTGGTGTGATTTCGCCTAACAACTAAGAATTCCTGTAATGGGGTTGAGGCTATACAACATGTAGTATGTTTCCTTAGAGTGGAGCAATTAATAATTTATACAAGTAACTAAGTGCTACAAGCATACATAGCACTAATTAAGTAATCTTGTCAAATATAAAGTATACCAAACATAAAGGATGGAATATGTAAGGAACGCTCGTCACCATCATGTACTTAGTTCTTCATAGGTCTTCAATCTAATTCACTTGATATCAGACTTTGACAGTGAGAGTCAGCTTGCACCTACCTAAGTGTCGTCGTAGAAGTCCAGGCATTGCTTCGTTAGCCTCTCGAGTAGTACCTAAAAAGTCATCTTCAGAGTACTCGCTCACTAACCAACATACACATATTATCGGAACACGAGCTGATATCAGACAGAGAATCCCAGCATACGAGCGACGATCCGCGAGACCATTACACCGGCGTCTGTTTCGATGACAATGGGGATGGAAAGAGCGTGTATTTTCCTGTCAAAAGGCTAGTGCTTGAGCCTATGTCTATCAATATGCTCGGACGATTTAGGAAGGTCATCATCTTCCCTTGTCGACTTCGGTCAAGCAAGGCTGGCATGGAATTTGATGTTGCTTGTAATTAGGAGAAATGGGTCCACTGTCTGTCGAAAACAGTGTTATAATCACATTAGAGGTCGTCGGAACCAGTCATCTTCCCAAAGCTGCCGTACCGATGGTCGATCTCGAGGGTCTAGTTTCATTATCCGTAGCACGAATTTCTTATCTTCCTCACATATTTTCTGTGTAGAAGTTAGATGAAATGGTTTCAATGTCTCAGGAGGACTATTCTGCATGACCCAGACCAGAACCGCTAACCGATCCTGGTCTGCAATCTGCTCGAAGGATTCCGGAAACGGCCCGAAGAATCTATGCTGCTTCATCAAAATCTTTACGTCGTACTCGTTATGGTTCACAGGAATATCAGGTTTGAAAATGTGGAACCCATGCCCATAAAGGAGGCTGATCAACTTCTTGAGCATTAACATGAAGTTTATACTAGTTTAAAAGGAAGGAACATCTTACCATTGCGCCGAAAGAACAAATATCTGTTTCCGTGCCCCATCTAGCCTTTCAAAACTTGGCCCAGGACTAACGCCATAGTAAATTCTGCCACGAAGACTAATCGAGATGAAAATATCTTAACGGCCGAAATAGCCTCATTTTTGATTGCGGACCGCAGCACGTGACAGTCCAGCCAAGTATCGGATGTTACAAACACACACCCGAATATGGTTAGCGCATTGCCTTAGTCAGCTGTTGATACTGAATCCACACGTAGCCCCTAATTGGACTGGTTCCTACAGTCTACCCGATCAGGTCCACAGCTTTACTTTCTTTCACCCCGACTCTCCTTAGTCCCAAAGACAGCATATGATGAGGCTGCTGCTTCCATTTATGGCACAGAATTTATGCACTTCTCTAGCTACGTTTTTACATCCACTACTTTTTATTTCTATCCCAGGTTGTTTCTGTGTGACTTTCTAGTCATGTTGTACTCATTATGCTAGGTCTCAACTCAGCGGCAGAAGAAACCAAGGTCCATATTGAAAGAATTGAGTACAGTCTCTTTACCTACAAAATGCATGCTGTCAACATCTTTGAAAGAGTACATCAATTTATACAAACAGGGGCACAAATTTCAACCTGTTAGACTGAAACGACGGAATCAGAGACCGTGCAAAAAGAAAATGACTTTGCAATCTCCCTGCTTTCTAAGACCGCACCACGAGGCGATAAAGCATTATTTCCTAGCAGCCTTCCGAATTGCTTCCGCCACTTCATCAGGTACGGTGAAGAACGGACTGTGAGACGCATCGACTGTCTCAGTATGTATCCCATACCCCCCTGCCGTCTGCTCAACCATCGCTTTCTGAATAGCAATGGGAATTGCCGCATCTTTCAGACAGTATAGATACGTACTCGGCACAACTTTCCAAGCTGCATATGTACACTTACTATGAAAGGATTGGTAGCTATGGGGTTTTATCTGAGACACAGCCTTCTGGGCGTCTTCATCCGACATGTCATTATAGAATGTTTCCACGGGCGTGGCAGGAGTAACCGAAAGACGGTCATTGGCGACCTCAAACCAGGGGAGATCATTTCCACCAAATGCGCTGATTAGTGATTGTCCTTCAGGAATCACAAAGGAACAGCAGAAGAAGAGATGAACAACGCCTCCTTTCTGATTCTGCTTCTGGCGGCTAGAGTAATCGAGTCCTTCAATCGCTTCGTTTGCAGGTATTCCGCCATAGGAGTGAACGACTACGACCACTTTCTGGCCGGCGTCGACTGCATGGAGAATATGGCGCCGGATTTCAGTCACATCTGGTGTGAAGTCAAGGAAATGTTTTTCCGGTCCAACGGTGGGCAGATGAACCTTGTCTGTTATATAACCAGACTTGTTCAGCCGTTCAATAACAGGATCGAAACAGTCTGGGCTATGCCAGGCGCCAGGCACAAAGATGATAGTTGTTGATTGGGAGCTCATCTTAAACCAAAACAAGAAGAAACATAGAGTAGACTCTTGGTACTAATTACATCTTGCTGAGGTGACTGGTCAGGTTTTTGTAGCCATAACAATAACGACTTGTCTCGGGCCGAGCACCTCTCACTCATGAGCATTTAGAAAGCATAAAAACGATGTTTGATTGAGTTCGCCTACAGTGCCATCATAAGAGGTGAACCTTGTTTGTAATATTACTATATCTAGAAGGCGGTGGGCTTTCGGATACCTGTTAGTGCAGAATATTTCCAGTGGTACCAACTGAGACGCCATCCCCTTTGCCTTATCCGAGGTTTGTACACTACCAAGAATTGGCCAGTGAAAACTCGTCGGATATGGGGAAGGGTGCGGGGGAAAGAATATCGGCTCSAAGAACGGCCCTTCAAATTGTGGGAACGAATAGCATGAAAGTACGATTCGGCTTGACTGCTACAGTCACGCACATGCGTGGGGCTCAGAGGCAAGATCTCCAAGTTTAAAAAGCCGGGATGGTTACGAACGAGAGGGGACGAATGGGGACGATTGAATGAAGCTCACGAGTAATTTTCGTAGCGAAGGTTCTAAAGTTCTACTTGCAGTACAAACTCCACTGTAGATCAAGTCACGATTCGAAATACCTATTGTCAGTTCCAGATACCCCCATGGAAAAGTAATTGAAATATAATAAATATACAAACATGTCGCTGTATAGTGCCGTCAACTGTCGTATATTTACGTCAAATTAGTAACACTTTAAATCATAGGATATACCATTAAACACCTAATCTAGACCTGTAACATGTGCACCTCCGTGAGGATTTAGTTTCCGGCATAGAGCTGTTGCATCCTTCCACTCTCATCACAGCTTGCGAAACGCCACCATCCAACATGCCACCGACCGAGGGTCTTCAGGATACTCCAGCGTACGGGACCTGGGATTGGAGGCCAGTTCTTCCATAGCCCCTCTTCAAACTCCAAGTCACTATTCCTAAGGAAAAATATCATCGCACCAGTCTTGGAAAGAGCCTGAGCCGATCGATTCCCCTCGGCCTCAATAATTTTCAGCATGAAAAGTTTGCCACCAAAGCGTGATAGAGCAGCCAACCGCGGTATCTCATCTGTGAGGTGGTGATGGAGCTGCGGCGCAAAGTCATCAAGCAGAGAAAGAAGCTCAGCACCCGAGAACGTCGCTGGGGTTTCTGCGACGGAATCCAGGTACGATTTAAGAGCACGAAAGCCCACTATGAAAGCTCGATGTTGCTCAAGGTCTTCGTCCATGACCCCCTTCTCGCCTGTTTGAGCTTCAATTGTTGGAAAGATGCTTTCATCTTCGTTATTGTGATGGTCTGTATAAGCGGGAAATTTCAAAAAGTTAACGACTCTTGGTGCCAAATAGCAAATAGAAAGAGCTAGAAGCTTACTATCTGTGAATTCATACCAGCAAGTTGCGTATGAAATAAAGTCGGCGTAGTCTTCGGGCTTGACATGTGGCGCTTGTTTGTATATGCTATTTAAACCTCGAATGATGACATTATGTACTAGAACCATGATACTAGCAGCTTCGGCATACTGATCGTTTGGCTTCTAGATTGCGCCCTAGTTAGTCATATATTCTGGCTTGAAGGGATATTGTCGCATTATCAAAAATACCTTGCCTGTGGCCTTTTTTTGAGCATACACTGGTGTCTCAAGAATGGCAAAAGGTGCGTTTGCAAACACCGTCTTGGTGATTGGACCTGGCATTTTGGGTAAGGATGGGAAAGTCTCGCCTAGCTTGTATAGTAAGACAAGATGCGTATGCAAAAACAGTGCTGTTGCGCAGAATATTATTGAGAAAAGACCTTCATCTGCACAGAACCTGCTTAATTCATTTCAACCTCTTCTTATCAGCGGTACTTGGGTTCTGGATTACTGCTGCCTGTAAAGGCGCGCAAACACGAGGACATAACATAGACTACATTGTCCAATAACCTCTCCACCTCGCTTATTTAGGTCAGCATTAACTTTTTGTCTCTGAAACATCATGACTGCCCAGTTGGCTCTGAATGGTTGTTTGGTTGATGCTTCAGCCTTCGGGTCCGATGAGCACCCCGAGACCCCGGTATACCACCCCGAAACCGAAGCTAGAGGCGGGTTGGGTGGGKCGATGGGCAGTGCACTAGCGGGACTCGATGGTACTAGTGCAGAACTTCACTATAATATCATAGTAACTCGTAGTAAGCCTTTTGAAGCTGGCCGGGGTGCCGAAGCATCAGTGGAGCCCGTCACTGTGGAGTGTGGGCCCCATGAAGGTAGATTTAGGGTTGTTCGGGGGGGTTACTTCATAAGTATATTGTAAGTTTACGAGTGCCTATCAATTGAGGCTTACCTCTGGGCTATAACAACAATGGTTCTAGCTGTTCAAATTCTTCTTGCCTTTGCGACTTGTCTCTATAGAATACTTTTTTTATCATTTATATTCTTCTATATCATTGCTCTGTTCAGAGAATCTCAAAGATGCATGAAAAAGACAAAAGCACAAACACTACTGAGGCAGCGGTGCCGCCATCTATCAATGAAACAACCACAGCGTTGGGAAGGCCAGAAGCGTTACTAGAGAAGAGCCAACACGATATGGAAAGCTCCACGAGTGAAGAAAGGGGCGACGAGGATACGGTGTATCCCACCGGTCTCAAGGCCGCGTCAATAATGCTTTCTCTCTATTTAGCTATCTTCCTCGTGGCATTGGTAAGGACTACTCCATTCACTCTGGGACAAAACTTGACGGCATTTCCTAGGACCGGACAATTATTGCTACCGCTATCCCACAAATTACCGACGAATTCAATTCTCTGAGCGATATAGGGTGGTATGCAAGTTCCTACATGATGACCAGCTGTGCGTTTCAGCTCTTCTACGGAAAACTATATGTCTTCTATCCCACAAAATGGGTTTTCCTCTCAGCCATTATGCTATTCGAGATTGGGTCTGCTATTTGCGGAGCAGCACCCAACTCAGTCGCTTTCATATGGGGGCGATCGATTGCCGGGTTTGGCTGCTCCGGCATCTTTTCCGGGGGTGTTGTCGTGATGGTCCATACAATCCCGCTCTCGAGGAGGCCCTTATTCCAGGGTCTTTTCGGTGCCATTTTTGGCATTGCATCCGTCGTTGGCCCGCTTATTGGAGGAGCATTCACTACTCATGTCACTTGGCGCTGGTGTACGTCTTGAATTCCCTCTTTGTCGCCTTCCCTATATCATTTGTAGGTTACTGAAAAAAATGTTTGTTATAGGTTTCTATATCAATTTACCCATAGGTGCTGTCACTGTGGTCATTATAGCTCTCCTGATAAAAGTGCCGCCCCCGGAAGAGGCTGGTAAACCATTCATGTTCCAGCTACGCCAGATCGACCCTATTGGAACCTTGGTGTTCGTTCCCGGCATTGTATGTCTCCTTCTAGCTCTGCAATGGGGCGGCTCTACGTATCAATGGAAGGATGGCTGTATTATTGCTCTATTAGTCCTTTCCGGCGTTCTTCTCTTGGCTTTCATAGCTGTTCAATTGTGGAAAGGTGACAGTGCAACCGTGCCTCCAAGAATCATCAAGCAAAGGAGTATCGCAGCTGGATTTTATTGGGCCCTCTGCTCGGGATCTGCAATGATGGTAATCATTTACTTCCTGGCCACATGGTTCCAGGCCATTGAAGCAGTGACAGCCTATGATTCCGGTATACGGCTTCTGCCATTTGTTCTCTCTTTGGTCACAGGGAGTATAATCGGCGGCGCCATCACTTGGAATGCAGGCTACTACACGCCGCCGCTTATCCTCGGAACCATCATCATGTCTGTTGGTGCAGGGCTTCTTACTACATTTAGCGTCAACACTAGCCAGCCCAAGTGGATTGGTTTCCAGTTTATCTACGGCTTTGGGCTTGGACTAGGCCTGCAGGTGCCAGCTATGGCTTCCCAGACTGTCTTATCGAAACAAGACGTCCCCATTGGCGCCTCGCTCATGTATTTTGCCCAATGGCTTGGTGGATCTGTTTTTGTCTCAGTGGGCCAGAAGTTGCTCAGTAATAAGCTCGTATCCGGTCTCCAAGAAATTCCAGGATTTAGTATTGTGTGGGTGACTGACACTGGTGCTACCAATCTTAGAGATATCGTGCCGCCCGAATCTCTAGCTGAAGTCCTCCAAGTATACGACAAAGCCCTCGTTGAGGTTTTTGACGTTGCTGTTGCTCTTTCCTGTGCTGGGATTCTCGGTGCTGTATTCATGGAGTGGAAAAGTGTAAAGGCCCAGAAAGGGAAGGAAGTGGTATAGAGTTTTTCTTCTGGTTTCTAGTCTTTGTACCAGTGTATGACTCTTTTGTTTCCTGTATTTTATTTCCATACAACTAAGTGTCACGGACAAATGAGTCTTTCGGAAATCAAGAAACCCTTGCTTTCAGCCAAATATTCTTGAGCCATTGCTATTTGCAAGCTGTTGCTCATATTCTTTGAATAGCTCCGACCATTGCTCCCAAGATAACGGACTAACCTCTGCGTACAAGGGATCGAACTGCGTGTTGTCATCGAAGTCAGTGCCAAGGGTCCCATTGTACAGCTCGCTGCCTGTCGGGTGGAAATTGTGTAACGTTTGGTGGTTAAGAGCTGTGTCATCGGGTTTTGTTCTGAAATCTTTCCTCGCTGGTAATTTCAGCTGCAGCGCTGTAATGAAGTGAGGAGGATCAATATTTCCTTGGTAGATGCGACTTAGATGAGACTCTCGAACCTCCCAGGCTCGAATAGCTAGCTTGCCAATAGCTAGATACAAAGCATAATCCTCAGTAATTAATTCTTTGTGCATGTCGTATACTTGTTGCACTTGATCCCATGCTCGATCAAAAAGGTCACCGGGAGGCTGACGACGTATTTCGCTTAGAAGATATATGAAGGCATCCAGTTGAAAGTGGATGTTCACATGCCATAGATAGGGCTTCAAGTTTCCCATGGTATGAACCAATGTATCGTTTTCGATCATTTGCAGGCTAAGGTTGAACAACATATCCCGCTCTTCTTGTGGCATGGTAGCACCGCTTGCTTTCCAGTGACGAGGATGATGGGCCGTCAGTCTTATGTTCATTATTATAGACCTAGCAACTGCCAGGCACAAGAAGTGTAGCGGTATTAAACGATCACAATACTTCAGATATTTGTCCTCTAGTCGAGATTCCAGTTCGCTTATTATCTGGTCCTTAACAGCTGGCGAAGGAGCGCTGAAAATTTTCTGATATCCGCCTTCTTTGACAAATTTCCCAATCTCATAGGTGATAAGGCAGAATATCATCTCGGTTTGGTACTTGTGCTCTAAAGGCTGCTCGCTCATATTTGGGTTCAGGTCACTATCGTTGATATTGGCAGGKATATTCGTGTCGAAAAAGTTAGCCACTACCGAATTCTTTAGACCAGATAGCTGCGCATTTCTGTTGTCTAGGAGGACAATTTGCCACCAGACACGTCTTCGCATCTCGGCCTCAAATATTGGCAAGCCAAGCGACTTGCCATCAGAGTGTAGTCCCATCCTTTGGCCAATTCGAATCGCAACACCGGTCAAAATCCATAGCGAGTGGGGGCTGTACTTTTGCCTCATTGCTATCTGTTAACAACAAAATCAGTTTTTTGAAATATGGTTTTAAGCTTCGAATTATGATTTAAAATACCAGCAGCAATACAAAGGCCTGTAACAGTACCAGGTCGGAGGACTCAAGAAAACCAGCTCTTGATAGAGCTTGTTCTGTAGCAGTTAAAAATCGAGGGAAAAGGTTAGCCTTTGGTTCTCCCATAATGCTTTCACATTCGTCACTGCTTAGTGAGCATATCGCGGTTGTATATATAGCAAAAAGGAGAGCCTCTGTATTTGGTTGCAAGTTATCTAGGTTCCCAGTGGCATCCAGTATCTGGACTTGTAAAGTGGGTGCGTGGATGACTTTTGATAGCGGATTCACGTTGTCTAAAAATGCCTGCCATAGCTTGAAAATCTGTACAGGCTGGGGATGTAACGAAGCTATGTCCTGGTTCAGTTGGGTTGATCCAAGGAGAAGAAAGCTAGCATCTAGACTCGAGCGTTCTGTGGGAGTAGCTTGCTTTGGTTGATATGGCGTTTCCAACGAGTCTCGTAACTTTTGCAAGTTAGAATTTTAAATAAAAAGGTACTTAACAGTAATTGGTCTTCAAACCTCATCCGGAAGGCTCATCCATAACGCACTGGGCAGTGTTAACAGCCAGTAAACCTCGATATGTCAGGAATTGCCTGAGGCAACATACTTGTCAACATAGCGGGATTTCCCTTGATCTACGACCAACTTCCCTTCCCGGGACTCATGCGACACTGGAACTGTTGTAGAGGGGCTTCCTGAGCCAAAATATTTGCCAGTTTCCGGTCGAGCACCCTGTACTTTTAGTGCCTCCTCACATCTCTCCACTCGAGATTGTAGGTCGGTCTTTCTTTTCCTAGGCCGCGGTGGTGCAGGCACCGAAGCGATACATTCGACACCTATTTTGACGCAGCCAGCGCATGGGTCATTACGATCACATTTGACCTTACGTTTCTGGCACAGGACGCACGAAAGAATTCGAGGAGGGGCGATCGGATCAGACGAGGTGGACATAGAGAATCGTGGCCGCTGGATAGAGGGCACTGTCAGCTATCGAACAGATTGCGGACATACAAAGGATCATCCAGATATTGAACTATAAACATACAGAGCCAATGCTAGCTAACTATCGCATAGAAAAATCTGTGGACGTCATATTTAGACGTAGCACTAGAGGTATTCGACCTCGCCGATACGGGCGAAGTCGAATACCCAGCTAACTAAGTTAGTATAGTGCTAGCTGATTAATCATGTCATGAGAAAGTGCTCCGCCAGCTCAGGCGATTGGCCAGCCCTAAACATGACTCTCTGAGTCGACGTGACTACTCTTGATCTTGATCAAGGGAGATTCAACTGCTAATCTCTTATGAAATACTGATTAATAAAGGTAGGTTTATACGAACATTTGTTCAATTGCCTAAAGCTAAAATGATGTCACATTTTCGGACATAAAAGTAAAGTTGAAAATATACAATCTGAAAGCAGGTTCAGAGAAAGAAATAAAAAAAAATCGTAGAAGTTATTCGAGCAGCTCAATAGCTGTTCTCAAAGACTTGAATCCGGAAAGGAAATTGGATACACGTCAGGGTCCACTATTGTGCATTGAACTTTGTAACAAGCTTTAAAAGACAGTGGTGGTGATGACGGTGGTCACGGTAACGACATCAGTAACAGTCACGACATCGACGAAGGAAGTCACCGCAGGAGCGACGGAGGTTGCGACGGAGGTGGCAGTGGTAGATGAAGCCGGAGCCACAGTTGAAGGCGAGTCAGTAGCGGATGCGACAGAGGTAACAAGTGTGGTAGGAGTAGCAGTCGCAGAAGCAGCGGCAGTCGTAGCGACTGCAGTAGCAGAACCAGTGGCAACAGCGTCAGTTGCAGCACCGCTCCACAGAGTCGGTCCGGGAATAACGTAGGTCGACAAGGATTGGTAGATGTTGACCAAGATACCGGGGTCAGTAGGGGTGTACAGCTTTTCACCAGCGGTTCCAGAGGGACTGGCGGTTCCGCTGCCAGTGATCTCCAAGTTGATGCATTGAGGGTAGTTTTGGGCACCGTCTGTGTTTCCGGCGGAGTGAAGAGCAATGATTTCGTGGCGCAAAACATAGTTTCCAGGTGCGATGGTATCAGGGATGGTTACAGTCCAGCTGTTGTTGGCGGCGATAAGTTGGTCTGAAGCCCACGTACCTGGGACGGTGGTGTCGTCGATCAGACCACCTTCGTCAATCTTGACGAAGTCTAGAGTAGTCTTGTCCACGGTAGAACAGTTACCGTTGCAGTTGGCGAGATAGCTGATGACGGGACCGTGATGGCTATCGGGCCATGTGGTCCACTGGAGCTCGACAGTACCTCCTGCGGCGACTGAAGCGGAAATTGCTCCAGGTGTGGCATTCTTGTGGCAGATGATGTCTGCATTCGTGTACTCACTGGGATCGACGAATCCCAAGTCAGTTGCAGTAGTTGCCCATCCAATGACAGCGGGGGGGTTGGACTCGTAGGGAAACTGAGTCACAATGTATCCAGAGTAGCTGATTCACTTGTAAGAATTTCTCTTGCTTCAATAAAGGTATCACTACTTACGATTCACCATCGATAACGATGTTTTGCACATAACCATGGCCAGCAACAGTGGAGGCCAATGCTAGAATAGCAGAAACAGCAGCGACTTTAGTGGAAGGCATCTCGTCAACGAGTTTTTGTTAAAGGTAGAAAAGGTAGGTAAAAGAAGGGCAAGGAGCAGGATTGCTTTGTGGTTGTCAAGAGACAGAAGAGAAGAGTCAAGTGGCTTCGATCAACGAAGTAATGAAAAGAATGGTATGAAGAGGAGTGCGCTGGAAGTGAATGACCGCTGATTAAAGGTTCTGAAGAACAGGAAGATCTCGCATTTTTATATTCAATCTCTAAGAGAAGATCATGATAAACGCCTGCTAGTGGGACCGATGTTCCGAGCTCCTGTCATTTCGCCTGAGCAGGGCCTGGGCCTAAATGGGATGTTTGAAGCACCTATAAAACGAGAAATAAGTACTCATAAACAAATATACACTTGGCTCTTGTTTAGCCTATATTGAAACTCGGTCAAGCATGCAGCGATCAGTCGAATGTGCTGGCCGTCCTGGCACCAATTGACCACCATGACTGGTGGAAAATATGGATTATTTCGTCATATTCAGATCTCATCGGGTGCAATTAGCTTTTTTGTTTCGAGTGCCTCTACGAGGACGGTATAAATGGAATTAATTGGATCGGTTGGTCCAATTGCCCACAAATGTTTGAAGTGGATGAAACGAAGTGGATGGCCGCCGTCGTGGTTGATATAAACGTAAGGGAGCACCTTTGGTCCTAGCCAATTACGGACCGCGCCAAGACGAGCAATTGTCACACCAGCCATTCTCTGACACCACAAGCGCCTGCTGTTATGTCAGGATGGCGCGTAATTTCGGCTTCAAGCTTGTACAAAGGGTATGGTAACTCTTGGTTTTTCTTGGTATAATATCTCATTCATAAACTGATGGAGTTCACTCGCTACGGAACCTTCAATTGTCCAGCCAAACGATATGAATCAGCCTTTTCCATGTTTGCACCGATATTTACCCTCGCTTCATCTCTATAAAACAATAATTGCCGAAGTAATGTTCTTGAGAATCGACCCACAGCTTGGCGAAACAGGTTGCGTGATTCGTTTCTGATTAATGACTAGATTCGGCACGACAGGGGTTCTGGAATGAGTCCGGCACGGGTACCTGTGTTATATATATTGGGTCAAGAGCAAATGTCACTAAATGATATCTGATAAGGAGAGCCGGCCGAGTCTATTGTCTACCTAGATAATTAGTCAAAGTCAGTATTTATCTCTCGGTCGCCTGGATCGAATTTTGGGGGTTCTCTCGGGTTTTTTCAGCATCCTCACCAGCGTCGACCTGTGTACCTTTCCTCATAGACAACATACTATCTTAAAGTGCACGCAATTCACGCATGACGAACATCTTGGCAGATATCCTAAGCGGAACATCGGTTTTCGAGCTCGAGAAGTCACAAAATTGATGGAGTTGTGTTGCATTTTGCTTGAGCTGGAAGGTGATCATCATCTTGGCTCCTCGATTGAGGACATGCAAATGCATTTTGTAGTCCGTTGTGAGTGACATAAGGTGCGCTGCAACCCCAAAGTATTACCACGCAGTAGGCGATTTCTCAATGGCTTTCAATAAGTGAGCACTTGATCACAAGATCAAGGGATGGCACACTTCAGAAAACAAACATGGTGTCACATGACTGAGGAGCAGAACTTCATTTCGAGTGAAAGCAACTTCTGTGTAATCTCTGGAATGCCCGAGAGCCATGTCTAGCGTGCGTAATATGTGCCTGAGATTGCGTCTTGTCTTTTGGTAGAAGCCCATGGAACGTTCAACCTTCTTTCCAAAACAACAGTCATCCATGAGTTCCGCGCTGACTGGTTGAGATGATTGAGTCATCGGAATGCTGATGCCTGGGCTGGCCTTCCGAGGCTGTTGGAGCAAGGCACGGGGTGGCACGTACCAGTAAAACCTGGATATAGGATCCCCGGATAAGAGCACAACCCGACCTGTAGCACCTTAAACTTGAAAAATCTTTGTTTCCCCATACAAGTGTGCTTTATACCTGGCTATCAGAAATAAGCACATTTGAAACCAGGCTCTCATACAAAAGTATTAATAACGAGGTAAGTGGGGGGGGGAGGGGGAGGAAGGGTTATTAGCCAATTATCCGTACATAAGATACCCTAAAATAGTAAGAGCTTTAGCATATCCATGATAATATAATTAATGTTTAAGAATATCCACTTAAAATAGTAATTTCTACTAACAAATCCTACTATTTATATAGACTCGATATTAACACCACCTGGGCTATAGCACATCTTTGGGCTGTCCGAATCAGGTGCTTACTATGTATACCCAGGGTTTACTGGTACTATGTAGTATGTGCCTTCTCTGTGACCCGTCGAAGAGTATTTACTACGGGAAGCACTCTGGTTGGTCTATCTTTGGCTAAGAGGACTAGCGTGACACCACCCGCTATCCGCGGTCTTGGCAGCTTACATAACAGCAGTTCCTGCCTCAGGCGATACTGTGTAGTAATCCATGCAGCCGTGCGCTGGTTGGCTGCTGGCTCTCTCACCCGCAAACTCAACGGTTCCAGAAGGAAATCTCCTGTTTGCCATCACCCACCACGGTGCCTGTCCCTGTCTCTGTCTGCCAAACAACACCAACCACTAGATTGGTCTTGGTCAAGGCGGAAACAAAGTCCAGTGTTCAACCGCTGTCGCTCTCCCCTGGTGGTGGCTTTGCGGGCTATCAATCAGTACTCGTCGAAGACACATTCTACCCCGTTCTCTCCGATACGAAAGCGTTGAATCCGATTGATTCATCGTCGACTTAACAGCCATCTTAGTATCGACGACACCGTCCCACACCGACATTCCCGATCAAACAATCTCCACCCGTACACTTCGGTACTCTATCGATCGATTCGCGTTGCTCTTGATTTTTTGTTTCGCTGCTGTTTCTTATTCGACATGCCTGTTGATTGTTTGCAATAAAGAACATTCCTGGTTCGTGGGTGTCCGGATCGGTTTCTCGAACTAGATAATCTCTCCGGTCGTCAAAGAGATATTTACGAACTTGAGTTGGCTTTATTAGCGAAAAAACCCTCCTTTGGAATATCTCGATTTGATACTGTACCCCGTTCATCGGCGCGACGGGATCAGACTAGAATGAAACCCCCAGAAGCTTCGTCGCCGGTGTTTGCTACTTTGGATCCCACAGTGCTGGACACGGAAATGAATGGCATGTACCAGGATGGCGAGATGGGATTCATGAACGGCGGCGATTATCAGCACATAACACATGATGCTGGAAGGGAGTTCGACGACATATTTGCCCGCTCACCTCAGACTACCGACAATAGTGGACTATATGTATCCCCTTCCGAGGTCTCTTTCAAACGGCAACAGCAGAATTCCAACTCTCTCAAACGCCCCCTAGCCTTTTCTTTCGACTCCCCGTCGGACTCGGTAGGCGACAATTCGAGTCCTGGTTCGTCCACAGAGTCTTCCAGGGACCATGCTCGTAATTCCTCCGTCGGCTCAGCTGTACACAGTGACGGTGCGATCAAGTTTGAAAATGAGGAATGGCAAGCATTTACAATGAACAAAGACAATCTGTTCGGCATGGATACCGACTTCAGTGGCTTCGACTTGAAATATACCGATATCGAATCCAGCAACAGGGTGATGGACTCGGCGTTCGACTTTGATAGCGCAGCCAGCAGTCCTATGCCACCAAACAATGCCTCTCAGGCAATCAAAAAGCAAAAGAACTCAACTAAACAAGTCATGGTAAGATTTTCTACAGTTGTAAAAAATCATTCAGTATCGCTATCTAACAACTTTCCCGGTGCTTACAGACACATGGCTCGCCGCTCTTTCCTACCAGCTCCAGAGAAGCGTCTCCGATGACACAGAGGCTACATCCTAATACGCAATCTATTTCCTCATCGCAATGGAGCGGTCGCTCGCCTTCTTCGGTTACAGACGATATTTCTGGAACGGTGGCCAATGCTACCTTCGCACATAATGCATCTTTGCTTTCAAATGTGAACATGATAGGTCAAAACGAAGTACAATTTGGATTACCAGACTATTCCATGTCTCCATTCTACGCCAAATCAGTGGCTCGCGTTCCTTCTCGTCCAATCTTGCATGTGCACCCAACGTCTCTCAAATCCCGGGTTGAAACACAAATTCCGATTCGACTTACTATGTATCCCCTTCCTGCTGGCGTGAAAAAGCTTCGCCTACCAACACATACTATTTCAAAACCCAAGTTCCTGGCAAAACCCGAAGTTGGTTGCTCCTCGGACATCCTTGAGCTGCATACGAGCCTCGTCTGTACGAGTGCGATGCAAGATAAGTCCAAATTAGAAAGGGCTTACGCAAGAGCTCGCGGGGAAGTTGTCAAACGACGCACATCCATTGTTTCCGCCTCTACGGATGATAATCAGGAAGACAATGAAGACAAACCACTGGAAGGTGGCGAGGTCAAAATCTGCCAAGGATGTATACAGCGTGAGAGGAAACGTGCTTCCAGGAAGAAACAGCGGAAACCTGGTGAAGACGAGCTTTTCCAAAAAGACGAGGACAAAAGAGTCATTGTTTTCAATACCAATGAGATCAAGGAATGGCTGGAACCAGCTAAGGAGTCTACTGTCACATACACCCCTCCGGGTGCAATGCAAGTTGAGCTACCTATGCGAATAGCATGCTACTGTCGGCATCAAAATGAGAAGAATGGCTTTCAAGTCATCTTCACGATCAAGGATTACCAGGGCAATGTAATCGCTCAGGCAATGACCAATTCGATTATGATCACAGATGATCACAAGACCCATGCAGCAGGTTCGAATTCTGCAACTGCTCCTAGCAATGCTCTGAGCGAGGGGACGCAGCTGCCTGGTACCAGCGTATTCATATCTAATTCTCCTCAAGAGTTGGCAAAGGCTCCGGTCGGTGGACAACATCCGTTTCGTATATCTCCCAGTACAGATTCTCAAGTGATCTCGCAACAAATGGCTGCTCAGTATGCAACTACACCAGGATCTTTCGCGAACATGCCGCAGAATAGCGTAACCTCATCTACATCGCTCACACCACGCAATGGCTCTCGGCAGACATCTCCGATTGAGTACGCCGGTCCTTCAAGCAAACGTCGGAAGCACAGTAGCTCCGGCAAGCTACCGACGGGATTAACCATGACGAGGCTTGATAGTCCTCAAGCGAACACTTCCACTAGTTCCACCGTGAATGGTCAAGGACCCAACAGTCACGGATATTTCTCACCGACTGAAAGGCCTTTCGCTACGCCGATTGGTGTCTCTGGTCCATTCAGCAATGGCCCGCCAACCCCAAACAACAACAACGAGAGCTCATATTTCAATGCTGTCCAGCAAGCCCAAAGTTTGGATAATCTTGCTCAACACTTTTTGTCAACCCCTAGCTCGGCTCATGCCAGTCGCCCAGGTTCACCAGGATTAACTGCGTCGCGCAACGTCTTCGCTGAACCGACGCACAATTCTTCCACTGGGCCAAATCCCGTCAATCAAGCTTGGCCTCACCTGACAAATGCAGGAAATCGTTTGCCAACCATCATTCACAAACTTGTACCCGCCGAAGGCTCAACAACCGGAGGGACAGAGGTCACGCTTCTGGGTAGTGGATTTTATCCAGGTATGGAGGTCGTCTTCGGCGATACCCTAGCTACGACAACGACTTTCTGGGGCGACAAGTGTCTGAACTGCTTGACACCGCCGGCTCTGCAACCTGGTCTTGTGCCGGTTGTCTTCAAACATGAGCACCCTACCTTTGGTCAAGTGCCCCAAACACAACCAATTCTTCCTAAGCAACAACACTTCTTCCGCTATGTTGATGATCGCGAGCTTCAAATGTACAGATTGGCGCTGAGCATTCTAGGTCAGAAATTACGAAACCCTTCAGATGCTTTTCAGACTGCTCAGCGGATCATGGGAGGTGATCAGGTCGCCCTGTGGAACCTACAGAATGATATTCAAGGAGGAAGCAGTGGGCAGCGGCAGATCCCTAACCTGAACGTCCAAGGCCAGACGAATGACCTGGACTCAAAGATGCTTACCTTTTTAGAGTTCATTGATCTAGATGATAGCCCTCGTGCTCCAAGGTACAACTCGAAGTCATCAAGTGGTCAAACTTTGTTACATTTTGCTTCATCATTGGGCTTGACAAGATTCGTGGCTGGACTTCTTGCCAGAGGCGCCAACCCAGATGTCCAGGACAAGAATGGCCATACACCGATGCACTTCGCTGCTCTGAGCGGACATGCTCATATTGTTCACCGTCTCAGACTCGCGGGTGCCGATGCCATGACCAGAAGCATACGAGGATTCACCTCGGCCGATATCGCGACTTCATTACCTGCTCATCAGGCCGCACTTATTCCTGCTCGTCATTACCGGTCTCGCAGCGTCGGTTCTTCACCTTCTCTACGTCGTCGTCCGAGCAGTTCTGCTTCTTTGAACTCTTTCTGGGAAGCTTCTTCGGCATCTGAATCTTTCAATCTCATACAGGACCAGTCAGATGATGAAGAGGCGACCGAATCAGATGAGGATGAGACCAATGTTTTCATCTCGTCACGACGCTCCAGTATACACCAAGATGCAGGACCTTCGCTATTTTATGCTCGTTCCCGCGAGGGCAGCGTCCACGTTGATAGCGTCAATCCGGATGTCACACCAGACGAAGAGACAGTGGCCGGAGCTAATGTGGCCCCGCCTGCTTCTCTAGTTGCATGGCGCAACCAACTTGCAACTCAAATCAACCAGTTTCAACAAAGCGTTGGCAGAGCATTCCCTAACCTTCCTGCTCTTCCCCCAATGCCACCAATGCCTGCCATGCCTACTATGCCGGCCCTTCCTGATTATCAGGCGTATCCTATGATGCGGCGCATCAGCAATCTTGTTCCTCATAGACCCGGATCCTCGTGGTCCTCCAAGGACGGATGGTGGGAGATGTTTACCGGAAACTCTTCACCAACTGCCGCTACTGAAACTGCGAATGAGCCACCTGCGTACGACGAGTTGTACCCACATCAAGAAGCTGACGAAGATCGGGATCTTGAGATGAAAAAGAATTCGCTACTTATGGCAGCTACAGACGCAGCGCTTGATCGGCACTTTGAAGATCATGCCGGCCCATCTAACTCAAATGGCGAGACAGAATCAGAAGAGGAACTCACTGACATCCGGATTGGCCGCAAGACGGTGATTTCTCGTCAGCAACAGGAGCAACTGAAGAAGCAACAAGCTCGTAAGATGAAGGGACTACGAAAAGACAAGAATCTTTTCTTCTTCTGGGTAAGAATTCTTCCAATTTGTCAAAGATAATTTTGCTAACAATGGTCATGTAGATTCCAATGTTGCTTCTCTTCCTAGGTCTCTGGCTTCGAAATTTCGTGCCTGGTCTGTGGGAAGGTATTTCCGAGGGATACGAGTTTGTCAAGACTCGTTACATCCACCGCACTATTGCAGCCACACCATAAAGTGGCTTTGAGACGAACTACGGTGCCTCATTTTTCTACTTTTGTCCTTTTCATTCCTCCCCTGATATCTAATATCGTTTCTTCCTTTTGTACCTTTGCGATAGATATCCTTTGTTTGGAGCGAGCGGATTTTCACTTCGGTTGCATGCAGACAGATGGGAGATTAAATCGTGTTCTTTTCCCTGCTACTGGTTTTGGTTCCCCCTTAATGATTCCCTGAATGTTTACGGGTCGTGAGATGTCATGTACATATTTTCTACGTATTATATCATTAGCATTAGGTGACGAATCCATTTAGTCCTGATATATTCCGTGTACTTTTAACTGATAGCCGCAATTATGGCTTAAGTACAAACAGGGTTAGGGTTATTAGTAGCTGCCAAGATGTGGTCTGTGCGCAGATTGCGGAGCTTCTGGAGCATCGCAACTCCGCAAAACATAAGGAGGACATCTTTGATTGACGAGACCGCGATGGTGTCTTGAGAGACGTAATCTTTACTTTTCCTTGGACCTGGGAGGAAGAATGGACCCAACAAATGAGACCGGTCTGAGCAAGGTTACTGGTATACCTCTCCTTCTACACAATGACGGTGTTGCGCCGATAACTAACAACAACGTCTTTGTGGTGAATATACAGTCTCATGCACAGATCCCTCCGGCCTCTTCTCAGACGTCCAAGCTATCCTCGCGCCCAGACTGCCACTTAAGAATCTTCATTGGAAATCTCCAACTCGACCCGCTCGTTCCATCGAATCGCTAAACATTGACCTCGTCGCTACACACCCACCCGCATCCTCAGACGAAAAGAGGTCATCCAATGACTCCACGCCAGGCGCAAGTGCGCCTCTTCGACGGCATCAAATCCCCGGTCTGCGACAGACGCCGTACCTACGGATCTATCTGCTGAAATGCGACGATAACGAGGTGTACAAAGCGTCGTCTCGGAAGTTGATTCGGGACTGGATCAAGACGCATTCATTCTCGTCACAGACCAGCAGCACTAGCACCAGCACCAGCGGAGCAGGAGTGGGAGGGCAGGATAATCACGATGCGTGCGAATGGTTAATACTGCACGTCCTCCAGGATGGCGACGTACCCGAAAAAGCGACCTCGAAATGGCCCGGTCGAGGCTCAACATCCGTCCTCGAAAAAGTCAAGGCTGATTTTAACGGCTCATCCAAGACGAGCGTCGATAGAGTCGTGCAGATCCGTCTTCCTAAGAGCACTGGCAGCAATAAATCGCAAGACCACGGTGAATTCGTAGATCAACTCAACGATCTAGTCGACAAAATCAAACAAGCGATCCTAACATCGTTCGATTTACGGGTTACGCAGTATGAGGAAGATATTCGTGAAAAGGATTCGCAGCGAAGTCTACCCGGGTGGAATTTTTGTACGTTTTTTATATTGAAGGAAGGGCTTGCAAGAGGGTTTGAGAATGTGGGTCTGTTGGAGGATGCACTAGTGGGATATGATGAGCTTGCGGCTGGGTTAGAGAGTGCTGTTACTGATTATTTGGCGGGAACGGGGGATCGGCATGGTGGAAGTTTTTTGGATTATAGTGAGGATAGTAAGGAGAAGGCGTTGAGTGCGCTGGAAGCGTCTAGGCAGCAGAAGACAACCCAGGACGATGAGGATGATGATTCTGGGGAGGCCGAGACTGATACGTCTCTGGATCTCGCTGAGGAGTATTTCCCTCTCGACAGCTCAAAAAAACCGTACAGGGAAATGATTTTGGCGAACAACATCTCTGTTTTTGATTTCCGCGCCTATGTCTTCTCACGACAGTTGAACCTGCTGCTCAAAGCTGCCAAAGCACCGTATCTACAAGGCAAACAAGATTCGGCCCCGACTGTTAAAGGTGCAGATGATCTCTCGTTACTCGCTGAAGTATGTGACAGAGCGATGGAATTTATCATCATGGCTGCGAGGACTCTTCGATATGACATTGAACGCGCATTGTCAGGAGTCACGGAGGAAATGGATGATGCGCAGAAGACAGCTGTCATAGATGATCTAGTCTCGTCATGGACATATGCAGCGTCTTGTCAGATTCTGTCTCAAACATCGACGCCTTCACTTACTCTCTCGGAATCATCTCTACGAAAGACGGGCAGTGCCTTGACCTCACCTGCGGTACCAGCTGACTCCAGAGCAAATATCCCGAAAAGATCCAGCTCGTTGATTAGCGCGAGCACAGTTCCTGGCAAACAACCCCCAGCAAATAAAACGGGGGTTGAAGATCTCGCCTCGGGTAGAGGTGAACTGTATCAGTTGGGAAGAGGGGTTCTTGAAGAGATGGGCAAGCGACGCGGTTGGGCTCATAGATGGGGAGATTTTGATCTGCTTTTTGACGAATCCAATATTCCCGGTGATGATATGGAGGATGTCTCGCTCGATGACAGTGACGCGAATGGAATAGCTGAGAAAGCCAAGGACCCGGCTGCCGTGACTTATTACGCCAACAATCTATCCTTGCCAATTTTGCAGAAGTCCTTGCGGTCCAGAAAGAGTTTTTACGCTCTATATGAAATATTTACAGATTACATGTTCCGCCATTACATCTCTGCCAACCAAATTCGTTCCTCTAAAGCGGCAATGACAGATATTGCCGTCCTCCGATTCCGTCAAAAAGACTACGAAAGTGCTGCCTACTTCTTCCGACAAATAGCGCCGTTCTACGAGAGCAGCCATTGGATATCGATTGAAGGCGCAATCTTGGAGCTGTATACTCGATGCTTGAAGGAGCTCGATCGGAATGATGAATATGTGCGCCATATGCTAAGGCTTTTGTCACAGTATGCTTCATATACTCAGTCCAGTCTCTCCCCTCGACAGAAAGCATCCGTCGCTGCGTCTGATACAAGCTTTGAGAGTAATGTCGGTCCATATGTTGAGGAGCTGTTGCAGGCGTCGAAGGCTATTACGAAGGAAGTGAATGTTCCTTTGTCTAGCTTTTTTGGTGATCTTGTGGTTGATCCTGAGATCAAGCATTACGAGAACAAGGATGGATTTCAGATGCATATTAGATTGCGGTGCTTGTTGGATAAGGATATAGTGGCTGATTCGATCAAAGTCAGGCTTGCTGGTGCGACTGGGACAATTGCCAATGAAGTTTGGCTAGAGAATACGGGAGATATTACCATAAAATCGAAAACAACGAGGTTGTCGATTGATTCTTCGGTGAGTGAATCGTTCCCCGTTTCAGCTTCCAGTCGTTAATAGTACTTTAGACAACCTTGCAAGGAAAGCTATTCGTCGATCGTATTGAGATTCGAGTTCAGAATCTTGTGTTCACATATACTGGACACGGTAGCCCGGCAGGTCTTCCGCCTGGTTTCAGGGAGTCAGAACCCGAAGCAGAGACCCGTCCATTCATCTGGTGCTATCCACCATCACACGGTCTTGAAGCAAAGCTTGCAGCACCGCGTATCATTAACCTTGAGGAACTGCGGACCCTTGAGATAGAGTTAAATAGCGGACGCAATAACATATCGAAAGGATTGCTTAGGATTCGTCCAGCAACTGCTGGTCTTCGACTACGAACGTCAGAGATTACCGTTATCGCAGGGGATATCGAGATGACACCAAACACGGAATCTGGAAGTATCGACTTTACCAACCTTGCGCAAGACACTTTGATCCGATTCCGCATTCCTTACACCGTGGATGAAAACCATACCATGCTATCTGCGAGACTTGAAGTCACCTATGAGACTGATGCTGGCCGGTTTACTTACATATCCACCAGTTCGATCATATCCACGTTGCCCATAAGCGTCAACGTGCAAGACATCTTCAGAGACGACGTTCTCCTTTCTCGATTTACGGTGAGCCCGGCGATGCTAGTTCCGCTGCGGATACTAGGCTGTGACATTCCCGAATCAGATGTCTACGAAGTCCAAAGCGGTGTAAGAGGACCTCTAGCACTGGACGTATTCCCCAAACAACCGGCATCTATAATATACAAAATCAAGCCCAAGGGTGGCCGAGCGCCAGCGGTCAACGCGACTGCGAAACGCAATTCGTTACGGCTGACGGTCCGTTATACGTGCATTGATGATGAGTGCTTGTTATTGGTTAGGCAAAAGTTCAGCTCAGCTCTTGAGCAGAGTAAGTACAAGTCGTTGACGCGGCTGTTGACACCTCATATTGTGGATGCTTTTCGTGAGCAATTGTCGACGTCGGATATGGAGAGTATAGGTTTGCTGAGGGAGATGGATATGCTGGCTTACAAAGATGTGCATTGGGATACGGTGCTGAGCGGACTTCGAGAGTCTCTTCGAAAAGAAGTTCGCAGCTGGTTGATTAAATGGCATCAGGTAGGATATCCCCTCCTTGTTTCAAAGCTTTTTCTAACGCGGAACAGGAGAACGTCGTAGTAGGCTTACCAGAAGACAATGAATCCGACCTCGCTCGCCACATCGTCATTCCCGTTGAAGTCCCCGAAATTCAAGTCGTTCACACAGCCGAGCTCCGCCTATCAACCACAGATAACAATACAATCACCCACGCAGCTGTCGGTCATATGATCCCCGCCGAGCTCATCCTCCATCATACACGAAGATGGTGCTCCCAACAGACCGAAACCCAAGACTCAGGCGGCCAGCTCGAATTCGCCTACGAACTACACGTCAACCAAGACCAATGGCTCATCGGCGGCCGACGCAGAGGTCACTTCACCGCCACCGAGGGCGAAACCAAACGATTCGCCATAATGCTTTTACCGCAGAAAGCAGGGCATTTGTTGTTGCCATCAATTGAGATGAAGACATTCGTCGTCGGCGCGAGTTCTGCAACTGTCGGGGCGAACACATCTACAACCGTGACTGCCGGCCCAGCACCCTCATCATCAGTCACAAGTCCCTCATCCGCTACAACCACGAACATAGCCTCTGCAGCGCCATGGACGCACCAACAACGACGCCAAGTCCCCAACGAAGTCGACTACAAAAACCACGCCGAGACGATCCTCGTACTTCCGGATTTGCGGAAGACGACTGTCAGTTTAGAATCTGGGAATCCGGGATTGATTGAGTCTGAGGCTCGGGTTGCTGTATGATTTTATCCTTTCGCGTGTGAGCTCGATTGTGTATATAGTTTAGATACCAGAGTTGGTTTAGATGCTATCCAGCTTTTATAGACGGAGAATTGTGTTCATGAAGAAGACATCTTGATTGGCTACTTGGCCATTCCCCACATGAAGCTTATACCTTATTTATTCCATTTTTGTGAGGTTGAATCAATGATGGTTAACATTCTGGCTGAGAATTTAATGTCCAAAAGTTCAAAAAATCAGCTGCCTCAGGCAAAAACCAGATAAGACCTACGGGCGATAACGGAGGGGCAAGAAAAGTGAAAAAATAAGCATACTGTAGTACGGTCAATACGTAAATTACGCAGCAGCGATAAAGCTAATTTCCACGGCCAGCGCACTAAAAACCTCGGTACTCAACAAAACGGGCGGTGGCTTCCCCAACGAAACCACTGATACAACCTACCCATAGAACGGAGGATGCTAATGTGGCACATGCCTCTTTAGGTTTGACTTTCTACTGCTGCTACATTGGCACACATCCGGGTGGTTTGATCATGCAATCAGTTAATTTGTGGAAGAATGGACGATGGATAACGTGACTGTCCAGTGTCTACCTCATTTATCTTGGAGTTTGAAGAATAGCCATCACATGCGATCGTTCACTGTTCTGTATCTCGAGGCGATCGCATGCATGACTAATTGTGGTGAATCTAGCCCTAACTTAGGCATACCTTTCTAAGTAACTATCTATGAACATCAGGCATCCATCTCATGAAGACACGAACTCTTCAGAATGCGACTGACACGTGGAACTCTCTAGTACTAGTAGTACTTAAGATCCACGATCACTTATCCATGTCCTCAGTACGACTTGAAGCTTGTAAAATGTAGCATGTGATTTGTTTGCTGCTTCAGAATCTACAGATCTGAGCTTGTGGCGGTCCAATCAACGTGCTTGTATTTGATTAAGCCGATCTGTGGGACGCAGTGGTCCCTGGTAACGCGGGTGTATGGAAGCTTCAAACACCGCCAGTTCGAATAGATTTTTTTTGTTTTCGCCGAGCAGTCATGGTAAACATCACCCCAATCCCAACCACTTAGCCCGGAGCAACAAGCTGAGTCTTAGGAGGACGGTATTTCAGAAGTTCGCCCAAATTCCAGGTAACGAAGAATAAAGCCATTAGAGTAACGAGGGATGCCAAACCCACCGCCGCATTGAGTACGACCCGGGAAGAGTTGGAAATGACAACAACAACAACACAGACTGCTACAGCCGCGGCCCATGCACCCTGGGCTAACCTAGTAATAGCGAAAGCTAGATGGACGATACTCGGATTTGCACGATTGATGGCAGTGATGGCGACGGCCAAGAAGATGAACATGGCCAAAACAGGCCAAATCAACTGTTGAGGCCGCATGTGTTGATCATAGGACTTTCAGCGGCAGAACATTCTTCAGGTCGACGTCTTTTGGCCATCAAGTGAGCAAATGGCATGAAAACGTCTTGTCGTCAAATATGTGAGGGTCAATTGGACGCCATATTCGACGCGCTAAACCTATCTAGGTTCTTTCTGGATTGGGCTAGACCGCACGGAGACGAAAAGTAGATCATACATAGTACACAATACCGTATGGACAATTCATGTCCTTGTTCAATGCTCAGCACCTGAATGTGTAGCTGAAACTCGCATATCGACGACAATCACAGAATGGCATTGGCGTGTCTACAGCATGCATCTGACGAGCCTTTTCATCGACCAATATTCGGACTTTGACGTGCTCCATACGATCTCTCCACGACCAATCCGTGGCCGCTTCAAGGCCAAATGGAGCGGCCCGAGATCGGGCTGCATGAACAACATGACTAGTCTCGCGATGTATCAGGTCGGTCACCAGTGGCGTCTTTGACGATTTTCCGTCGTACTGATCGTGCGACACCAATGACCATTGAGTGTCTGGGCGAACCACGGACATTCCGAATGCATGGCGCAGATACTTGCCTGTTCATTGCTAGACTACATATTTGGTTCGGCAAGTTGACGATGAGTTCATGAAGCACGATCGCATGACAACACCGTGCAAAGGGCGGCCATGATCAACCGTGGCTTGTAGAACCTGATGTGATATTCATGACTTGACTGTGTTACGGTAACATGTAGTCATTTAGTCGAGTATCCTGACAAATTTGAGATTGTCCGTACCGTAACGAAGTATGAAGGATACCAGCCGGCGGACACTAAGAGCGGTTCCCAGAAAGTATACCACAGTATGCAGTGACAGCCAATGAATGACAGCGCCACTGCTCCATGCCGGCCATTCAACCGGGGCTTGGCACAACCACAAGCAGCAAAACCCTCAAGCACATGGCTCCAAACACCACGCACTTTTCCATCCCTTGTAATTTATTCAGCGATCTTTCCACTCATTGGTAAATCCAGTCCATGTATTTTTCTTCTCCCCGCTGCGTGGAGCTACCCCTGTCTTTTGCCCCCCAAAAGTTTCTAGCGATCTGTTGAGAAGCGTATGCTAGAGTTTTCATGTAAATTGCTCACAACCGGCCAATCAGCTTCCCCGATTCGATTCAATTCCTCCACGGCCAATACCGCTAAGATAAAGATAAGCAGATAAAAAACTGCCTGTAAGTAAATTACCAAATACAGCCCTTACCTTGGTACACTTTAGACCGTGGACCGCCTCCTTCCTTTTCATATGATTTTTCTGGAAGTATTTATCTTCGGATTTCTCTTCCCTCACTTTCTCTCTTCCTATCCTCTGCATCCGATCTCGTCGAAGCCTCGTCTTTCTTACTACCCGGCAAGAGTTCGAGCATCAAGCAAGTCTATCAACACTTGCTACTGTGCGTGTCAATCGCGGTTCTCATAGACGTCGTCCGTCACCAATTGCTCATACAGACAATAGCCATTGGCTAACGTCGTTGCAGATTGAAAATATTCACACACACAACCACAACATGTCGTCCACCGCCGTCCCCAAGCGCATTGCGCTTCAGAGGAATCTGACCGCCGCCTCGTCGGTGGCCAGCTCGAACTCTGTCACACCCTTCGACAGCCCTCGCCAATCACCTTCGAGCACGTCTTTGTCTTCGCTCGCATCCGAGGCCCAGGAGGTCAAGAACACAAAGATGGTGGATACCTACGGCAACGAATTCGAGCTCCCCGACTACACCATCAAGCAGATTCGTGACGCTATTCCAGCTCACTGCTATGAGCGCTCCGGACTTAGGAGTCTGTCATATGTCGCCAGGGATTTGCTCTGCCTTGGTACCACTTTCTACCTCTTCCACAACTTTGTGACTCCTGAGAACGTGCCCAATGTATATGCTCGCTCTGCTGCGTGGGCTTTCTACACCTTTGTGCAGGGTCTCTTCGGTACCGGTCTCTGGGTTATGGCCCACGAGTGCGGTCACCAAGCTTTCTCTCCTTCCAAGGTTCTCAATGACACCGTTGGCTGGGTCTGCCATTCTCTCCTTTTGGTGCCATACTTTTCCTGGAAAATCTCCCACGGCAAGCACCACAAGGCCACTGGAAACTTGAGCCGTGATATGGTTTTCGTGCCCAAGACTCGTGAACAATATGCCTCTCACGTTGGCAAGGCCATTCACGAAATCTCCGAGCTCATGGAGGAGACTCCTATCCTCACTGCCAGCAACATGATCTTGCAGCAACTTTTCGGCTGGCCCATGTATCTGCTCACCAACGTCACCGGCCACAACAACCACGAGCGTCAGATCGAAGGTCGTGGCAAGGGCAAGGCCAACGGTTACTTCGGCGGTGTCAACCACTTCAACCCTAGCAGCCCCTTGTACGAGGCCAAGGACGCTAAGCTCATTCTCTTGAGTGATTTGGGATTGGGTCTTGTTGGCTCTGGTCTCTACTATCTCGGACAGACCTATGGCTGGCTCAACCTGCTTGTGTGGTACGGTGTGCCTTATCTCTGGGTCAACCACTGGCTCGGTAAGTTTATCGCCTTATATTCAACTTGGGATAATGATTTTGATAGACTAACGATCGCAGTGGCTATCACTTACTTGCAACACACCGATCCCACTCTTCCCCACTACGACAACGAGTCCTGGAACTTCACTCGTGGTGCCGCTGCCACAATCGACCGTGAATTCGGTTTCATCGGCCGTACTTTGTTGCATGGAATCATCGAGACTCACGTCGCTCATCACTACATCAGCACCATCCCATTCTACCATGGCGATGAGGCCACCGAGGCTATCAAGAAGGTCATGGGCAAGCACTACCGCACTGAGGCTCACACCGGACCTTTTGGTTTCCTCAAGGCCATGTGGACCAGCGCCCGTACCTGCCAGTGGGTTGAGCCTAACGAGGGAGCTCAAGGTGAGAGCAAGGGTGTACATTTCTTCCGCAACCGAAATGGTCGCGGCTTGCCACCGGCTAAGCTGGCCAAGGCTTGATCGCAAACCATGATTGCAGAATGAGGACGAAGATTGATTGTTATTTGTGTTGATTGATGTTATTTTCGCTGCCTTGAAAGATCAGTAATCACCGATAGAATCCTTCGCCGGGTCGAAGAGCATCTCAAAACTGTAGATATGTGTCGTCTAGACAGAGGCGTTCAGGATACAATGCTATTTTTCGTTTCGTCCAAAGATTCCAATGTTTCATAGCATGTAACAAGATTATATAACAAGCTTGAAGTCTTGCGCAACGCAATCATTTTAGAGAAATAATGATCGGAAAGAGTATACAAGAATGATAACTTATATATGCGGAGGCAAACCAACTTTGCGGGGAACCTTGAAAGTCTAGGTCCTGACTTGCCAAAACTTGTTTTGATTAATCTAGTTGATCCAGTCTCTTCCGGATGATCCGTACGTATTTTAGTTGCAGGTTATATAATCAGAACAAAATTCCTGATCAACATATTATCTATTATATATGTATGTACATTGGGGCATTTGTATCTATTTACACTCTTATGGCTTTTATGCTTTTACGTCTCTTATGGATGAGTTAAGTCACTCGACAAAATACTGCGTAACCCACCTTTCCATATCTCGAATTCTAGTTCATTGTCATTTCGAGTGTTGCGTTGCGACTCGTCGTTGACGATCCCTGATGTCCACGGCGCAAAGACTAGTTTAAGGCGGCGCTTTGTTACTCGTTCTATTGGTCGTGTTGTAGCAGTTGTGGCGTTGGTGATGATGGTGGTGGTGGTGGTGGTGGTGGTGGTGGTGGTAATGGACGGTTTTGTAGGCGTAGAGTCGTGGTTGGCGGTGTCTGTTTGAGAGGGTATAGGTATAGATGATGGAGGAACAGGGGATGATTGAATTGAGACCTCCTTTGCAGTTTTTATATCCATCTGCGTTGTGCCGATTCCGTTTCGAAAAGGTGTCTGAAACGGCTGCACCACGGCAGCAGCACGAGATATATCAATCTCCTCCTCTTTTTTGAGTGCTATTCGACACGCAATCTGCGTAGACCATACAAACCCCAACGCAGGCGTCTTTTGCGACTCGTTGATGTCTGCTTCGTCGCCCCAGCCAGTGAAGAATTTCTGCTGGTGCGAGAGGCTCAGCGTCTCGTTTCGGACTGGGTGCCCGATTATGTATGCGCCGTCAAAGGCGTCGTCGTCAGCGGGGAGTTGCTGCGATGCGGATGGAGATGAAGGGATCGACGAAGGCGGTAGGGCTGGAGAGGACGATGGCGTGTGATCGTTTGCATCCATCATGGCAGCGAGCTTGGTATGTCTATTGAGAAGCGGGGTTTGACTACTTCTCGGAAATCGTCCATACGAGTGTTGAATTGGAGCATCAGCCATTCCATCAAACCGATCAGAGACTTGATTCGCAACGACGATAGCCACGTCCTCCCTCACGGCGAGATTGCGCAACATATGCCCTAGTTTCGCCAACTCGCCGGATCGCGCGGAGAGGCCTTGCATGCTATTCGAGGCATGTTCGGCGCGGTAATTAGCTGCTATGGAGTCGATGACTACGAGGCCAACGTTGTACCGCTGTATTGCGACGGGGAGTTGGTAGTTTAGGATGTGGTCTTGCGTCTCGAGGTCGATGGCTGTGATAGAAAGCACGTTTGCTAGTGAGGGTTTCTCGGCGGTGGGAAGGTTGGCGAGATAGGGATGCGATCGAAGGATTTGAGAAAGTCGGGGCGTCGAGAGTGGTGCTTCGGTGGATATGTAGATTGCTTTTCGGCCTAGGCCTTTGGGGGAGGCGAGTTGGGCGGCGAGCAGGAGGTTGAGGAGGAATTGCGTCTTTCCGCTTCCACTATGCGAAAGTCAGCAATTCCGACGTGAGCAAAGACAAGTAATGCAGTTGGTGTACCTCTCACCAGTAACCTCCGTCAAATATCCCGTCGGTATTCCTCCACCCAAAAGGTCATCGAGTACGGGGTCCAACGTGCTGATCGTATCCCATCGGGACAAATTCAATATCCTCCCTCCATCTTCACTCTCAACTACATCCTCACTATTCTCATTATTATTATACTTCCCCTCACTCGCGCCAAATCCCAAATCTGCATGCAACCCAGCAACAACATCAGCGCACAGTCGTCGCACATCAGCCGGCGGGACGTGCGCGCGTTTCGCGATTTCGAGATAATCGAGCGTTATCAGATCGACGGTTGTGATGTGTCTGCGTTCCAAGGGTGGGAGGATGTGAGTATATGGTTTTGTGTTGAAGGTAGGTAGGATGGTTAGGAGATCCATATGATTTATTTTAATGCGTGGGTGTGACAAGTGATCTTGTTCTTCGGAGGTGGAATTGATAAGTCGAGGTTATCGCGCGGACGCGCCTCACGTGGGCCAATCAGCGTTGTGGATTACTATTCAATGTAGATTTCGAGGTTTCGAGTCTTGTTCAGCTTCATTCAAGCAGTGATGGGTGTCACTTCTTCAACTTGAGTCATGATTTGCGGCTTTTTCTAGGCCTTGGACGTCTGCAGTCTACAATGATTGCTCACTTAGGGCTTGGTGCTGGCATTACCAATTTAGGAAGCTAGCTAGCCCTAATCCGAGGTTGACAACTCACACGAGCAACCTGAAAACAACGTTCATGACAAACAAAGAGAGTCAACTGGTTCTTGGTGAGGACATTCAAAAGTACAGAATCTTTGACCAACGAATCGATACATAAGCTCTGTGGGATGCCGGCATCGCCTTCTATTCCGGCATCCAAATGTCGTGGACGAGACATACTCCTCAGCCGGACTATATTTTTCGTTGTCCATGTTTATTCGAACTGGTACCAGGAGGCACCCTGAAAAATCTAGTATCCCACATGTATTGATTTCAAAGTGCTTCTAGGATGTGATTATCAATATCACCGCCGGCATTACGAAGGGATTCGGAGATGTGCCAACATGCTTTATTCTCTTTTGCTTAAAAGTTGACGGCGAGAAGGCTTACAAGTCCTCGCTCTGGATTATAAACTCCAACTATTTCTTTGAAAGACAACACATGGATGATGCTGGACCCATTTCGACATCTATCGATCGAGACGAACTTGGAGTCAATGATAGAACTTTATTGACTCCAGATGCCTTGCCTATTCCTACACTAGATAGCATTGTGCAATAATGCTGGCTGAGTCAACCAGTTGGCTATAGACGCAGAGATGGTAGTCAGATCAATGGCAATGAGAAGCTGCCCCATTTGACTCTCGATGCGAATACTCTCGCCACTGTTGTAGCATTGAACCCGGCCAGATACTTGGTGGCTAGCACTCTCTAGGAGCTTTGTAATCAAGAGCAAGAGTGTATGATATGGACACAGACAAGTCTGCCCCAAAGTCAGTACTAACCTTGAAACGGTCTGATATCTTTCAAACCCGGCCAGCAACAATATGACAATCGGCTAGTACCATGCTCTGCATTGAATAAAATCTACAAGCACAGCGCAACATCAGCATTCGGCTAGTTCATATCCCATCTGCTCAGCTCTAGCCACTTACCATCCCACCCTCCATCCGTCACCACGGATCCAGTACCGAAAATTGCACCATCTTTCAATACCTCCATCTCCCAAACCACGCCAACCCATGCCGACTGGTCATCTCAAAATAATCAATTCCAAATACACAGCCTTGAGCGTTACACAAACCCCATCTCCGTCGTCGCGAAATACCTCGGATCGAAGCGAGGATCCATCAAGTCAGTGGTCACGCGTGTGTCATTGACATGACTCATGTCAAACTTCCAATCCCTTGCTGGAAAACGATGATCCCGAGAATTTGGATCTGGGCCGTATAGTGTAGTCAACTCAAGTAAGGACGCTGTAGATGCAGATGGTATGTAGGATGTATAGGCATATGCCAAAACGCACGGTTTGCGCGATAATAGATTGAATGGGCTTTGCGGGGTTGTGGTAGCGGTCGAGGCCAGCACGAGGTTGTCTGCTCAATGTGTTCCAAGAAAAAAAGGTTATAGCGTCTGATCTGTCACCTGTCAATTCTTCAATCACGGTGGGACGTATCGTCCCGTACCGTTAGTTGAGATAGGAATGTCGAGTCTTTCAAGGTTATTTCTGGGTCATAAATCTGGAGTGACAGATCAACACGTCTAATCCCAGATTGCTGGGACATACGTACTATCAGCCATTCCAATTGATCCTACATCTACATATTGCATTCCATCTCGGGATCGGCTTCACATGCTTCTCTTTCCAAGGGCCGTGATGCAAGGGGTGTGAGCATTGAAGACACATTCTTGATGGAAACGTTAATATACGTACGGAGCGATTGACTGGCATCTGTACACTGACTCGTAATTCGAATATAAGTACATACATGACAGTTTTGGCAATCTCGGTTAAGCAACAATGCCAGAAAGAGTGTTTAGGCTTGTCGATCTTGCGAGTTGATATTCATCTCGTGTCCAATTTGTTCTTGGTTTGGTGAGCGAGCGAACAAAGTTTGAATGTTCCAGGTGTATACAGGAGGCGTATGTCGTTTATTTCCCTCTATCAGCAAACGCGCCCTTGATACGTAGGTCGATGTCTATTAATGTATATAAGTTGATTTGGCGCTTGAAGCGGCTTAGCTATTATATTGATATTCCAGGGACTTCGTATGTACATGGGTATTTTTCTATGTATTGACATGGAATAACCGGGCAATTACTGGTCTCTACGTATCATCTCGAACAGTACACAGCTGTAGCCATACTCATGATATTAAAATACCAGTGTCCCAAGTCAACAGGCCATATATCGCTAGACCAGGAAGTGGCACCATTTAGTGACACGAACCTGTCCCAATCCAAGACGAACATCTCTAGCGTAACGGCCGACTCCTTTACTCCATATTTAGTACTAATGACCATCAAACCGTCAGCAATACCGGGGATATGACCCGCTTTACCCTGAAGCCTGACGGGCCTGTCTGATATGAAAGGGGGTAAGTTAAGACATACCTATGTATATTAATATGATTTTCATTATAACAACAAGGAAAGAAATCCTAACGGCTGTCATGACTCATGCTACTCTTCCCTGTCTGTCGGTCGCTCAATCTCGCGCTCGTATCGTGAGTCGAGACTCTGCCAGACTTCGTACGGATTCTACGAAGTATGCCATTTGATATGAACCACCAACCCACCAATTCATGAAGAATGGAGATGAAAAATGACTCGTCGCCCATCAGAAGACTCAAATTGAGTCCGTCTTCCTGCAAATCCTATCCCTCTTCTCCTTTAGCACTTCTTAATATCCGTCTCTTATAGACAGGGATGAGATGCACCTTACTGCCCGAATAGGAGAACCCGTTGAGTGCGCGGGCACGGGACGTCCCATCCGAGAGGGATTGACAACGTCTTTTACTATCTAGGATGTATAGTGGAATAGTAATATAGGGATAGCGTCTAGAATTTGCGGGTAGAGTGTTATTTGTGGTTCTGAGCGGTTGGTGGGCCTGTGGCAGCTGTCATTCTGTCAGTCTGTCAGAGGAACATGGATTGTATCGTAGTGGATAGGGTCCTGACTCCTGCTGAGCTACGTACGTGTGCTTGATTTGTTGTAGATTTGAGACAGACAGGGTTGAGGGACAGCTGTGTTGCAAGTACGGATGTAAACATACAGTAACTTACTAGGCGGACAGGGTTAATCGAGCGCCGAGTAATCAGAACCTTGTCTTTAATCATTGCTAGTGAGTCGACCAGGGTTTTCACATGAATAAGATGTTTTGCAGGTATGACTCGAGGCTTGAAGCTGACATGTCTTCGTGTCCAAGCAAACGGATCCGAGCTAGCATCAGAATGAAGAATTGGGGTTGACATGGGATAACTATCTGCACGCCTTAGTCAAGTGCGCAAATTGAGTATCCAGTCGAATAAAACCCATTCTTTCAACTGAGCAAGCAATCAACACATGATTCAGTGCTCAAAGCCTTGGTAGAATCGATAAATCACATCGCAAATGGGAAATATATTCGGAAGCGAGCATTGAATGCAGCGAGACGTTCTTCGATCGGCGATATCTTGCATTATGGCTATTGTCCTGTGCATATTCAACAACATATATACAAATCAGTTGACCTGGTAGCTGTCAAAGTTTTGGGCATCCCTCGTTATCGTGGATGGATGCAAGGACTTGCTTTGACTGAACTTTATGCAAGTTTTGATCATATCTATATATCGAGTAAATATCTCAGATCAATGCTTTGAGCCTACATACCAAGCCTAGGTCCAAATCGCCCAATGGATCGTAACCTATACGTAACAGCAATACACACGCAATGCAATGCGCTGTTCTGCAAAGCTGCAATAGTACAGTACATTCTGCCGCTGTGCCGCATGAACTCATCGCAACTACGAAGTGCTGGAATACGTAGAGCGTGCTGATAGGACGCCAAATACGAGAGATTCGGAGAATATATTTTTCGTTGCATATGTAAGTGTGCAGATTAGGTATTCATATTCAGGCGAGAAGTTTTAAGCATAATATCGACTGATGATGGTTTACGGCCAATACGTCGTTAAATCGACACGATAAAATTAAATATCTACTTACAAGCGCCGGGCACTCTCATTGATACGTACTAAGAACATCGACTACACAAAAGCTCGTGGCTGTCAAATCCACCCTTCCATAACGAGTAACCAACCTATCAAACTATTACATATTTTCACCTACCCACACCCGAACAGGCACCGACAAAAATGTGACCGGTCAATCTTTGGTCTCGCCGCTAAGGAGGTAACGCTTTGCTCGTGTCAATCCTTATTTCCTACGATTACCGACCTCATTTATTACTAGTCGGCTTGGTTGCGTACATGTAGTGCACAATGCTAATCAGACCGGAGGTCCATGTGCCCAGAAACCTGGAATGCCGATATGATACGTTATACCGGACTGATGGTTATTATACATAGTCAAACTCAGATACATGATGGCAGGGAGCACAGACAAAAAAAAAACGGTCTTTTGTCAGTGGATATTGGGTACAAGAATCGGTCATTGGCAGGGTTGTGATGGATCAGATTCCGAGTCGTGTATCCATCCCCACACTCCGTAAATCTAAAGCCATTGTATCGCCGACTCGCGCCAGTCAGTAGAATCATCAAAATCGATGCAAGATTTGATCCAAGAGCGAACAATGCGTAAACTCAGGCGCTTTGAAGAATCAAGAAACGTAATAGTAGACCCTGTCGGGTCCGTCCGTCCTGAACTTGGGGTTTATCGATATCCACATTCCTCTTTCGTTATCACAATCAGGGTCTGGATATATTAGCTGTATCCACAGTTGAATGTTAGTCAGGACAGAGACGAGGAACACATGTTCGAGTCAACGGTTTCGATTTGGTAGATTGATTCGTCATGCGCGACATTGAAACTTGAGGTAAATTAAGCTTGAGATAAAATCATGCGATGGGTCGATACTCCATAGTAGCATGAAAAGTAATGGACCTAGCTCGCTCGGTATTACCCGATGCACCGGATAACGGCCTGCAAGGACATGGAAGGAGACTCGGGACTTGACCACTGACTGACAGACAGGATAGACAGGGTCAGGGAACGGTCTGGAGGATGTACCTATTGTAGTTTTGTCTGTTATGCAGGGAGGGATAGGCTGTGTATAGTCTGCTCCGTTGAGAGCATGAGAATCGGAGTACATCAATAGTATCATGGTCAACAATATCTTCTCGTCGGCCGGCCGCACACAAGCTACTTCGTAGAAGGTGTGTAACACCGACGGTTGAATCGTGCAACAGACACCACATGCAATAAAGAGCGAACATATATATCAATTAGTAAGTACATTTCTACAACAGCAATACTCTCTCGACTTCTACTATACCCTCCCATAGGTAACTCCAGTATCCAAACATGCAGGAACATCCTACGACAGAGTGCATCTCAGTCTTACAGTAACACCCACAATAAGTTGATAACATTTACGTAGCATCCCACCTGAATCATTATGTAGGTATATCAAATATATTACTATTCATCCTCCGGACAATTAGAGTGCAAGCTAGACAAAAATGGAATCTACTCCCAATGCGGCGTGGTTCCAGTACTTTACTTGGAACTTGGAACGGTCACTTGTCATCTGGCCGATCATCCGGTATCAATCTGGTATTGGCGATACGGCTGTAAAGTGTACGGGAACCTGTTCCCCTTTGTATACACTCGATCCCCGCCATGGTTCGTCTTCCTCAGTTTGGATTCAGTCCTCTTGATCTGGAGAATTATGGATACTTACTACACCTCGTCCATGGACTCGATAGACAATTATTTGTCATGCTCTCTCACATTCTTATTGACAAATATACAGCGTCGTGCATGGAACGGCATTCATTGCAGATTTTTTGACGGTGTAACCTCAGACCTTACCGAGAACTGCTGATATCCCAATTCCCTTCTAATAAGACCACTGTTGCTGATGGAGAGCTGCTATGGTTTTATCTCAAATACATCGCATTGATCAACATCGACTAGAGCAGGTGTACGTACATACCACATTGATCATGTACCTAGCTGCACTGTACGGGTAGATGTAGATGTAGATGTAGATGTAGATGTACGCGGATAGATGTACCAGATCGACTTCTGCAGTACTGTATCCGAGGTTGCAACAAAATACGGGAACAATACTCGAATCCAACGACAGGTGGGGCGATACGTACGTCCATCCGTGGGAACCAGCATTCCACAAGTCTTCTGAATATTTTCTAGAATCTCGAAGGATTGAATTGAACGACTATGTATACGTGGTACGTATTATTSGAGCCATATCAATACTATGTCATTGTGAGATGTGCGCCGAGTGCAACTTCGTGGTTATGTTTTCAATCTGAAATGAACCCGGGTGAAGCTCATTTATGGGGTTTTATTGCTTTTTGGTCGTGATTGTGGTCGGGTGTTTTCAGCCTTGTTTGAATATACGCGCATGGCCGAGTAGAAAGTGAGAAGATACTGCTGATAGCTCATTGATGTACCAAGCGCCAGTACATACAGCACGTACTCCGTCCGTACTGTGGTGGTACGTACCATACTCCGTACACACGGACGGATAAACTCTCGGGTTCTCCGTGGCTTCAACCAGCCAATCCCTCCCAGACTGACAGCACTAACCCTGACCCAGCCTAGCCAGTCCACACAACCAACATCCTAGCGCTAAAGCGTCCAATTTATGATCGATCTCATTTTTGAGACCTTCGCTATGGTATTATGCTTGCTTTTTATTGACGTCGTACTAGTGTCACTCTCCCTCCTCCCTGAAATACGGCGCAGGTCGGCTAACCCTAAGTGCTCAGAAGAAAAAGCAAAGGATTCATCATTAATCGCCTGCTAAGTTCGAAGTCGCTAACCTGCTCTGTACTGGTCGCCGCTGCTGACGAAAGACGGTTTTTCTTCTTTGTGTTTGTTTGAAGTTGAACATGTTTAAGGTTTGCCAGGATGTGGTTGGCGAGTTCTACATGTGCAACAATACTTAGTAAGTGATGTAACGCTACTTGCGCTCGCCACTCAGTGCTCAATCTTGCATAAAGTCGGAGAATTGTCTTTGTCCATACATACTATGGTAATTCCAATAAGAATCTGAGCAACATACGGCGCAGTTCGTTACCTCGTATAGCTTGTGGGATTGCCTGTTCTGCGATGTGATTTGGTACCGTGCTCGGCGCCAACGGTACGGTACAAACCAAGGGTTCGCAGCTGCGGTCAATAGTCACTCGTGCTGTTCAGCGAAAGGGAGCACAGCATCGACTTGCCACCAGACCGAGTCATCTTGGAAAAGTCCTCGCAGCTCGCAAACTCGAAGCTTTAGTTGGCAATGGCAGAGCGTTGCGATTGCGAAAGCTGAAGAGAGTCATCCAGTGGCTGCCGCTGACTGACCAGTCACGGGGCGTTGCGTACGTTGTCATAGTACTACTACCAGACAGGCGAGTCAAGGATTTTACCCAAATCCAAAAACCTGGGAATGCCAACGAGTCAGACTTAGCACTAGGTTAGCACAGGGTAAGTTACCAAATTACAGGGTTTGCTCTTGAGACGAATGATCAGACAACGGCACACTGAGGAGAATTTTCCCGCCGACCATGCCATATGCAGTCTAACGCAATGATATGGGAACAAACAATTGGATGATGGGCGTCGTCTAGGTACTACGTATGCACTCGTAGGAAGCAGAACAGAACCTGCGCCGCACTAAGAAGATCAAGCGCTTTCCATATCCGGAAGTAGCCTCCACGCCGCAGCAGTGTGTGCTGGGACCGAATCAGCAGCCAGTCTCGCCCTTTCTGCGCAGGGGCCATCTGACCCGCGACGACGGGCTGGGAGAATGATCCACTCCTCGCTTACGTCTGTCATGTTTCTTACAGGCTTGATTCAGTACGAGTAGTGCGAGACTACCCCGTCACTCGCTCGCTCTGTCGGGTTCTTTGTTCTCGCATTTCTTTTTTTATCGACAGCCGATACTCCTCCGTAGTGACGATAACTGCAGATTGTTCAACTAGTCTCTCTAGGCTCCGTCTCTCGTGATGTAGTACGTATTCTTGCACGACTAGCAGTAGTCTACTCGTAGTTACAACACTAACAACGTCGCGTACGTACTATGTCTGTTAGTTCTGTACTGGAGTTCTTCGTTAGCCCCAACAATGAACTCCCCAGTTACTGGAGACTGGACGGCTGGGTGGATCTAGCCGCGCGCCGGGTCACTCCAACCCGTTGTCCTAGTGGCCTGTATCGCAATGTTCACTTACCGTACTGACGATCGCTTGCATTGAGATTAGATACTCCGTGTACTATGTACTTGAGATGATATGCACTCCGTACTTGGCTTTTTGATCAGTTTGGATCTGGACTGTGTATATAATAAATCACATAAATGTCTTCGAGTCAAGCATTGTCTCGTTCTCTACCATGTACAGAGTAGATTCTGCAGTACCGATACTACCGTAAGCGAGCCGTTAAGTTCGACGATCGTATTAACCCTACGATGTAATACTCAACCTGGTAAGCTCCCCTGTTCTCGACTTGCTTTTTGGCTTTGCCATCTAAGATTCTAGACGAACGGCCCGTCAGTCCGTCTGGTCCACTGTCGGCGGGKACATTGAGGCCTGGAAAAACCGAGATTGTTGTCTCGATCATACTACGTAGCTGGCATCTCTAGTCAGTGTTGTTGCTAGATTATGCATACAAGAGCCTGAAGAAGGAGAACATCTCTCCATAGATTGCATACAATAATGCATACAAACATTACCATGGAGTACAGAGTACATCGATAGTAGTCTCGCTTAAACTGATCACAGCCAGGAATAGCAGTAAGCTCCGTGCACTTGGTAATAGCATCATCGTATTATGGGGTTTGTTACTTGTAAGGTAAATACGCGTAATGCGCTATAATAAAGTGCATTAGCGAATCCTCAGGCCCACCGGCCCAGCCCAAAGCAATTTAGCCTGTCCGTGTCCGTGCTCTCGGCTCCGGTCAAGTCTGCAGAACCATGCTCCATCTGCTCGTCTGGTTTTCTTCCTTCTTGCACTCCTGGCTCCGTTCAGTATCGCTACCGTATCGACAACGGTTTGGTGAAGTGAAGTGAAAGTCAATGAAGGAGGAAGGAAGAAGGAGAAAAAGATAGGAAGAAATTGTTCATCTATGGTTTGGTTCGACACTTCGAAACAACAGATTAAGCGACTTGACTCGACCGATATACAGATGTATACGACAATCAGGTAGCAGGCCGATTATTGTTTCAAGCGAGCGCTCTGGACGCATTCGCTCACTCACACAGTCGAAAATGGCGGCAGTAAGACCGCTGATGGCCCCTGTCAACGAGACGGAACATTCATACAGTCGGATTAGCCGGGAAGGAAAGAGGATCACCTACACCTTGAAAGTCATTCAACAACCCGAGAGAGCTCGTGCTTGCGGTGCTGGAGCAAAGTGTAGGTTCTCGTTCACCCTTATCGTTCTCGACATACGGCTAACAAAGTGTAGCATCCGCGGACCGTCGTCCTGTTGACCCTCCACCCGTCGTTGAACTGCGTGTCTACGAATCCGAACTTGACAATGACTTGACCAAAACCGACATCACCTTCGCCTACAATGCCAACTTCTTCCTGTTCGCTACGCTGGAAAACGCTCGCCCGATCGCACAGGTTCGCAATGCGGGATCGCCGCCTATCTGCCCTGTCTTGACCGGCGTGCCCGTAGCAGGCATTGCATACTTGGACCGTCCTGCCCAGGCTGGCTATTTCATCTTCCCTGATTTGTCTGTTCGCCACGAAGGGTTCTACAGGCTGAATTTCAACCTGTATGAAGAGGTCAAGGACCCCAAAGATGCCGACAAGGACTCTGCCTTACCCGCTCAACAACCAATGGTCGCCTCGAACAAGCCAGGAGCTCCTAAGGCGTTTTTGAATTTCAGGCTGGAGGTCAAATCGACGCCGTTCCAGGTGTACAGTGCAAAGAAGTTTCCAGGGCTGGCTACCAGTACTTCGCTCAGCCGCGTGGTAGCCGAACAAGGCTGCCGTGTGCGTATCCGTCGTGACGTGCGCATGAGACGTCGGGGTGAAAAGAGCGGCAAGGATTATGGCGACTACGAGGAAGACCGATACGGTCGCTCATCTCGGTATACTACGCCTACGCCTGTTGAGCGTCCGCGGTCTGCTAGTAATAGTACCGTCGATGCGCCATACCCTTACTCGGGTCAGACTGCTCGTCGGGATTCTACTCACGAATACCCGGGATATCAACCACACCACTCGAGACCACCGCCACCTGCCCCTTCGACTCCATACCAACATCCTCATGCTCCGCCACCACCGCCAGCACCTGCTTCAACTTCGGCAGCACCTGGGTATTTGTCGTTTGGTTCTGCATCGGCATCTTACCAGACTCCTCACCTGCCAGCTGCACCTCCACCACCATCGCATTCCATCTACACTCCTGGTCCTTCGACACCGACATCAGCGTACTCCTCACAACCACCGTTGCCACACTCGCGCCAGCCATCCAATGCATCCGAACATGAACCCACACCACAATCTTATCCTTCACGCCCTCACCATCTCCCATCAATCCTGAMCCCGGCGCCTGTCGACCCGCCACACGGACCGTCGTCAGAATCCTACCCATCATCGACTACATCTGTACCACCACGCCCACACACTCCTCACTCATCCATCATGTTGCCGCCAATCAGTTCACTATCCCAATTCGCAGGCTCTGTTCCGCCTCCACCATCTGCATCCGACATCTCACAACAAAGGTGACCATCCTACTACCCAATCGAAACATCGCTAGCCAAGCGAACCCACGAGGACTCGTTTGGCAATTACGACGCTCCCACTCACAAGAGCATTCGTTCAGAGAACGATTACGCTGGAGTCGGTCACGCGCCTATTGATACCATACCAGGCAGACGAGACTCCTTCATCGAACCAGACACAGAGCGCTGGGAGCGACCGCAAATGGAGTACAGGCGAGCAGACGGCAGAATGTCCAGCAAAGCGCAGCTTGCTGTTTAATCTTTCCTGATACATTTACTGATATTTGGCGAATATTGATTGTGGTTTTGGCTTATTTGATTATATCCATGGGTTACACTATCAGCCTACGACGGTGTTTTTCTTTCCATCTGCAATATGTTTCTGATCTCAATTTGTATGATCGTCGTTCTGTATTCTGCTAAGAATCGTTGGCGACATTGTTACCATTCTTCCTGTACATGATTTGTCCATCTACTTCTCCTCTTCGATACACGCATTGCATTTGTCTTCTCCATTGCATGCACTTACGATCTCGCCCTGTCGGCATGGCCCATTTTCTTCTCCCATCGAACCATTCTCTCTCTCTTTCTTTACCGGGCTGGTAACACAATTCCTTATGTGATACGCTTCTGCTTCTCGAACTATGTTTACATGCCATATTTTTTCCCCCCTTCTTGCTTCTATTCTGTGATTCTTTTCTGGAAAGGGACTCAGGTTTATTTACAGTACATCAATATCATTTTTGCCGAATTTGCAATGTTCTCTTTTTCGCCGATGTGATATTTAGAGATTGTATTTGCTTGTTGGTTGCATTGTATGCAGTGGTAGTTAGTGATTACGAAAGCATATACTACAGAATTCCATGATATTTATATTATAAAACTCCTCAAATAACGTCCACATACTGATTTGCTGGTAATGGCATATCTTGAATACATGTATGTCATAAAACCATTATGAGTTCACAGCGAAAGACAACTTGTATCTCCACTACTGCAAACGTCCCAATGTGTCGACCATTTCACCCTCTACTCGCCTACTTCAGGGCTTAAGAGGGTATGAGTTTTGATTACTTATACAGACGGAATGGCAAACGAGCCATGCCGAGTAGCAAAAGTGCGCCCTCAGTCAGTCCGTAGACATGCGCGTCTGTCTTGGAAGGAAGCTGCATTGCCATTATAGCAGACTTCTACTGGCCGCTTGGTGTTTCTTGGGTTGGACAGTGTTTCGCGAAATACTGCTAATCTCAAAGGCTAGCGGTGACTCTTTGGTTGATTGAATTTGATAGGGACACCGTCGGAGCTGCCATTGATGTAAATCTGACTTGTTTGAGAACAAGTACTATGAATCCTTAGTCTCAGAAGCACTTCTTATATATGGACATCCTTGTTGTACCTGAGTCACGAGTCTGACTAGCCCTAATCAGCCCATCTCGTGACCGTTGTTATCTTATCAGCCCGTACTAAGTAAGCTTCAGGGTAACCCCGGCAAACAAAACAAAGCAAAAACAAAAACAAAGTCCCCTCCATGCCATCCCTACCTTGAGCATTCATCCCATCTGCCACAAATTGCTGCCTCTGTGTCCGAAATACAGGGCGATAAAGCTTCGATTGGCATTTTGCATTGTTTTTTATTTCTCGCGCGTGTATTTTCGTGTGCATATTTTCAAGCGATCAGTTATGTTATGATTACCCTTTTCGGGAGTTGCGTACGTATTTGACACGACGAGACGATATTCTTTTCCTTTTTGGTTTTTTGATACTTGGTGAGTCTTTCTTTTCTATTATCAGGGATTAAAATACTATATCACGAGAAATTGGAAATGGAGAAACCATCAATTGATGATGCGGAGGTTTGTTTATTTTCTGCATGCACGACATTTTCTATCTGATACATCACGAGCATTTTCGGCAGCCAGAAAGAAGTACTGACGAGATCTGTCACAGCATTCGCSCCCGCCATATTACTACACGCCATACATAGACATTGAACTCCAATTCGACCCGCTCCAGGCTGACCCGCTGCTCCAGAAATCGCTCGTGCTTGGTGATAGCGATAGCGACAACGAAACCGACAATCTGGAAGGGGATGCTACGTTTACAGACACGGATAACGACTATCCCTACGCGTACGGCCATTATCAACCTCGACGCGGATACAAATACGGATATCAAACACTCAGTATGACGACAACGGCAACGACAACGGCGTCGAATAGCTTGAACAAGCGCAAATTCGTGGCGCCTGCAGCTGCACCAGTAGCAACTGATTTGTCAGATGACACGTCTGATGTGTCTGGGCGGTTTGATGACGCTGATGAATCTGATGTTATGCAAGTAGAACCTGCTTCTGTCGTTCCTGCTGTAGACGAAAAGGTTGAGGACAATAAATCCGTCCACTCCGCCAAAAGAGGGAGATCGAATGGCTGGCCGCTACAGAGCGAGATTGCTTACGACGAAAATGGCATGAAGATTGATTTGAGTGCGCGCCGCAACACGCCTACGCCTACGCCTGGTAAAGCGAAAAATCGCGCTGAGCCGGTGTTGAGGATTCGTCGCTCTAGGTTTATCGAGGGGAGTATGAATGATCGTGTTAGCGAGAAGCCGCCTAGTATTTACTTTCAGGAGGATCATCATCGCGCCCAAGGAAGTGAGGAGGCCACCCAGAGTTACTCGCAGGCGTCAACAGTGGATAAAAAACTGGAGAAACGATCGTCTGGGATCTTTCGTTTTGGCAAGGCTATTGCCTCTGCTTTCCACCCCTTTGGCGCATCAAAGGGAAGCAGCAAGGCGGAGCAAGACAGCGTCGCCAAATCGCAAAAGGAGATTATGAAGCAGCGGCAGCTCAAAGCGGAGAAGGCTTATGCTGAGTTGAAAAAGTCGGGATACAAAGGGACTGTCGTTAATCCTAACGTCAACTTCAGAAATCAAGTTGATGCGGGTATTGCCGATGAGACTTGGAAATCCATTCAGGAGAAAATGGGGTACAAACTGCCTGATGAAAGTCGCATTTCTCAGGATGATACTCTTGTCGGTGTAAGCGGTGACGGGCTTGGACCTATGTCTCCGGACAGAGGGGTGTCGAAGTTGAAGTCGTTTTCGGAGCTGCGAAAGCGGACTTCGAATCTCAGTATTCCGGCGCTACGGTTTCGTGATGTGTCTCCTATGAGCATGCGGTCGTCGATGGAGAGAGACGGCGAGCAGGATAATAGTCCGCATCGACCCATGGAAAGACGCCAGTCACGCAAAGAGCTACACAAACAAGCTAAGCTGTTGAAGCGGGTTAGCAATCTGGAAGACAAGCTGGAGCGCGCTCGACGAGAATTGAGAGAATACGGCCCTGGTAATGATAATGAAAGTCAGATGCCTATCCCGAAAATCTGTGTTGATGACGAGCATGACCGTCATTTTGCACCGGGTACTCTCCCAACGCTGCTTTCCGAGCGACTTCTCGAGGCAGGCTACGTTCAGGGAACGAGCCAAAGGACCGCAAAATGGCCACCGGTCGATAGTCTGTCGCGCAAACGCAAGTCACCTGTTCCTATGCCTGTCGATGTGGTGCATGATACCGATGTCGAAGAATACGACGCCGGCTGCGGGAAGCCTGATGATGATGATGATGCTGCTGCTGACAGCAGCAGCAGCAAACCACGACTACGCAACACACTCAAATCCGCACGCGACAAACGCGCTTCTAGTCTAACCACCAAAGCCAGCCAGCGGTTAAAAGCGAAGCAGTCTTCTCGGAATTTGCGTGCGGCAGCAAGCACAACTCCGACTAAAGAAGAGGGAAAGTGCTTACAAGAACAGGAAGGGAACAAGTCTACTACAACGACGCCCTCATCGACCTACAAAAGTCGGGGGTTGACTTACGGCAGTGATCATGAGAATATCCCGCCTGTGCCTCCTGTTCCAAAGGAGTTGCTGAGTGGCAAGTCTCCTTCTAAAGAGAAGAATGTACTTTCTACAATCAAGGCGAGAATCCCGTCAAAGGAGTTTTCATGGCCCGAGGATATATTTTGATTTTATCTTTCTGCTTACTGTTTCATGCCCATATGCAGTACTATTCATGTTTGGTTTGATGATCTTTCTTGCATTTACATGTCGAGTTAAGCGAGCGAGCGAATGATCTGTAAGTAACGATTGATGAGGCGTTTTTGGTTATCGGGAGTATCAGGTATACGAATCCATTCATTCATCTAAAAAATCGCCGTCGCATTCGGGTGTGATGACACGCCCCCTAACCATGGTCAGCCCAGCACAATCTAAACAGTCCAAAAAAGGTGGGAGGAAAGACAAACCAAAAATGATATCCGGCGCACTCGACAAAAAGAACGTCCACCTCTTCTGCCTTCTACAGACCTCTGCCACACCCTCCAAATCCCACATTTCGCCGAGCGGCATCCCCCACAGCGCGAGTACGTATTCATGCAACAACCACCCTCCCTTTCCGTCACCACTGGGCCCCGTTTCAAGGGATGGCCATCTCTCGAAACTAGGTGCGTCGCCCGCAACCGCCGAGAAGTAACTATCGTGCAACCACGTTAGAGTCAAGGGATCCTGGGCAAGACCCGCCCATTCCTGCGATCCTTCTGGTTTGATGTCTGACGGTTTCGGTTCAAAGACATGCACATGCCGTTTTGCGGCTGTTGCGCGCTGCTCGTCTGTCAGGTCGTTGTATCTGTCCACCCAGCCCGAGCGCACGAGCAGGATATCACCGATTTGGATGTCGCCTCCCTGACTTGCCGGTGCGATATTGATGCCCTGGAATTTTGCGCATTCGAGGAGATCGGCGAAGCTGATGGAGTGGCCTGTGTATGGGTCGTAGGATTTGCCGGGCGTGGATTGCGCGTACGTCCAGTAGTCGAGTAGGACGGCGCGGCCGGATATTCCGCCTGTTCTTTTCTCTTCGCCTTTAGGTGTTGGTTCTGTCGGCGAGGACCAGTAGTGGATACTGCATTTGAGGTTCTCGTTCGGATGCTGGGTTTGAGTCTGTTCTGGGTCGGGGAGGATATCCGTCGCTTTTGTCTGTCACATAATCAGTACCTCTGCCTCTCACTACCTCTATAGAGTAATGTGGCTGCGGGCTAGACGAACACCGTTATAAAACGACCCGCTCGCAAAATGCGAAAACTACACACCATACACTGTGATCAGCATCACACCTAGCAAAGCTCGAAGAGGAGGAGGGGGTACATGTCGAAACCCATCCCACTGACTCCCGCCCTGCGGATTCATATTGTCGAGAACATCGTCAAACGCGACGCCGCCGCCCAGATCCATGATGCGATGGGTCGCGGGCGTGCGACCGAAGCAGGGCGCTATGGGGACGTGTAGCGGTAGACTTATCAATTAGCGTCTGGTCATTTAAGATCATAAGAGAGGAGGGAGAGGAGGATACTCCAATCGAACCGTCTCGCCCGTGCGAATCTCCGTCTTTGCGGCATTGAAGACTCGTAATGGGGTTAGGAGGTTCAGTCTTCCTATCTACATCACCATCAACACTTGTTGTGCTTGTTAGGCAGTAAAATCACTACATACATAATCATCCTTCCCCCATACCCAAGCCGCATCTTTAGGCGCATCTGGATGATACGGTATGGCTTTCGGTAATTCGCTCCTCAAAGGGAAACTGTCGTTGTTCGGGTCCCAGGGTATGGAGTCTGGGTTCTGCACTTTTCTTTCTGGGGTAGCCATTTCGTCTTATCGTGATTGTGGGAATGAGTAATAATCCTATGATTTTCTGAGAGAAAAAAGGAAGTGTAAGTTAAGAAATTATATACAGGAGGAAAGTCGGTTATTCTTCTATATGCCTCGGTAGCTTGTATGTATGTAGTATGTACAAGACATCAGGATCCGACTCCGTCGGAGCGGAGAGCGATGACCCCTCAAATCTGGAATTGCAAGTTCATTTGCGCTTTTGTGGTCTGTGTGCATATTTCCCTGTGTTTGATCTTCAAGTCTTGCGTCGAAGGTGGTGGAGAAGTGCGGGGATATTGCATCCACATGCTCCGTACAGTAGATATGTCAGCACAGTAGATACCTTATATGTACAGTATATAAATGATACAGGTCAATTTTTATCAACTTTCTCTGTCCCACCACCCTCCGTATCAACCACCGCTTTTCCAGCAACAACCCCAACCCCCGTACTATCAGAACCAATCTCATCCACCAAATCCGCCATAACCGGCGGTCCCGTGAAATGTCTGCGCGCATACGCAAAGTACCAAATGACACTAATCGTCGCAAACCCCGCAAACACTACAGAGGCATAATTCATCGTCGAGGGCGTCACGGGTAGCGATACAGGCATGCAGAACAGCACAACGGCAAGGACAATCCAGACTATCGTGGTGATGTTAATGGCGTACCCGAATCGGCCGAGGGAGAAAGAGGAGTGCTTCACAGCTCGACGGCCGCGTAGCACGTTGATCAAAATGGGGACACCGTACGAAGTCGAAAGGCAGATTGTCGCCACGCCTGTAAAAGAGTTGAATGCCGCGCTGGAGCCGAAATAGATTAATCCCAGCAGACAGTCCACGACTGCACTCAGGATAATCGCATTTACAGGCACGTCAAGAGATTTGTTGACTTTTTGCCAAGCGCTGAACCCTGGGATTGCACCGTCGCGAGCAAATGCGTAGGTGCAGCGACTGGCTGCGGTGAGTGCACCGATGCCTGCAAAGAGCATGATTCCAAGAATCAAAAACAAAAGACCGAAGCCGCCTCCAGCAGAGCCCGTGACGGTCTTGAAGAGTAATCCGATGGGCTGGCCGTTGGCAACTGCGAGGAGGACATCGACAGGTGGTAGCGTGAACAAGATCGGGATCAAGTAGATCAGTCCTGTGACTCCAGCGGCCACGACGGACAGAACAATTGCTCGTGGCACTTCGAGATGAGGATTTTGCACTTCCTCGCACATGGCTGCCACCATGCCATATCCAGTCAGGGTGTAGGCTGCTTGTAGAAGACCGACGAAGAATGCCCATCCATTTGGCCTAATTTGTTAGCTGAAGTTATAACTACTTGAATGTTAGGGTTAGGGTTGGGTTAGGGGTGAGTACCATCCACTTGACGACGCATCGTAATGCCCAAACACAAACTCGCCCGATCGACGGTCATCAGCCATAGTCAAAAGTGTAACCAGAATAATCACCACACTGGACGCCGTCCAGTAAATGCACACTTTGTTTATCAAGTCTAAATACCTTGACGCAAATATGTTCACCAGCGCGCAGACCAGCATAACCGCCCAAAACATCAGAATCGTCTGATACTGCGTAGGCACATAGTCCTCATTCCACAGCGAAATGGCACTGAGAATAAGCTGGCCGCCCGAGAAATTGATACTCAGCGTCACGGTCCAATTGCCGACGAGCGTCAGCCAGCCGTCGATAAATGACATGATCGGTGCCCATTTCCGGGTCGAGAGCATTGCGCTCCAGTAGTAGACGCCGCCGGCTGTTGGGTATACGGCACAAATTTCGGCCAGGGAGGCAGCAATTGCGATTGAGATGAGAGTGACGAGCACCCAGCCCCAGATGATGGTGACGGATTGGCCGTCTACGAGGGTGATGTAAAGAGTGGTGCTGAGTCCGAAGGGGGCCGCCATGATTGCGAATGACCTGTTACGTTAGATTTGTTCCACCTTTCTGACTGGGGAAAACTTACAAGCCAAGAACACTCAGCATGCTCAGGTTTCGTGGCAGTTCATTCTTGTATCCCATGCGCTCGAGAGCGGCATCGGCGCTGTTTGCCTGGGATGCCATCTTTTCCTACAACTTCTAAGACATCTACCGACGCAATTGAAGCAATTGAGAGAAATGTAAAGGGAAGAAGAACGAGGAGAGGAGAATAAGAGAATAAGGTAATAGCTCACATGACCAGACCCGGTTCTTATAATCTGGAGCAGGGTCCGGTCTCTCCACCGATAAAGTTCAGTTCCGGCGATCCTCTGATAAGCACGACCAGGGCACAATCCTTTACTCGTTTTACGTAGCACGAATAGTAAAACCTTTCGGTCGTTGGCATGCGACGTTAATATCGACGTGAACTCAGACCACAGGCTAGACTCGAAGTGGTACCTTTATTCCGTGCTGTTACTGAATTCAGTGTCTGCCAAGCAGCGTCCCGCATAGGTCTCTTTTCTCTATTTCGAGGATCTTACTACGTAGTACTATGCATGGCGAGGATTGCAAGGTACGTAGAGATATTCTATGCTTCTTCCATGCATCATGATCTCATAGCGCTAATCTCACTATGTTTGTCGCCCTAGGTAATTCAGTCCTCGATGTGGCCCAGCTGGTGTATCTACATTGACTCTCAAGCTGTAGCAGAAAACATCAGTTCATGAGTTTAGCGAGCATCGTGTATGAGATAAACTATACAGCTACCTGTTCGAGTAAGAAGAGAGAGAGGAAGATGTTGGCGGAAGTCCCCCCGAAGGGGAAGGTACAGCCTAGGAATTACGTTGATCCGAGTCGAGGACAACTCGCTCGGACAGGCTCTAATACGTATGTGCTATGTACATCTTTAGCACTACTCAACATAGCATCTATCGACAGTCATTTCATCTAGCCTCAATGTAATTAAGCAAGTCATATTGTCTTGGTAAATTAATGAATTATTTGCCTCAGATCAACCAACGAATCAGAATCAGATCGGCTGTGTTGGCTGGCCGCTCTCGTCCAGCCCAAAGCGGAATAGCGCGTGCTCAAGGCAGTCCTTCGCGCGTTGCTCTCATCCTACTCTCTTACTAATACGTACTAGCAGATGGAGTCCCGTGATCTGGCCAATCGAAGATTGCAGTGCTTTCACTCTCCTCCAGGACGGACCAGGCTCAACTTCAACGCCACAGCTCCCTCACATCTGATGCACCATTCGCTGACCTCTTCGGTCCCGAGAATTGCCAGATACTAGTAGTGCTACTTTCACGGAGAACTAAGTGGTAACTCACCGTACACTTACAGTCTGTTCCTCCACCCGACATCTCGACTCGACTCCTTTCTACCAACAATACGCCGGACAACATCTTACCGGCGGATCCACTACGTATTACACTCGCCCTTCCAACTAGCCCTTCAACTAACGTGCTCCATCGGCCGACCACCGCTGCAAATCTCATACATTACGTTTTCACCCTCACGTCCAATCAGCCGCCTGCAGACTACTTCCGCTGCATCATTTTGCTGGTCCAGGAGGGGGGCTTCATGTTATCGCTACCTACTCTTTGTTAAGCATTTGGTGACACTCGACGCAACGACTACGACGACCCAGTTCGAACTATCGCTGTTGCGTAAATCCTTATCCGCAGTTCAGCCTTCCACCGTACAATCCCCAACCGCTGGGGGGTATACACTCATCGCCGTCGACAGCGGTCACCACGCCGACGGCAGCGCATTACATCTACAGAGGAAGACTAAAGCCGAGTTTGGAAAATGACGACTGCGCTGGACCAGAAAGCGCCTGCGCCGGCGCTGGAATCGTTCCATCCCGTCGAGACCAATGCCGCTTCTATTACACCTCCAAACAGCGCCGACGGCAAGAAAAATGTGTCTGAAGGAGTGCCCTCCGAATTGTCCGACCTCGACTTGGATCAACATGCGGAGGCGCCATCTGTGGAGGCCGTTGAGGAGGATATCGAGCCCGATCACTACTACGAAGGAGGACGGATACCCGTTTTCAAGCCGGTGAGTTACACGGTAAAAGTAATTGAATCGTTACTGATCGCTGCAAGACCATGGACCAATTCCGCGACTTTCAAGCTTTCATTCAAAAGATTGACAAATACGGCATGAAGTCCGGCATCGTCAAAGTCATTCCGCCACAAGAATGGTATGTTCTGTTATTGTGCGCTGCTGTTCAAACCTGACATCATTTAGGAGAGACTCTCTTCCCGCACTCGACGAAGCGGTCAAAAGCATTCGAGTCAAAAATCCCATCATGCAGGAATTTCACGGCGCTCACGGAACTTATACTCAAGCCAACATCGAAAAGCAGCGATCATACAATCTTCCACAGTGGAAATCCCTGTGCGACGACGGAAGCCACCAACCTCCTGCCAGGCGAGGCGAGCGCCGCCGAAATCAAGAGAAAGCCCGTGCTCCTGCTGTCAAGACTCACACCCCGACTGTCAGATCTGGCTCGCAGAAGCGCGGCCCAGGTCGTCCGCCAAAGCGAACGAGAGAAGTCAAAATTAAAGAAGAGTCACCCGTTGATGATCGCTCTGAAAAGTCACGTTTGGAAGGACCGCCAACACCAGTTTCCCCCGAATCGAACCCAGTTGAAGCAAAGACCGAAGACCTCAGCGATGGAGAGGATCTCCCGCCTGCAAAACGTAAAGGCCGACAGCCAAAGTCGGTGTCTGCGCGAAGAAAGCACAATCGCGGCGATGCACCCGACCAGGTGGACGAAGAAGCGTTCAAAGATTTCGACTACCGCATTCACGATAACGACGAATATACCGCCGAACGATGCGACGAGCTGGAGACCGCATACTGGAAATCGCTCATGTTCAACAATCCCATGTACGGAGCGGATATGCCTGGTTCACTCTTTGACGATTCGACCACTTCATGGAACGTGGCAAAGCTTCCCAATCTGCTCGATGTTATAGGACAAAAAGTCCCTGGTGTCAACACTGCTTATTTATACCTCGGCATGTGGAAAGCGACATTTGCCTGGCATTTGGAAGATGTGGACCTGTACAGCATCAACTATATTCATTTTGGTGCTCCAAAACAATGGTACAGCATCTCTCAAGAGGATGCACCTCGCTTCGAAGCAGCCATGAAAAGCTTCTGGCCAAGCGATGCAAAGAACTGTGACCAGTTCCTCCGTCACAAGACGTACTTGGTTTCTCCCAGTATCTTGAAGTCGCGGTTCGGCATCACAGTGAACAAAGTCGTCCACTACGAAGGCGAGTTTATGATCACGTATCCATATGGCTATCACTCTGGATTCAACCTAGGATACAACTGCGCTGAATCGGTCAACTTTGCCACCGAGCAATGGCTGAACTATGGTCGCGTCGCCAAAAAGTGTAATTGCGAGTCCGACAGCGTTTGGATCGACATTGGTGATATCGAGCGAAAATTGCGAGGCGAGCCCACGCCAGAGTACTATGATGAAGAAGATCTTGATAGTGATTTGAGTGATGAGGACGGTGCATCTGACCTGCTCACTCCTCCTAGTAGCGTGCCTGAGAAATCAACTCGCGGTAGAAAGCGCAAGATTGAGGGCGATGAGCCCCGCTCGAAGCGCGCTCGTATGCAGAATCATGCCATTCGCAAGATCCCTTGTGTTCTATGTCCGAATGACATGGACTATGAAGATCTGCTTCCAACAGAGGACGGCAAATTCCATGCACACCGTCGTTGTGCGACGTACATTGAAGAGACCTCTATCCTCCGCGATGATTCTGGACGGGAAGTTGTCTGCGATATTGACAAGATCCCCAAAGCACGCATGGGTCTGAAGTGTCTATTCTGCCGCGAAGTGCGGGGAGCCTGCTTTCAGTGCAATTTCGGGAAATGTACGCGGGCGTACCACCCCACTTGCGCTCTTCTGGCTGGAGTGCAGGTCGAGTTTGGTTCGATTCTGGTGATTGCAGATAGTGGCCAGCAGTACTATGTACCTAGCGTTGACCTGAAATGTAAATATCATCGACAGAAGCGACTCGGCTCGTCGGAGACATCTGATGAAGACCGCAGGGKGGTTCAGGCAGCCAGTCGGCTGTCGATGGGCGATCTGCTGCAGTTCCAGGCCGACAAGGAAATCAACGGAGCCGTTGTGCTGGAAAACCGGCCGATTGAGCGGATGCTGAAGCTCAAGGTGCTGCCCCGCGGCGACATGATTGAGTTGCCATACCGGTGGATTCTGGTCGTGCGCAAGACCAATTTCGCACCACTTCCACCAGGGACACAGCCGCTGCCTGCTCATCTGGTGCGAAAGGCCGAAACACACCGCGACCTGTCCACCACGGTGCCTCAACCGGGGACGCCGTTCCACGATGCCAACGCACCATTCCAGTGGGCGGAGTTCGAGATGGCACCGCTCCCAGCAGAGGCGATTCGCGTGCACGTCGACATTGCTAGCGACAAGCCGGAGCAAATCTGGTATTATCTGGGCGAGACGTCGACAGAATGCAGAGCGCAGTTTACACACAACCCTAGTGTAACGGTCCACAACGCGCGGTCGAATTTCCTAGAGATGGTGAAGTCAGCTAGCGCGTTGTCCGCGGGCCGATTTCGCCTGCCTAGTGGTAGTGCTGTTGGTGTCGGAAGGAGAACCCCCCACCACCTCTCTGCCCCTCCAAACACAACGCTTCCCAGTTCTTCTTCGTCATTGCAGCGCCGCTCCCCAAACACTGCAATGACTCCTGCCTACCGACACCTTCCACCCCATCATCATCTCTCTCACTTCCACAATGCTGCTGCCAATACCAATTCCTCTGCTCACTTCTACGCCGCTAATGCTGTCCGCCCTAACCCCTACGCCGCCTTCCCGAAATCTCAGCCCGATCCGCCTTCGAATACTTTTGCCAATGTGCGGGAGTTGATCGCTCGTCGCCGCCTGGCGCAAATGACCGACCATGCCAATGTCCTCGCCGGGTACAAAATCGTCAGCTCCGAGCTGGTCGTCGAGACACTCCTCGGGCCTATGGGCTCTGTGCCGCCCGATAATGGCATGGAAAAATTGGAATTGGCCATGGCCCAGCAACGTGTCCAGCCTAGAGCCTTGGACGGCACCTTGCTGCCCCTCCAACCACTCAACATGCGATCGGAAGAAGTCACAACACTGCTTCGGATGCTGCGGTTTTCCGTTGTTACTTATCGCGACCGTCTCGATGTAATTGTCAAAAAGGAGCCCGATTATATAAAACAAGAGCCATTCGATCGGCCCAACTACGGTCGGGTGGCTGGGAGGTTCGCGTACCTGGAACAACAAGCCGCCCAAACACCCGCTGTTTACAAATCACCATACGAGTCGCCCTTTGGCGTAGCCGAATGGGCCAAGAAGGAATATAATCTTGTGGAAGAGGAACCTTTTTCGAAACCGTCGCTGGCCAATGACTACTTCGCGTCGCTGTCGGCTGCCGACCAGGAAAAAATCGTCAAGGCCTGTGGTAGCTGGGTACAAGAACGGATCGTCGAAAGAGCCCCAAGTCACAGTCGACAGAGTTCAACGTCGAATTTTCGCTTGTCGACGGCGCTCGCCCAACAAAATAACAACAATAATAATAACCCGACCATCGACATTACCGCAGTTGATGATATTCCGATGACTGGGATGGATCGGATGGATCGATTAGATCGATTAGATTTTCCATTACATGCAGACTCGCCGAGATCCAGTTTCAGTCGGCCTCATCTGGTCGGGTTTCCATCACCGCACGACTTCACCAGCCATGGTGACCATGATTCATCTATAGTTCCTCGACATCTGTCGGACCATCACGATCTCTTTGGGGACCAGCAAGCCAATACTCGGTTCTGGCAACATGGCCCGTGGGGTCCAGGTGGTGATGGGACGACGCCTATAGAAGAGAATCGGCCGTTCTTTGGGCCTCATGAGCGATTGAAACACGACTACGCTTCGTCTGAACTTTCTATGGGTCGCGGACCGGGTTCCTTGCATTCTGTTGATATGGCTGGATTTGGGATGGACACGACAGAGGATCTGGGTGAAGTCCTCAGTCCTTGACCTACGACCTTGACTATCACTACCTGACCTGACTTCCTCCTGCTCGATCTATGACATTGCCTCTGCCTCAAACCTTCGACGTAAAATTACACATACTTCCGGCACCTACCATCCCATCTGTCACTACGATTTCCCCTACTGTGACTTGTATCCGAATGATGACTGCATGATCTGGGCGTTTATTTTCGTTTCCCGTTATATTATCATTGTTATACCTTTATACTTATGATGTTTGATGACCCCTCATCCCCGACTCGAATGAAAAGTTCGATCGCCTTGTTTACTTTACCCTGTCAAATGTCTCTTTACTTTTTTTGTTCTCGTTTTTGTTTTTGCCGCTGTCAACTACGACAGGCAAATTGTTCTATAGATAGTGTACCGTTACGCGGCATTGCTGTTTGCTTTGCTAATGGATGGATCCGAAGGACGAGAAAAAATTTTCACTCCCGTTTCACTTTCAACCCTCAACACAAATACGACGCAACATCTGATGATGCTCCCGCCCCGATCCCATCCCCCTTTCTCTTTTGATGATCCATTTTGTCCACAGCCGCTCGATTGATATTTTTTTGTTACATAAAAAGAGAGAATCGAATGACACGGTACAGGTGTGGCCTACTTTCGCCCACCTTTTTTTTATCAACATAGAAGTACCCATCGATTTATCACATGCTTTGTAAATAATTATTTTGAATAGATTTGACTCATTCCTCATGCTTGGTATTCCACCGACACAGTACGTCGTCGTATGTAATGTACCCAGTGCCCAGTATAGATATTCAGGCATCAATCTCAGCGAGGTATCCATTTAAGGCCGCGACGTCGCATCCAACATCCAAAAATATTAATAACTTATTATAGAGGTAACTATGGGACAAATTATACTTCATCCAGTTTAAATTATTTTTTATTAGGTGCTTTAGGCCAAGTCTCAGCATTTAACCTTACCTAGGTACTAGTAGTTCTTGGAAGGTTGGAAGTCAACCGGTCCGGTCCTTCACCGTTTACTACGTCTGGTACTACATACTAACTAGTCTCCGGTTTCCGGCTCGGTTAGTGTCCATGGTGGACGTCGACCCGGTTACGTACCAGAAGCCCTAAAGGAGTACTCCTTCTCGTCTGTTCAATTATTGCCACTGTCTTATATAAACTTTTTGGAAGGGCTGGATTGTGCGTTGGTTGGTTGTTGGGGTTTGCGGGGGATTTTCATTCTGCACACAGGGAACTAGGTGTGGGAGATTACTTATTACGTACAAAGTTGAGGGAAATTGTGTGTAGGATTTGGGTTTGTGGTTGAGCTGTCTTTGACATTCAAGAGCTTTTAACGTGGGGTTTGATGGGATATACACAAGTAATTCTATATCAGAGCAAAATTGCAGGATAGGATTAAGAGAAGACTATTACCGGTGAACAATATACCTCGTGGAAAAAACTCCCGGTGTGCGTTTGTAGATCTCCAAGAAAATTTACCTCAAAAGTCAGAGGAATAACCTTGGTATGGACCCTTCCGCCTTCCTGATTGGGATGCCTAGCCCACGTCTCTCGTATTCAGCTATGCTCCAGTCCAGTCCGGGGTATGTACCCTCCTTCGATGTGGAGCCTGGAAGTAGGAGTATATAAACTGCTGTTCCCTAGTTTTTTTTTTTCGATAATCTAGATGAGATGAGCAGAGCTTTACATACCTAGGTATATTCTGCGTGATTATCATCATGGCATCCCCGGACATTCACACCATGGAGCCCAAACCCTCCCACACCTCCAACATAATGCCCGAAAAACACAACACCGTCCGCGCCCTCGTCGAAGCGGACCTGCTGGATGAACGCTACACGCAAACCTCGCGCGGCCTGCGCAGCCGTCACGTGCAGTAAGCCTCCATAAATCGATAGTGTTTTTGGCTTCCTTCACTAATATGGATTGATATGAAACAGGATGATGGCCTTAGGCGGGACTATTGGCACCGGTTTGTTTGTCGGATCCGGTCAATCGCTCGCAATCGGCGGCCCTGCTTCGTTGTTGCTGGGATACTTATTCATATCCGTGCTGGTGTACTGCCTCGTCACCGCCATAGCCGAGATAGGCGCCTACATGCCCGTTCACGGTGGCACGATGAGTTACCACGGTTTCCGGTATGTTAGCCGCAGTCTGGGATTTGCGATGGGGTATCTGTATTGGTACTCAATCGGTATTCTGGTCCCCTACGAGATCACGGCTGCGTCGCTGGTAATCAACTACTGGCATCCCGGTGTGAATGTCGCGGTCTGGATAACGGTCATGTTGGTCGTCATTGTTGCGCTCAATTTCTTGCCGGTTAAGTTTTATGGTGAATCCGAGTTTTGGTTTGCAAGTATCAAGATCCTCACGCTTGTCGGGTTGTTGATGCTCAGTTTTATACTTTTCTGGGGAGGCGGGCCGGATCGCCAGCGGCTTGGGKTTCATTATTGGATGGATCCAGGGTCGTTTAATGCGTATATTGTTCCTGGCGGCGCGGGCCGCTTTGTGGGATTCTTGCAGTGCATTGTTTCGAGTGCAATTGCGTTTATTTTTGCGCCTGAGTTGATCATTATATCCGGTGGGGAGATGGAGTCGCCCAGACGGAATGTGCCGCGTGCTGCGAGGCGGTACATCTATCGATTGGTGTTTTTCTATATTCTTGCCGTTTTGGCTATTGGGGTCATCTGTCCGTCGAACGATAGTCGGTTGACCAATGGTGGTGCTGGCGCTGGCTCATCTCCGTTTGTTGTTGGCATCAAAAACGCGGGGATTCCGATCTTAGATAGTCTCGTCAATGCTGCAGTCCTGACATCGGCCTGGTCCTCTGGCAATTCGTTCTTGTACATGTCTTCCAGATCACTGTACGGACTGGCCATGTCCGGCAATGCACCTAGCGTCATGAAGACCTGTAACCGATGGGGCGTCCCCTGGATTGCAGTGTCGTGTTCCGCAATTTTCTCGCTGCTTGCGTACCTGTCCGTCGGCACATCCAGCTCCGTTGTGTTCAATTGGTTCATCAACTTCACCAACACCTCCGGCTTCATTTCCTGGATATGCTGCTGCATCGTCTACTTCCGATTCCGCAAAGCCGCCGAACTACAGGGCGTTGAGCGCCCGTACAAATCCCGCCTGCAACCATATGGCGCATACGTGGCGATTGTCGGATGCGTGTTCCTGACTCTGATCAATGGGTTTACTGTATTCTTCCCGTCCAAGTGGTCTATCAGTAGTTTCTTCACTGCTTATATCGGTATCCCTGCTTTTTTGCTGCTTTATTTTGGCCACCGTGCGGTGTTTTGGAGGGATCCGTGGGCATGGAGGCCAGAGGAGGTGGATTTGCAGACTGGATTGGATGAGATTCTTGCGGCGGAACGGCCTCCTCCGGTGCGGGACACATGGTGGAAGAAGCTGATGGTTGTGATTGACTAGTTCATTGTACCGGGATACGTAGCGATTTTCCAGTTGTAATTAGCAGATCAATTGTATAAGATAGAGAAGTGTCGAGTAAGATGCTGTTGTTGATCCCATGAGGCGCTCGGTGTAGATTGTGATGTCATACTAAGTGGAGCTATCATGTCACCCCAGACGGGCTGGTCCATCCGCCGTTCTTGCTTTTCGTCTGTTCCTGTTCTCAACCAAAAACACTTCAATCTGTCAATTCAATCGAATAGATCCTGTGTTGTCGTCTCCGGTTCAATTTCTATCTAATTGTCATCATATTTACAGTACACAGCCATGGCAGCTCTCACAGAGCAGCCCGATGGCACTGGTGTGTGCCCCGCTGCTCCTTTATCTGCTACGTCTAGCCAAGCTGTAGCTAACAGTTACAGGTGTCCTCAAACTCGACCCCTGGCTTGAACCGTTCCAAGACGCCCTCAAGACTCGATTTGCTTACGCCCAGGATTGGATCAAGAAGATCAATGATACTGAAGGTGGTCTCGAAAAGTTCAGCAGGGTTCGTGCATATCTTTGACATGGATGATAGACATACTGAGTGGATATAGGGATACGAGAAATTCGGATTCAACATCAAAGAAAACGGCGATATTGTCTACCGAGAATGGGCACCCAGTGCAGTCGAAGCCTACCTTATCGGCGATTTCAGTAAGCGACTTATATCTATATCTGCGATTGAAGCTAAGAAACAGACAATTGGGACAGAAAAGCGCACCCCTTGAAGGTGAATGATTTCGGTGTCTGGGAACTCACCCTCCCCGCCAAAGATGGAGTCCCAGCGATACCGCATGAAAGCAAAGTCAAGGTGCCCACGCTCAGATCCTCGCTCTCGTCGTACCCCATTGACTGAGCCGCCAGATTACCATGGTCACCCGCGCCGGTGAAGTCATCGACAGAATTCCCGCGTGGATTAGACGCGTGACACAAGACCTTGACGTTTCCCCCGTTTACGATGCCGTGTTTTGGAATCCACCCGCAGACAAGAGATACAGCTTCAAGCATGATCGGCCGAAGAAACCTGCCAGTCTCCGAATTTACGAAGCGCACGTCGGTATTTCTTCACCGGAGACAAAGGTTGCGACGTACAAGAACTTTACGTCAAACATGTTGCCTCGGATCAAGTACCTGGGGTATAATGCCATTCAATTGATGGCGATAATGGAGCATGCCTACTATGCTAGTTTCGGTTATCAAGTTAACAATTTCTTTGCGGCAAGTAGCCGTTACGGACCTCCCGAGGATCTGAAGGAACTGATTGATACTGCGCATAGCATGGGAATCGTGGTGTTGCTTGATGTTGTGCACAGCCATGCATCCAAGAATGTGCTAGATGGTTTGAATATGTTTGACGGCAGCGATCATCTCTACTTCCATGCTGGTCCTAAGGGTCAGCATGAGCTTTGGGATAGTCGGTTGTTCAACTATGGTAGCCACGAAGTTCTGCGCTTTCTGCTCAGCAATCTTCGCTTCTGGATGGAGGAGTACAAGTTTGATGGATTCAGATTTGATGGTGTTACTAGCATGCTATATACACATCATGGTATCGGAACGTATGTATCTCCAGCCTCAATTATGCATGATACTTATTCTTGATAGAGGATTCTCCGGTGGATATCACGAGTACTTTGGTCCCGCTGTCGACTCTGACAGCGTTATGTACCTGCAAATCGCCAACGAGATGCTCCATGAGTTATACCCGGATACTATCACCGTCGCTGAGGATGTATCAGGCATGCCGGCCTTGTGTCTGCCTTTATCTCTGGGCGGAGTTGGCTTCGACTACCGTCTTGCTATGGCGGTGCCAGATTTGTATATCAAATGGCTCAAAGAAAAACAAGACGACGAATGGGATATGGGCAAGTTAGTGTTTACTCTGACCGACCGACGACACGGCGAAAAGACTATTGCGTATGCAGAGAGTCACGACCAAGCGTAAGCATTCGTTTCTTGTTGTACATTGTTGCATGCTCACTGCTAACTATACAGTCTTGTCGGCGACAAAACTTTGATGATGTGGCTGTGTGACAAGGAAATGTACACCAACATGTCAGTCCTGAGCGAGTTGACTCCCGTCATTGACCGCGGCATGTCCCTTCACAAGATGATTCGACTAGTTACACACGGCTTGGGTGGCGAGGGGTGGCTCAACTTTGAAGGCAACGAATTTGGTCATCCTGAGTGGCTCGACTTTCCCCGTGCTGGAAATAACAACTCCTTTTGGTACGCACGTCGTCAGTTGAATTTGACCGACGACCATCTACTCCGCTACCGATTCCTGAACGACTTTGATCGTGCCATGCAAGTAACCGAGGAGAAATACGGCTGGTTACACGCGCCACAAGCATACGTCAGCCTGAAGAACGAGAGCGACAAGGTGATTGTCTTTGAGCGTGCAGGACTGTTATGGGTATTCAACTTCCATCCTACCCAAAGCTTCGCCGATTACCGCGTCGGCGTCGAGCAGGAAGGCACATATCGCATTATTCTAGACACGGACGACGTTGATTTTGGCGGACACGGCCGTAATCAAAAGGAGACTCGATTTTTTACCACCGATTTCCCATGGAACGATCGCAAGAACTTTTTGCAGGTTTATATTCCGGCCAGGACTGCTTTGGTAATTGCCCACTGTCCGTGTCCGTAGAGTCGTGATTATTCTAACGTTGAGCAGGTCTTTGCTCTCGAGAGCACTCTTTAATCGGGCTTTGTCTCAACGTGAGGCGGTCGCATTCTTCGTCATATTATCTGGTTTCGTTTTCATCGTACATTAATCAATATACCCATACTGGTAAATGTTGCAGCACACGCACGATACACGATTTAATAGTAGTAAGCAATTAAATTGAAATTGTACATCTAGTCTGTATAAATAATTTACGTCGACGTATTGTATAGTAGGGAAAATATATACGTATCAGCAATTCCACATGCAAGAAACTCGTGGACTCCCCTTTATCGCTCTGCTAGCAACCACAACAATTTCTCCGCGAAAGAGGAGGTATGGATGATAGTAAGTAAAAATTCATGAATACATAAACATAAGGACCCCAGTGTGCATGGTCAAGCAGTTAATGGATGGCGGAGAGAAAAGCGGCCCATATCTTCAAGCCGCAAGGCGGATCGAACACGAGTCCTGGGTAAAACTCATTGCACTATCTTGGGTATCGAGGTCCTCATTTTCCCGCTCGGTTATCCATCCTGCCGCATACTGCTAAGGAATAAGACGGCGGGGGAGTGGGACGATTCCTGTTTATTGTAGACTACATGTACCTTTAGTATGCAAAAATACCTGCGGTAGTGGATCTCCATTTGACCGAAGGACGTCATTTGCTGCTCTTTCTCGTTTGATTCTATACCCAATACCTAAGTACGAGAAGAGCCTGGGGCTATCATCCTCGGGTTTTGTTTATATACGTAGCATGCGATATGCGCGGCTGATTTCCCCGGACACGCTTTGACTTATTAACAGTGTCATCGTCAATATTCTATATAATATCTTCATCTATATCAGTTCGTTCTCTTGCTCGTTCATCCGTTGCGGGATACCTACTTTTTTCACATTTCACTTACCCATGCAACTCACGGCTATACGACTTGTCTAAATACAGAATTGGAGAGCTCTGCAAGATAACACATTACCACTCCAACTCGCGCTAAAATATCCTTGCGACAAAGCTAGTCCCTCTATGCGATATTCGCAGCTAGCAGAAGCTTCCGTTGGACCGCAACTGCCAACAGCATCTATCTCTTCGAAATCTTAGACATTTGCTCCGTTCGCCCTACGACAGTCCGATTACGGTGGACGCTAAGTGGTAGTCTAGACTTATACCGAATTACTTGCTAGAGACTTGTCATTACTTGAGTGTACCGGTTGTTCCGTTCCCCCGGATTGCGAGACAGCTCCCCTCACTAACTAGTATCCTATCCCCCGCGCACGACGCAACAGCGCTGGAAGCTGTCCTATCCACTCTCGGTTGATTGAGCCGATTAATTTCGAGTGAGTATATCTTTCCTCTGTCGCTATTTGTTTTTCATTCTTGCAGAATCTTCTTCTTGTCTACTGTTGTGACTGCTGTGTCTGCCTATATCACATGCCAATATACATCCCGTGATAACATCCCAACTCCTGTTCGAACTTTGCGTACATTTTGATATCAGTCATCAGGCTATGCCGTACTACTGTCTCCAAGATTGCCATTATTTCTACCGTAGCGCATTGCGTCTTCTCTCCGTTCCGACTTTCCTCGCCTCTTTATACGCTTGATTTGAGAACAACAAAATGGCTTACTCACGTCTTGCAGTCAAAGTGTTCAACATGACTTCCTCCGGAAGCGAGGCAATCTTGCCTTCTACCATGAACCTATCAGGCGATCAAACCGAGGCCTCCAATCCATTGCGTGACGCCGACGTTCCATCGTCAACGTCAACGCCAACACCGACAAAGAAGGGAGTCACGTTTGCAAATCAGGACTCGTTGCCAAAGCTACCTATTCCAGATTTGGAGAGTACGTGTCGGAAGTACCTGGAGTCCTTGGCGCCGCTGCAGAGTCCCAGAGAGCATGAAGACACCAAAGCAGCGGTGCATGAATTTCTGAAGACGGATGGACCGGAGTTGCAGGAGAGGTTGAAGAAGTATGCTTCTTCAAAGACGAGTTATATCGAGCAGTTTTGTACGTGTGTTCGTTTCTGAGTATGGCTATGTGGCTGACTGTTTAGGGTACGATTCGTATTTGAATTTCGACAATTGTAAGTTATTCCAAGCCATTTGATAGCCAATACTGACTGATTAGCTGTCGTTTTGAATCTGAATCCCTTCTTCTTGCTGGAAGACGACCCGACGCCCGCCAGAAACAATCAGGTCACTCGCGCTGCCTCTCTTGTATCCTCGGCTCTATCATTTGTTCGCGCAGTCCGTCGCGAGGAACTCCCCCCTGACAAAGTCAAGTCCACACCCTTGTGCATGTATCAGTACTCAAGATTATTCGGCACGGCACGCGTGCCCACCGAGAACGGCTGTATCATCGGCCAAAATTCAACCGCCAAACATATTGTAGTCCTCTGCCGCGGCCAATTCTACTGGTTCGACGTCCTTGACGACAACAGCGATCTCATCATGAGCGAGAAGGACATCACAATCAATCTGCAGGTCATTCTTGATGATGCACAGCAGACCCCTATCCAAGAAGCAGCCAAGGAGGCACTAGGTATCCTGAGTACGGAGAATCGTAAAGTGTGGTCTGGATTGAGAGATTTGCTCACCAAAGATCCCGGATCGAATAACGCTGAATGCCTGCATATCGTTGACAGCGCCATATTTGTGCTTTGTTTGGATCATATGGAACCAACGAGCACCACCGATCTATGTGGAAATATGCTATGCGGCACGAGTGAGATAGTTCGCGGCGTCCAGATTGGAACATGCATCAACCGGTGGTACGATAAGCTGCAAATTATTGTCTGTCAAAACGGTAGCGCAGGTATCAATTTTGAGCATACTGGTGTCGATGGTCATACTGTTTTACGATTCGCCAGTGACGTCTACACGGACACGATTCTGCGATATGCAAAGACAATCAATGGCCAAGCTCCTTCGCTATGGGCGTCCAACAGCCCTGACCCGGCGAAACGAGATCCCCGTAGTTTTGGCAATGTGAGCACAACACCTCGCAAGCTTCAATGGGACATGATCCCGGAACTGAGCATTGCGCTTCGTTTCGCCGAGTCGCATTTAGCCGATCTCTTACATCAACATGAATTCCAGGTGCTTGATTTTTCGGGCTATGGGAAGAATTTCATCACGTCGGCTGGCTTCTCGCCAGATGCGTTTGTGCAAATGGCGTTCCAAGCTGCTTACTATGGTCTGTATGGTCGAGTCGAGAATACATATGAACCAGCTATGACCAAGATGTTTTTGCACGGTCGGACGGAAGCCATCAGACCCGTTACTAACGAGTCAATTGACTTTGTCAAGACGTTCTGGGGCGACAATCCGCCCGAAGCCAAAGTTGCTGCACTGAAAAAAGCGACAGAAAAACATACCGCAATCACCAAGGAATGCGCAAAGGCGCAGGGACAGGACCGGCATTTGTACGCCCTGTTTTGTGTATGGCAGCGATCACTCGATGGTGTGTCGTCAGTTGACGAGTCAGTTTCTGTAGACGATAGGGCATCAGATGAGAATGGAGGATATGCCAGCAGCGGCAGCAGCGGAAGTTTCAGCAGCGGTAGAAGCAACAGCACAAGTAGTTTCCGTACTCGACCGTCACCACCACCCMCCGTMCCCGCCATTTTCAACGACGCTGGCTGGGACAAGACCAACAACACAATCTTGTCCACATCAAACTGCGGCAACCCAGCTCTGCGTCATTTCGGGTTTGGTCCTACTTCCGGTGACGGGTTCGGAATCGGATATATCATCAAAGACGACTCGATATCGATATGTGCGTCGTCCAAACATAGGCAAACGTCTCGATTGATGGATACGTTGGAGTCGTATTTGCTTGAGATTCGCAAGTTGATTCGAGCTACGAGTCGTAAGACGACGAGTCCGCGGACGAGCCGGGCGAGGGAGATGGAGATTTTGTCGGAGAGATTGGAGAATAGGCGTGGCCGGTTGATACGGCAGGATACCAGTCATGGACGGGGTGGCACGGAGACGCCGACTACGGATAGCGGGGATGTGGAGGATGACGGGATGGGAGGATGTACGTTCCCCCCCTTTTACTACATCAGACCGAACGAGTGACTGACTGACTGACTGACTGCTACAGATGGGTTCTTCGATGCGGGAATGCTGTTACATGCGCTCAAAGGTGTGCAGGGGGACCGGCAGCGGGTTGGAGGCGAAAAGGTTGAGAGGAGAAGACCGGTTGGGAAGAAGTTGCAGTTGGCTGAGTATTAGCTGTTATGTCATTGAAGCTTGATATCCATAGTCACATAATGTCATTCATCATTGATTATCAATACATCCGTCCCCGCATACCATGCAAATATAAGCAAGAAAGAATATATATACAACATCGAAAAAAAGAATTATGAAGCAGGACTAGGAGGCACATTCCCCCTCGCCCACTGCACTGGCTCACTCCCCAACTCAAACTCAATCGTGCCCCCCTGAGCAAACACATCTTCCCAGGTCAACCAACCCTTCTCCCACGCCTGCCCATTCACTTTCACCTGCTGCACAAAGTAGTCCTCATCACCATTATTATCACCCCCGGTCGCCGTAATGTTTAGCTTCTTTCCGCCTCCCAGATCAATACACAACTCCTCAAACCAAGGCGAATGAATGAGAAACGTCGTCTGGCCCGTAATCGGATAGAGACCAATCATATTCCATAACAACCAGGTCTGCATTGCGCCAGCGTCGCTATTCCCCGGAAGACCCGTGACGCCGGTGTTGTAGTACGTCTTTGCGATGTTGCGGGCATGCAGGACTGAGAGCTCGGGCCGGTTTATGTAGTTGTATAGGTAGGGGGTTGTGAACATTCTGTAATTCTCATCAGCCAGTTCTTACACGGAGTAGATAGAAGGGGGAAAAAGAGTCGTACGGTTCATTTGTAGGATCGAAAATATATGACCCACTCGATCCATCCGCGCCTTCTTCGAAGGTGGTATTGAGTCTCGCTTCGAATGATTGTTCTCCGCCCATCAACTTAATCATGTGCGCCGCATCATGCACATCCATGAACGAGTATGCCCACGCACTCGCTTCGTAGCATGCATCATGCCAATATCCCGAAGACAGGATATCAATACTCTGAAACCCCTTCGTCGCGTCACGGGGAACTACAAAGCCTTCGAACCCTAACGAGGTGGCGTCTGGATTCCAATGATTGCGCCAGTTGCGTGATCGATTCATATATTTCGCTGCATCTTCGGGTATCTCTAAGCCCGAAGCGACCTGATATAGACTGAAATCGTTGTATGCGTACTCTACCGMCCGCGAAACAGCGCGCGTATATTTAGGCGTTATGAAGCCATACGTCTTCCAATCGGGTAACGCGCCTCGGCCTTCTTTAGTCGACGAATCCGACGCCATTGGATCGGGCGGTATTGTGTTTGCCGGCGGGACCTCTGCATCTTTCAGCATTGCGGCGTATCCATCTGTCCAATTCACTTTTCCGCGCACGCCTTTTACGTAGGCATCGGCGAGAATGTTGTCAGCGTTGGAACCACCCTGGGTTCGGCCGTTGTAGTTTGAGGAGCGGGCGTCGGGCATGTAGCCTTCATGTCGGTAGATGTCGATTAAGGAGCGGATTTGTTCTTCGTAGGCGGTTGGTTGAAGAATTTGCATGAGGGAGGTGCTGCAGCGGAAGAGGTCCTTCTCATCTGTTAGTACCTAGGTATGCTTCAATTTCAAGGGCTGGGAGATAGAGAAGGTGTACCCAGAAAGTGAATATATCCTGATAATATGGCTCSTCCGAAATCCAGCCTGGATTCTCGCCCGTCTGGTTCGTGGGGAGCAGATGCATGTAATACAGCGACGTATACAACAGCTCTAAGGTAGTCTCGTTTGTGGCTGACGTTGTGATCTTGGAGAGCACGTCCGAGTTCCAGAGGGTCTTTGTGTCGTTGATTACCTGCGAAAAGGGTGTACTGGCGGGGATCTCGTTGTGCAGGKTTGTGCATGCCTGCGACGTTGAGAGCCAGGATATCCCGACGCGGGATGTGACTACGCTGTTCGTCGAGGTGTTGAAGGTGAATAGACTACCTACGCGCACATCGCTGGAATTGGATGTTGCGGTTCCGCTGGATTGGGCAATGCTGCCATCTGCGTCGGTGGCGAGGTAGGTCTTGTTGCTGATGGGGGTGGAGTTGAAGTAGCCGCCTATCATCAGTCAGCTCAACGCAACAAAGAAAGATATGAGAAGAGAGGATGTTTACAGAAGTAGATAGTCCAGTCCGGCGACCGATTCCATCCATTGTTGTATACGCCATATCCTTCATAATGCCCATCCTCAGCAACCCCAATCTTCCCCCCAGCATACCCCTGACTCAATCCCTTCCTTCTGAACGACGGCAAAACATGCGACACATCCACCAAAACATTCCCATTCTTCTTGTTGTCCGTAGGAAAAGTGTACTGATATATCCCCGCTCTACTCGTCGCCGCCAATTCGACAACCACATCCTCACTCGTCACAGCCTTGTAGTACCCTATACTCCCTCCATCTGCCATATGACTGTGCCTCCCCACGGTCAAATTCGACAAAGGCTGCGCTGCCACGTCGCCTACAAGCGGTAATTGGCTTACGACACCATACTTGGGTGCTCCGCCTGTACCTTGTTCGTGCATCATACTGAAACCAGAGAATACGCCGTTCGACAGATACCCAGAATATGCATCTTCGCCTGATGCATATAGATCAGGGCCGAGTTTGACCATGCCAAATGGCCTGGACACAGCGGGATTATCGTTTCCGCCGCCCTGAGTGCCAAGCCAGATGTTTACGTATTGCGTATAGTCGTTGGGATCTTTGGCGTCGTCGTGCTGTTTGTCGTCACCATTTGTGATGCCGGAAGGTTGGCCGGTGACTTTGCTGGCGTAGACTAGCACGGCGATGATGACTCCTATGCAGAGGAGCATGGTGACTGATTCAGTGATTGTGAAGCGCGCTCCAATTTTTCCACCCTTTTGATATCGCGGTGACTCTTGTTGCTGTCTCTCGCAATCCGTCTGACTACCCCGTTCTGAATCCCCAGACTTGCCAAATAACTCGACAATTTTTATCACTACCGTCTTGGACTTCGCAGAATTTATAGCCCCGTCTTCCTCCGCAGGAGAAAGACGAGAATTCGAAAAGAGGCGCATTCTTTATATGGCTGGGAATGCATGGCAAGCCCTACTTTCCGTACCCTTCTTATCGCGCAGACTGATATACTTTCTCTGCAAGACCACAATGATCACCGTCCCCTGCACGGGCACCGCTTCATTGAACCTTCGAGCATGGCTATATTTGGTCCCTTGACTCCGCTGGACGTCTGATTTGATAAACAGGAAGTTCGCAATTCCTACGTCCTTACCGAGGATGTCACTCGTGAACCAAGAAGAAAAAAGCCTCAAATGGATACGGGAGGCTAGCTGCATATATATGGATATCCCTTTACGGTAGAAGCATGAAAATTTCATCGGAAGTTCGTATCCGACCCATGGCTCTATACAGTCTAGAAATATACTCTGAAAATTTTTACAATGTCTCACATGATCAAGACAACCGCACATGGCTCAAAGGCGTGATCGTTAGTGGTTGTGAGGCTAAAAGAAAATGATTAGGGCTGGCGGGCGAGCCAGGGAACGAGGATCCGTGCTCCTGCCCCGGAGCTTATTTTTGCGGGCATATGTAGGCGAGGGCTGAGGTAACGTTACTTACATTACCACTGTGGAGTAATAACGCATTTTAATTAAGAATTGTTGGATTGTCCGAACGGATTGTGTGACTGGAATGGCGAATACTATGTTAAGTACGAGAGTGTTGGCTTGTGTAACTCGGTCATGCCGGCGACTACCACCTTTGAAAGGACCACGGAATCGTCAGATAGGAAATGCATGAAAAACCTTCAACTAAGTGAATATTCAGTAGTATGTGGTAAGTAGTAGAGAACTAAGTTAGTGTTAAGCATACATAGTAAGCAAGGATCTAGACTATGCCATCCCTTGTAGCGGCCCATGCAGAGCCAAACACAAACAAGCTTCGGTGCACGGTTGACAGTGGTCGTGTGTGACATTCGAGCTGATTGCGAAAATTTTCTACTCCGTGAAATTGAATATCAAAGGAGTTAATGTCTAACTAGTAAAGTCTTACAGTACTTCTTAAGAAAGAATTGAAAACGTGCGACGATGGATCATGTGATTGGCGGAAAAAGAGTGGAACAGTTCCTGCCAAGAAGGGACAAGTGTGTGGAAAGCGGGCCAATCAGATTCGTAAAATTAATAATTAGGGTTCGTGCTTGTAAATTACTGTCAAAAATTGGACAATCGGAGAATTTACCCGGAATCGGCCATTAGGGTTATCAGACACATGACCTTCATTCTAAACACTTAACATCAAACTTTTAATTCCTGAGATTATATCTCCAAACTCCTTACGGCCATGGCAAGTGCGCCTTCCCTAGTCGAATGACCACCAATGAACCCACTGGCATGCGTAAAGATTGCGCCCGCAGGGATACTCTCTTTACCCGCTTTTTGCAATTCAGCGGCAATCACGCCGTCGAGATCCTGATCGCGCACGCCGCGCCATGTATCCGGTAACGGCTTCCTAGAGATGAAGCTACCTTCAGACTCCGGCACGCACTGGACCCGCCACTTGGCGTCTGGAGCTGAGTTTTCGGGATAAAGAACGTAGTACACTTCCTCTGCCTGTCCGGCCTTGGTCTCGGACTCAAAGTTGTATAGATGCTCTTTCCAGGGCACGCCGCCGCCTGAAAGCATGATTATGCGTCCGCTGGGGTGGATTTCTCGACGATTACGGTAGGCCTCACCGACAGTGGCGCGGGCAGGAAGCCACGAAGAAGCGGCGAGACGGAGTTTTCGTAGAAAGACGTCACCGATAAATGTGCTTGCGCGCGCAAACAGGCTGTCCTCATCCTGTGGCTCGCCGCCTGCAATGACTGGGTCCGGGTAGTTTAAGTCTCCGACCAGAGACCCCAGATTGATAGCGCCATCTTTGAAACGCTTCTCCAATCCAGACTTGCTCACGGCCGCAGGGTCATATGCACTGATACCGTTGTCATGTGCATCCAGCGCCTCCACGAAATCAGTGTACAACTTCTCATAAAGCAACTCCACATCCGGATGGTCGATAGGCAGAGAAGTATGCTGCGAAATAATCGCGCGACCAAAGTGCATAAACACGAGACCAGCGGATGACAGTTTTGTGCTGTGATTTGGGAAAGTAGTGCTAAATGTGCGTTGGTGATGGTCATAGCGGTTTTTGGCAGCATCATATTCGCCGCCGACGTCGACGACGGTGTGGCATTGGGCTAGTTGTTCGGGGTCGCGGGTTCGCACGAGTGGTGAGGCGTGGTATTCGGGGAGGAGGCGTAGCATGTAGACTGCTAGAGCTTCATCGGCGTGGAAGTGTCCACTGCAGCTGGTTAGCTTTGCGGGGTACTTTCGCTGTTGTGACAGTTCATTTCGGGATACTGCCATCAATGACCAGGGATATGACATACTTGTGAGTACCGATGAGAGGCCCCTCGGTTTTGAGTTTCTTTGCAGCGGTTTCGGTGGCCATTTTGAGCAATTTGCGAAATTGAAACATGGATGAAGCTGTTCAGAATCTTTTGGTAGTCCCGCAAAGCTCAAATTTCACGTGATGCGTATGTTGTCTAACTCAAAAAGGACTAGAGGCATTAAATAGAAATAAGTCATCGCTGATTGGCCAGACTATCTACATGTTTCTTTTTCTACATAGTAGGTTTCTATCACTGTCGCAATTGAGTCTCGACTTCGGTCCAAGGCTTCGGTCCAAGTATGAATTCAAAGTAATCTAGTAGAGGCAACTGTTACCCAGAACCAGGGGGAAACTGTCAAAACAAAATTCCGCTTCGAACAATCAACCAGAAGCGGAAGAAAAGTCGCCGAGGAAGCGAATCCGAAGCTCACGCCATTAGCCAAGTTTTTGTTTTCAACTTCAATCGACTTTCGAGAGGCCCGTAGCCTGTAAGGTAGTATGAAGGAGACAGACCCAAGAAGCTCGTATATGAACGAGTCAAGACTCAAGAGAGATCTCATTCTTATCAGTCTGATCCTCAATCAAAATGAGGCTAGCGTGTCGATCGCGGATAAACCATAATCCAGCTCCTTCCACCTAAACATTGAACAATCACATCGCAAGATCTCGGTTCACTCGATTTCTACTTTTCAAAAACATCCTGCTTTCAAATGGTGCGACAACTCCGTCCCATCTTGGTTCAAGTTGGTTGATGATGGGTGGACCCTCTAGTCCCTTTCGATCCCTGTCCGAGGCTAACTACCCGCGCCGCAGCGCCACCACAGTGATCTTTATCAAGACCGTCCTGGCTCGGTCGACGTGGGGGCCGAGCTTCCTGTGCCGTTTCGAGATTGAGTTGGTAGCTTACTCTGTCTGCCAGAGAACAAAGAGGCAAAACAGTAACTACTGGAAACTGGGGTTATGCTTTATTAGACCCTTTTCTTGGAGACATTGATGACTACATACGTCCAATGGATAAATGGACCCCATAGCCCCTAGTCGGCTTGTCAACTTGACTTGCCATGCAGTGCGTTATCACGACCAACTGTTTCATACCTCCAACGGTTATCACGCACGTCAGAGGCGTTTATAATTGCTGCATGTTAGATGATCGACATTGACGCTTCCCCTCGACCACTGAGATTTGTGATTACGCCAACATGGAAATCTTCAGTGTTAGGTTGTGATGATTGAAAACATTCAATCAGGATTGTAGGCCTTGTTCTACTATCAGACTAGAGATAGCGAAAGCTTCTTTCATCTGAAACATACGGTGTTATTGGTATAACTGTGTCTAGCGACTGCTTCTCTGCAGTCTAGACGACGCTATGTATCATCCACTTACAAGTAATTTCTTCTTCAAGGATGGACTTATGTACTACTAGTAGTCTAGTACATGCATCTATACCATGGACCTCGGAGAAGCTCTGTGAAGCTGCTCTCGGTAAGTTCAAAAGAGTTGGCACGTCGTCCCGCCCCAAATCCTTCCACTAGTTGCCTGTAGACTCTTTCCTTCTTTCGGATAGGCTTCGTCACTCCCGGTCTAACGATTGACACTAACCGCCTGCATAGCGTTCCTCTTATGAATCCTTCACAAGTGTTGGGTCAATTGTATGGCTCGCTATGCTTCACTCCAGAGGATAAGCCAGTCATTACTTTATTCTACAAAATGTGGCCCTCTGATGTTCCACATCCTTGTTGGACAGGTCCACTATGTGCCGAACGCAAATTTAAGCTATAATTGGAGGATCAGGATTCAGTGGCTCGATGAGACTGTGTGCGGATGCTGTCTACACCTCTCCGTACGCACCTTGTACTACGGGGTGCGGAGTTGACGACATTTATACTTGTGGATCCCCCTACTCTCTTTATGTCGAGTCGTCCACCTGATTACAGAAGAAACTCTACTCGGTAGATCCCGAGCAAGATATACTAACAAAGACTTGACGATTTCAAGACTGTCATGCCGGTTAAACCCTATCATCCTGTCTATATGGTTTCGACTCGCTTGAGACGCTGAGGCGTGAATACCTGTGATCGAGAAAACATGTCAGCACCGCCGCTCCCAGCAGGCGTGGATGTGTCGGGAGACTCTCTTCTCTCAATTAGCCAAGTTCACGCTCTCATCATAACGGAACGAGTCAATTCAGTCATATCTATACTCTCCATCATCTTCGTCGTGACAACATACCTCTTCTCCTCAGGCTTCAACAAACCCATCAACCGGCTGATCTTCTTTGCCAGTTTCGGAAATCTGGGTTCTGCAGTGGCCGCTTTGATATCAGAGAATGGTCCTATGATCGGCGAGGACTCTGCATTATGCAAGTTCCAGGCCTTTCTTGTGCAAATGTTTCTAGGAGTGGACTGTTATTGGGCCTTGTGTATGGCTGTAAACGTTTATCTGGTGTTCTTCAAGGGGTATACGGTGGATCAACTACGGTCTCTTGATTTGGCATATTAATTGATATGCTACGGCTTATCGTTCGTCCCAGCGTTTGTATTTATCTTCATCAGCACCAATGCGCGAGGACCGGTGTATGGTCCAGCCATCATCTGGTGTTGGGTCAATATAGAATGGGATTTCCTGCGTTTTGTATTTTTATATGCCATCGTTTGGTAAGTCTTGCACTGCTTTGATTTTTCTATATCTCCTAACATGACAGGATTGCCATACTGCTCGCCATCGTAATCTATGCTGCCGCAGCAAAAGTCATCTGGGACAAACGCGAACACCTGGACGGCTTCCTGAACCCTATGAATGAAAACCCCTTTATCAACACCGTCACCACCGAAGTGACAATCACCACTGAGGAACGTCCCATTGTTGAGAACAGCAAATACGATCACGATACAGTCCGAACAATCGAAGAGTCCGCAACACCAGGAGTCGATAACCCGTATTCAGTGAATATTCAAGTCAGTCAACAGACTGACATCATCCGACCACTACCGTCGGCTCTGAGGATGAGGAGTCTTACTCGCCAGATTGCGAAACACGAGACGAACGCCGAGGCATGGCTCTATGCTCGCGTTGCATTTTTGTTCTTTATTGCGTTGCTGATTACTTGGGTATGTCTCCAGATTTTTTCAAATCATCCACTAACAAGAGCACAGATACCCAGCAGCGCCAACAGAATCTACGCCAGCATATACCCATCCGCCACAAACTTCGGCCTCAATTACGCCGCCTCCTTCGTCTTCCCCCTGCAAGCCTTTTGGAACACAATCGTCTACATAATCACTTCCCAATCTGCCTGCCGGGAGCTCTTCCGATTCTCTTCCTCATCCAAACACTCAATCAACCGCAAATCAATACCCTCCCCATCCCCATCACAAGTAAAACTGACCCGACGACCACAAAAAGATCCCATGGGCCGACCTCGCAGATTAGGCTCAAATGAGCAGATGCAAATGTCGTCGGGCTCGGCGGATTCGGTGTCGAAGATTATTGATGAGCAGGAATTGCAGACGCTAGATAGGTCGAGGTGGAGTAATGAGTCGACGGATCGGAAGGAATTGGCTAGGTAATGTTACCTTCATTACTTGGGTGTACTGCTCTGCTCGGATTATGTAAAACATTTTCTATTTGTATGATACGATTTTTTATGTTATGATACCTCTCATGCGGTGTTGATGATTTACAACCGGCGGAAGCTAGATGCTTCAACGTTTTCTTTCGGGCTCAATATCGCCTCTTACCTAGGTACAGATATCTACTGTCTATACTTATCTAAATTTATATATACCCTAGGGGCGACATCCATGGACGGAGATCAACTAGACACCAACTTCCAGACCATACCTATCTAGGTAGCCATTCGATTTTCGTTATTAAGGACCTTATGGCTACTACAAATCAAGCCTTGAATGACTTCATGAAGAACCAAATAGGGGAAGATTAGTCTTGGATATCGATCATTTCTCAAGTTTTTATCATTGATTAGACAAATCTTGAAACAGACTCAAGCATGAGGAAAAATTAAGGACACGAAGAAAGGGGGGAAAAGCATAAACTTGAAGATTTCTTGTGAACAAAAAGGGCAAAGGCAAGGAAGGCCCACCAGAAAACGGCACGAAAGTTGTAAAAAAAAACTACTAATCGTTCAATCACCTCATGAATAGTAAACTTCGGCAACTGCAAAGGAAAGACAGACAGACAGACAGACATGATCTGATTTCGCAGAGGCTATTCGAAGTCTCAAACTCCCTGTTCCGATTTGAAAACAAAGGGTACCCCGAACTACAGTCGAAACAGTCCCTAGGAAAGTAAAATCATCAAACTTCAGACAACCCAAATTTCCATGTTGCATTGCCCAAAAATATGAGAAATTATGGTTCATAATGTAACAGCGAGAAAAATAGGGTGCATGTCGTTACGGTTCACTGGATTGGCAGCTTGGGCTTTAACAGCATCCCTGTTTGGTCTCTGTGTCCTGAGTCTTGCTTATTTCGACGACTTGACGGCGCTCGCCGAGGGGGTTCTGGCCACCCTCACCCTGGTCCAAGGCCTTGCTGGATACGATGCGGTAGATTTCTGGAGTAAGTCCATACGTTAGTCTGTGTCCTATGTGCACTGTTCGTGAAATTGACACACCTGTCAAGATGTTCTGGAAGGCAAGCTCGACGTTGCTGGCATCGAGAGCAGAAGTTTCAATAAAAGACAAGTTGTTTTCGCCTATCCTCCGTCAATACTCGTTTTGCGGTCAACATTCAAGCCCAACTCACTAGCAAATTGCTTGGCATCCTCCGTAGGCACGGCACGCAAATGTCTCAAATCGCTCTTATTTCCAACCAACATAATAACAATGTTGGAGTCTGCATGATCGCGCAACTCCTTCAACCATCGGGTCACATTGTCATAAGTCTGATGTTTGCTAATATCGTAAACGAGCAGGGCTCCGACGGCGCCACGGTAGTAGGCGGAGGTGATGGCTCGGTAACGCTCTTGGCCGGCGGTATCCCAGATCTGAGCTTTGATTGTTTTGGAGTCGACTTGGATCGAACGTGTGGCGAACTCGACACCACTGGACCAGCATCAGCTTTGTTCTGTTTCGTAAACTGTCATCGCAATATTATAGCTTACATTGTGGACTTGGAGTCTAGGTTGAATTCATTGCGAGTGAATCGGCTCAAAAGGTTGGATTTTCCGACACCGGAGTCTCCGATAAGGACGACTGACGAGAGAGTTAGTATTTGGATATTTGTTTGTGTCGCAGAGCTGACGGCAAGGGATAGGAGCGGAGGTTCATTCACCTTTGAAAAGGAACTAGATAGAGTTTATGTTAGCAAATATTTCTTTTGAATTTGGCTGTAGAAATTCGCATATAACTCACATCGTATTCGTCGTTAGCCATGGCGTCGTGTGGGAGTTCCTTGGTGTTATTGTCGAAGTGCAAATAGATGTGGTGTTGGAAGATAAAGACCTGTGGAGTAAACGGGGGGGAAGTGGAACGTAGACCGTAACGACCCCTAGAAGGTTAGTGCGTTGTTGAAGAAGAAACAAAGATTCGAAAATGTTCAAGGGAAAACGCAAATACCTAGAAGAGTGATTCACAAGGAGTTGTTCGAGTCAAAGTACTCAGTCAGTCCCAGCTGGAGTTGGTCTGAGTATGTCGATGCCTGTAACACTGCCCGTCCGTGCTCTTTCGGGACTAGCGTTCTGCACGTGACATTTCGCGATAGAATTACCGGTCGGATTTGCGATAAACAAAAAAAAAAAATTCAATCATGAAGTATTCGGCCTAGGAATGTCCATTTTGAAGGGGGTGCAACCGATCTTCACCCAGGGCCCAGCGGGCATATCCCTGCCTCCAGGGCCCCCAATCTCAGAGTCGGCCATACCCAACACCTTCGCCTATCTTCAGAAAGTCGGCAACCCGATGCCTCAACAACGTCCGCAATCCGACAAAACGAACAGACCACGTGCTACAAAAGCAGATATCGAGACTGTGCAGGCCACATCTAAGACAGCAGGTCGAGTCATAAAGAAATCTGACAGGCGCGGGCGACCCAAGAAAATCAGCGATGACCTCACGCAAAAGATGACTATGCTGTTGGAGCAGTCAAACGGAGACGTTTCTTGGGAACAATTAGGACACTCGGTTGGCGTGGACGGCGTACATTTACAAACAATCCGAAACTATATGATCAAAGAAGGCTACTGTAAGCGAATAGCATGCCAACAAAAATGGTTATCGAAACAAGCCCGAGAATCACGAATGCAGTATGCTCTGGCACACCACAAATGGCAGAACGAGTGGCGCTCAATGCTGTTCAGTGATTTTGTCAATTTCGGTCTCGGGACAACACAGAAAGCAAAAGTGTTCAACCGGAAAGACGAGAGGCTATGCGAGGATTGTTTACAGTCTAGGGAGGAGATTGATAAAGCCCTATTCCATTGCTGGGCAATGGTGGGATACGACTACAAGGGCCCTCTGATTTTCCTCCAGCCCGAAGATAGCGATCTCTCTGCAATGAGTCAGCATGACTACATATCGCAAATCATACAACCACACGTTCAACCTATCGTGACCGTTCGGCGGATGATATACCTCGACAACGCTAGCAGCGGGTACGAGAACGCGACGACCCAGAACACGGTACACGCCTACCTCGATTCATTACAGCTGCCTTATATTCAGAACCCGGCGACCTCGCCTGACCTCAATATCTTGAAGGATATTCTACTCGTGCTGAAAAAGAGACTGCAAAAGAGGAGCATCGGGGACGAGGTGCAGTTAAAGATTGCAGTATTGGAAGAATGGGATCGGATCACGACAAAGGAGATCAATAAATTGGTCGATACGATGAAAATACGCATGGAAAAGGTGTTAGCGCGGAAGGGAATGCCTATATGAATTTTCCCCGCTGTATTCTTTTTCAATATAACGCTTATGATGTTAGCAAAGTAATGACGGAGTTTTTGGCTGGAGAGGGATTTTACGGCACACGTGTATGATAGCACGCATTTTACGACATTAGACTACTTTAGATGATTGCACTGCTTGGTATGAACATATTACTCACGGTAGCTTCAACTTTCCAAGAATTTGAGCATTGGTGCTATTTGGAAGAAGCCGCGGCATTCAGGAATACCGCAACCCTGGTTAAAAATATACATTAAACGGAAAGCTACCCGTGTGTTGTGTCAGCTTGGACCTATTGATACGTGCAGCTTTGAAGGCCTAACATTTGGAGGCTCAAGATTATAAACTCTTAAGTATATAGTGAACTTGCAGTGCATATTCAAAATTTCAGCCCAAATAAGTTAGCAGTTGTTCATTAGGTCAGCATATGTAACTTCTCTGGGGAGCTAAAATTGCAGTGCACCAAGCAATCACAGTCGCGAAGACAGGCCGCATAGCAAGTACGCTAGATGGCTGATCCTAACCGTTCAAATCAAGCAGAATGGCAAGTGTCACTGTCATGCTGTCATGAAGTCATATCACATTTAAATATTGAATACTTGAAATATAATATGCTTATTTGGATATGCTCTTAACTTTAGTGTTACCTGGATTGTATCGAGCAAGCATAGAAACAACCTTAAATTCAGATCAATTATGACTTCGCCATCTTCTAAAATTCTAACTACGCCGTCCATCTAGCATTCGGATCCAATAGCGTCTTCATCTCTTGTACAACATCATACGGCGGGTCGTTCTTCGCCACAAACATATTGTTCTCTAGCAACGCCTCATGGAATGCGACCGTCGCAACTGCTCGCCTCTTCTTCAACTTCTTCGCATAGCCATCGAACACCTCTTTTGGAATTGTCGCAAACAAGTATTTGGGGTGCACACCAATCACTTGACCACCCTTTTGACCAAAACCAAACGAGGTCAAAGAGAAAGCCTTGATACCGGCGGTTTGAATGTTCTCGTTCAAGAACGTGATGTGATCAAACTTCTCAAATTCCGGGTCAAGGTTATCCAAATTTCGGTTACCGGGGACGAGGCCGGTGCTCATCATTTGCAGGGCGCCGTTGAGCATCCAGGAACTTGCAGGACCCTTAGGGTGGCCAGTGACACTCTTCTGGAATACGCCGAGGGTACGATTTCCCTTGGTGCGGCCGAGATGAGAAAGCTGGCTTTGAATGATTGTGCATTCGTTCTTCTCGTTCAAGACAGTCGAGGTTCCGTGGAAAGATGCTACTGTTACGTCGTCGACAGTGAGACCCCATGTTGCCAACGCTCCCTTAATAGGCGAGATTTCTGGGTGGTTACGCCAGAAGTGGTTACCAAAGGAGGCAAGCATATCTTCTTCTTGCATCTTGAATTTCAGATCAATCTGCTTGACCATATATGCCCGATATTCGGATGCGTTGAAGTGAACATCTTTGGCCATGAGATGCTGAATGGTATCCTCAAGATTACTGAGCTCAATCTCTTTGAAGTTATTAATCTGTTGTCGTCGAACATCGATTTGTCGTCGGCGATATTCAATATCAAGAAGTGGCGATGGGAACCCAGCTGTTGACTCTCTTGCATTTGACAAAACTCCTTTGCCCGGAGCAGGGACAGAGCGGCCGACCTTGTCGCTAGAGATGCCCGTGAAAGCAACAATACCATAGATTGGCAGGCCCATTTCAATTGCAAGCTTTGCAGTGCAAGCAATATGGAAACCAGCACCGTGGGATTCCATGAAACCCTTCCTCGATGAGGCTGCCGGTCGTGACATCTCCTTGGGATCCCGGCCAGCCTCGGCCTCCGTCTCAGCATTACTGGTTGCCTTCATATTCGAGAACTCCAAAGACGTGTACTCTGAAAACTCATCAACACTACCCACGAAACACATCTTTGCTTTTCCTTGAAGAATGAGATCATAGGCGGTGTCGAGTGATTCCACAGACGTTGCGCAAGCTCCAACGGATGTCTTGTTTGGTCCACTTGATGAGAGCAAGAGCATGTTCACCCACGCTCCAATGGTGTTCAAGAAAGTTTCTTGCAGAATATCGTTTTGCACAGGCTTGTCTTGCAACCGATCCCGGTACATTTTTTCTGAAGAGGCTGTCCCACCCAATCCGCTTCCAAAGCAATTGCCCAGTTCGGAGACATGGATGTACTTGTAAATTTCGTAGGGGTCTGTGATACCCGCTGAAAGAAGACCTTCGACAACTGTTACAAGTGTGTACAAGGTGACTGGATCGACCTGATTGATGATATCGTCCGAGATACCATACGTCCGCGGGTCCCATCCTGTAGGAATCTGTGCAGCAACATTGTTCCTGAACTTCACAGCCTTTGGCACATGAATCACCGCGCCCTTCTTCATAACCACACTGTAAGAGTCAGACTCGGCGCTTGCGAAAATCTCAACCTTATCTCCATGTTCTCTCTGGAAGCTGAGTGCGGTTTCTTTGGAAGTCTCAAATGGTGCAAGGTCTTCTTGTACGACAATCTCTTGAGTCATCTTCTTCTTGTCGGGGTTATACTTGTCGAAAAGTGTTGGCTCAATCAGCCGGACGCCTGAATGATCACGAATATAAGCCTCGTAACGCTTTTTCACGTCACATTCCTCGACTGGCTCTTTTGTCTTGACATCAATCCATCCAGCTGGCTTGTTACCCGAGCCCTTGGAGAATTTGATGAGTCCCATGATCCAAGCCATTTCAGTGCATCCTTCTAGCGAGAGTTCATCGTGTGCTTCGATTTCCCAGCGAGTACGAGAATTTCCGCAAGGTCCGAGCTCTGAAAAGCCTACAATCACAACAGTGTGTTCAAGCGATACCATGGAGTCCATCTTGGCGCGGAGAGGCTGGATCTCTGTTTCGTAGTTTGGCAAAGCAGGGAATCCAAGCTCGATGTTTGGACGTTCTTTCATCGATTCGGACTCTTTGGCTTTCGGATCAGATCCGTTGTCAAGCGCTGCTTCCGCTGCGACAGCTCTGCGGATCTCGCTTGTGGCTTTGATGTTATCCTGGATCACATTCAACTGATCCGGGAAGTCTGGCACTGCGTCAAGGCCACCGCTGAAATCAGCGTACAACGGTTCTTCTTGACAGTACTCGATTAAAGGCCGATTCAACAGGGCGAGAATACAGACAGCCATCTCTGCTCGGGAGAATGTCTTGATGCCAAGTTTTTCGACGTCCTCGGACACAATATCGTTTTGATGCATCAGACCAGTGCCGCGAGTCCAACCGATCGAAGTACCACAAATGGAGATATAATCGCTCCAATCTTCAGAGTGCCATTTGGCGAACAGACTTTCGAGTGCCATCTTTGACTCGGAGTATAGCCCATCACCACCAAAGATACCGTGGTTGGGTGACAGGGGAAGCAAAGCATGAGTAGGCCGTGATCGGTAGCCTGCAGCCTCCTTGTGTCTCTTGACAGCCCCAAGAAGTCGAATAACATTCGTAAGCATGATACGCTGTGCTAGTTCACTCTTGGAGTCAATCTCGTCGATCTGTCGCCCATTCACAGAGATAGCGGCGAATGGGATGATGACATCAAGATCCCAACCAAGCTTGCTGTAAATATGGGCAACTAGAGCTTCGATATCCTGCTGACTACCTCCGTTGAACGGAACCAAGACCAGCTTGGAGCCTTTGGAGCCGTGAGCTTGGTAGATTTTCTGGTACTTGCGAGCTGTGTTGGATGAGAAGCCACTTGTCGTTACTATGACCTGTGCACCACCAGTGAGAAGACCCTTCAGGAGCTCTTCACCAATGGACTTCGTTCCAGCTCCAGTCAGGAGGACCGTCTTATTGGTGAATGAAAGCCCTGTGCTTGAAATTCGATTAAGAGCCTTGTTATACAGTGCGGTCGTCTCGGAGTTGAATGCCCATCCTTTGTTATCCTTGCGCTTGATGTGTGGAAGACGAGTCGAATCACCAAAATCTGTCTTTGACCCATCTTGACCCCTCGGGACTTCAGAGTATTTGATATTGCCTAGCTCATCGATAGTTGTTCGAGGGCCAAGGAAGTTTGTGGTGCTTTTGAAGACTGGAACAGATCCAAGTGACTCTGTGACGGTTTTAAGAAGTAGTTCGTAAAATGCCCTTTGCTTTTCATCGGAACATTGCGTTAACAAATATCTGATTGTCTCCGCCAACCGCGTGCTTGATCTGTTGCCCAGCCGGTAAGTGATATCGTCAATCAACTCCTTGTCGACTTTCAATATTCCTCGGCCGACGTTGTAGAAAGTAGACGTGAGATCTTGCAATGCCCAAGTCCAGTAAGAGGAGTACTCTCTGAGCTTCTTTGCATCGAAGACTGGGGTGATACCATTGGCATAGGCCTCACCATGTTCAGCTATCCACAAATCAAGCTGCTTCTGAAGCTCCAACATGGCGCTTTCGGAGCTCTCAGCAGACTTTCCGTCAGCATGGAGATCAACATTAAGAAATGAAGCGTAGGCTTTGAGCTTCTGTTGTGCCAGCTCCTCTTGTCTCCGAACAACGTTGTTCAAGGCTTCCGGATTGACCTGCACAGCAGCAACCTGTTCCGTTGGGCCTTCATTCATTGACAATCCGGCGGCTTGCGCATAATCCTTGACCAATCCATCCAGGTAAGCCTGGGTCTCCTTTTGATCCTGAAGTCGATTCTTAGGAGGCGAGGCAATTGTAGATAGAAGCACGGCATCTTGGCGGCCGACTTGGAAGCCCCAACGGTCCTCAAGGTACTTCCTGACCTTGGTCATATTGAAGTCTCCCGGCATTGACGTACCGATAACACGTGTTACTAGACCGTTTGTTGTCTTGCCCAGCCGTCTTTGAGCATTTGCGGCTGATAGTGTTTCTCCCAATTCTGTCAAACTGAGTTCCTCGGATCGCTCAGGTAGATTGCTGAATTCACTAAGGAGATCTCCGACAATCTCGTTCTCCAAGGTCGAGCGACCTAAAAGATTCCAATTAGTTTCATTCTCTGGATAGTTCATTCGTTGAATATCATACCTCCGACGAGCGCTTTGATATTACTGCTAAGCGAAATATCCGCAGTGGATTTCTTCAACTTTTGAGCAATTACAGTGAGAATTATGTCTTCTGCTTTCACTGGGACATCCTCGGCCGATGCAATGGATTTGCCTCCACTCGATCCGGTCGAGGGAGTAGATGGCTGGGGGGCCGCTGTTGTAGCAGGTGTGGGCGCCGGAGCCTGAGCAGCAGGCGTTGTATCGGCTTTGGAAGGTGCTTGTTTCGGGACCTCGACGGTCTCTGCGTTGGCATAGTAGATGTCATTCTCACTTGTTTTGAGGTTTAAGAGCTGCCTTTGGATTGATAGGGCAGTATCGTGGTCTTTGTATTTCGTTTCGATGGTTTGTTTGGCTAACCCAGTGAGTGTATTTGAGGGGCCAATCTCGACAAATCGCTCGATCTTCTCTTCCCCAAGAAGGGCATCTTGCGTTTCGATCCTTTACCGTTTCCTGTCAGTGTTTGGGCCTTAGGTATACAAAAGAGCTTTACTTGTTTGGACATATGACATGACTGAATGTTCGTAGAAGGGGAGAGGATGGGTAGGAAACTTACCATTGTACGGGATATGCGAACTGATGACTGTCCGGAAGAATAACATTAGCCCTTGTTCCGAGACAAGATCGCTCCGTCCAGCGCGTGAACCCAACTGCCTGATTGAATTCTTAGAGGTAGAAGACTTACGCTAAGAGCTCCAATACTAATGTGTAAGTGCGCGACCTCTCATCGTCTGAGACCACCGTCACCGTCATCTTGAGAGCGAAGGTGTGTCTAAAACGAAGGCTGCGGTGCGCTTGCGCTCAATGGTTGCTGTGAGCGATTGGTGGATCTGATATGGAAAGAGAGGAAGAACAATCTGAGAAATGGAGTTGTGCTTGTGTATAAAGTATCTCAAGTAGTGGTTTACAAAAAGAGATAGCAAATACCACTACTCTAGAATATTATTCCTTGTAGGGCAGTGCAACGGCAATATCGCAAGATATCCTCAGATAAGAATTGATTTATTACGATATTCCTCAGCAATCAGTACTGTCAAGATTACCGACTATCGCATCAATTTCGTAAATCTACAGCCGGAAAGTTACATACGAGAATGGGGGCCTAAGCTTACGACACGGTTAATTCAACGACGGGCTTCTAGAATAACCATGTTAGTATGTTCTGGGTCAGCGGAAGCTTGTTTACTGCGTACAGTCAGCTAGCCCTAACTTACTAATAAACTACGGAGGCACAGCCTTTAAGCAGGCGGCTCACCAGATACGCTTACTGGGGGCCAAGGTACACCGTGCATTATGTGCTGAATAAGCCCTCAATTAGGGAAAGCCGTATTAATTCGTTATCAGGAACGTGCCTTCAGCGTCGAAGCTGCGACGAGTGACCCTGAAATGGTAACCTAGTCAGCCAGATTACACTTAACTGCGAACATCGGAATCAACGTGTTTCTGCCCTTGGACCCCATGTAAGCTTAGTAGAACACCTGCACGACACGTAGCGCGAGCTGTACAGTATCAATGTAAGGCAACTTAGGGCACAGAGATAAGGGCTATCTGGGTTTGGCCCTGTAGTTGTACAGCATCAAAAACCCTGTGCCATACTTGAAAACTGTGGAAACAGAATTCACTCTTTCTATGATTTAGTCTCATCCGCACACATATGTACCGCACATAACATTGTACATATGGTGTCAGACCGCACCTTACCCCCTCCACGCCGTTCAGATCTCGAGGTCTTGTTTAACAAGAACCACAAGCAACAAATCATGCACCGCCAGATCGCCTCTCCAACCCCGGAGAACCTGGCGGCTCTCGGATCCGGCTATGACATCCTCACACCCCCTTCAGACCTCTCCTTGACGGATTCACCTCCAGATCTCTCCCCTTCAGAATCGTCCCACGACGATGATGAGAACCCCATCCCTAGCTTGGTCCTCCCGTTAGAGGACTCCAACATAATCCCCTCAGATCTCTATAACTTGGCGTCCGTGATGAGGGATCGATTCTTTCAACATATCGGCATGCCGACCGCAGCCAGTGATGATCTCTTACCTCAGGAATCATTGGTAGAGCTTATTACAGACTTTTTGGACTTCAAATCAAAGCTTCTGCTTAGTTGGCCCGGTGCCGATAGAATGTCCAGGCAGAGACTTCTCAGAGCCCTTCTTGACCATCTAGAGCGAAACGTCCTTGCAGATGACATCCACACCATTGCTGCAAGATCATCCGACGACCCTGAGCGACCTGCCAAAACCATTCGATCATACTACGCTGCCTGTCATGCCGCTGGTCGACCCATCTCCCAGCGTCAGTCCGCTCTGCAGAATTCTGTTTCTGCTGGGGACTCAAAATTGTATGCAGTCCTTGGTGGTCAGGGAATCACCACCGCATACTTAGATGAGCTGCGTGAAATCTATACCACCTATCACAGTTTCTTGGTCGACTATGTCGAGACCATGGGAGAGTTCTTGAAATCTCTCGCATCCCAGTCAGATGTGTCGCAATATTATCCAGATGGTCTGGATATTCTCAAATGGCTGCGACACCCTGAAACAACACCAGATGTAAGCTACCTTGCTTCATCCCGAGTCAGCTTTCCGATAATCGGTGTCCTCCAACTTGCACAATATATGGTCAGCGTTAAGGTTTTAGGCCAAAGCCCCTCAACTTTCCTTCAGACACTTAGCGGCATCGCTGGCCACTCTCAGGGGTTGGTAGTCGCTACAGTCATTGCTGGCGCAACCTCCTGGCCGTCATTCATTGACCTGAGTCGTTCAGCCGTCGAGATCCTGTTTTCCATTGGTGTTGTCAGCCAGCAGGTCTATCCCGAGACATCGCCGGACCCAAATGTCGTCTCTGATTCTGTCGCCAATGATGAAGGCGTTCCATCCTCCATGCTCAGCATCCGTGGCATCTCTGAAGCTCAAGTCCAGGAGCACGTAGATGTGTCCAACAAATATCTCCCAGAAGATAGGAAAATCGCCATTGCTCTAGCAAATGGTCCACGTAATTTTGTTGTTGCTGGMCCTGCCACATCATTATGTGGACTCAACGCACGGTTAAGACGATTCAAAGTGTCTGCGGAAGTTGACCAGAACCGGATACCATTCAAGGAGCGAAAAACGACTCTTACGAACATTTTCCTCCCTATCAGTGTGCCTTTCCATACCAACTATCTTTTGCCTGCGATTCCTATCTTGAGAAGACGTCTTGGCCATATCTTCATACCCAGTAACAGTCTGCAAATTCCGGTATACGACACAAATACTGGCGAGGATCTTAGTACTTTGGGTGGTGAGAATCTGCTTGATAAGATAGTATACCAGATTACAGTCGCTCCTGTTCGCTGGCTTAAATGCTCGACTTTGCCATCAGCTACTCATATCATTGACTTCGGCCCTGGAGGCAGTTCCGGCATTGGCGTCGTTACCAGCAACAACAAGCAAGGCACTGGTGTTCGTGTTATCATGGCAGGTGCTTTGACTGGAAAATCTTCGGATGTTGGTTACAAGTCTGAAATTTTCAGCAGAAACAAATATTCCCTTGTGAAGTCTAAGGATTGGGCAAGCCGCTTTTCCCCGAGACTGATTCGGACGGCTGATGGTCAGGTTCACATTAAGACCAGAATGAGCAAGCTCCTACACATGCCACCTATTATGGTTGCTGGTATGACACCAACTACTGTATCCTGGAGATTCGTTGCAGCCACCATCAACGCTGGATATCACATTGAGTTAGCTGGTGGAGGCTACCGTAACGAAGCCGACATGACAGTTGCAATCAACAACATTCAGGCTTCTATTCCACCTGGACGTGGAGTTACTGTCAACATTATCTATGTCGATCCTCGTACCGTAGCATGGCAAATCCCATTCTTGGAAAAACTTCATACCGAAGGAACGCCCATTGATGGTCTGACCATTGGAGCTGGAGTGCCATCGGTCGAAATTGCTCAGAAGTACATCAGCGATCTTGGATTGAGACATATTGCATTCAAGCCCAGTTCGGTCAAAACAATCAAGCAAGTCATCAGCATTGCGAAAGCAAATCCAAGTTTTCCCATTATTCTACAGTGGACTGGTGGTCGAGCCGGAGGTCACCATTCTTTTGAAGACTTCCACTCACCAATTTTGGAAGTATATGGCCAGATTCGTGACTGCGAAAATATTATTCTCGTCGCTGGTAGTGGCTTTGGCTCAGCTGTCGATGCTTATCCATACTTTACTGGAGCATGGTCCAAAGCTTTTGGCTATCCTCTAATGCCCTTCGACGGTGTCTTACTAGGTAGCCGCATGATGACTGCCAAGGAAGCCGCCACGAGCGCTGGTGCCAAACAGAAGATCGTCGAGACTGACGGTCTTACTGATAGTCAATGGGAAAAGACAATGAAAGGAGCTGCAGGAGGCGTGATCACTGTCATCTCAGAGATGGGAGAGCCAATTCACGTTCTTGCAACTCGCGGTATGAAGTTCTGGGCCGAAATGGACACTTTCTTCAAGATGGGCAAGGACCAGATGATTGCCGAGCTACAAAAGAAGAGTAGCTACATCATCAAAAAGCTCAACGACGACTTTCAAAAACCTTGGTTCGGTAAGAATGCGGCTGGCGAGGCTGTGCAACTAAAGGAGATGACTTATCACGAAGTACTTCTCCGAATGGTCGAGCTGATGTTCATCAGTGCCAGGGGCGTATGGATCGATAAGTCATTGCAGACCATGACAGGTGACTTTATCCGTCGGGTTGAGGAAAGATTCGCATCCAAGACTGGCAGTGGATTTGTTCTTTCAGACTATGCCGACCTGGAATCCCCTCAAGCTGTGCTGGACACCCTTGTAAAGACTTACCCCGATATAGAAGACCATATTATTACTCCTTTGGATGTTCAGTTCTTCTTGTCGCTTTGTCTCCGCCCAGGCAAGAAGCCAGTTCCTTTTGTTCCGGTTCTCGATGAGCACTTGTCATTCTACTTCAAAAAGGATTCGCTATGGCAGTCAGAGAACCTGTGGGCTGTTGTTGGTAATGATGCGGATCGTACTCAGATTTTGCACGGACCGGTAGCAGCTCAGCACTCGACCAAATACGATGAGCCTGTCCAGGACATCCTTGACGGCATTAAGAACGGTCTTGTTTCCTCATTACTCAAAGATGCTTATAATGGAGAGACCAGAAATGTTCCAGTTGAGAAGTCTCTATTGGACATACCCCCTGCAGCTCCTTGGTCTGATTCTGAAGGCATTGTCTCTATTACCGAGTCTCCGGAGTCGGTCGTCTACGAAATATCTTCGTCAGGTGATGATCTACCTTCACCAAGTTCGTGGTTCAGCTTGATCGCGGGTGATCAGTATACATGGCGTTATGCGCTCCTCAGCTCAGAGACTGTCATTTCCGGCACAAAACGGTTGCCAAACCCTATTCGCAAAGTCTGCACACCTCACAGCAACCTTCGAGTCACTGTTGAAAACCCTGGAGAGCCTTCGAGAATGACCGTCACCATTCAGGCTGCTTCAGAACTGGAGGCGACCGGCGCCATGGTGAAGATCAGGTCGCAGGGAAATCAGAACATAGTTGTTGATTGCATATTGAGTCCAACAACTACTCATGTATCCCCAAACTTGCGCCTAGCATACTCATACCACCCTGAAGCAGTATACGCGCCCATTCGCGAGGTTTCAGATGGCTTGATTGACGAAGTTTCTGAATTCTACCGCAGTCTTTGGTTCGGCAGCCAACAACTCGACTTTGATGCACAACCCACGCAAGACTTCTCGGGAGAAACCATTACCATTACTCGCGAGGCGATTAGCTCTTTTCTCCAAGCTACCGGCAGCAGTTCCGAGACATATCTTACCCGCGCCAACCAGGAACTGCCTGCCCCGTTGGACTTTGGTATTGTCATTGCTTGGAAAGCTCTTCTCAAACCAATTTTCTTGAGAAAAATTGGTGGGAATATTCTCAAGCTTGTGCACCTCTCCAACAAGTTCAAGCGCGTGGATGGAGTAGCTACTTTGAGAGCTGGCGACACAGTCTCAACTTCTTCTCGCATCACAGCAGTCCGCATTCAGGATGCTGGTAAAGCGGTTGAGGTACAGGCAGTCATTACCAAGGACGGCCGACCTGTGATGGAAGTTGTTTCGTCATTCTTGTACCGCGGAAAGTACACCGACTTTGAAACAACTTTTGAACGCAAAATTGAAGCTCCTATGGAAGTTCAATTGATTTCCCGAAAGGACGTTGCAATCCTCAGATCCAAAGCTTGGTTCCAATTCACCAAGCTGGACTCTGAACTCTTGGGTAAGACCTTGATCTTCCGACTTGAGACCAGAACGCAAGTCAAGACTACCGAGACTTCTGGTATTGTTTTTGAAAAGCATGGTACAGATGGTGAAAGCCCAATCGCCTCAATTTGCTATACCTCTGCATCTTCAGTCAATCCAATTTTGCGCTATCTCAATACTCATGGACACGAAGTCGAAGGTCCTGTCTCACTTCAAAACGCCATACCAATTCATGGTGCTAGTCCAATTGAACTTAAGCGACCGATGTCTAGCGCTGCTTATGCAAAGGTCTCTGGAGATTTCAATCCTATCCATGTTTCAAACACCTTTGCTATGTTGGCTGGTTTGCCTGGTCCGATCGTTCATGGTATGCATACAAGCTCTGCCGTTGGATCGCTGCTTGAAACTTGGACTGCCAAGGGCCGCCTAGGCGCAGTGCGCAGCTTTGAAGCTTCTTTTGTTGGCATGGTTCTTCCTGAGGATCAGGTTGAAGTCGAGTTTTGGCATACAGCTATGAACAAGGGCCGCAAAGTGATCAAGATCACTGCCAAAAAGACAGAGAGTGGAGAGATGGTACTGAAGGGTGAAGCTGAGGTGGAACAGCAGAAATCTGCCTACTTGTTTACCGGTCAGGGTTCACAGGAGCAGAACATGGGCATGGACCTTTATGCAAGTAGTCCTGTTGCTCGGGCTGTGTGGGATATTGCCGACAAATTTTACTTGAAGACTTATGGTACGTTCTCAATCTCTACAGATGATATACAACTACTGACTATTTTTCTTAGGGTTCGAGATTACAAAGATTGTCAGAGAGAATCCCAAAGAATTGACCATTCATTTTGGAGGGGTCAATGGTAGACGCATTCGACAGAACTACCTTGCGTTGACTCTGCAAACTACTGGTGATGACGGACAGCCAATCTTGGAGAAAGTCTTCAAAGATATCGACGAGGACACAGAGTTCTATACTTTCCGCTCGCCGAAGGGTGTTCTTTTTGCAACTCAGTTTACTCAAGCGGCTATCACACTAGTGGAACTTGCCCGATACAAGGATATGGAATCACGAGGTCTTATTCCGGAGACTTGCAACTTTGCGGGTCACTCCCTTGGAGAATACCCGGCCCTCGCAGCATTCACACAATTTATGTCGATCGAGCAATTAGTAGCAGTTTGCTTCTATCGTGGTATGGCCATGCAAGTTACAGTCAAACGTGACGAGAATGGAGCTTCAGACTACTCCTTGTGTGCTGTCAACCCGAGTCGTGTTTCGAAGACTTTCAACGAAAACATGCTACGCTTCATTACAAAGACGATCGCACAAGAGACTGGCTGGCTTCTGGAGATTGTGAACTTCAACATCTCAAACAGACAGTATGTCTGTGCAGGAGAGCTCATTGCACTTGATAGTCTTCGAAAAATCCTTGACCGCATCACGAAAGGACTGAAAGTTGAGTGGATCAATCGACCTGGAAGTGGCGCAGAGGATGAGATCAAATTCATGTCGACTCTCCATTCTATCATACAAGAGGCTCAACCCCGGGGAACAGTCATCGAATTGAAACGAGGAACAGGATACACACCTCTAGAAGGGATTGACGTGCCATTCCATTCGACCTACCTGCGCCCAGGTGTTGATACGTTCAGAAAATTCCTCGCTTCCAAGATTGATCCGTCAAATATTGATGTGAAGAAACTCGTCAATAAATGGATACCCAACCTTACGGGTAAGCCATTTAAGAATGACCGGAAGTATTTTGAATATGTTTACAACCTTACGGGATCTGTGGCTATTCAGAAGCTATTGAAAGACTGGAGTGAAATAGATTTAGTTCTGTAGTATATTTTAGCAGTGCATTTATAGAGTGAATAAATTTTTTGAGCAATTTTTCAATACTTCATTCGATCTATCTGGAAAAAGAACTATAGTTAACTCTTCAAATACTCGACAAATTATCATGAAGGCGTTGATGCACAATAATTGGAAACCTCTCTATGGTGGGCAAAGCTTAATCCCATGTGTATGTGCTACTGTTCGTACCAAATGCTCCGAACTCATTCATTCGGCCATGTGTACGGCCGAGATGACGGCTGCTAGTGGTGCTACCTATGCAAGACATAGCCAATAACAAGCGAGAGCAGCAGCATAAGTTTACCAAAGCTGGACGGGATTGGGGGAAGGGATCAGTAATCTCAAAGCTTAGTTTTACGTGATATTGTACGTAGCATTGCGCCCTTGCAGTATCGTATCCTTGCAATTAGGGAGATAGCGTTTTCCAAACTAAGTCTTAGAGCTTGCTGTATCTGAAATTATGCTCTTTATCATATCCTGGCACTCGAAGGAGCAATAGAATCTTCTCGAGTACATACCTAACTCGGGACGAGCGAATCCCGCTCATAGCGGCCGCACGGTATCTGTGCAAATGCACGCCGGGAGTTTAAATATGTCATATGCATGGACCGCATGGATGTTATGCGTATCAGAATACCAGCCAACCAAAAAATTAACCCATTGCATGATCCTCGTATTCTAAATTAGGGTTAGAAAGACTGTCCGAAATAGGCAACGTTCTTTTTAACGCTCGGCCCCGGTGATCAGCCGGAAAGCCTCCGTACTAATACTAGTGTGATAGGCTTAATACTAGTCTCATAGGCTTAGCTACGCCTGCGGCCGCATGTGCATGTGCAGGCATACATGGCCCCCAGTAAGCTTAATTTTGGTGGATTCGTATCTAGTATCTAGCGCCTCGCGCTACTTAACGAGTACACAATTCATTACTAGTCCATACAGCTCGATACATAGAGCTAGCTCTGAATTACTTACTAAGCCTAGATAGTATACATGAACCTCGTAAATGAAGTTTGGGTGCGGCTTGAGGCCTTAGCGCTGCGCAAAGTCTCAATATGTTTGACTTTCTGTCGCAATTTTGTGAAGAAATCCTTAGATATGATGATATGACTTGCCCTACCGCTTTCTGTTTCTGGGCTTAGTCCTTGGGTCTGAGTTTGACATTCTCTAGCGGAGCATCGCTGTGGTTAAGGCCCTTAGAGCGAAGCCACCAAGATGGCTCCTACGCCACGAAGTCCACACGCTGTCTAGCGGCTATCATAGCGGTAAAGGATGTTCTTCAAGAGTTTGCCACGCATAAGTAAGCTTTAAACTCCCCGTTGTGCTCCATTCTCAAGATCTTAAAGAACTTCGGATACAACCATAACCCCTCGAATAAGAAAGAGCAACCATGCCAACTGCTGCTAAACTAGACGAGAACTGGTCGAAGACCACAGATGCTGGGGAGAGAAGAAGGATACAGAACAGACTGGCTCAAAGAAATTACAGTATGTCGCATTGCCTTTGCATATTGCTGTCCTCCTCGTGTAACCATTATTCTGCACATAGGAAATAACATCAAACAACGCCTGCGTCAACTTGAGCTACTCAATGCGGGAAATCTCCCCCGGGAGGAGAATAGTGAGGATGAAGTCCTCCAGCAACACAATACTATGACCTACCCTGTAACACAGCCGCCAACATCCAGGCCAGATAACAATTGCGCCTGGCTCTCGAATCAAAATGAGATTTCGGTGACAGGCCACGCAGAGATTCAGATGGATATGACTTCACAAATAGAGCCCAGTCAATTTATCTTTGGTTTAAACACACCTCACTCCAGCAAACTACCATCTCCTCAAGCTCAACCTCCACAATACAACTATTTCGCCAATCCCTCTCCACCTCAAGAACCTCATGCAGCTCTTACTTTCGACCGTCAAACATTTAACCAAGCTGCGCCTCTTACGGGGATGCAGCCACAATTTCAAAATCGGCATATACCTACCGGTACCAAGCCTGATCCCGCAACACAATCTACTTTTAATGTTGGTCTAGTACCAACGAGTAACGGTACAAAAAACATTCCTCTACCGCAATATCCGGCAGCGCCGGCGAGCGGCACGCCCTTACACCACGCTGCCGCCAATGGCCATCTACACATTGTTCGATTTTTGGTATTAAAAGGCGCAAACTTAACAGCTCGCAATGAAGTTGGACAAACCGTTCTACATCTTGCCGCGGAAAGGGGCCATGAGAGCGTGATAGAACATGCCCTGAATCACGGCAATAATGGAGACACAAAGGCATTCATCGACTGGGTCGATGATGAAGGCTATACAGCACTACACCGAGCAGCGGCTGGCGGACACGAGGAGTGTGTACGTGTACTGGTCGAGGCGGGGGCTGAGATTGAAAGCTCCAACAAATCAGCGATGCTGATATCAGCTTTATTCAACAATAAACAAGAATAGAAACAATAGATTTATAGAATTATAGACTTCATTCGCGCATCAAGTCAATCCTTACGCATACGTATGACCTAGGCTTGAATGGCTATAATTGAGTATTCTCTGTTATGCTACTGCTTACATCCTGTACGCAGAGTATGGTACTATCCACAAATCACACCTAACAATTCAGCAATGTACAATTGTGGAGAATTTCATTACAAATCTCCCCGAGCTTCTAGCGGAGTGTAGGTTCCTGTAAGATGTGCCTTCGTATTAGGGTTGAATCGTGACCCACGGATTGTCCTGCCAGTTACTCTATTTCCGAAGTCTCGTCGTGGTCGTGACGGAAATGTTGGATCAGTGGGGAAAGACTAGATAATTTCATTCAGCTGGAGCTGAGTATTAGCATTGGCATTAAAGTCGCGTGCTCCACCAAGCGTATCCGCTGCTGGACTTTGATATTATTTCGTGGGCTTCGGGGCAAGCAAGTGTAACCTATCTACTTCGTAGACGATTTTTCCGCGAAATCTGCCCTTTGAAGGTGGTCTGGCTCTGTTAGGATACCACTCAAAAGGATTTTTCTTACATTAATGTGTGAAACCGATGTCTGAATCGTGTCAGGTAGTAGTTGAAGCGAGTCATGGGCATGCAGGATCTTCGACATATATTGAGCTCGTTCTTGCTACGCAGAAAAGGTGCCCAGTGGAGCTTAATACGTACATTATTGACCTTTCCTGACCGGAGTCTGCCGGTAAACGATCTGGCTAATTGGATGAGGTTGCTGGGGTCTAAGTCTTGAATCAGATTGGATAGCACGCTGAATCAGCCCCAAGTCAGGAATAGCGGTAATAACTGTCAAGAACGACCTGGAGGTTTCAATTGTATGTAAGAGTCTTATTTCAGATCTAAACTTGAAAAAGAAACTGATAATTATGTACGGAAAGTAGAGGAAGGTCGAATTATTGTTGTTGAACGGAGTCGGAGTCGGACTGATATGGCCCCCATGGCTCATATCCGCCACGGATGAGGAATTATAGAATAACCTTGGGCATGATTGGCCTGAAGGATCTGGTCCGGCTCGTATCAAGCGATAGAATGGCTGCGTACAAATGCTTTAATCCAACTACGCCTGTCTCCCCAAGAGTACTTTCCTTCTACGATCATCACGACTAACGCGAACTAAGGCATGGATCAGATAGAAGGGCTGGGCTTGAGGCTTAAGCACGTTGTGTTACATTCATTTATCCTTGAAACACGAGGCATCTTTTGACCAACTGTTAGCTGGGATCTAATCTCGGTACGTGGGACGAACGGTGATTATTGAACTAGGCCTCGTGTGCAGTTGTAGACGAAACGCATACCAGGGGCCAAAAGGAACATCTAGGATGCATATTCTACTTTGAGCTATCTGTTTAAAGTAATTGAAGCGAGTCTGGTGGGTCGAAATGCAAAACCACTGTAGAAAATAGCAAATGCCTAAACGTCTCTAGCGGGCCAACAGCGATGATATCTTCATAGCTCGCAAACAATTACCCAGATGTGAACTAGATAGCTTGATTGCAAGCGAGCGATACGAGGAAAGAGACAACAACATCATCGATGGCACCACTTACGTACATGTGTGGCCATACTCACTACTAGCTGACTCAATGGTATATCCTTCGTGAGCCCGGAAGGAAACACCTTGCGCTCTGACGACCAGACACGTTTGACATGGCCATCGCAACATGGATCAGTTTTGTCTTTGATCATGACTCTAAGAGATGGAATGAAACCCTACATATTATGGCCTGCTATAACTTAAAACTGGCATGTTTCAGTGGCGCCATGCGGACTTGACACATGGACTACGTATTACATAAGATAACAGCCTGTTCCTTGTTTCATTAAGGCCTAGTTGAGACATTACTCGATCTAGGTTTCCACGAGCGAGGTTAGTATACCCAGATTACCATGTTCTATCCCGAGAGAAAGAAATCCCCGAAGAAACGCTCGCAGATTTTAACGAATCTGTAGTATGCAAAACAAACGAGATGTGTGTCAGGGATTACATATACTGTATCTTGGCCCTATCTCTTGTCAAGCACGCCATATTTTACTAAAAAGCAATACGAACTCCTACTCTATACGACGTGGCCATATGCGCTAGTCCGCGAGCTATATTCACTATATTTGGATAGCCGTAGGACTACTGCGCCCTTTGACATGATTATGTCAGAGGGCCCAATGGGCCAATTCAGCAGGCATGTCTTCGGATGCTGCCGGTAGTTGACAGCCTACAGGAAGAAAATGAAACAACAATCATCTCTAATTCATTTCCTACTAAGTCATTAGTACGAGATAGAGTAGTGCGTGAACCCACAACTTGTATCATGCTGAGAAGACAAGTTTCATCAAGCTTTTTAGGGTCTACAGAGCTGAAAGCGTGTTTCTAGTAATGTTAATTTGAGGACCTAGTCTATTTTGTTAACTCGTGGAGGAAATACATTTCTATTATAATTAAGCTGATCGCAAATGTTACGTAGTCAACGGCTTCATTTCGCTTTTTATCTAAAATTGTATGATAGTGACCGCCCCCACTATACTGTTATGGATGCTGCGTACGTGTATAAAATCATAGAACGAAGAAGATCAGCTAGAATAAGCTTTTTAGGGTTCTTGTGGCTATAGCACGCTTCTAATAACATTAATTCGAAGGTCTAGTCTCTGCTACTAAACTGCTTTTGTCAGATCCGCCCCCAGTGGTAGATTTGGAAGAAGCAGCTAGTACTAGCTACATATCATTGGTATACGTATTACGTATGTATATCGTTGTACGTTTGTACAAATTATAAGACAATGGGAAAGACCGGCCAAATTAAGCTTTTAGGACTCTGAGATGATAGCGTGCTTCTTATGAGTAAGGATAGGTTTAGGGTCTAGTCTCCGTTGTTAGACTCTGAGGCTTGTCCGCCCCCATTAGAATACGTAGCTATATATTGACCACGTACGTCGGTAAACCCGTGTTTGATTGAGTGAAGACACTAAGCTAAATTAAGCTTTTTAGGGTTTACCGGGCTGATAGATCATAGCGTGGCTCCTAACAGCGAGGTTAGTTTAAGGCCCGAAGGCTAAGTCGCTGCTGCTAAGCTGTTTGAGGCAGCTGAGATTAGTCAAAAGTTTATTCTACGACGGATAACTTAGTATAGAAAACTGTACGATAGGTTGTATCGTCCGCCCCCACGGTCAGATCAGTGGATAGCGCATCCTTATCTCACTCTGGCGCTCAGCCACGTACTCCATACTATGTAATCATCGTACTAGAACCGCTCCATATCGTGACCTCCTAGCCAATTGCCTTGGAGCATTGGCCATATTATGTTTTGGCCAATTTTGTACGTATCCACATGTACTGCGCCTAAGCGTCATTCCAATCAATGTCCATACGTAGCCCCTCGTATTTAAAGCCCGGGCTTTCGAACGTATCAAATAACCTTTGCCGCCAAGTCCTTAAGCGAATACTGAGCGCAGGGGATGGCTGCAGTGCATATCTTTGACCTCTCGGCGGCCAATCTTATATCTAGATAAGACTACAAAGCAGCGAACTGCTTTTGCACGTGTAGTGGCCGCATTAACGTGCATTTATCGATCTACATATTCGGTCGTATGCGCGGCGGAACTTTATAGCGTATCAGATACTGATGTAAGCGAAGAGACAGCGCAGGGGCTAAATCTTTGACTTTCTCGAATCTCGGATCCTTCTTGGATTGCCTGGCCTTCGCAAAAGCTCCACGTATTAAGTTATTTATTTCTTCTTGGCAGTTTCAATAGTAATAAATCCATGAGATCTTAAGTGATCGTCATCATATCCACATTGAACTCCTTCCAAACGCTTGAACTTTTGGGGGATATTTAATACGAGATAGACTTCTTGTCCTCTTGGCACGCTGGAGTTGAATGCTCCCCGAACTTACCCGTACGAGCCAAGCGCAAGAAGGATCAATAAGATCGCAAAGAGAGAAATTCGCCCACTTCCGTGAGAAAAAAAGTCAACAACAGAAAGGTTATTCAGTAGAATCTATCATGTTTGCTAACTAAAATCTAAGTATGAAATGAGAGCGGCAACACGCCGCATAAGTCGAAACACCATAAAAATCAACCTGAGTAGAGTCACGGTCGGACTCCCGTAGATGAGACAATTCTGCTAATGAATTTACGAATTGTCCTCCGTAAGCTTCATGCGGTAACAATTTCAGGGCCTGCCCTTATGGGGATCTCAGTCTGAACGACAGAGTGAGCTCCATTCACATCTGGTTTGGATTCTGTAGTCTCCGTGGTGGATGGGACTTCGTTCACAACTGGTATGGATTCTGTAGTTTCCGTGGTGGATGGAAATTCGTTCACAACTGGTTTGGATACCGTAGTCTCCGTGACGGAAGGAAGTTCGCTCTCAATTGGCTTAGATACTATAGTATCTGCGTTGAATTCAATTTCTCCGGTCTGCTTTGATTCATTCTCAGCAGTCTCAGGAATGGCTTCCACAGCCACAGGGCCGTCCACATTAGCTTTGACAAATTGGAGGAAATATTCTCCTAGTTCCTTGCCTTCACCAAGCTCGCCCGAGTATCCAAGGATGCCATCAGGTCTTAGAACAACGACACCACCTAGAGCTGCCGAGAAGCCATAAGTGCAGGCAGCGGACATGTCGGCGTCGTAGAAAGCTTTACCCCAACGACCTACTCCGAGGTAATGATCTGCCTGTGGGGAGTCTCCTGGGATGATGGTGAGGTAGTTGATAAAGTCAGGAACCTTACGAGTGAAGGAGTCCTCGCTGTCGAAGTAGGATCGCAAACTCTGCAAGCTCTTGCCGGTTAATGCCGGATTTCCAGTGAAAACCAAGACATGGAACCTTCCAACGTTCTTGGTGACTTGGTGCAGACGAAGAGGGATTCTAGATCCAGGGCGTCGCAAAAGTACATCAGGGCCCGCCCAGCCTGCTGCGATTAGACCGATATTTGCTTTTTTGTTGAGAATATTTTGCTCGTAGTGAACATCGAGACCGAGAGTATACCGCATCGTGGATGCGATGAATTCTCCAAGAATTTGGAAAGAATTCATGCCAGGTTTGCCCACTCCCTCTGGAATCTTTCCTGTGATTAGTGCGGAGAGTGTCTTGTCCTGGTCAATGATGCGCTGGGCCTCTGGTTTTCTCTCGTGCTCATATGTATCCAAGACAGATTCATCATACCACCCTTTGAGGTATCCACCTAATTTCCAGGACAAATTCAGGGCGTCCTGAGCGCCTGCATTCATACCTTGGCCAGCGCCAGAAGAATGAGAGTGGCATGCATCTCCGGCGAGGAATACTCTCTGCTTTCTGAAGGTTCCGGCTACTCTTTGTCCGACACTTTTCAAAAGATTAGCCACCAATACACAGCCAAAAAAGTCAATGTCGTGAGCTTACCTGTACAAAGTCCACCAGTCAACAGTCTCAAACTCTAGACTGAATGGGGCGACAGCTTCTTTGGCGGCTTGTCGTACTTCAGCTTCGGTAATGTCAGTGCCAAATCGATCGGCAAGCGCTGGTGGCAATGAAAAGCCGATACGAGTTCGGCCATGGTCCTGGCACATCCACAAGACGTGGCCGTAGACAGGAGACTCAATGGAAGCCATGCCAACACGGGCATCAGGCATATCAGTCTTTACGACTGCATCCATTCGGAACCATTTGATTCCAGTGTTGTCACCAATGAAGGGAATTTCGGAAAGCTGACGAACAGCGGAATTCTTTCCATCAGCACCGACAAGGTACTTGCTGTACATATAATTAGCTTGATAATCATTCACGGAGGCGTCGAAAGTTACCATTTAATTTCATTCTCTTCTCCAGTAGCATTGTTCTTCACTCGTACTGTCAATGCATAATCATCGGCAGCATCATCATCCTGGACAATCGAGACCAGCTCATATTCTTCATAAAAGGCACCTCCATGTGACTCAAATGCTTTTCGGAAGATCTGCTCAGAGTACTTTTGTCTGATGTTGATCACGTAATCAAAGTAGGTTCCCTGTAATTGATTGAACATTGAGTGATAGGTACCTGAGATCACTCTCTTTCCGCCGTTGTAGTTGACGTAGCCGCGGGAAATATGAGCAATCTCGGCCATTTGCTCGAATACATCCACTTGATCGAGCAGTTCCAATGTTCGTGGGTATAACAAACTAGCTCGGCCAAATCTGGCCTGCTCAGACTTCTTACATTTTTCTTATTGAGGGTTAGGGTTCGTGCCATTCAACGAGTATTTCCAAAACTTACCTAGTACAACTGCTGAAATTCCCTGGCGCGCAAGACCTAGACCTGTGAGAAGACCAGTTGGGCCTCCTCCACAGACCAAAACATCGACACGGTCCAGCATTTTCGAGTTACAAGTATAGAGTAGAATTCAAATTTTTGGTAGCAGATGCTGAAAATGGATGCTGAGGGTAAAGCTACAGGTTATAGATTTGGTCAAGTACTGAACTAGAATATAATATAATTGGAATATCCCAAATACCACACCGTACGATTTACACCTGATGTATCAACATGTAAGCGATCAACTGAGCCTGGGGCGAAACAAATACATAGTCGTAACCTTCTTAATAAGCTTAAACTTAACACACATCCCTGCCCAGTAGTAATTTTCGATACCGCAAAGGACTAAAGACATAAACGGCCGAATCTTAGAAGAACACTAGCTTTGCTAAGCGATCTTTCGATCAGCCGGCAGCCGATGCCTGTCGCCTTAGACTAAGCGCTAAAGCAACTAGTTTAAGCTCAATTAACCTAGCAGAATATCTTACTGATATGCATGCTCTACTAATCAACGGCTGACGGCTTACAGTACCTACTAAGCAACTACTAATGGACAACACAGCTGTACAGATACTGTTGCTTTTACTCGTACTCTAACATTGATCAAAATTACGCTTTTTCTGTACTAGATAAATTTTAGCGCCTTCCTATTTCTACATCACAAACGTGTTGTTTTATCGTATATAACCATGTCGATCATCAGCCGAATATTCTATCAATCTGTTGGCACATAGCCTAGAAGTCGTAATAAATTAGATTTTGATAGTAGAAATAAAATAAAAGGTCCTAATTTAATATTTGTGCCCATAGCAACAAGCCGTAAACATTTCATAAGCCTCCCATTAGGGTTTCCACCGGGGGGCCATTTCCACCTCTAGACCTGAACACTTCATCAACTAGGCTGTAGGGGCCATTTTCTATCTCTCGGGGCTGTATTGTTGGTACAGTACAACTCTACTTGTAACGATTACACACTGCGGTATACCCAAATGGGTAGTTTTGGAAGCATTTTCAGCAACTTCTTGTTACATGCTGACTAGGCCTCGGCATAATACTATCGTTTCTGGATTGACCAAGGCTATTCTATTGATAACGGAGAACGCCAGGCAAGGTTTACCCTTATAAATGGTCCAAGTCTTCAAGACGGTGGGCCGAAGTAGTGATTTTCTTGCATTCCTACCAAACACTTGCCAACCCCATCTAGTACCTTGTGTAGTGCTAGACCTTGGTCATAGAGAAGCAGCATGTCGTCTGTTTCATTTTATCTCCTAGGCGAGGACCCATCCACCGCTCGTGTCATTGAGGTCCCAGACAAAACCGACCATGAGAGTTTACAATACCTGATTGCCTCTCATTTCGCGGTTGTCCATCCCAAGGGTTAGTATTTCTCCAAGTCTAATGTATTGAGAGTGTGCACTTACATGTTCTCTAGGTATTGCCTTTAACAATGAAGACTCTGTTCTTGAGTCCGTTCCAGATATTCTTGCACACGAAGGTCCTATCGCCATCACTATCGATGGCAGAGGCGTGCGCCCMGTTCCTGGGCCCCAGGGKCTTCCCTACGTAGGAAACTACTTCGAGATTTTCCCTGATCATGTCGGAAACCATCAGCGCTTGTACCAGCAGTATGGTCCTCTTTTCAAGACCACCAACATGGGTTGTGTAACCTATCATACCAACGACGCGGTCCTGAGTGCAATCGTCTTTGATGAGAGCGATTTCTTCTCCAAAAATATCATCGAAGGCCACCCCATGCGTCCGCTCAAGAACCCAGATGCCGGTATCTTTGTGTCTGACACAAATACTGAAGCATGGCGCATGTCTCACAAGTTCATTTCCCCTGCCCTTGGCCCTAAGGCTGTACGACACTACGCCCCTGTTATGCAAAAGGTGGTCGAAGAATCTTTCCCCGTCTTTGATGAACTTGGTGACCGCGATGAGGCTTGGAATGCTTGGCCTTATATGCTTAAGATGTCTTCATCGATTATTGGAAAGTTGGTTTTGGGTATGGATTTCAAACACTTCGAGGCTGTTGACACACCAATGCACGAAGTTCCCCGTCTCATTGCGCACTTGCTGGAGTTGAACAAGAAGATCTCAACCAAAGGTGATTGGTACAACAAGCTTCCTTTCGGTGATCCTGCTCGTCTCCGTGCGTCGAAGAAGCGTCTCGATTTCCTTTTCGAACAGGCCATCGTGGCGGCGGCGTCTGGTGGTGTTGAAGACCTAGAGCTTCAAGAGGCTGCCTTGAAGGCTGAGAATATTGTTGGTAAGTGATAGCTTTTGCTCTTTCAATTGGCTATATCTACTAATTTTCACATCAAATAGACTACTTGCAACGTGCCACAGATAACAAAGGAAACAAGATGCCTAGAGATCGTCTCGTAGATCCCTTGATTGTCACAATTGCTGCTGGTTTCACTACCACAACCACCATCTTGGCATGGCTCCTATACGGATTAGTCGAATACCCTGGCATGCAAGATCGCCTTTTGCAAGAGTTGATCGACTTTGGCTTCACAGAGGACACCGTCTGCACGGTGGATCTCATCAATAAGATGCCCTTCCTCGATGCCTACGTCAAGGAAACCCTTCGCCGACACAGTCCCTCATTTCAGCCTGCACGAACATCCAAGGTTGACTGTATCTTGCCCGGCGCCTACAAACTCCCCAAGGACTCCGTCGTGATTTCCGAGACTTGGCACATCCACAACAACCCCAAGGCCTGGGACAACCCAACTCGCTTCGACCCTGACCGCTGGCTCGGTGACCAGGCCAACATCCCCAAGGGCGCTTTCGTTCCCTTCGCTACCGGTCAGCGTATGTGCATTGGTAACAGTTATGTGTTGCAGGCCGTCAAGATCTTTCTCCCCAAGTTGGTATACCGCTACGAGTTCAGCCAAGCTAGTACCGAGGCTGTTGAGTACGAGCCTTACTTCCAGCTCATCCGTCCTACGAATTTGTATGTCCGTGCTGAGAAGAGGGTTAAGTGGCCTCCCAAGACCGAGGCTTAAGTTAGATGGCATCATTACAATGGTCATATAGTTTGTATGTTACGATCGCATTATAAATAGACTGATCTGCTTGACTTGCGGTTAATGCATTTTGTATCGGAATGGTGACTCACTCATTCGTCGCCGAAGCTTATAATTGCATCTGCTATCCTTTAGAATTGTATCATAAGCGTTTTAAGAGGCATCTTGCAGCTGCATTCTCATCTGTTTATGGTTAAACCATGATGCTGAGATATCTTTGGTCGGTCATTCCGCCGAGCAGAGAAAAAAGTATCCTCCGTGAAGAACACTGATTAACAACATTTGCAATTTAGAGCCTACTGTAACTACAGACAGTTGCCCATTTTAGAGTTCTACTGTATTTGTGGTGCTACGATTGGATAACATGGGATAAATAGATTAACTGAACGTATTTCAAAGCATACTAGTCTAGCGCTAGCTTGTAAAGTTTTATTCCAAACCAAGAACTAATTCGTTGTTTCCAATAATCCAATAAAATTCCTCTAATACAAACGTGCCTCATAGATACCTCATGGAAGACCCAACCATCTTGGCTGATCGCCGAATACAATTTCCTGATCAAGCAAAAGCTCTTCTTCTACGCTCGATCCGCTCAACAAGGTTGGAGGCTGGATCCAACGGCGAGCCACTGCAATAGCAACAGCATTGTCATCGCGTGCAGCATCAGCAAGAAGCAAGATGCCAGAAGTCAACGTGGCAACCCGAGTCATAATCTCTCGTCCATTTCTGGTGATGAATTCAATCGAGTTCGATGCTATGGCAGTTTGCAATTCTGTCCACTGCTGGGTTATTATCGCCACTTCGGGAGCAAGGGACTCCTTCTTGGGCAATGCAGACTCGACCCAGCGGCCGTAGGCCTGAGCGACGTATGCGCCAATGGGTCCCTTCAAGACCTTGACGACATCAGTGGCAATGACATCTGTTGTGCCTTCACCAATGAGGATGGCAGTGCAGTCTCGGAATACACGTGCGACGTTCATGCCCATCTCGTCGTTTTCAAGGTATCCGACACCACCGAGCGACTCCATGCTGGTTCTTAGAACATCGACACAGTCCATGGTTGCGGTGGCCTTGGCGACAGACCCGAGCAGTCGTAGCAGGGCTCCGGCGTCCTGTGCGTTTGACGGTACGAGATCGATCAGAGGCGTTGTTTGTTGCTCGGTCTTGCTCAGCAGGGCCGCAACAAACGTGCAAAGCGCTAAATGAGCGCGGTAGGCAACATGGGCCTTGGCAAGGGTCTTCATGTGCAGAGGCACGCTGCTGAGACGAGTGCCGCGAGCAACTTTACGAACTCGTGCGAAGGAACGGGCAATTGAAAGACCACGGGCTGCGTAACCTACCGAGACCATGGCGAGGTGGATACGAGTGATATTGAGTATGACACCAATCTCATTGATACCCTTGCCTTCTCGGCCGATCAGGTATCCGCGCATGCCATTGAGCTCGAGCTCTCCGGTAGGGAGACCCTTGGTACCCATCTTGTTTTTGAGACGGCGGATACGGACGCCGTTGAGCTCGACACCGGCCACACCATTGACAGTGGCGGCGCGGCGCATGGGGACATAAAAGGCACTGAGGCCTTTTTCAGTGCGCGCGACGGCAACAGCCATCGATCCTTCAGTGCTAGTCGAGAACCACTTGAGACCATTAAGGACCCAGGGTCCGAGAGGGAAACCGTCCGCGTCTTTAGCCTCTTCGTCTGGGCCGAGAGGAGAGTAGGTGGCTGTAGTCTCGGTAGGCGTCAAGTCACTGCCACCAGCACGCTCAGTCATCCACAGTCCGGAGGTCCAGCCTTTATCTGGGTCGGCGGACGAGAGACGGTCATATGCGTGCTGGAACAAGGCTCGGGTTGCATCGTCGAGCTTGTTGTCTTTAAGATGGGCCAGCAGGAGAGTACCCACTCCGTCAGACAAGATCAGGTGGAAGTTGGATGTCGCGGAAGCCGGGGAAAACAGATGCAACTTTAGCACCTGAATTATTCTGGCGTATCCTTCATAGTCATTGGTGAGTGAAGGCAAGGCAGCCAATCTGTTTCACCATATCAGTTTCGCTAGCTCGGTGCAATTCAAGTGGCGTGTGAAAACAATATACCGCTCGGTCTTCCCCCATCGCCACGCATTCTTCCACCCTTGGCTTGTAACGAGCTCATCCTTCTTCTCACCCCAGCTATCCCAGTGCTGAACCTGTGGAGGAGAGCGTTCGGTATCCGCAACCCAGTCCATTGCCTCCTTCGAGATAGCGAACTGAGCCACTCCACTCATTTCGCCATCGACGCGGCTCTTCACCTCGGCGGGKAAGTATTGTTCGAGGATTCTAGCGAAAGCCACATCATCTGTGTAAGGATTCTCTAGCTTGGGAGTTGGGCGCGTTTGGGGCTTGGGTACTGCTGCCTCAGGGGTCACTTGAACAGTGGTGACTTGAGTCGCCGTCTTGGTCAGATCCGGCAAGATGGCAGTCTGGACATTCTCGCTGATAGCAGCCATTTTTCAAGGTATCTATCAGAATGAATTAATAAAAATGGATAAAAGAAGTGAGTATGCTATCGAAAGACCAAGGCCCTTTGTCCGCGAAGAGTCTATTTGAACCGATTGAATACAAAATGGGAGCAGCTCGTCGGAGAAACAGAAACCAGTTTCCGAAGAATCATACCTCTCTCAAGCAGTTTTGTCCCCCATTTCTCTACACTTAGGCCCCTCCATACATTTGTATGGAGATCAGCCCATACGGAGTAGGTCGCATACTGATTGGGTAGCAAACAAATAACATTGTATGATTGTTCCGATACGCATCGCATGTTGACCTGAAGATCACACTGTTCGATTAGGGCTAAGGGATATACGACAGGCGACACCCTTACAAAAGCTTAGTAGGTGGTTAGTATGCCCTAAGTTACTCCGTATGTCTGATCACTTTACTTCCAAAACGGGTAATTTTAGGGTATCATACAATACTTCCAAAATACTCACCTATTTTTTTTTTAATGATACTGGATTATGATTAGTCTGACTAGCCGTAATATCGCCTGTCATTCTGTACTCCGTATCTCGGTACTTGTTTCCTTGAGTCAGCTTTCTATCAGATTAGTTTAAAGATGGCTAGGGCTTACTCAGCTTAGTAGAGCATGCAGGCAGCTTTGCCTCAATTGTATTAGCCCTGGGTACTTGCGTATTGAGCTATCGCTTTATAGCTCTAGTCTGCATAACCCGATCAGATTAGTAGCGTGAAGAATCAAAGATGGCGCTAGTAACGCAACACGGGGCATTGCTTAGTAGGTGTCAGATCTATACTGTAATCAGCAGGCTTCGCGAATCAGTCTAGAAAACGTGCTTTATCAGTTCGTATGCGCCCTGGGGGCGGAAGATCATCCTTATTAGTGTGCATTAGTGTGAGTTTATTTAGAGCTTGTTGACTGATTTGCAGCTAAATAACTGGTGCTAGATAATACTAAATCTCCTATTCTATGGGGGCCAAAGCTTATCACTCCAGTCATTGGCAGCCGAGCTCTCTAGATTGCTGGAAGAAGCCCTAACGCACATTAAAATTCGGCCCCAAGGTAGCTCTAAACTAGGGCTTATCACGGATCCTGCCGAAGGATCGTAGCGCTAGTAGTACATGTATCTATATTGATATATACACGAATTACTTACCACTAGTTACTAATCGTATCTACTGAGATACAAGCTTAATGTACAGCTTTGGGTTCACTACTAATCGACTGCTGACGGGACGCCATAGCCCTTCTTTAGTCTGCCAGATAGTAGGGGTCCAAAAGTTTCAGCTCCGCGATTCGAGTCAGTATGCGAACGGTTTAACAGTCCGGGTCAAATTGGGTCAAGGGCCGTGTTGGTTAGATTGAAAGATGTCGGCCAACTTTTCAAGTTAAAAAAATATCCAAGTCCGTTGCATATCCAAAACTTGCAGCAACTCCCACACAGCGTACCCAGGTGGCACGCTTTGACATACCCGCCATCATGAGCGCAACAACAGAAGTCCCCGAATTCACGATCGAGCAAGTGGCTGAGCACAATCGCGAAGATGACTTGTGGATCATAATCCACGGTGAAGGTGGGATTTCATCCTTGAGAGTATACCCAAATATTTACAGATCACTGACAAAGACATATAGTGTACGATGTCACAAAATACGTGCGTGATCATCCCGGTGGAGACGATATCTTGATTGAGATCGGTGGAACGGATGGCACTGTCGAATTCGACGCGGCAGGACATTCGGACGACGCATGGGATATCACAAAAAGCCTCCTCGTCGGTAAATTGAAGAAAGGCGAAACCCAGAAGTTCAAAAGACCCGAGACAGGACGTTTGATAGCTGCAGCTCCTGCTGCACCGATACCCCCAAAGCCCAAGCAGACTGGTGGTTCTTCGCGAGCTCTTACTACTTTGTCTCTTGGTCTCGGCTCTTCGCTCGCAGCTTTCGGCCTTTGGTGGTATACGAAGCAAATCGATCTCACTACCCTGCCCAAGTCGGTGAGCTTCGCAAATACAGAATTCTTCCGACAGGCCATTGCCGCCGTCAAGCGCAAGGAGTTCGGCTTCACTGATGGTATCATCGTCGCATCCACTGCGTTTTCGCTCACGCTAGGCGCAGCTGTTCAACGCCTCGGATACATCTTACAGTATTACACCTCACACAAGGCACACATGAAAATCCCTAGATTGCCGAAACGAAACGTGCTGAATGGCCGCGGCTGGTTGGATCCTACTACTTTCCAGAAGCTGCCTCTCGTCAAGAAGGAGGTTTTGTCTGCTGACTCCTACCGCTTCGTTTTTGCGCTCCCCCGCAAGGATATGATAGCCGGTTTGCCTATTGGCCAGCATGTCTCCATTCGCGGCCTCGTTGACGGCAAGCTCGTTCAACGGTCTTATACCCCGATCTCTAACAACGCCGACCGCGGTGTTCTCGAATTAGTTATCAAGGTATATCCCAATGGTGCCCTCACAAACGGTTACTTTGGCAAACTCGAGGTTGGCGACAAGGTTGAGTTCCGTGGTCCCAAAGGCGGTATTCGTTACGTTCCTGGAATGTGCAAGAAGATTGGCATGGTTGCCGGTGGCACTGGTATCACACCAATGTACCAGCTCATTCGCGCCATTTGCGAGAACCCACGCGATACCACTGAGGTCAGCCTCATCTATGCCAACCGTTCAGAGAGCGACATCTTGCTCCGTCAAGAGCTGGACAACTTTGCTCGCAAATACCCAGAGAACATCAAGATTTACTATGTACTGGAGCAGACGCCCGCTGGCTGGCAGGGTGGTAGTGGATATGTGACCAAAGACATGATTGAGGACCGATTCCCTGTACCTTCGGCATCAACAAAGATCTTTTTGTGTGGACCACCACCCATGATTGATAGCGTTAAGAAGTCTCTTGGATCTCTTGGTTTCAAGCAACCGAATGCTATTGCGAAGCCTGGTGATGATGTCCTTCTCTTCTAGTCAAGCATTGATGGGTTTTTTTGAGTGTATCAAAGCTGGAAGATTGCCGCGTTATATAGAGTTAATATCTTTTCCAGCTACAACCTCCGTCTCTAAGTGTTACACCGCGTATGAGTAGGAAACTATGCAATGATAGTGGAGTATAAGCCTGGATGCTAGACTGTCGCTTAAGGATCATCTGCTAAATTTCAGATAATTCAATTGTTAAGAGTATGCGCTTAAACATGTCAATTGAAATCTATCTATCTCTAGCTCATATAACATAACGAAACAAGATCATATTGACAACCTAACTCCATATATTTGAATCATCACGAACAAGTACAATGCTCCCATCTATTTCGACGTCCCAAACCACGTCCTCCTAATCGCATCTAGATACGTCTCCGGGTCCTGCTTGTAATGTCCAACATGCGTACTTCCCTGGAACTTGACCAATTCCACTGCCCACCCCTTCTGCTGTGCCTCTTTTGCATGCTCCTCCACATCCCCGGTTCCAATAATATCATCCCCATCCGAATAGATATAACACCTCCTATTTCCCTTAATCGCTCCCTTAGAACTGTTCATCTGCTCCCTAACGGTATCCAAGATATCCAGACCCGGCGTAACAAAGTCCTTGAGTTGAATAACGCACAAGATCGTTCCAAACACAAAACTCAACGCCATCCTCGGCACAAACGCGCGCGGCAAGCTGCGCGACAAGGCAGTCCAAGTCTGAAAAAATCGCCAGCGACCAGGAGCACTGTCCATGATTGTGACTGCGTTCGAAAGAGCGCGACCCGTGGTTTCGAGATATGCCGCGTTGATTGTGGACCATGTCTTTGAGCCTGCATTCGACATGACATGTACCAGTAACGTCGATTCGTCAGCGGACTCAGCTAGGATCTTGACAGCTGGAGAAACGAGTTTGCGTTGAGCACTGTTTGAGCGATACAGGAAATCGGCCACGCCGCCCCGGACGAGAACAATCTTTGCGCTCGGGTAGAGTTTTGTGTACATGTTGGTGTACTTTTCGATGTGTTTGGCAGCCGCATCGCCCCAGGAGAGAAGCAGGATTGTCTCTGGCGTGGCGGCTAGAGTCTTGCTGCTGGATCGCGAAGATTGCGTTCCCTCGCCTCCTTCGGTTGTTGGAGAAGGGGAGCGAACCAAGACGATTTCGTTGATGCGTTTGAAATCAGATAGTGCCGCCATTGTGAATGGGTGGCCGTTGTTTCTAGAGAATTTCTCTTCGGATGGCTATTGACGACAAAATTGGCTCGACTAGGCTTTGACACAATAACTATGTGACCAGCTATAAATTTATTTATTTAAAAAAGCTATACACACAGAATACTAGTGTGTATTTTTATCAAATTGTACCGCACAGCGTAGTGAGTGGGCTAGTTATGCAGCCTCGAAGGAACATGCGTGTTTGACACTTGACTCTCGGTCTTTGCCAGTAACGGCAGGKGGGTAGTCAGTCAAGGAATATCTAAAAGCAACAGCCAATTGGCCAATTGTGGTAGCTGATTATGCTTCGTAAACTTTGTGCAGGGGGCTTGGGGGCCATATCTGACTGTGCAGCACTGATTAGAAGGAGCTGGTATTAGGGCTTGACGAAAGCGGGTACCAAGGTTTGGGCTTGAAGACGAACTGTCTCTCTCAGCTACCTCTACAATCTCTTGACGTTAGTTAATCCTTCTCGGTTTGTTTTCTAGCTGTTTCAGCTTTGGACAAGAATTTATCAGAGCTTAGGTACAGTCCTGGAGGGTAGAGGTAGAGGAAACGTCAAAAACTGCAATCTATGTTTTTCGCTATGCTTGCTCTATCTGTAGGTATATATTAAAGTTTTCATAAAAAAACGACAATAAACAAATTATGGCTTCATGATTTCGGCTTGCTGTCTACAAGCCTTTTTCGCGAACTTCAATTTTACGCAGCAAACGACTCGTAAATAGCTTGAGCTTTGTAGAGCACTCCGTATGACTTAACTTAAACACTGTCGGCCTTCTTAGTACGCTTCGCAGCCCTGAATCCCGCAAATGTCATGTATAGAGCAATCACCGCAGCGAATGCGGATGTAGCGGTTCCCAAATACTGTAATAATAGTGTTAGTACGTAGCCTATAATTTCGACCTGCAAGGGAATCATAAACTTACAAACACGTTGTCAATAGCCTTGTTATAGGCTAGAATAACTCCCGGCAACTGCTCAGCAGTAACAACATTCCGTACACTAGAGGCACCCGCATCAATGATCGCAGTGACATTGGCGCCAGGGGCATATTCCGGAATGTAAGAGATCAGAGTACTGGACAGATCTGTGTCTGCAAGGGCAAGGAATACACCACCGCCAAAGAATTGTCCGAAGAGGACCATGGCGACACCGATGGGGATCTTGGTGGGTTCGAGACCCTGCTGAACGGCGAGAATGGGTTGTTGTTGCGTGATACCACGGCCGAAACCAGAGAGGACCTGGTAGCCAACCCAGACGCCGACCGAGGAAGAGGGGACGAAGCGGGTCATGAGACCGGCACCGACGGCTGCGATGGAGTTTCCGACGAACATGTAGAGAGAGGTGTTGGGTTTCTTGGCTGAATAGCATCCAAGTTAGCAAATAATCTGTGCACGAAGTTCTCGATGGGCTGGATACTTACCAATAAAACCAGTGGTCATGGTAATGACGATAATCGGCGCAGCAGTGGCCATATAGTAGGCACCGCTAGCAATCGGAGAATCGCCCTTGACAGTCTGGAACCAGACAGGCAAGTAGTACGAAAAGATCCAAAGGGACGCAAACTGCGTCATGTTAATTACACAGGACGACCAAACCACGGGCTGCTTCATGATTGATCCCGGGATCATTGCGGAATCTCCACGTCGGCGTTCCCAGAAGCAAAAGACGATGAGCGTTACGCCGAATCCGACGAAGAGGCCGATGATGGTGGATGAGCCCCAAGCGTATGTGGTACCACCCCACTGGAGAGCCATCAAGAGCATGATGCAAGTGGGAGCGAACAGGCCGAATCCGATGGGGTCAAGACGGTTCATGGCTTCCAAGAATGTTTTGGCGAGCTTGGTCTTGTCGCGGATGTCGGGGACGCGGATGAGCATGATGGCGCCGAGGGTTACAGCGCCAAGGGGGAGGTTGATGTAGAAGCCTGCTTGTTTTTAGTTCCAGCTCTCAATGATATCTCGGATTGTAGGATGGACATACACCATCTCCAGGTAACCTTCTCTGTGAAAACACCTCCGATGATGGGACCGATGACTGATCCGAGAAGGGAAAATGCGTACACGAGAGCAACGAGACCTGTTCAGTTGCGATACGTTAGTCAACTATTTCCCGCTACACTTTTTATCGTCAAAATGATCTTACCAGGACGTTGCTCTTTCGTTGAAGAGGCTGCGACAATGGCAAGACCACCGTTGAACAGACCGGCACCACCAATGCCAGCAATGGCTCGGCCAATGATGAATGCAGTTGACGTAGGAGCCAATGCACAGATCAGAGAGCCGACCTCAAAGACAACGACGAATACGAAGAAGACGTTTTTGGAATAGTAGTTTTGCAAAATCTTGCCCATGATGGGTGCGCAAGAACACCTGGCAAGAGTTATTAGACGGTGAAACAGATTTATCAAGGACGTATCTAGATCGCAATACTTACAATGTGATAAGGTACGCACTTCCGTACCAACCAATATCTTTGATGGTTTTGAACTGAGTGGTAATAGCGGGGATAGCCTTTCCAGCAAGTCAGTCGCGCAAATCGCGATACTCGGCGCATAGCAAAAGTAACTCACGGTCGTAATAATAGCAACGTCCATACTGTAGATGAAACCAGCCAACGAAACAGCAGCAACAATTGTCCATAACTGGACCGCAGGCAGAGGCTGAGGACCAGCCGGCGCAGCTGGCGGAGCAGCTGGCGCAGGACTGTCCACACTCTTCTCGCTTTCGATGCCCGCTACACCTTCTTCGATGCGCTTAGGCTCATTGCTCAGAGAGCCCTCGAACTCGGTGGAGGTGTTGGACTCCGGCATTGCGGCGATGTGTGCGATATTCTGTACAGTTCACGAGTCCAGCAGTCAATGTATAAGTCGATTACTGTGATCAATTCAAGATAGGAACAATATAATTTACAGTTTTCAAAAATAAAACACAGACAAATCCTTCATATTTATTAATTGTGACCCCCTGGGTGTAGTGATGCGACTCCGTCGGAGACGGAGTGGTAGCTTTGTCTCCGACCAGCTCAGCTTAGGGCTAGCTTCACACGCTACTCTGAAAACGTTTGCCACCTTATTGCTTTCTTTATACTTTACTTAGTATTTGCCCACTTAGCGCACGATCTAGCGTTGCGCATCATTCCGAGGTCTTCGCTTTGAGTCTAGAGTATACGTAGTCGAGGTGGGTTAGGTGAGATAATCTCCCCGACGGCTTTCCTTTTTAGGGCTTCTTTGCACTGGAAACATCGCAATCCCAGACAACATCCACGACCAACAAGTCATTCCATTGATCCGAATACAAACTCGTATTCTCTGACTAGTAATTACCTACGTAGCTGATATCTTATCAATTGCGTATGCGGACGCATCCCCTCCATTGGGGGCGACAGTACGCATTAGCGCAAATTCAATATCCGAACTTGCTTATGTTAGTCAAAACCTAGGATGAGCACTAAGTATCGGATCTACAATAGCTAATATTGTTAAGTTCAGTCCATTGAAACTACCCAATTGCATGTTTCAGGTCTAGGTACACACTAATGCATTTGTGCAAGTGCGTACTGTTCCGCCCCCATGCCAGTAAAGAGCTATCTTGGAGGGGCGTGCAGGCTAGCTGGAAAGGTATTTTACTTCTTTTTTGCTTCGTTCATGATTCGGCAAGGATCCGGAAGAAGGACAATTTAGCCCTATGTTTAGCTTAGCTATGGATTAACCTATGCAGCCATATGGAGACAGTGTAGTAAGCACTGATCCGCGCCGACCCACTTGCAGAGCTTAGCCTAAGAGGAGACTAAATTTTGTTCACAAATCGTGAGTCTGAAGTCTATATTTCGTAACAATCGTAACAGTTTAACTAAGTATTACACGGCGCTGAACCATCTTGCATGGTTTGCCAGAACCTATCGTCCCACAACCCAAACTGATCCAGCCGAAAATCATGAAACGATGGCGCCACCATCGACATGCCGTTTGCTGATGGTTGTGTGCCGGCAGCGGCAGTGGAAAGCGTGGCAGAGGGGACGCTCTCATTCGACAGCAAGTCATCGAATCGCATCCGCACCTGCCTCAACCTTCGGCTACTTTGTAGCCACGGCTTGTTGGTCTCCATCACATCGTACCGTGAACTCAGCTCTTCCGTCCTGGTGACGAGACTATCAAGTAGAGTCGACAGGTCGATGGATGGTTGCGCGTAGTTCACGTCCCAGTCGTCCGCTTTGAATAATGATAGCTTCGACAGGGTCGCCAAGGCGAGGTAGAGTTGTTGTAACGATATCGCGGAGAAGGTAAAGTGGGGTTGTAAGTTGAGTGAAAAGTAGATGTTTATAAGTGTGCGAGTCGCTGTGAGACACATCCATAAGGCGTCGGCTCGCTTGGGCGACGGGCCCTGGGCTGGATTCGTCGGCGTCATAAAGAAGCATAATTCGTAAACGAGTATTTCAACCGCATGGTAATGCATCAGCATCATTGCTATGACACTTCTAGTCAGCATGTGTTGCGATGCATATGTCAACGCCACTTACAGTCTTGTTGAAGTCTCTCAGGTAGTGTGACTTTGAACTTTTCCAAGTCGGAGACCAGTAATTTGAGCTGCAGACCAATAGAATTATTTGGCACGGAAGCATTCGATGATGGGAATTCGCGGACGATAAATCTGGCATTCTCGGCGATTCGCTGCAAGTCGACAACGTGGACCAGTCGTATATCGTTCTCGTATTCGGGGGCTTTTAATATTTCCTCGTAGCATTGCTGGATATTGTTCGTCCAGGAAAGGGGGTTCAAACTGCGAAATTTCGATGATACCTAGTAACGTGAGCTTAACTAAACGTTACTGGGGGGATAAATAACTTACACATGAGAAGAGATAGAAGCACCCAAGAACAGCTCTTCTTTCTTCCCTTGACGGCTCCGAACTTCGCGCCCAATTCGGGTTAGAAGTGACGGTCGTTTTCATTTCGCCAACAAATTTCTCATGATTGTCGCTGTTCTTGTACGGGATGTACAAGTTCAAATCAACAAGCAGTGAGAATGCGAGTCCAAGCAAAGTGTTTGTTTGCGGATTGGCATGGAACAGGCTGTTGTACCAGTTGATATAGACCAGGAGCCCTTGCAGGAGGTCCAGGCTCTTCTCCCCGAGTACGATAAGATGCTCCATGATGTATCTCACAAGTTCCTGGCCCATTTGTAGTTGATGGACAGAATCGTGATACGACGCTACTGTCATGATTGCGCGATAAAGAAACGGTCGTTCTCGTGAAAGGGCTTGCGCCGACATCTGCACGGGGACTGATATGAACGGCGCCTGATGCGCCATATCTCGACGGAAGATATCAAGCAACTCGTCCGGGCTTTTGTTTAGTCTGCCCTCTGACGGCGAATACAATGTCGAATCAAGCCCATATTGTTGTGTTGGAGCTGGAAAGCACTGCGGAATAACAGTGGTCTGTCGCGTATAAATCTGGGCGCTCATGGAGTCTGACGCGCTAGAGGTCGGTCCGGTCGACTCAGGTGTAATCGCAGTGAATGCGCCGTTATCCAGATTCTGCTGCGATGCACCAAGAAGCGAGACTAGACTGTCGACTTTCTGCTGCAACTGCGCAATTTGCCTCGTGTGGTCATTTCGCCTACAAATTCTTGCGTTAATAGCAGCCCGGGTAAGGCAGGCACCCGAAGGCTTTACCTTGACTTGGAAGGTTTTGATGGTCGTGGTGTGCTACGATCCTGCATTATGCAGTGCTTATCGAGGCGTTTACACCTACACACCACAGTCCGTTAAGCATGAATACGCATGACGGCGGAACTGGACGAATTCGTACCTTTCACATCGCCCATCGGTCAGGTCATAGCATTTCGCCTTGGCCTTGACACAATTCTGACAGGCATGCGCGCGGGGGTTGACATAGTCGGACATATTGATTGTGGCAGATCACGTATCATGCGATAAGATCGCGCCGGCCGCTACGGGTGGATGTCGTGGGATATAAGACGTCCGATGGACTCGCTGCACTCCGTCTCCGTCGGAGGTCTTCAAATGCGGCTAGCGTCTTCGGCCTGGAATAACTATTCCACGGATAGAACGAACAAAGCTGATTCTTAGTAATCAATCACTCGACATTCGTTCTTGACAAGTTACTTAAGACTCATTAATATCCCTCGAGACTGAAGAGCCAGTATGTGATTTACCGCGCAGCTCCCTAGCCTCCACGTGCTTCTAAGCGATACTCAGTGAGCAATCTCGTGAGCAAGGCCCCCAAACACTTTGAGCAACTTCTGGGCTTACCTAAGCCTTGCTTACTTAAGTCTTAGCCTCAGGAGCTTGCTCAGTGGGGGCTGCATGCACACTCTACAAGCTTACCTGCTTGAATTTAGAAGGTTGCTTGCTTACTTGGGGGCTGGAAGCTTACTCACAGACACTAAGAGGCGTTCTGGAAACTTCCTTACCAAGCGTGCTTACCCTCTTGCTTAGGTGCTTAGTCGCCTATCGCCCCGGCGCCCGAGGTCGTCATTTAGGGCTTGTTGCTTAGGGCTTATGACCTAGGGTTTCCGATTAGGGCTTGTCAACTGATATGTGAATTGTCTCTACTCTAGGACTCGTACGTGAGATTTTCAACTTGTCTGACTCTCAGCTTGCTATGCGGATAGTATGTAGAATCGTCCTAAATGTTGCTCTGCTTGGTATTGTACCAATCGAAATCGAAAGATAATTGATTACTAAGTAGATGTATGCGCACGTCCAGTAACATATACCCTGTTGATTTATCACGTCCTATCAGAATTAAGTTATTGTATCTACAGGATGACTAAGTCCTATTCTGATCTGCTCTATGTCATTTGAATGGGAATACTGTGATCAGATAACTATGAGCTTTCTATCATGCAGTTCTACCATCAGTGAGCCAATACTCGCCCCGATGTGTTATTGTAACTGATCCCCTTATTGTACTCCCTTACTTTCGCCTCTCCTTCTACTCTCCTACAATGCTAGGACAACCTCATCAATAGTTTTCTGAGACCACCCATGTATGCCGAAGAGGCTACTGTCAGGTGCATCGAGATATCACTCCCGTAGAAAGGGGGCTTTCATTACTCCCTGTGGAATTGAACGCAAAAAACTGTTGCCGTCGCACGATTTCATAAAGCCGTCTATCTACAACAATGGCGATTCTTACCTGCTTTCACGATGGTGATCGAAGGAAAGTCGACAGGCCAATTGGCGAATCTTATCTTATCGATTGCTAAATCACCTGATAACTGACGAAAATGACCGACTATCTGTATTGTTACCGTTTACCTGGAAAACACGTGATCTTACTTTTCAAGATGTCTCTTGTCAACACCAAAACGACAGAGCTCGCACCGAATCAAAATTGTGCTCATCAAACAGGCCTTAACAAATCAAATGTTCTGATAAAAGACTGGAACCTTTTTTTGATACATCAAGATGGTGACAAAGTCAAGCCTCCGTTGACGTACACAAAGAAAGGTGTAAAGTACTTTACTCCACGCGACCCCTACGCGCCCGGCGCCCTATATCAGTTCTATCCATCTTGATAATTTTTCACTTATTACTATTGCGACTGAAGTTGCCTGTGCAACCTGTGCAGATTAGCCATATGGTCTCTGCTCATCTGAGTGGTATTGATGGCCTGAGCAAGTCCTCTAAAAATGGCATCACCTTTCAACTCGCGTGAGGGCATAGCCATACAAACAAGTGGACTCAACAATCCACCAAATCCGACGACGGCAGCAGTTGAACGGGATGAAGATGACATATCCCTTACCTCGACGGTAGAGAGTGTATTCCAAGATGAATACGAGGTCGAAACCATCCATGCACAAGACATAATCAACGGCCAAAAAGTGTACCTGGTTAAGTGGAAAGGCTACGAAGATCTACGTTGCACATGGGAGCCGAGAAACTCGTTCAATACCACAGAAATACTACAAGAGTGGAAGAACAAGAAACAGCAGATACGACGAGGAACAAGACAGCCATTCGATGTTGAAGCGTGGCAGGCTGAAATTGAAGCTTTTGAGAATGCTCGTGAAGATCGGAAGCGTCGACGAAGGGCGAAACGAGCCAGGCTGGGCTTGCTGGGTTCTGATGATCATGACCAAGAAGCAACTGCTGTGCCGACTGCCGCCGCGCCAATCGCAGATGTGGAAATGACAGTTCCTCCCCAAGCTCCCTTAGAGACATCTTCAGATGATGAGATGCCTCTTATTCATAGAAAAGGCCTGGAGCAGAACAAAAGTCCCTCAATTACCGACAGTGTTCAGTCAAAATCGCCAAGTCAACCTCGAAGCACGCCTCCCACTCTTCCAACCAATGAACCTACTGTTCAACCTACACCGGCAGGCCCTATCAATCAAACGGCTCACCGAACAGAGAGACCAAAAGCACTACCTCCCAAGCCTGTGGATATCAAAGTGGTAGACGGTCGTATCGAAAGAAGAGATCTTGCCGGGGTATTGAACCGTGCGCGGCAGCAGCCCAAGAATCCAACAGAGAAAAGCAAACCGTGGAAACTATTTCAAACCACGCACAGATTCGAAAAGGCTTCTCAGCAAGATCCAGAACCCAACAGAAACGACCTGGAACTACAAAGTCCCAGTACATGGTCACCATTTCAAATGTCCTCGTCTCTCAGAAAACGTCAACAAAAAGAGGACAATAGTCTCTTTGTCGAGCAAGATGAAATACCAGAGACTCAGCAGACTTCTCTGCCTCAGACCCCAGCTGCGTCAATTGTTACTCCCGTGCTTCCTTCTAAGCGATTAAGCGCGGTAGAGCAGCCCTCCGCTATACCTTCAAGCACCATACCCCAAAACGATTACACGCAAGAAGTGAGAGGAAGCCCATCAACTGAGAGCTCGGATCATTACGTACCTAAAGGTCCGAAGGGCTGGAAACCACTCATGGGAGAAAAACGCAAACTGCGCAAGAAAGAAGACATGCTCTGTCAGATATCATATGGCACCGAACCCGTTGAGATAGGCGATGCTTTACTCTGTGACTTATCGACCGATACTCGAGAGATGGTCAACAAGCTAAAGTACAAGGATGAGCTCAAAGTTCGTTTCGAAGAAATATGCACTCTAGATCGTTTTCAATCGTTGGCTCATGAGGTAAGAGAAGTCCTTATTTATTAATAATGTCTACTTCATCTGATACCATTTGAATGAACAGACAAGGAAAGAAATTAGTTTTAATGGCTATATCCTTCCTTATCCCGATACACAATCTGCGTTATTTGGTCTGGAGCATCTGCTTCTGAAAAAGGACCTCGTTGCGATAGCCAGAATCAGCCCATACTCATCTGATCCGGTTCGTGGGTTGACATTTGTCTGTTATCCAAATCACCCTCGATCCAAGAGTTTTCAGCTCCTCAACAGACAAGGTTATTCTGCACAAAAGGGCTCTCTATGCTTCGCAGGTATCAAAGAGGTACTCCCACGACATCCACGAGAAATCGCGTTCCCCAAGGACGATTCCATGACGAGAAGCTCATTGGAAAGACCAGAGCGACAGGGCCGATATGAAGAATTTATCAAGATGAGAAGCGAAGGGTTAGATACGTGGCGCCTTCCATCTCAATCTATTCCTTCTACGCCGCGACGTGATGATTCGTTCTCGAGAGTCAAAGGCCGAGCTCTACAAGCCCAGGATCCTCGATTAGAAGTCTCAACTACTCGCAGCGATCAAGCACCTGGAGCGTCTCGAATTGCTCAGTCAAGTGCCGTGTTGAATACTGCTGTTGCCGTACACGACGAAACAAACGCCACATATTCCAACGCCATGGACACCTCGTCTGACTCTAGCGAAGAGATTGATATCATCACGGGAACAGAAGCTCCTATCTCAAAAGAAATCGATGTCCCGTCACCCGCACCTGTGACGTCGAATGAGCAATATACTGATCGAGTCATTCCAGAGACGCAGGATGTGCAGATGCTTGACGTTAGCAATGCAGAAAACATTGACCTCAAAGAATATTTGACAAAGGCATTCTTAAACAATTTCAAGATCACATACGACGATATGGCCGCTGTTACCAGTCATTCAAGCATCAAACTCGCGAATTGCTTCTACCTATGGTTCCCCGAAGATGCCGACGCAGACTTCCAGGTTCTGGAAAATTTCCTCGATAAACATGACGCAATTGTACTTTCTAATCGCAAACAAAACGACTGGGAGAAGTTTACGAAATCTTCTACAGGAGTTGCGTTGGTGAGTCAAGATTGGCTCATGATAACGAAAAGTCCTTCATGCTTACTCGCTTGCTTTATAGTTCCACCATAGTTTCCTTCGTTTTAGCGAAATGCCTGGCTTCCACAAACTCACCATGAGCTCCTCTTTCAACTTCTGGACCGTGTCACTCGCAACTGTCATCCCAAACGTTGAGCCACAGACACACTTCCAACGAATCTTTCCTCACGGAACCGGTTATCTCATGACGGAGGACTTCATGCTACATGAAAGAGATGCAGCGATCATAGTTCTAGCTTGGTTTAGGGACATAGTTTCGACCAAATTTCCCGGTACGCTGAAAATGATGTTTCGTCCGAATGTGTTGAAGTGGTTGGATCGCATGTCCAAGGAGGATCCTCGGTAAGTCAGACCTTGTCCAAGTTTGATGAGAAAGAAGTACCAACTGCCCAGGTTTGCTATAATGGCTGTCCTCATCGGCGACACCGCATGTCACGGCGACGCATCAAATTGGCCAGTTGAAGCCCGCGACCTCGACTGTTTCCATAACCCATCTCTCGAAAGCCCCGTCATCTCTCTAGCCAAACTACCCAGTGCTGGGCCTGCAGATACTTCTTCAGTTGCAAAAGCGAGTGCAGAGCAATCAAAAGACACAGATCTTTTGTGCGAGGTCTTCGCAGCCTGGGCCATTCTTAACGCAGCGTCTCTCCGCAAATTTCTGATTCTCACACACAACAAGCCTATGGATCGTTGGCAGGCATGGCAACACGTCAGTCCTCTCCCTCCTTTTCATAAAATTCTCGGCTAGACAAAGAATAACCAACATCTCCAATGTAGATCGAAATCATTCAAAGCGTAACCGACTTCTTCCGGAAATCGAACATCAGCAAAAACCATTACAAAAGATGGCTTGCTCAGGGTGTTGCATCGACGTCATCAGCAGCAGAAGCATTATCGCCATCGAAATCTGCTACTGCTACACTCCCGGCACCCTCATCAGCAAAACATTCATCCAGAACAATACCAGTATCAGCACCTGCATCGAAAGCTGCAACAGCATCACGACCAGGTCTCAGCGAAAGACCGGCGACGCGGAATACAGAGTCAGGCAAACTTCCATCTTCTAACAGATCGCTGCCTGGGGCAGGTCCAGATCTTCGGCTGTCGAGGTAATTTGCATGCATGCATATCATGAAGGAGGAAGATCATTGTGAATACTGTTATCGGCAATAGGCGTAAAATAAGATATTAGAGTTGGCGAGGGGTTTACCTCTGGTGTGTGTACTTATTATCGACTATCCAAGGAGCGAGGTATTCGAGTTGACTACCTAGTTAATAAACACAATCATTCAACAAAATATACGTATAGTAACTTCCAAATGTCGGGAACAGTACATCTGGGCATGGAATAAAAATCCCTACAGATGATAATAATAAACGCTACATATATATAGGCCTATCAACCAGCCGTAGAAGCGCGATTCCTATACTCCGCAAAACTCAACACTCTACTTCCGGACTTATTCCCTCCATTGCCGCCGCCACTGTTATTGTTGGTAGGATTTCGCTGTTTCTTATCCTTCTGCATCTTATTCTCCCAGTCACTCTCTTCAGCTGCAATCGTGGAATGGAATCTACTTCCCTGGCCACGACCGAAATATATTGGTTTCTCTTGTCGGTCTGCTACGTTCTCAGTGACCAGGACAAATTTCACGGATGAGCCGGGTGCTTCAAACATTGCATCCGACAGGATGGTTTCGAGTTCAGTGCGGAGGGCGCGGGCACCTGTGCCCATTGTCAGGGCGTTGGAGGCGATTTTGTGGAGTGCCGGGGTGGTGAAGCTTAGTTTTATGCCGGAGAGGTCGAAGAGGGTTTCATATTGGGTTATGAGGGAGTTGCGCGGTTCAGTGAGGATGCGGAGGAGGAGGGAGTGACTTAGGGATGAGAGTGCGGTTGTGACCGGTATACGGCCGACAAGTTCGGGGATGAAGCCGAATTTTTGTAGGTCTGAAGGTGTCGAAAGGTCTAAGGGGTTGAAGTATACGGGTTCTTCTTGTGAGTTGGGAGGGGTTGCGGATGTGAAGAATGGTAAATGTTTCTTGTATAGAGCTTCTTCTTCGGATCCCGGGGTGATAGGCATAGGTTGGCCGGCTGCATCACTTGAAGAGCTGCTGTTGCCTGACGAACCGGAAGATGCTCTGACCGGCTGGCCGAATCCCATTGACGATTTTGAGATACGATCCATAACTATCTTGTTGAGCCCGACAAAGGCACCGGAGAATATGAACAGGATATTGTCGGTTCTGACATTATATATTTCACCTTTTTGTGGTGGTGGGCCAGACGCAGTCGAAGAGGAATTGAAGCCAGAACCTGGAGCTGCACCAGGTGGGAAAGATCCCGGAGCACCTCCAGCAGGCCGAGAGCTGTTTTTCTCAGGCTTAGCCTGCACTTGTATGGTAGTCCCCTCGACGATTTTGAGAAGAGCTTGCTGAACGCCTTCTCCGCTGACATCTTTCCCGTGACTGACACGAGCAGTCGCGATTTTATCCACCTCATCAAGACATATAATACCTCTTTCAGCCTTTTCCACATCATAGTTGGCGGCAGCAAGTAGACGATGCACGCATACATCAGCGTCTTCTCCAATGTAACCTGCCTGGGTGAATGGGGTGCAGTCGGACATGCTGAAGGGTACGTCCAGCACTCGAGCTAGAGTCTTGGCCATGAGCGTTTTTCCCACACCCGAGGGTCCAAGTAATAAGATGTTTGACTTTTCGATTTGTGTCGAGGACGTATCCGTTAACGACGATGAGCGACCCAGTCGACTTTCGATTGTGTCTTGCATTGGTGGTTCAAGGTTGATCGTTCGTTGGTGGCCTGTATACTCGTCTATTTAAGTCAATTAGTAACTTATCTTCCGCCAAGAATGATAAACACATACTGTCCAAAGGATGAGCGTCCATCGCCGCCCTCCTCTCCCTCTGCGCCATCATCTCCGCTGCAGCCTCTTCCTGTCTCTGCAACTCCATGATGCGCTGATAATGATTATACACAGCCACACTTAGAATCTTTTTTGCACGATCCTGGCCTACAACGAATTGATCAAGATACTGTTTCAGCATCCGGGGTGTCAACCTCGGAGTTCCAAAGGCAGGTGCGGAGGCCAAGGGCCCGGAAGTAGGAAGGCCAGCTTCATAGCTTCCAGTGAAGGGTTGACTGGTAAAATCGGAGCGATTGAAGTGGGAAGATGATAGCGGGGAACTGAAAGATGTGAAATTCCTGCTGTACCGGTGTGAGGCAGGAGTTTGAAGGCGTCGTGGGCTGTAGTCGTAGAGGTGTGATCGTTGGGGACCGACGTTGGCCGCAAGGCGGGGAAACCGCACGGGCGGCCTCCTCATGTTGGCTGCTATGGATGTGGTCTTTCAGGTATGGATGAATAAATTGATAAATGATTAATTTCTTAAGACAGCAGTAAGAAGACTTTGGGCCGACGTGTAGTTCGGTGTGAGCGTATGACAGAGAGGCAGTTGTATGACTCGATAAGAGACAGGAAGCGGACCGAGCGGAGATGATGATAACTCCGGGGAATATCACGTGCTGTACTCCGCCGACCCCGGACTGTCTTATCTTATCGTCCCGTCGTGTTATCAGCTGCGTATTGACATGTTGACTGCGAGAAGACACGCTGAACACGGTGTCAAGACGCACTTCAAGAAGACGGGATCATGGATAGGACTGGAAGCAGAGAAAGATAAGGTTGAACTAGAAGGCATCGCTGAGTAGTCGCACTGGATAGAAAAGGACTATCTTTATTTCCTAGCTACTTAAAGGTCTGACTATGTCGCAATACCCATCTCACAATCCTCAACAGCTATCTTTAACCCCTCCGCATCCTCTCCACGCTCATTCATAACCCACAACAAAGTATCCACGAAAGTCTCCCCATTATTCCTAAACCAGTCACCCAGTGAATGCACATAGGACTCCACATCCTCCTTCAAGGGAGCATGATCTCGCAGCCAAAGCACTTCTCCAGGGTCGAGTTTGAGCATATCCTGCACTACATAGTAATGCGGAATTTCGTCGCCCCAACCTTCTTGGCCAGGATCGTGGTAGAAGTCACTTCGAAGCTTGTGGGCGAATGTGGATGATGCGGAGAATGACCTTGCCCATGCTGAGGATAATGATGATGAAGCGTTACTGCTTTTGTAGTGGTTGTGGAACAATGAGTCATGGCTTGAAACGGTATTGTTGTCCTCTAGAAGATTGAAGTAAGATCCCGTGGACAGATTGGATCGTTCTGGGCGGTAGTTCAGGTGAATATTGAAAGATAGCGGATTCATATTTTCGGGATAACGTTTGTGGAACTTGCGTTGAATACTGCCGTTGCTGGGACAGATATGATTCTGCACCACATCCTGTACCACCATTCGCACATCCTCGATCTCCGCCAACTCCGACGTCGACCAGTTATGTAGCAATTGCGCCCTTTCGACAACCACATGCCGCAGACGCCGCGAAAAGCGATCATACTGACTCGTATGAAAGGCACGATTATACAACCACAACCGGTAAATCGCACGCCGCAGACGGAATCTCTCTTCATCCGTCAGAAGTCGTCGATTCGCATAATCTGTTTTCCATTTCTTAAGCGGATAGATGGTTTCCCATTTCTGCGCCACACGGCCAATACGAACGACCTGTCGAAGCAACGCATCGGACTGCGAGGCAGCACGAATGATATGCGCCGGTTGGCTGGCATTTTGAGTGAGAAGCTGGATGATGTCATGTATCGGGCCAAACTCTGCATCCGCGACGCTCATGAGAATAGTGATTCGGGATGAAGATGTGAAGACGTAACGAAGTCGATGGTTGGTAGAGGCGAGATTCAGAACGTCGGAGATGGAGTTGCAGGAGCGGAAGATTTGGAGCAGAAGCTCCGTTGGAAGGTCTAGTAACTTCATAGCGATATCTTTCTGTTGAAAACGAGTTAGTATGACTTGGATACTGATAAGGCACTGCCCGTTACATACCTAAGTCTGATATGGTCTAAGATAGTTGTAATGTCTTTGACTAGTGTCGAAATGATTTGCAGCGTTCTTTCGATTTGTGTAGCTAATAGCAAATGAAGTATCTCAAGATGATAAAACGAACGGACGACTTCCTCTCGCGCGAATTGTTTAGAAGCCGTCACCAGTGGCGCCAAATGGTCTACTTGAAGTTGACCCCTTCCTTGGGGGATTCAAGTGTACTGTATTCGAAGCAAGTCATGGTGTCGCAGCAGATATGCTGGAAAGAACGGGCCTGCAAATTTGCAGAGCCGTTTTTTGTGTGAGCAGCCATAGCGTGATGGTTGTTGGAGGAGTTGTGAGGTTGGACGCGACTGGCAGCTTATTTATATGGCCGCGCCAAGTCTGGAGGTTGGGGTTATGTAAGCGGCCGCCAGCGCATCAACGATTTGGATCAAAATCAAATAATAAATTTACCTGTAAAGTCGTACGTACTAGAAGAATTGACTTTTAATACTATGTATACCAGACTGACTAACTCCTAAAACGCCACTAGTACAGTCACAAAACTGAACATATGCATGTGCCTAAGGATATCTCCACGAATCGAAAGACCTGCCAATGAAATTAAGCAAACACCTCCCTCGTATCCAAAGCATCTCTCTTCCTACCCTCCTTTCCGAGACCCAGAGACGACTTCTTGACTTCGTGGTCTGCCTGTACGTCCCTTCTTTGCGCATATCGGCTAGCCTTCTCCAGACGGATGTCGCGACGGACCTGGTTCGGGCTCACGTATTCCTTGTTCTCGTAGATGACGGGACCACCAAAACTTCCCTCAAGAATAACAATAGGCGTAAGAACGAAGCGAGGACCAATCTCAACGAGCGATACTTCCGGTCCGGTACTACCAGTCTTTGCGCCCTTGGTTGCCTTTTTGACTTCTGCCTGGTCGTCTTTATTCTTGCTACCCGCTTCAGATTCCCGGATTTCGTAGACCCGGATCCAGATCTTGCCATCAACGCCAAAAACGCCGATGATGCGATCAATGAACGGCTTCATACCCCTGACGCCACGCTTAGGCACACAAAACACCTTGCGAAGCATCTCTCGAATGAGACCGCGATACTCCGTACCACTTTGACTCACGGCCTCGGGACCCTTTTCGTCAAACGACTTGTCAAACATAACGATGCCGCGACCGCCTTTTAAACAATTACCAGCAAATCCAGTACCCATTTCGCCCATGGTATGCAAGTTGGTAACTGAGAACTTGATAGTGGGGCCATTGGGAGGGCGCGAGAGCCAGAGGTACAGATCCTGACCACGTTTGCGGGCCTCGAGGAAGAAGACGACGTTGCAAGAGTGGAGTTCGGCGAGCGAGTTGAGGAGCATGTTGTATCCGCCGCTCTTCTTGGTGTCAAGCTTGTTCTCTTTGTGTGTGTGAGGGAGGAGAGCGGAGAGATCGGAGAGAAGATATCGGTGTCTGTAGATAAAAAGTCAGCAACAATCCTCGTCGATTAGTAGACTGTAAGGAAAACAAACCGATGCGTAACACCTCTCGAAGTAAGCATCAGAACCCTCGTCTTCGGCATGAATCCTTCATTTTTGTTGGATTGTTGGCCATTCGCACCATTCGTCGCAGCATTCTCTTCAATTTCCTCTTCTTCGTCATCATCATCGCTGTCGCTGAATTCTTCATCCATCAAATCGTTCATATCCATATCCTCATCTTCAGAGATTTCGTCGGCGACGAGGCGCTCTTGTTTCTTCTTAGATATCGACTTGTATACGGACGCCATTTTGTATTTTCTTTTCAATTGTGGATCGTTGGACTCAAGATGCAAATTGTGATAGATTTGTGAAGGAAGCTTTTTTAAACTTTTTTTTAATTGGAAGGAATAAAGTGGCAGAATATTTTTTTCTTCGCAGGAGGCGGGTTCACCGCCTTGAGGATGGAGATATCAGTTATCAGGCCCACAAGGTAGCTTTGATAGCGGATATGATTGGTGGATAGTATCTAGAGCATTCTTTGGCTCCAGGAATTTTGTTGAGTATTGTATTCACTCGAGTGTCAAGGTTGTCATATCCCTGATCTAACATCTGAATCTTCATAATTGGATATCAAATACATCCCAATGCCAAGAAACCATGATCGTATACTACCTGAAATAGCGAGAAACGACAAAAGATCACCAAAGGCACTCAGACAGACATGACACGACAAAGCAAAAGTAAACATGTATAGTTTACATAGATTAGACATTCTAGTAACCACCAGGGTTATTATTATACCTATTCGGTGGGTAGTGATGATTCGCATTTGTAGGCGGCGATGTCCACGGTCCACTGACGAAGGACGGATCAGTCGGTGTGTGTCGCATGGGTGTAGGGCCAGGTCCGTGGTCCATACCCATTGAGTTGGGTGGCGGCTGCTGGTGAGGGTTTGGAGGTAGACCGGATTGTTGGTATGTATGTTGCTGTTGGCCGTATTGTTGTTGCTTTGGCGGACGGTTTTGCATGTTCATTATTTGGCTGTCTGGTAGCTCTACGGCGAATGCTGAGTTGTGGGAAGGAGGATTGTTCGGCATGCTGTTGGGGACATATTGGTTGAGTGGCGATGTCTGATTGGTGTGGCCTAGGAACTGTCCTGGTGGCGGTTGCTGCTGGAAATTGTTACCTGATGGTCCTGGATTCATCGGTGACATAGGCGAATTGTTATGGAATTTCTGGATACTAGGCGGAGGTGCGGGTGCTCCACTGTTAGCATGGTACGGCGATTGTTGTTGAGAGCCTGGAACGTGGGGATGTTGCTGGAAACTGTTGGCGTATGGCTGAGGTGGTTGTTGACCTGACTGCAATGGCCCTCCTATGCTCGGTTTTCCGTGCATAGCCGGTTGATGATGAGGGTATTGGCCATGACCATAAAGATCTTGCCCTTGTTGATTTACATGTTGTGGAACTTGCTGGTGATAAGCAGGTTGATAGTTGTGGTTCGGTTGCGGATGATTATTGGCTATCGGAGATGGGTTGTGAGAGTTGGGCTGCGGTGGTTGACTTCCCGGTTTCGTCGAATTAGGTACAGGTGGATGTGTGCTGGACTGCCATTCTGATTGAGACGGTATGTTTCCTGCGGGTTGCCCATATAGATCTGGCTGCTGGTATGCGGGATGAGGATTTTGAAGAAATGAATTCTGAGTCGGCCACGGTTGCTGCTGTCCAGGATTAATCGAGGATTGATTAGGCGGTGCCGGCTGACCGGTATGATACTGAGGAGGATATGCCGAGGAGCCTGCAGGCGCATGTTGAGAGAATTCATTCTGTTGTGAGCCCGCTTGTCCTTGAGGATGGTATTGCGGTGCGCTGCCCGTATATGCACCAGACTGGCCAGTAGATGCATACCCATAGGAACTGTGCCCAGCCTGTCACTCGCTGTCAGTATACCATATGACAGCTTCGCAACCTGACTAACCACCATACCTGATTCTGTGCCGTATTATGTCCCGACCCATAAGCTCCATGCGACGGCGACGAAGACGACTGAGTCCCATGCTTTCCCGGAACAAAATCCTTCGCAATCCTCCCAATCACCCTATCCGCAATCTGTGTAATCGCCGAATTTCCGCCGGAACCAAGCACACCCTATACCAAAAAAAAAAAAAACATTAGCCATCTCCCTCACGTAGACTACTTATAACAATCGAAACCTTCATACGGACAAACTGGGTCTCGTAGTCGTCGCCGACGACGAATGACTACTGAACAACCCCCTGGTAGTGGAAGTGGACGAAGCACTCAAATCCGGTGATTCAGCCGCCAATGTCTGCGGTGATAAAGACAATGATCCAGTGCGACTAGTTTTACTATGAGGTGCTTGCGTAGGACCAGCACCGATTGAACCGGGTGTTGTGGAAGGTGTTAATATGACGGGTTCCGTGGGGATGTCCCATTGTGACTTGCCCGTTGCGCGCTGGACATAGTACCATTTCCGGGATACGCCTTCCCATTGTGCGAGCCTGTGCTCCGATACGAGTTAGATACAAGCTTCATCGACGATAGATATGTATATATACTGACCATCCTTCTGGTAACGGGGGCGGCGGAGATGAGGGCCCCGCGCTATCTTGGGGTTCCTCTGCGGCCATGGGTAGTGATTAGAGCTCACCACAGATTTTTGCTGGGTCGAGAGTAGTTCAAAACAGAGCCAGACGTAAGTCACTGCGGAGAAATATTTTCTCAGGGAAAATCAGACATTTTAACGGAGCTTTGACGGCGATCGAATTGCGTAGTTTGGGCAGCAGAGCATTGGATTAGCTGATTAGAGAGTGGAGTAAATCTCGCTGCCCCAGCATTCAGGCACGAGCTCTATTTCAATCAAAAAGGGATTAGTGTGGATATCAAGATGCGGCCTTAGGCAGTGAGCCGACTAGACGCGATGTCAAAATATCATGCACTACGTATTTCTTTGGACAAAAATGAGTTTCAGACGAGATCTAATTTTTTTGACTGTCTGCTGATGTATCTGACGTATTCGCATTTTCGCCAGTCGAGTCTCCAAAACACCAATGGGTATAGAATTCGCCAACCCCAGAAATCACAAGAAAATGAAATAAACACACAAGTCTCCCCGCTGTCCACAGTGGTGTATGCATGTCGTATCGTTGAAATCAGTCCGTGTCCGACGCTTCAGCCTTGAGGTCAGCCGCACCCTGACCGTCGTCGCTGGACTCGGCAGTCGAAGCAGACTTCTTGGTAGGAGAGGCTTTGGCGCTGCGGCGGCCACGCTTTTTGGCAACCTTGTTCGCGTCATTGTTTGGCTTGAGAGTGACTGTTGTGTATATCAAACAAGTGTTAGATGACTCTGAATAGAGCGAATAGAGAAATATGAGGAAAGGGGGAGAAGGGTACATACCACCATCGCCAGCCTCATCGGTCACGGTAGCTGTAGTCTTGGTGCTGATATTGCCGAAAGCCCAACGCTTCTTGTAACGTGTGAAGGCGTTGCGGGTTGACGCGACGTTGGTGTGGCCCATGGCCTTGGACAAGACACCAATGTCGAGCTGTGAGAAAAACAAATTGACATTTAGTGAGCAATTTTCAATGGGGGACGAAAGGAGATGGATGATTTGATACTCACAACTCCGTTATCATCGAAGGCCTTAAGGCATTCGAAAGCGAACTGGAGGGAAGCTTCATCAGGCTTGCTGGGGTCCGCTGAAGCGGAACCACTGTCAACAGACTTCTTGGGAGGCATGTTGATCGATGATGATTTTTGTTGAAGTTGGTGTCTGGAGTTAGAAGTGAGAGTAAGTCAAAGAGTTGAGACGACGCTGTTGAAAAATATGCGAATACACTAGCTCATACCTTGAGATACAATCAAAGAAAGATGAGGTTGTTGACTGATGTGAGTGATATCCAACGGACGGGGAGAGAATGAGTGGGTGAAAAGAGAAGATGAAAGGGAAGAAAGAAGGAGAGAGGAGGAAAAAGAGATTATTTATACCCCTGGGAAATTCTTTTTCTGTCTGCCTCGCTTGACCAGTAAGAACTTTTCATTTACCGGGCGTCGAGCGAGGGATTCAAACGAGATCTGGCGGCTGGCACCGTCAGATTCTGTCAAGTCATTAGTTGCCAATGTGAAGCTATGGTCTCACTGGGACGAATGTGTTAGTAGCATCTGAGGTGTCCACATGACCCTCATGATAGATATCTCCAAATGTCGACCAGGAGCGTGAAGCCTACTTATTGTTGATTTACACTTTTTTGCAACTTACGCCCACCTATGAGGCCTTAAATGTCAAATTCGATGCGCAATCCTCCCATTCTTTCGACCTACTTGCAGGTGAGCTTATATACAAATTTGGGGCATAGATCTAAGTTGAGCCTACAAGTGAGCTTACGTATATACATACAGGATTGATAGGGGTCGGCCAAAGTTGGGTATAGGTTTGTGTTGTTGTATTACAGTAATATACGTGCTATGTCTATGTTGGTAGTGAACATGCATGTACTACCAGACAGTCCAAACGGCTTACAGCACACTGCAAGATTACAGTATTGCCACCCTGCACGTTCTAAGTATTCAGAGTTGAGGAACTCTACGTAGTCGTACATTTCGTAGTCAAGATTGATTGATTGAGCATCTAGCTAGCGACTATCCTTTAGAAACCAAAGCACCACCGCAATTCGCATCTTCAAGAATAGCAAAAAGCCTTCAAAAAGGAGACATATCCACCACAAAAGCTAGTCATCTCCCTACTACCGAGAACTCTCTCCCTTATCGGCTAAACATCTGTAAGCACCTCTGATCTAGTCAGTATCATCCCCATGCTCGGCACCCACACCACGATCCATCTGCTCATCAAAGAAACCAGGCACAAACTCTTCTGCTTTCCCATCATCGCTTCCCGTCCCCATCTTCAAATCGACCCCGTCAGCAGTCGCGACAGTCGTTAAGCTCGAAGTACTAACGCCACCACCAGCTGTAGCCTTAGGCTTGGTAGGAGAACGCTTCTTGCCCACGCCGGCAGCACGCGGAGCAGTGATGGCTATCTTTTCATCTCTCTCAGCCTTGACGATACCCTTGCCGCTGCGGTTGGCTTTCTTGGGAGTTTTCTTGGAAGGCGATTCATCGATTTCGTCGGCATCTTCGTCGGCATTGCCAGCGCCGTTTTGGTACTTGATATTCAAACGTGAGAAGCGCTTCGAGCTACAAATAGCCAAGAAAAAAGCTGCTGTTAGCCTTCAGATTAATGATGACGGATTGTAGCGAGAGTCTTACGCAGCTCCGACACTAACAATGCCGCATTCTTCAGCGACTTTGGCGAAGTTGACCTGTGACTATGTAGTTCAGTATCAAGTACATCAAACTAGTAGATAGACGCGACCAACTGGCCCCTGAGAGTTTCGAAGACACGAAAGCAGAAAAACGACGTTTTGATCGTCAGAGACAGGTACGCGGGGTGCCATTCTGATAGATGCAGAAGCTTTACTTGACTCGATTGAGTGATTGACAGAGGTGTGGGTCGTATGTAGCCTTGGTCTTGTTTTGAAGTCAGTATGGAAGGAAGGGAGAAAGTGTTGTTGGGCAAGTTGAAAGAGAGAAGACTTACGCCTTAGATTGGGAGATTGGCGATCGACTTCGAAACCTAGCCTTGATTCGTTGAAGAACAGCGGAACTGGGGGAAAGTGAGTAAGTAATCTTTCCAGATTGTGTAGCTTTCAGTGCAGTCGAGAAGAAGTAAAGGGTAAGATGGTTGAGGATTGAGAAAGTGATATGCCAACGAAGTGAGAATAAATTGAATCAGGAGAAACTATGGACGTAAAAGAAATGGAAACGATTAAAACGCGTAAGAGGTCCAGGTTCACCTCCAATTCGTAAATAGAAAAATAGTGGTATGAGTGGATCTGTAAAGCTCTGTAGGTAAGATTTCTTTCTTACACTGGCAAATATGCCCAGTCTCACCCAGCTCTGGCGATTTGATCGGGAAATCCCGTCTAAAGTTGAATTGACTTCTTTGATCTTTGAATTCTGGCTGTCTGCTCAGCTGGTTTGTAGGATACCTATCATGGCCGATTTCTAGCACAGTATAATTCGATAACATGGACTGAAGGTCTTCTCGTACTCTTATATATCAAGACGACGATCGATTCAATTCAGAGTCGATAGGTTCCCCCTATTTCGACGTCAAGCTAACTATTTATTTGCAAGAAAAGAAATGGAAAGATTATCTTCGTTATGGCCATGCTCTACTATATGATGTTCTACATACATTCACTGTAGTGTATCAAACCAAATCCAAATGTCGAACACCATAACGAAAAGAAGAAGCGCACCATGGGTATCGTATGTCGTTGCTAACCATCATGAAAAGAAAACTAAAGATCTGCCATGACAGATTGCAAAATATTTTTCTTATATTCTCGTACAGCGGCTTCTTTGCGACGCATCTGCTGCCGTAGTCGCATATATCGCTGCTTCCAGCTGCCTTCATCGGTTGAACTTCCGCCAACGAAGTCGTCGTTTTCGAATTCGTCTTCATCCGTCTGTAGTCCTGTTGGTTCTAGATTGTTTCTGAATGTGTTGTCTGGGCGACTGGATGACAACGTGAGACCACTTAGAGTGGTGTTAAATCTGAAGCCCTGCCCCGGTTGATCATCTTCTATGAAGATAGAATAGACTGCGAGAGAATCAACACCGTTGGTGGCTGTTGTCGACACCTGCACAGTCAGCGTTGCTGGCGATACCCGAGCGAGACCTAACTTTTGGGCGACACCAAAATACAAGGCGCAAAACATGGCGACCGAGTCCATTGGGAGCATGACGTATATACTTCCAAGTCTTTGTACTGCTGCATGTGCGAGAGAAAGAGCTTCCTCTGTGCCCATGGATGTAGGTCGGCCGATCAATCGTGAACGCAGTATTTTGTGGGCGACGGCACGAGTGACATCGTTGATAGATACTTTTTGCGTCGTGCGCTCGGTTGCCACCGATCCCAGAGATGCCACATCGTCTAGATCGTTTGATGTAGCAATAGAGTCACGACGTCCGGAAAACGAATCAAAGTTGTTGGAAACGTCACTTGTACCGTTGAGGACTACAGTCGGTGGTGTAGCTAAACGAACAGGACGGCCGTTAATTTGTGGGACATGCAACTGTAATTTATCGGGTTTTGTATTCAGCTGACCGGTAGAGTTTGATGTCGTGTTGCGTGGTGGTCCAAGTGGTACCTGTTCTATACCAATGGCGAGCGAAGACTGCGTGCTCGTAACATCACCCGAAGTATTTGATCGCACCGGGTTCACCGGAAATGATGAAAACGGACCACCGGGAGCGGAACCACGGTTTGGCGGGCGGCCTCTTATTTTACCCGTCATCGAACCCGAAGTATTGGGCCACGCGGAGGAAACAGCTGGACCATGCCGTCTTCGGCTGCGAGACTTCTCTCCAGTAGAAGGTGTCAATGCGGAACGCGGTTCGACGACAGAAGGCTGTTCGGTCTGGTGGTTCCTGGGTATATATGCTGATCGAGGAAACCCTGGAGGAGATCCATCTCCTTCAAAAGGTCGCCAGCGTAGATCTTGACCGGAAATGGCGTCAGGATTCTGATCAGCGCCAAAGGTTGACGCAGCAGCAACCCACGGGTCATTGTGTGCATCCATGTCGTCTGGAAAAGCACTGAAAGGGATGGCGCTTTGTGGGAAATTTGCTGCATGAGCAGCCAATGCATTATTGTCCAGGATTGCCATCGACGTATCCAGTTGTGGTCGCTTTGGGAAGCGTGAATCTTCTTTGTCCTTGTCTTCAGCCCGCTTTCTGCCTCGTTTCGGCTTCCATTCTGGCACCAAAGCCCTCAACGCTAGGTCTTCTTCTAGAGGAACTCCATCGCGGTCCTCATTAGCGGGAGCATTTGATAGAGGGAGCTGTTTATAATAGACGTGATCATGTCCGAGAAGATATTCAAAAAATGCATCTACATGCATCGCACGCATCCAACGCTGTATAATCATTTAGTACCGCAACAACGTGAAAGGTAGCTCGCAACTGACCTTCAACCGCACAGCATATTGTTGTACCTTTTGAGTACTCTGTTTCTTTTCAATTGATGGAGGCTCGACTCCCAACTCAATCGCTAGTTGGATCCATGTTTTGAGTTCCTTGCGATCTAGCTTTCGAATTAGTTCCCACAGAACGTAGATACTAAAATTCTTCCCATCACTTCGAGGGGGCGCGCGAAAAGTCTTTCGCAATTCGCTAGAATCAGCAGAAGTAGGCACATTCGGATTACAATACATGATAAATGCGACATAGGCGTCATCGATCGTTTCATCCGTGACCTCCCGAGAAGGAAGCATCCGATGCTCGGCGTCCCCATCGCCCTCGGAGTCTCTTGGAAAAGCTTGGCGAGATTCCAAGTCAGTCAGTGGAGGGGACATAGACATGCCTGTGCGCAGTGCTGATGGCGGCATTACTCCGCCGGACAAGGGACCTCTGGGTGATGATTGTAGGCTGCGCGGAGTCTCTTTACGTAGCAAAGGCGGAGATTGAGAGGCAGCAAGCCTGCTTCTCGTACTACCTGGAGAGCCACTGCGCAATGGAGTCTCGAAGACCGGTGGATACCTCGCGAACTGCTGGATGACGATCGCATTGCTCGCATCCGCGGGTTGCGGCACTGAGGCTTTGAATGGAGATTCCATGTTATATGCTGAAGCTGTATTATTTATCCAACAAATCGTGATCGCATGTATATAAATATATATATATATCGCGCAAAATAACCCCAGGTAGCACACTCAATCGCCGATGGAATGATCACTAAGGAAGTCGTTAAGCGTTGCAGCGAATCAAAGCAATCGTGGTGGAAAGCAAGATATCAATGGCTCATGGCGCAAACAAGCGGAGAAAAGAGAAGAACAATGGCGGTACAGCAATAACATTGCCGCTAACTCAAACAACAGATCCAGTACAGCAACGCGACACCTGGTCGGCTGGCGGCAATAATGAACGATGACCTGAGTGGGAAAAAGCAGAGAAAGAGAAGAGAAGAGAAGAGGATGAGGATGAGGATGAGGAGAAAGCACGGACGCTATCTTAGTCCCCTGATTTTCTATTTAAAGAGGCGGGGCTTGCCGCTTGCCGCTGCTCGCCCAGACTCGCAGCTTCCTCGTTGTGTCTGTCCAGCTGGGCCGCACCTGCCTTCTCAGAACTAAAAAATTACCACAAGCCACGGACCACCGCCAGTCACATGACCTACCGTCTATCTGGTCGATAACTAATCGATAAGCCGATAAGATAAGCACATGAATCATTCTGCCGGGATTACCCCATTCGGCGATCCCCCGGTCGGCAGCCAATCACCACCTGACCTTCCGCCTTTAAGCTCCTTCCTTCCGCCGCCGAGTTATCGTCGTCGGTCGCTCTTGCCTCCGACTCCACTGTATGATGCTCGTCATTCCTCTCGTCTCGCTCCTCTCTTCTTCCCTCTTGACTACACTCTTTCTTCCTTTTCGCTTCCTCCTCACTTCCTCACCAGTGTGTTCTTCCTGTCTCAGCTCGCTCAGTCATGTAATTGTTCCTCATTTGTAAAGTTGCACCAACCACGACAAGCTGCAGGAGCTAACTCAAGCTGCCCCACTTGTTGCGACTTAACCACCCACTCGGCTAACTGCTTCAAGTCTGACTGGCTCATTGGCATTAGCTGCTCGCATTAATGGTTTCTTCGCGGCGCGCTGCTGCGAGTACTACCGCAGTGGGGACTCCATCTCGTCCGGTCCGCAGTAACAGACGTCAAATCACATCATACAACGACGATTCATCATCGGCTTCCCCTTCATCTGAGAGCGAGCAGAACGAGCACCACGACGCAGAGGACAATACCTCAGCCGCCACATGGAGACGCTCTTCGACTAACCGACGTAGCACCCGCACCCAATCTGTTGCGTCTGCTTCAAGTAGCCGACCTCAACGCACAGTGTCCAAGCCAAGAACATATCAAGAACCCTCCTCGGATGAGGACTTGGACAGCGTGATTGCTCGCTACCCGGAAATGGTCACTCCTTCTAACAAGGGTTCGCAAGCTGCGCCTCGACCCCCTCGTACTAGTGCTCGGCAACGGCAGCAGCAGGCGGAGGCCTCTCCCAGCAAGAGAAAGCGGACTCCCGTGCAATCGCCTCGCAAGCGTCGACATGCCGAGTCCACGATGGAGGTCAACGAGTCGGCTCCTCCTTGGCAAAATCTGCCCTATCAGGTGCTTTTGAGTATTTTCATGTATGCTTTTCCTCCATTGTCGGACACCAGGCAGGGCATCGAAACCGAATCGGGGAATAGCAAGAAGTTGTTAGACATCGCTCTGCTCTGTCGTGCCTTTGCAGAACCAGCACTGAGTGCCTTGTATCACACGCTCGTGCTCATGGGATCTCTCAAAGCGCATAGAATCTTGTTCCTCTTGTCACAGCCGACCGAGAGTCTCTCCGTAAATTATCCTACCAAGGTGCAAGAAGTTCTTATCGATGTCCGCTTGACTTTGGTGTACAAGGCAGGGCCAACGTACGGCTACTTTGACATCTGTAAGCTCATTCAAAAAGTCCCGCATGTCAAGACCTTTCGTCTGTTCGATTCAAATGATGGAAAACAGCCTCTGTGGGCAGATCGTACTCCCAGGTGGACTTATACTGCAGAAATGTTTGAGACTTTGAAAGCAAGCAATCTTCGCTTACACACCTTTGATTGGAACTCCCGATACATGGAAACAAGGGACTTGATTGATACCATGTTGTTGCGTCACTCCGACTCTACATTCCAGGGTATTCGCAACCTGAACATCTTTCACATCCATTCCGATGAGGTTGTTCCCCCAAGAGAAGATGGTAAACCTGATGATCAGATTATTGAGAAAGGACTAGGCGAAGCATTGTGCCGACTTCCAGATCTACGGTCTGTGAGCTTCACTGATTGTGGAGCCGTAAATGAGGTGCTGTTCGCTGCAATGCCGTCGACATTAAGGTCACTCACTCTTGACAACTGTGACGAGGTGGGCACAGTAGCGTTTGTGGCCTTCTTGAACGATCGTGGATCTTGTTTGCGGCAGCTCGTGCTCAAACACAATCGACATCTCAACATGTCTTTCATGACTGTTCTGAAAGATGCATGTCCGAACCTTCAAAGGCTCTCCGCCGATTTCATCATGCACAACTGGCCGCCCCACTACAATGGTATGCCTCACTTCAAGAATCTTTTGAAACCTGGCGAGGTTCCCACTTGGCCTCGAGCACTTCAGGAGATTGAACTTTCGCGTCTACGTCAATTGGACCAACCCCGGGCTGCAACATTTTTAACTTCCCTGGTTGATGCTGCTCCGGACCTTCCGGACTTGCGAAGAATCGACATCAGTGCAGCAGTGCAGGCCGAATGGCAAGACAGGGCTTCATTCCGGCAGTACTGGGATCGTAAACTTCGACGAACTTTTCTCCGTAAAGACGCAGCTGTCAACACGGATATAGCGGCGGATCTGGCTTCTCCAGAGACGACAAACCAACGACACTCACACCGTCACAGCGCTCGCATAGCAAGACAGCGACTTGCGGGTGTTGATGATGACGAAGTTGACGACTCTGAAGAGATTGATCATGATGATAGCGGCGACGACGACACAGAAAGAAACAAGGCAGGGTCTGCAAACGACTATGTTCAAGGATTGTGTGATGTAGTGACTTTCACCATCGACAACCTGCGTCCGACCGAGAATCAGTACAGCGAAGGCGACTTTCTCGACTCTGAGCAGAGCGGTGATGAGGATTGGGAGGGGGAAGACTGGGAGCCGGACAATGACAGACACGCGTGGTGAAACTATCAAAGATGTTACCGCATGAGGAGTGAGCTTTGCGCAATGATCAAGGGGCGACTTTTCATTTTTTTGACTTTTCGATGGCTTTCTATTCTTTTCTGGAGTCTGTCAGGTGAAGGAGTTATTGTCACAGTAGAGGTGCATGGCATTGTCGAAATTTTCACAGCTCAAAAATCATCACCAAGATGTACAACTATTCTTCAGGGGCTCGGGGCTGGCGTTATCTTCTATCGAGTACGAGAAATGTGTCGGACCGGCAAAAGTCGCTGTTCGACTATTTTTATGATGAATGAATTACATTTATTATCCCCATCCAGCGGCGTCGGCTAAAATTAATATGCTCCAATGGAAGTCGTAATTTTCAAGTAGACGAGTCTCGTCATATCATTCAAGTGATCCAGCTCATGCAGCTATTTGATTTGCGATCCCCTCTAACCAATCCATGTCCCGAAAGCCAACTCCATTTCCAAATTCCCACCCCCTTATTCAATCCCCAGGCAACTACCATTATTAAGTCCCCCGAAAAGTCCTCGAAAACGGAATGAATACTGAAAAACAGTCCCTTCTCACAACCCCAAAAATGTCTCCGTTGCCCACTTCAATGAATAGCATCGAAGATCTCATTGATACTGAACTCATCCGCGTTTATAGCAGGAGATTGGACTCCGGATCCCAAGGTATATCCATTTGTCAGACTATCAACACGAGGAGCCACAGCGCGCTGACCAAACTTCTCAATGCCCACTAGCTTGGGTTCGGGAGTCATCAAATTGACTTCTTGCTTGAACTCTTCTTTCTTGATATCGTCGGCTATTGATATCGTCTCGGATTTGGTGAGGCTGATGATGCTCTCGTCTTCGTCATGGCTATCCACCGCAATTGCGTCGATCATGGAGAGCCCCTCGGCAGTGAATGTTCCTTTCCCGACCTTGGTGGGCGTTGTATCAATGTTCTTCTTCTTTGCCGCCCTGGACGCCGCAGAACCGCGAACACGGGACGAACCACCACCAGACTTGCCGACACCACTTGATTTGACTCTCGTTGTTCGAGGGGTTTTAGGTGTGTTAGCGTCATTTTCCGAACCCCGAGGTGGCTTCTCCAGGCCACTTCGTTCAACTTCTTCTCTGAGCTGGTCGGCCAACTGACGGCATTTGTAGAGCTGATTATGGATTGAACGGTCCGTAGCMCCCAAGCCGTAGGCGAGCGCGGTTGTGGTTATGTCGATCTGTTAGGGACTGTTAGTCGTGTTTTCCGTTGGTTGGAGTTGGCTTGTATGTGACAAATACCTTTATTCCAGGATTGCCTGCGTATATGGCGGCAATAAGGCGGAAGTTCGCCTGCGACTCTTGCCAGTTGACCATTTTTTCAAATGATGTGAGGTTGTGAAATTGACGATTGGTTCTTGTTTGTGGTTTCCTGAGCGGGAAAATGGTTGGTTAGAGCTAGAAGTCCGTTTTGGGATGATATGAGCTTACTGGTCAGACCTCGACGGACAAATCAGGCCAGAGAAGTGTAGCGATGGTGAGATGAGAATCAAAGTACTGAGATGTTGTAAAGATGAAGATTGAAGTATGCCTTTGTTCGTGTAGATGAGATGAAAAGAGAATATTGTATGGTGTAGGTGACTAAGGTCTTGGGGTTAGGAGAAGATTAGAAAAGAAGATAGAGATTGATGGGTGAGAGAGGTAGTAGAAGATGGAGAAGAGAGAGCAGAGGATATTACATGTACCTGTTGGTAAAGAGAGTCTGGTTATGAAGTAGTAAGAATAGGGCAGGGTGAAGTGGTTGGGAATAATCGTTTGTCAGTAAGACAACCAACCAATAGAGAAGTAGGAAGAGATATTCAAGATGACGGTTTTTCCCTAAACCTCAAACGCGCAGAGATTTTTCTTTGTCTTGTTTGTCTTGATATCTAGGAAAAGATATGCCAATCGAGTCGAGGCTGGCATCCCCTGCCCAATCACTTTACTGCCATTTTTGATAGATACACATCTTCGTTCTTACAATTGAAACCTACTCTCTTACCGACCTCACAAACGACTCCAATTCGGGCATTCTCTTTCTTCACATCTCAGCCACTTCCTCATTACATCCAATCACAATCCTTCTATCGATCTCTTGTCAAACAGCTCAGTGGCTCCGTTCCCCATCCGCAAAGTCTTCAAGTCAGCAGATATCTGGCATGCAAACAACAGTAAGTGGATCCATAACAAAGAAATTATCATTGCTGTTTATGGAAAACGACTCTCGAAGTCGTTTGCTTGACTTAACCAGCCACCGTCTCTGGAGGGGGTATAAATTAGTGACTTGAGCTTCACTTTCCTTTCTTCTTTCCATCCTCTTCACCTCCTATCCTCATCTCGATTGTGACTTCTCTTTATTCTCTTCTTGCTCAAGCTTGCTTGAATCATTCTCTTAACCACTTCCCAGTCGTTGAATACTCTTATCGATATCTAGACCTGATCTAATCACCTTCTTTCACAAGAGACTGTTGTCAATTTCTGATTTAAACGCTCCATTCACACACAAAATTTTCATCCACACTTGCAAAAATGCCTATGCAGTGGACACTCGCCAACGAGCGTTTGGTATGTTTGCTATCCAAATCTTGATTCGGGAACTACAATCACTGACGACTACTAGCTCTTTCTTCGCATCCTTGAATTGTCAAACACCACCGTCGACTACAGAAAAGTGTCTGAAACGTGGCGTGAGTCTCCTACGCAAAAATATACTTATGGCTGGKATGCTAACACGACTTCCGATCAATGAAGCAAATGAGGACGAAAGACCAACTGCCCGCGCTGTCTCAGAGCACATCTTCAAATTGAAAAAGCTTGCAAAGTCTGGGTCCGCAGGTAGTTCCACCGCGGTCTCAACCCCAAAGACCCCTCGAACCAAGACCATCACTCCCCGTGCGAGTGGTGGGACTCGTGCGAGCGCCGGTGGCTCGACCGCTAAGTCTAAGCGCAAGCGTAATGCAGCAGCGGATGCTTCCGATTCCGACAACGAGTTCAAACCGGTGAACAGCGTCCGATTCAAGCGAGAAGAGGATATCGACGATCTCGGTCCGTTGCCTGAAGACACGCCTAGCAAACGGGCCAGGAAGCCTACCCAGCACCTGAATATGACAGAGTATGCGGAAAGTGGCACCGAGACGGATGAGGACGACAAAGGTTCAAATCGATTCAGCTCGGTTGATCCCGAGTACGCTCCTGTTCCAGAAGAGGATACCTTTGAGATTCCTGGTATCTACGAGTAAGGTATGTTTGTTCCTTGTTAGCGTAGCCACGTCTTTTGTTTCTGACCGGTCTGCTAACATGAGAAAACGTTGATGTAGGGTGCGAATCTCAGACGTCATGGAGAGAGAACAAGAACGACCGTGAACAGCAACAACTTATTCTGAGTGGAGATGACCAGAAATACATCCGGATTGCAAATGCAGTGGGGAAAGGTTGCTTTAGGTCTCATGCCTAATTATCTTGTCTTTTTTCCGCTGAGGGACTTGTCTTTTGCGGTGCAACCAGAATGATATCTTTCTATTTATATGTGACAGGATGGGATTTTTCTTTCGGGTTTTCTTATTAAGTGTGGGATAGTCCTTCAGTGATAATCATCAGAATGGAAACAATTTTTTTGAATCATAGATGTAGTTTCTTCAGAAGCTTGTGTACTTGTAGTAGTCACACTTTCCCACGTTGTGCCATTCGTAGTAACAGGTTGATCGCCTCATCCAGATATTCAGGTATCCCTTCAACTTATCCGGCTGTTAATTTATTCGCAATCAAATGAATCAAGAGATTTGCTTGATTATTCTGAATATCTAAAGACTTGTGCTATCGTTACAAAGCTACATCTAAAACCATGGTGATCACCTTCCCTTCCTTCGCAATATTATTGATAGACACAACAACGTTCCCAAACACTTTCCCATTTCATCTCCCTGTACCATAGCTTGCTTGCCTGCCTTTTTGCTTGCTGATTGATTTTCACAAATCTTCCTCGGCGTCAGCAGCGACCTTACGCTTCTTGGGGCTGGTAGTCGTGCTGTTGGGCTTCTTGGGGGCAGCGGCCGAGATTTCGAATGAAACGCCTCTGTTCTTGATGTCGTATATACGTTTATAAATAGCTTGATTCGAGAACCCTGTCTCACAGAAATTGTCAATTATCTTCGCTGAATGCCAAAAATGACACCAGGACGAGCTGGATGCACATCATACTAGTGGGAGTCGTTACCTCCACCAAGCTCTTCGGCAATTTTTCCGTAGTTGATGGCACTTGGATCGAGGGTCTTGAGCAGTGCCATGAACAGCTGGATGGTTTAGTCATTAGTGAGATACTTCTTTAAAATCGATTCTCGAGGCCACTCACTTGCTGGTTCAACTCTGGGGTCCAGGAGGTACGCTTCTTGGAAGGGGAATCCTGAGCAGGAGCCATGGTGATGCAGATTTTGGAAAGGTTTGTTTGTTGAATAAGAGGCCAGAGAGAATACTTGGGATATGGACTTGGTGGTGGTTGGAATATGGTCAATCTTGGTGTTGAAATGGAGAATGGAGAGTAAGTTGGAGAAGAAGTTAGGAGAAAGAAAGGAATTAATAGCTCCCTCAGATGGACTTTGAGGAATGGAAAAAGTGAGAGCTCACGTGGTCATCAACACCCAGGAGTCCTCTTATCTAAGACAAGACTCTTTAATTCTGATTCGAGACTCCAGGGCGCAGATTCCTTTATAGAATTCTGTTCCAAAAACGTCTAGCGCTACGTTTCAGGGCATTTTCCGCCTGTAAGTGATCTTGATCTTATTTGTCTCTTCACGTGAATCTTCTTTTCCAACCGTCTCGAGTTGGCTCCACTTCTCTTGATATCAAGCCTCACTAGCTACCTCTCTCCTTTCTATAAATTCTTCTTCCTCCACCCATCTTCCTCCTTCTTATCTTACCTACCTCCACAACTATCCTCTCATCTCGACTTCTGACTCCCTCCAAGTTCTCTTGACAAGGCCCTCCTTTCCTTCAACTCTTCATACCTACTCAATTCGAATCATTAAAATCTCTCTTCGTTCCTACAACGTCCAGAATTTATCGCCAACATGGTGAACTGGACTCCAGAGCTTATTTCAAAATTCCTCCTCACCACCTTGCAGCAAATCTCCCCCCAGATTTCTCGTGAAACCTGGAATAAGGTTGCAGACGTGATGGGAGATGATTTCTCTGCCGAAGCATGTCGGTAAGTTGCTTAAGTAGCTTTTTTCTCCTTCTCATGCCCTTTTCTCCGCCATGCTCTCCATTSGAGCCGTTACTTCAATGGTAAAACCTTCCCTGACGCGCCAGACCATATCTGGCTTTCATCATGAACCTGAATTTTTTCATATCGACTTAGCCTTTACTGAAGCATATTTCTCTTATTTTACACAGTCAAAAGTACGCGAAACTACTGGGGGCCGCGGGTGTCGAGTCTGTTCCAACTACTCCCGGGCCAGCAACTCCAGTGAAAGCTACTCCCAAGTCTGGAGGTCGCAAGCGCAAGGATGCCACCGGCATCGAGGCCATCACCCCTTCCAAGCCTTCTTCCGCGAAAAAGCAGAGGAAGGTTAAACTCCCTGATACCTTCAAGGCCGAAGAGAAAAATGGCATGAAGATTGAAGAAGATATTGACCATGAGGAATTGGTGGTCCCCCCAACTCCATACAAGAAGCCTGTCAAGTCTGCCTTCGCCGATGATTCTGACTAAGTCGAGCAGTAAGAATTGCTAGTCAGGCCCTTGTTGTAACTTACATTACTGATTACGATGCAGCTCTATGCTTGAAATACTTCTTGTCACGACCATAGTGCAAATCGGAGGAAACATTAGGTTTTGGGAGATCTCGGTTCTGAATTATTGTTATGTTATCGGGGTATTAATAAATTGGGGCGGAACAGGGGTTTATCTAGCTATGCTTAGAAGCGATTATTCAATCAAAAATCTCCATTCAGTCTACTAGGCTTTTCTTATCAAGTTTCCAAGTCTTCTTCGTAACAATATCTTTCCGCTATTTCCCTTTCAGAAGCCCAACAATAATGCATTTAGCAAGAATAGCAAACTACTGGTAAGAAAGGAAGGTCTCTTTGAGGCTTCATTATACTGAGATTTTTGTTCACGTCCTGTTATCTCTACTCTCTTCTTTGTAGAGTAGATGAATGGCGACTGTTGTTAGCTGAGGCCTAATATCTGCACAGGACGATCAAGTTAGGGCTACGATCACCATGTGACTAGCATACAGCTCAAAAAGCCGCAGCCATTTTGACAAGGAGCCTTAACTGCGGTGCATTGCTTCTTTGTAGGACTAATCTAAATAGCTCATTCATTCTAATACCACAGGATTGCTTGAATAATTTAATTACTCGGTCTCCAGGTATAGTATTATCACCGAGAGGCATATTCCAACTTGAACCGGTATCTAGTCGGCAAGAACTGCTAATTTTTGACGTCACAATCTATGGAATCTGCACATTGATGAACCAGAATTTCCCTCATCTGTACCATCTAGACATACTCAGATATAGACTGTTTTTCATCTACCACGAAGAAGAGGAAGCAATCCAGGAAAGCCCATTACAATGTTCTTTCAACCCAGATAAGAGCAGTACGTATTCTGGATGCTTGTAAGCTGTTTGCTTCTTTGTGCTATAATAACTATTAGGTTATGATAGCTACCTTTGATTCTTGGTTGAGCAATAGGACAAATGCAATGGACAATCCCATTTACAGATTAATCCGGGAATGTGGAATTTCACAAAGAGCTTGAATACAAAGCTTGATATCATCTTAGATGGCTTTAGTAGAACGCGAATGTAGTTTGAATGACTAAGTGTTGTTCACATACCAAGCTATATTATCAAAGACTCCTAGCTACATGTAAATTCACACTGTGTACAAAGATCATATAAAAAGTTCTCTCTATGTCTATGTCATCCAAATTCTCATCATTATTCTGCAATCTAAGGTAGTAGCGGTCACTAAGCTGAATGATATTCTTCTTTCCATTCTCAGCATATGAATAGTGAGGACTGCTATATCTAGCCTAAATATCTGATAATCACTCTCTTCAAAATCTCCTCTCTTAATAATTAACACTGAACTAGAACTTCAATCAAGCTTCTCCTGCTGTGCCGAGCAACTAAGCTGCTCTTAATCCACCAAAACCATGATGACCATCAGACGCAGCAAAACTATGCCGACTGAGGGCCATGCAACCAGATTTCTCTATACAATTCTCAAACAGCTGGACCTCAAAACTGTGAGTCCCCAACCATTATTCTTATAAATTCCAGCTCATCAGCTGCTGACAACTTATAGATCGACTGGAGTCTTGTCGCAACAGAGCTAGACATCTCAAACGGCCACGCTGCTCGTATGCGCTACTCGCGCTTCCGACAGCAAATGGAAGGTTCGACAACAACCACCGTTCCCAAAACCACAAAACCCAAGAAGGCAAACAGCAAAACCGACATGGGCAAAACAACCAAACAATCCTCAAAGGGAAAGAACCCCTACGACAAAAGCAAGGATTTCAATGATAGCAAATGTGGTAGCGGCGGTTACGGTTCGGAAGGCAGCCTTAAAAAGCGTCCTGCGCCAGACGATTTTATGAAGCAGGATATCAAGACTAGCGGTGGTAATTATGGGGTCATGGGGACGGAGCAGATGAATACATTTGCACCAGTCACGTATGATCCTTTCGCGAGTGCGGCGTCGTACTGGACTCCTTCCGCAGGGACGATTCTGTCTACTGATACTTCGACATTTCCTTACATGATGCCAATGCCGGATTTGCACCAACAGCAGCAGTTTCCTGTTGATCCGTTCGCGAATATGTGTCTTGGGCCGATGCCACAAATGCAAAATGTAGAAGATATGAACATGTCACTCAACCAGGGATGGGGTCCACAGTTCTATGATCAGATGTTTTCCAATGACCATTTCAATCAAAAGAATGCCAATCCTACTGCTGCTCAACTTACTGCAACTGCAACTGCAGCACGTAAAGTTACCGACGCTCCAACGAATCCGCAAGAATGGAACAATCAGGTTGATTTTTGCTTTTCGGGTTGCTGCCAACAACCTCCTCCATACCCTAACACGCCATCACTCTACCCGGATGTGCCTACTACAACAGATCACCTCCGGGATTCGTTGTTATCCGCACCTGTCGAGCCTTGGGTGCCACCACCACCGCAGAACCAGTGGGTTGCCATTAAGCCAGAGCCTGGTGAGGATGGAAATGTTGATGACATCTTCGTCAAGGTAGAATCCGGTGCGTGACTTTGGATCTAGATAGAATGCAATTGTTTTCCCTTTCCTTCTCTCCATCGTTTTATTGGGTTTTTCGCATGTGTCTTTGCATTCAATGGAAAGGATTGACCTTTATTAAATCATGCACGTGAATTAACATTTTTTCCCCTATTTATGATATTAGTCTATTAAAGGTTATTTACTAAGGATAAGTGTGGCACGTACATTGGAGACTTCAGTCCCAACAATTACTAACATAGGCAACATTTACCGCATTCGGATGATCAATCACCAAGAGTCTCGCGGTCACTTGTGCGGCTCTTCCCAGCATGGATTTGGACGGCGATTCAAGCACCGCATAGCGTCGATATAAATCAACATTTTATGTGGTACAGAGTCCTGATATTTCGGCAAAATGCGAGTCGTAGCTAGTGCCATCGCGATTGGTGGAGAAATGGAGCTGTGATTTTAACCGAGATATGCAGGTTAGCATTCAACCCAATCCTACCGTTATGATTCGAGGATAAAGTTGACAGTCACGAATAGACTTGATTTGGGAGAAAATCCAGTATCATTCATTAAAGCCATTATCTCGTGAGTAACAGATTAGGATCATACAGAAAGGCCAAAAATATATCTCCTCAACATCCTTGTCAATCCTTAGATCTGATCCCAAGAGTAAACCTTCACCGTGTTTGCCTCATTTCCAATGACTTTTTGTACATCAATACTTTTCAAAACCTCATGCGCATCCTTCGGGTTCACGATATCGATCTTTCCGTCTCCTGGCTCCAGAAAACCGTTCACTATAAATTTCAAGCCATCAAGGGCATCATCTTCTGGAGTCTTGAGCTTGTGGTTAATTGCGGTAACCGTACCAGGACGAATAAGAATCGGCAATGAGGAAAAGTCGTGTTTCTCTGTATACCATTGACCGGGCTCATAGGTCTTGTCATAATCGAACCAGGAGACCCATTTTCCATTACTATCGTCTTTAGCGTTACGCGGAACGTAGAATGTGACAGTCCCGTCTTCGGTGAAGACGGGTGCCACGAGTAAGTTGCTGCCGAACATGTACTGCGTATCGATAGCGTAGGTAGTCAGATCATCAGGAAATTCGAGGAACATGGCTCTCATGAGTGGGACGCCACTTTGATGACCATGCAAGGCTTCTTGCAGGAGGTACGGCATAAGTGAGATCTTGCGCTTTACGCATTCCCGGAGTACATCGCTGCAGTCTTCGCCGTAGATCCAGGGGACGCGGTACGAGCTGGAACCATGCAGGCGGGAATGAGACGACAAAAGACCAAATTGTACCCAGCGTTTGTACAGTGCGGGTGGTGGCGTTCCTTCAAATCCACCAATATCAGATGCCCAGAAAATATAACCAGATAACATCAAACTGAGTCCGCCGCGTAAGGATTCCGCCATTGCTTCGAATGTGCTTTCGCAGTCTCCACCCCAGTGAACGGGGTATGCTTGTCCACCTGGAGCCGTACTGCGAGCGAACAAGAGACTTTTTGCTTTGCCTACTCGACCTATCATGGCTTCATAGACGGCTTTGTTGTATAATATCGAGTAGTAATTGTGCATTCGCACCGGATCGGAACCATCGTGAAATTTGACGTTCTGGAATGGGATACGCTCTGCAAAGTCGGTTTTGAACGAATCGACACCCATATCCATTAGACGCATCAAATGACCTGTATACCATTTTGAGGCTTCAGGGTTTGTGAAATCAACTATAGCCATACCGGCCTGCCACATGTCCCATTGCCAGACAGAACCGTCAACTCGCTATAAGAATTGTTAATTATTTGCTTCATCATTTGAAAACTGCATTTTTCGCATACCTTGATGAAGTATCCCTTCTCCTTTCCCTCTTTAAACAATGGTGAAGCTTGTCCGACATACGAATTGAGCCACACGCTGATCTTCAAGCCTCGTTCTTTGAGACGCTTCAAGTAGGCTGTAGCATTGGGGAAGTAGTCCTCATCAAATTGCAAGTCACACCATTGATAAGACTTCATCCAGAAAGCATCAAAATGAAAGACACCCAGGGGAATGTCACGGTCCCGGAATCCGTCCAGAAACCCGGTGACCGTCTTTTCATCATAACTGGTAGTGAAACCTGAAAGAAAAACAAAACAATTAGTTTGCTAAACAAGATCCTCAGCGAAGTCAACGTACTAGTAGTCAACCACAAATTATAACTCCAAGCAGGTACTAAACTCGGCTGACCCGTCAAAGCAGTATAACGTCTCAAAACTTCTTTGGGCGTTCCACCGAAGATGATGAAGTATTCCAACTCCTGCCCCGGAACGGAAATATTGACTCTTGTCGTCCTTTCAGACTGGAGCTCGAGACTCACTTTGCCCGCATGACGTACAAAGACTCCGTATCCTTTAGAGCTGAGGTAAAATGGTATGTTTTTATACGCCAATTCCGACGAGGTACCGCCATCTTCATTCCATATATCGACTCTCTGACCATTTTTCACGAATGGGCCGAATCTCTCGCCCAGGCCATATAACTTCTCGTTTACGCCTAAGTTGAGTTCAGCGAGCATGTAGCCCTCATGTTCGATATATAATCCATCCGACCAGCGAGTTTTGTCCGTCGTGCGATCTCTAACATAACCTATTGAGCGAAAAGAGTGGCCCGTCAATGTTTGGCCTTCATCACTTTGCCAAACAAAGTCTAGTTCATTCGGAGCTGTGTTGATCTTGAGGATCGCAGGTCCGCTTTGGATACGGACTGCATCGTTCGTTTGGTCGATCTTGGAGTGGCCGGTTGCCGACGCGATCTGGTAGTGTGGTCCGTTGTCAACTTCGCCAGCCCTGAAACGCAATATTAGCTCATATACAATGATCACGCTTTGATGATATGTTACGATCCTTGTGTCACGTACCAGTGCACCAACTTGACCCCAATGACTCCTTCGAGCGGAGAAGTGACTTCGGCAGATATCGTCGCTGCGGAACGATGGCTATTTTTCAACATTGTGGTGAAAAGTCAGACGTGAGAAAATACGTACGTGAGTTCAAAGTATCTCCTCTATGTTGCTGATACTTATTCAACAATAGACGAACAACATCTGGCTCAATTGACGACCGTTCCACGTTCCTCATCCAATCTATCTTGACCCCCTCCTAGACGGATAAATGAGCTTTTCATCCCCATGATTTACTGACAGTTGATGTCAGAAACTTACTCGAAGACACCACATTCCGTCGGTGAACTTCATCTTGCGATCAATGTATATTTCAATCTGACGGGATGACTTGTTCGTAGAATATGAGATGATTCAAAAAAGTTGGAGAAAGTAGAAAGAAATTAAAAGCCACCCCACCGTTGACCAGGACGGCCTCATTAAGCTGTTGTCAGTTCATAATAGGCTAGTATCCAGCTGTTGGCTCTCTCATTAGGAAGGTTAAACAGGGATGCAGAGAAGGTGTCGCCGTTGCGGGGTAAGCTTTCTTAGTGATACTTAAAGTCGAATGCAGGAACACGTAGTACGTATCAGAGAGAAAGAAAAGAAAATTTTCCGTCAATCCCATAGTACTCCATGTATCCATCCTTTTCGATCTGGTGTAATTTTTCCGAAGAAAACTCGACATACTCCGAACTCCATCCTCTCCAAGCAAGCGCATGAAGCGTTCACTTGATGAGAAGGGAAAAAGAAGGAGAACCGCGGCAGAGTCAAGATAGCTCTTTGTAGTGTCTCCCAAGGTAAGAAGACTCTTCTGTAGCAGAGTCTTCGTGCGGTACACTCCACGATTGATATAATTTCAGCATAAGTGACCATCGATTCGGATCAAGAACCGCGTTATCTGCTCAAAGCTCCATGTCAGCAGTCCTCATAGATCAAGTGCAGAAGAAATAGGAAAAGGAAAATCTGTAGGTTAAATAAGCTTGTTCGAATTCGTTGGCGTCAAGGGGCATCCTGTAGGGATTGTCGCTCCTATGTATGACAGCATAAGTTCTCGAAGAAATAGACATATAAACATATAAACGAGTCATGATCACAACAAACACGCCATTCCCAGTCACGCCTGTGGGTATCTCATAATGCAATAGAAAGAGAAAATCAACACCCATGTAGATATACAATTGGAAGAAAAATGCAATTCCTGATGAGCGTCAGCTGATTGGATCATTGCTCGTACCCCCAGAGCTTCCACCGCGCATCCACTTTCATAATCCTCGACTTTCCAACAGGAAGAGCTTGTCTCGCGTCGTCAATGATTTGTTGTTCAAAGCTAACAAAGAAACGACGGACAAACACGAGATTAATCCTTCTTCGGCATTCCGTGCTGTTTTGCCGCTTTCTTCTTTTTCTTCTTATCTTTCTTCTGTTTTTTGGCCGCCTTGTCTTCATTGCCGTTAGATGCTCCCAAACCCTTAATCTTCAGCTCAGATTGAGCAGGCGCAGAAGGTGGAGGTGGTGGAACAGACGCATGCTCCGGGTCGTATTCCGATTCTGACGCGCTGTCTGACGGTGGAGGCGGTGGAGTGAGCATCCGATGGTATGGGATGAACCTAGACTCATTTTCAAAGATTTTACGCAAATGAGCGCGCTGATCTGCGTATTCATCGTAACACGCTGAGATGATACTGTCGAGAAAACAGATGTTCGTCTGATTCTGTGAAACGGCAAGCGTCGTCATTCGAGATTTCAATGCGTCGTAAGCCCTGGAAAAGCAGCGAAAGATCAGACCAATCTCTTTTGTGCCGACGGAAATGTCATTTTCTGGTCGATTAGGATCTTCAATAGATAAGCGGACCTTTTTCTCGTGGCTGTATACAACCTGGAATAAACGTCAGTGAAGTGAGAATGGGGACATATGTAGTGAATTTACTTTGTTAAAGTAGCCCGGTGGCTCCAGCCGTATACCAACCGATGAGAAATCGAACTTGTTTCCATAGAAGTCAAAGAAGTCCATGAGAATACTGCCAAGAGACGGACCATGGCCGTTCAGATGATGAGGCATATGCTGTAACAAGCTGACAACGAGACAGATAATAGAAAATCCTCCCAATCCACCTGTAGGAACCTCGTTCAAACTTCGCAAAAGTAAGAATTGTTTGACGACGGCGACAATGGCGGGCATCGCCGGGTAAGCTTCTTTCCACTTTTCAAAGGTTTTAATAGCACGAATACCGCTGTCATTATCAAATGCCATATCCACCTTCAGCCCAGTCAAGCGATCAACCCATTTGAGAATGGGAACTCTGGCACCGGATATGATTTCCATTGAACCAGAAGCCACGACATTCGCCCTCTCAATCACTCTGGCGACTTCGTAAATGGAAATCCTACCGCCTGAGGTTCTTCTGTATGGAACAAAAGTTTCTCTCCCGTAGCGTCTGAAACCGGGTGAGAGGATGACTAGATCCATGTCGGCCACAGGAAGATAGAGCCCTGACGCAAACGATCCAAATGACCGAATTTCCATATCGCGAAACTTCGGCTGAGAGTCAAACACGTTTTGTATTCTGTCTATAAGATCTCTTCGAATCATATCTTCGTAAGGCCGAGGTTTGACCCAATCATAGAAAGCGAGTATCTCGTTATGTAGTCTTACAAGTCGTTAGTGTTCTGAGCCTGCATCGTCGTTCGAAGCAGGTATGAATGCTCACCTAGTACCGATATGCATTGTGGGCTCCATCAGTTCAAGCCATGGGCTCCCATTGTCAGATGGCTGAGCCTTCCACAAACTGACAATATCCCCTTCTGAATTGAAGTTGGTCTTGCCGGACTTGCCAGTGAACACTTTGATCTGATCGTCCCGTGTGCGCTTCTTTCCAGTATTCAAATCTTCAGTTTGCTGTTGATGTGTTTTTGGACCAGTTGGAGCGTTCTCTGGGGGCGCATTCTCGTCTTCGAAATCACCGTCGTCAGCTCCGAAAGAGATGAAGTCGTCATTTGTTGTAACAGCATCGCCGCCAACAAGGGGTTCTGCGGCAGTCGCAGAGATACGGGCCTTTCGAATGAGTTTCACAAAGTCCGGCCGTTTAGCTTGGGTCTCGTCTGGTGGCGGCAAAGCTGTATACGGATCTGGATTCGACCACTTAGGTTTTTCAACAGCAAGGGTAACCACAGGCTCAACTGCTCGTCTTTTACGAGGACGTTCCAAGTCACTATCCTCGTTTTCGGAAGAAGACTCTTCCATCTCCGCTTCATCGCTATCGGTCAGCTCGTCCAGTTGAGCGAATTTGAATCGCGGTTGGTCTTGGCCTTCTTGCTGACCGACGAGCAGCTCCGGTGTAGTTTCACGTTGTCGCGACAGTAAAGGGCGGTCAGCAGTAGGTTTGGGGAATCGAAAGGTGAATTGGTTACGCGGCGCTCGATCCCTATCTCCAGTTCTGCGTCTGTTCCTGTCTCCGTCGCTGTTTCGATCTTGCGGTCGATAAGTGTCTGCCTCCCCTCGGAACTCGTACGCCAATGGTGCCATTCTGGCTATCTTGTGCTTTTAAGCTTTCGATACAATCATTAATTCGTTGACAACCACCAGAAGACTCAATCGGACGATAATGACGTGCTGATCATCGAAGGAACGTCGAAGGCTTTTAATTTTCTGGGCAAAATTTTTTGTTTGCAGCGTAAAAAATGTGCTAGTTAGGAAGGCGGTGACCGTGCCAGCGCGGTGTTTTGTGTCTTTCTTCTGATTGGTCAGACCTGGACGGGGTTGCCACCTTCCCGATTTGGCATCTGTGCCTGTTTTGGGCAACTACGAAGGAGGCTCGTCCTCGAGGCAGGAACGACTTGCGAGTACAGATAACTACTCCAAATATCTTTTACAGAACTCGGCTTAATATTGACTAAATTTGTTCGCAAGCAAACGACGATAATAGACCAAGAAACCTCAGCGCAGCCTTCCATTTAGTCAAAGATGAACAAAATCAAAGACTACTCCGTCGAATCCAACGCATCCATCTTCACCCGTCCTTTCCGTCCAAATACTACCGAGACTCTCACTTGACAAAGGAGAAGCGTTCCGAATCAGGTCATTGTCGAGACCATCCAAACGTTGGCATTTAGTGCTAGAACATATGTCAGTGAGTGATTTACTCTCTGGAGCCAAGGCTGCACAATGACTTACGCTGCAGCTGTTGCAGGAGCAAGCGTTGCACTCGCCTTTGCAGCAGTTGCAGGTGCAGGGAGACATCTTTATTGGTTCGTGGGATGGTTTCGAAATGAGATTTCTTGTAGAGAAGCTTGTGGCTGACTTTCTGGATAGGCTGATAGTGGTGCTGGTTTGTTGAATAGAAAGAGAACTATATCTCCTGTAGTATCAGGGAGGAGAGTTTATATACCCGTTTTTTCAGCCGGTGTCGGACAAAGATATGCAATACTCTCTCCCAAAAGGTATTGATCATGCGCCTGATGTCTTACATGCATATTGACAAGCATACGGTCAGTCGATGCCTGAGCTACATCTTGTATGAAGCAGCCATGTGGCTCCGTCTGCTATGGACCTATAAGGGAGCTGCTGTGCATGGACACCTCCTTGGGCCAACAGGTAACGATCCACTCAAGCACAGATGCCTACAGCTCTATTACGTGGGATGGCACGATGAATACCCGTGACAATGCAACAGTATTGGCGGATCGGCTGGTAAACACTGCCAAGTCAAGACTGTATGATTGATTTGCAGTCTTCATTTGATGCCCTTTTAAGACCGCAACGCTGCTGCCGCCAGAAGCGCAAAAACAGCAGAGTTGGTAAACTCGATCCACCATTTGTGGATCTAGAAATCAGATGAGAAGTTATTACTGAATGCCCCAAGCTAGACTACGACAAGCCTGGTGTCTTTCACTCCAGAGAACTAGGCTCGACCGGCTCGGCCACAAAGTGATGCAGTCATATTATCATGGCCAGCATTGAAATAACTTCTGATTGAAAGCCTTGCATTTACGTGCTCTTCCGAATTGACCCGTTACGGATACAAGACGTGCCGAATCGAGGTTGAACAATAAAGGCGAAGCGGGACCATCCTTTCCGTTCAGCAACAGTACGAGATATCAGATCAGAAAAAAGGTGGACTACAGTAGGTCCAAATGCCGCATGGGCCTTTGAATTTATGCAACCAGGTTGGCATGCCGGATATTATTCGATCAAATGGCAGAGACCCCCGCACGTTGCATCCATAACTGTACGAAGTACATATATTGTACATATTGTCGAAGCTCCAAACTGAATGTGGTCATTCGTTGAACTGATGGAGGTAATGCATACACTGGATTCTTAGTGTTTGGATCAAGCTAATCAATAAAGGAAAGTAGCCAAGTGGGCTGAAGACTCCTCAGACTTGAACAAAGAAGTTTGTATTATCGTGTTGCAGCTGTACCGTACGACCCATGACATATCAGTACCCAACACAGACGCTATCGATCATTTTGAGAAAACAAAGCAGACCGCACGAAACATCGATCAACAGCTTTTGAGTGGAATTTTCTTCTCTTTTATACCTGAAAAGGCTTCCCATGCTTTACGGGTTGGTCCGATCCCGTGGGCACCAAGGTCCTCAGCACTCGTCAAATGAGAGGTAGCCTCATTTTCATCTCATTTTCGAGCCTGACTTAGAGAGTGTATCATTACCGCCATTCCTTATTTGCTCAAGGTAAACATGTAAATAATACGTGGTGCGTTGGCCAGAGGGTGTCCTATTGGCAGGAAACACCATGGCTGCAGTTACAGGGGCCTAAGAGCCCTAATGGGTCGATGGATTTGTTGCCGAAGACTCTGATAGGGTCAATTATGGTCAAGCGTCCATTAATGGTGGGATTCTCGAGAATGGCTTTCCATACAAGGGTTGTGATTGATCTTTGGTTACAAGATTAGGTTTCACCACGGATTATGAAAACGAGCGTAAGGGAACTCAAGGCGGTGGTATGATGAAAGTTGCCATGAAACAGGCAACGCTTCAAGGCGGACAAATGTTTGCATTGATATCAATAGGAAAAAAGCCAGCTGTCTGAGGGACACCATCAGCCATCTCTTCTCATGTTCCTCCGATGGTCTCCAGCAGACCAATAGAGCGGGAAACTACAAACATACCAAGACTATGGTGTCTGCCACCCTGCTATAGTCCGGCTATTTACATCTAGTGCTTCATATATTATGTAGTCTCAATTTTCGTCTTCGGGCAAGCCGATCTATGCCTTGCTCACTCGTCTCGCCCACAATTATGTCTATCTGACTGACCCGAAGTGATGGACATACCATGACAAGATGTCTGAACAATCCACCATCACAGCATCCATTTCTTGCCTATGCGGGAAAGTATCTGCTCAGCAAATAGCTCTAGTATCATTAGTCAAATCCAACGAGGTCCCTCTTTGTCACTGCAGCGCTTGCCGCGCAACGAGCGGAGTCCTTTGCACCTCCTACTACTCTCTGCTGAAACCACACCCAACGACACCGCCCCATTCAAAATCCCACTGTAGAGACTTATCAGCGCTAGTCTCTAATCCGTATTTACGGGAATATGTTCAGTCCACTCGACTGAGTCGGTGGTTCTGCGGTTTCTGTGGTGCTCATGTGCTAGCACAAGTGAAGCCTGAAAACAGGTATTTAATAGCTGCGGGGCTTGTTGTCCCTGTCGAATCATCTATTTCTGAGTCAGAATGTGTTGCAGTCCATTTTGGTGTCGGAGAGACCTCCGATGGAGGTCTTAGTATCTTTATGCCAGGCTCGACGTATGCCGGCAGCAGCACGGCATGTCTTATCGAATCTGCAACTGCTGTGGATATGTCCGTATCGCCATCAGAGGTACATGAACAAGATTTAGGACAACAAAACAACGAGGATACTAATGAAAGCGTCCTTCGAGCACGATGCCACTGCGGAGGCACGAGCTTTGCAGTCACCCGTCCCAACGACCAGTCCAAAGAATCCTGGTCCCCATGGCCCGACATGATCATCCCTTATCATTCTGGTTCTTCAAAGAATTCCGAAGATGTCAAATGGTGGCTTCGTGCTAACGATACAAAGTATTTTGCCGGTACTTGCGCGTGCAACTCATGCCAACTAGCGAGCGGGTTCCCGATCCAGTGTTGGGCATTCATAACAAAGGCGAATCTGCTCATCAATCAAGGCGACACTTTTACGTATAAGACAGGAACGATGAAGCAATTTGAAAGCAGTCCCGGCGTTTATAGAGAGTTTTGTAGCATGTGTGGTGCGACCGTGTTTTGGCATTGTGATGAGCGACCTGGTGTAGTTGATGTAAGTGTTGGGTTGCTGCGATCTCCTTCTGGTGCAAGGGCGGAGGACTGGTTGGAATGGGCGACTGAGAGAGTGAGTTTTGCCGAGGATGCGCTGGATAAGGGATTGATTGATCTACTTGAGAAGGGGCTGAGGAATTCCGTCAATTGAGGGTATGTGAGAAGTAATCATGAATTATCCTTGTTTTGGATGCAAACCAGAATATGCGAAAACCCATTCAAAGGCGTAGCATATCCATATAAGTACACGAGTAAAGGAATCTATTCTCTATGACAGCCCAGGCAGAGTAAATAGAAAAGTCTTAAAGCTCATCCTTCCCAGCCTTCTTCGCTTTCTCCTTGGTAGTCTCACCACAGGCGACAGGCGAAGTAACGAGCATCGAATAAACACACTTCTCATCCTCCATGACCTTCAAAATCTCGTTCTCCTCACCACACTCCAAAATCACAGTCGTCGAACGAGCTGGTCCATTCCAGCATTTTTGCCCAGAGGTATATTCCAAAGCTAGTTTTTCTACTTGTCGAATCTCGCCGGCGGTATTGGCATCGTCGACGGTGATGGTTGAGATGGCGTGGAAGTTGCCCATGGTCACAGTGCCGCCGCCTTTTTTGGGAATCTGTTTGGTGTGTGCAAGGAAGCAGTGCTCGTATGTATACTCCCCGGAGTCCTTTTGGATACAGACGTCTTTCAAGGGTCGGAAGATACCGTCTGGGCCATAGTCTTTCTCGAGATCTGACTGGTGGTCTTTGATGGATCTCAATGTCTTTTCGAGTTCTGACTTTTCTGATTTCAAAGCATCTTTGGCTTCTGTGACCACTTTTGATTCGCTTTCAGTATCGCTTTCGGCTCCGGGAATGATACTGTTTTCGACGAGGAATTTCTTGATGCCATTGTATTTGTCTTCGAGGAACTCGACCACGACTGGCGGGAAGTAGGCCAGTAGTTTGTATACTATATCCAGTTAGTATTCGCATAAAACTTTGCGGGATAAAACTCACTAAGATCAATCTCGCTCTCGTCTTGATTCTCCCAATGAATCCAGTCAATACCGGATGCATCGTTATCAGCCTTAGCGATCTCATCCAAGTCGCGGTCCCTAGCACTATCCGCTGAGGCATCGCCCGCAGTTCCTCTTGCGGCATAGTCCTCCCAGCTGCGCACAGCACGCTTGACACCCTCATCGTTGAAGTTGGGGTTATATTCTTCTTTGAACTTTGCCAAAATCTCTTCGAGCTCTTTGACTCGCGCACGACTCTCATCTCTCTGCTGACGAACTTCGCCTAGAGCTTCCCGAAGCTCATTAACGCGTGTTCTCGCCAAGCCCACCAACAGTCCCAATTTGCCCTTCTTTGCACCTTTGACCACCTTTCCTCGCTCTTCTCTCTCCAATTTTTCGAGCTCGACTTCCATGGACTGAATTTTGGTCTCTTTGGCCTTGACTTCGACCTCAAGATCAACGATACGATCTTCAATTTCCTTTGTCAACCGGCCGGACTCGGCGATCAACTCTTTCTTCTTCTTCAAAGCTGTATTGAGGGACTTTTGCCTCGCCTCTTCCGACTTGCGCCATGCCTTGCCAATCTCCTTGCACCGATCTTCACACTTAGTTCCTCCTGGATGAGCCCATTCATCACTACCATCGCAGCAAATCTCGTAGTCGCAGACTCCATCATTTACTCTCTGGAAAGGGATGTAGGCGGGGTTGTGGCCCTTGTTCTTGCAATAGAAACCAGGTAATGCAGGTGTGAGATCAATGTCATCATTGCCAGGGTGGTCAGCGGATGTTGACGGCGATAGACGAGAAAGGTGTGAGCATGCTGATGTGCCGGGTTCGTCGCTGCCGTCGGGGCAATCACAGTAATCGTCGTTTACCGCCGAGAAGGGTATCTTTATGACAGGGTGGGAGATGCAAGTGAACGTGGTCGTATCTTTGTAGAATTTGGCGACTGTATTATCAACAATTAGTCAATCCTTCTTGCAGAACCAGGTACACCGTCCATTGTTGTCGTGCAGGTATCAAGGCAAGTAGACTAACATTCAGGTCCCACGCCTCGAGGGCGGGATGAAGCCTCACTCGAGGCTGCAAATACAGTGGTACATGTCGAAATGCCCAAGAGAACAAACACATTCACCGTACCCCTCATGATAGCGGCATTGAGTTATTATAGCAAACGAACTGTTCCAAATGAATGGTTGTTGTTCTTCCAATGCTTCGATGAACTGGACAGCTTGTACGGAGTCCTTGCGGAGCTAACAACATGAGATGGTACATTTTATTGGCTCAAAATTAAGCTTGGCTTATCGGTGGGGCGAGTTGCTTAGTCATGTATCGACTCTCTTTCTGCCTCAAATTGCCGACAACGTTTACACCTCTACAAGTGGCGAGACGTTTACATTACTGACAATTATTCTTCTGGTCACTGATAGCAAGATGGGCAACGATGGCGGAAGGTGAGATTTCCCCCAATTCTGACTTGTTGAAAATCAAACACTAACAAAACCAGTATCCCCACCCGGCGAGAACTCGTCCGCGAAGCCGCAAAAGCGCCATCTGCAACGCAGGTAAAAGAAGCCCAACGCGAGCAGCAGGAGCATTATTGGACTACAGATCCTCTGTCGCACAAACCTCTTCTTCGACCTATCGTTTCCGACTCAGTAGGGAATTTATATAACAAAGACTCAATACTGAAATATTTGATTGGCGCCGAGGACGACGATATCAGTTCAAAGGCGGATTGCGATGAGATTTTGCAGGGACGAGTCAAGGGTTTGAAGGATGTGGTCGAACTCAAGTTTGAGGTTGACACCGAAGGCGTTTCGAAGAATGGAAACGGCGAGAGATGGATTTGTCCTGTTACTACCAAGGAGCTCGGTCCTACTGTCAAGTCAGTTTATATTGTCCCCTGCGGCCATGTCTTTGCCGAGGAGGCAGTTCGGGAAATGAAGGGAGATACATGTCTACAGGTAAGCGCTTTTCTCCATCCATGTGGTATCAATCCACTAACTTTCACTAGTGCAGCGAACCTTACACAGACGAGAACGTCATCGTCATCCTCCCTACAAAAGAAGCCGACAAACAGCGCCTAATATCGCGAGGCCAGAAACTCGCCGAGCAAGGGCTTACACATTCCCTCAAAAAGCTTTCCGGATCGAAGAAGCGCAAGAAGCATGCAAATGGCGAGTCTTCATTGGCAGCAACGACTGAAGAATCAGCCGCATCGTCAACAAAAGCGAAAGCAGAATCCATCGATAAAGACAAGCCTTCAATTTCGTCAGCGTCAGGCATCAAAAACGCTTCGACAGCGATACTCACAGCCAAGGTCCTCGAGGAAGAGCAAGAAAGGAAAAAGAGGCAGAAAATGGCTCGGAGTGAGAATTTACAAACTCTGTTCCATAACGATAATGATAAGCGGAAGATGAAGGATGGAGATTTCATGACTAGAGGGTTCTCAATTCCTGCCAATGCACGGAGATGAGTTGACTGTCTCGATGATACCAAATTTTCCTTCCACAAACAAGGAAGAACGACTTTTACAACACGATCTATCTAACAGGGCTCATTCTTTCCCTAACCATACGCCAGGCAGACTGTATCACTTCACACAGACTCCAAGAAGCAAATTCCAATGGTATCATATTCCACGACAAAACGAAGTTGGCGCTCCGGTCAGCTCCATCACCGTGCAATGATCGCCAAAAGCGCAACGCCGAGCGTTGTCAAAAGCTTGCGCATTCAGTTGGACATTTCGGTTTTTAGCTTTCTGGTACCACTATGAAAAGGACGACGATGTGGAAAGAGATCGCATATCGACTCAAATAGTTTGCTGGCGAATTTCGAAGGGGTCATCCAGGAACTGGCTCGGAGTGAGCTTGTATATTATTTACAATATTTAAAACACATACTTTTTACCTTCCAGTCTGCATTCATGCTTCTAACCCTCAATCAATGGACTGCTCAATTTCTGGAACAATCAATGATATTCTAATATACACTAACACAATATGCAACATCTCGAATACATCAAATGAGAAGGAACTCCCCTTAAAGGTCAAGACCACGAGATAAAAGAGGTGGTGAAAATACATATATGAATGACAATGTGACCTCAACCATGCGCTGAGCGACGCGATTATAATTACAAGCTGAACTTGCTCGATTTGTCTTCCTGCTCCCTCCACAGCAATCCCCTCTCCCTCAAAGCCGCTTCCACAAGCTTCGCTCTACCATTCTCACGATCCTGCCGTCCTTTGGTGTATCGCTTGGAATAGATAGCCACGTTCGGAAGATCGATTTTATCTTTTAGCGTACGGAGTTCTGGCGCAAGCTTTTTGGGTCGGCAGTAGATCCTTTCGACGTGTGCTATTACATCTCCGATGGTTTTAGCCTTGTAGATGCAGATATCTTGCATGTGGTGGCCGGTTATTTGGGAGTAACGTTTGAAGAACTGGTGCATGGTTAGTATTATATAGTAGACGAGAAAATGTGAATAACTTACGGCGAATTTGACTGCAGGGTCGGCAAGGGAGAAATCAAGGTATCCCTTGTGGTGAGGAGGTTCTTTGGCCTCCAAGGCATAGGAGTAAACAGCATCCACTATTCCGTCAGGTTGTTCGGGTTCAGCAGTTTCTTCAACTTCGAGCTCTTCTTCAGCCACTGCTTCAGCTTCGAGTCTTTCGGTAGTGTCAACAGTGGCTTCGTCTTCCGTTTGTTCAGCAGCTTCGGCGGCAGCTTCATTTTGAGCCTCCGGGGACTCTCCAAGCTGGTTGAAGACGAAAAATAATGCCTCCTTTGTCTTCTCTTTTGGAAATGTTAGGCTGCCATTGTTGATTTGGCAGTTTCTAATCATTTTCCAAATCTGTTCATCGTGTCTGGACACATCGCAAGCTAACGACAAAGGTTTCTTGAGTTCGTGCAAAAGACTTAATTCGACAGCAACAGAATGAGCGGCTGAGCGGAAATGGGCGCTTTCGCTGGCTCTTTTGCGGGAAACAAATCTATCACGCGGAAATACATTAGCCAATTGACCGGTTTCCAGAGGAACACCTCTAACTCACGGTTGATATACATCACCCTCAGCGGGCGGAAAGTCACTCCATTGACTCAAATGACCCATCCTCGGCAAATCATGCGCCGTCGTAGCAGGGCTGAAATCGTCCGGAATCAGATCCAGCCCTTCTTCGGGCTCATATTCTTCTTCTGGGATCAACTCCTCTCCTTCTGCTTCTGCCTTTTGCTCCTTTTGCTCATCCTCGCGTTTACCCATGTATTGAGCTTTGCGTTTTGCCCATTCCGAAGCAATCACACCTTCGCCACCGTATGGATCTTCGAGACCGGGAGGCTTATCGGTTCCCCAGATTCGTCGTCGAAGCTTGTCGGTGAAGGGGGTGTTTCCGCTGGCATAGCGACGAGATTCGTGGTTGTGCTGTGACGGGAGGAGGGAGGCATCGTAGCGGCAATTGGAGCAGACATATAATGCGTTCTTAGAGTTTCGGAGGCTAGGTGCCTCCAGCGGCTTAAGAAGTCGTACTGGTGGTCGCATGTTCTATGTTCGTTTTGGTGATAGTTGTTTTGGATGATCTTGTTTCCTCGACTTTTTCTGCGGAACTACAAAGCATGTCCGCAGCACTAACCCGATTTGGACGATAGCGTCACGTGATCAATTTATATGTATATTAGAACAATCTCGTTGAAGCTTCAACTATCATACAATAAGAAGTTACTATGCTTGATCATGCAGCATAACCCACTGGAGGCCCCATGGTCTAGCAACCCAGTCTGCGCCCAGGCCGTACCTAGGAACCTTAACCCAGTGGAGATCCCCTTTCATTAAAATATCGTCCTTGTTCTGTAGTTCAGCAGCAGCTCTTTCCTGATCATAGCAGGAGGCCTCAAGCCTGAACAGATCTCCCTCCTCCAAAGGTTCTCCTACATCTTGTACTCCAGTGGTCACAGCTCGTTGAGCACGCGCAGTATTTTTCATGTTCTGAAGGTATTCTCTAATCTCTCGGAGCTCTCCCTTTTCTTTCTTCCTCAATTCCCGGTCTTTTATTATAGGATGGTCCTGTTGTCCAAAATAGTAAGAAGACGTCGTCGCAATCCTTGCTAAAATTCCGGACGTCTTAGGATGAGTCTGCTGACAAGCTTGGGCTGCTAAGAGGAGCATTGCTCTCAGAGTGAAATTTGCATCGTTACCAGCACAATGCAGTCCTTTGTAAGGGCATTTCAATTTTCGAAGAATGCCACGCAAACTATTTCTGGACTTTGGCGGGAAAATTAGACGAGCAATCACACAAGTGTCTATTGCGTTCCAAGGCGAGTATACCTTAAAGTTGAGCCCCATCGTTTCAAGTGCCTTGATATCGTGATAAAGATCATGACCAACCAGAATGATTTCGCGATTTTGCGGTAAGCAAGACTCGACTCTCTCCCGCATATCACTCTGGTCGATAAAGGTCGTTTTACCGAAAAGAAAGCTGTTTTTGACATTTGCCCTCTGGCAATATTCGACGGGACCTGCAGCAAAATTGTACGTTGTAATGAGTTCCTCAGCCTCTTTTGAGGGACTTTCGTCTTGCTCATCGTCTAGGCAGAAAGAAGCGGCAGCCAGACGTCTTTTTTCAAGTTGTCCAGTGTCTAGAACAGCAATACCAACCTGACATCCCACTTTCGAGGATGTGTTTTCCCAGATGCTCTGTGCATTTTCAAAGTCGATTGCTACAAACACTACGTCGGCCATGCCAGTGGGGTCATCTGAGAGGCCTAGAAGCTTGAGTAGCGTCTGTAGACAATGATTGCCAATAGATTTTGATGGGACCATCCTCAAGTTTAGTTAGGCTTGACAGCTAAACAGTGATGGCAAGTTGATGGACCATTGCAGGTTGGTTGAGAATTCACTGAGGGCAATTCAAGGAGTTGCGTTCTTACCAGTTTAGTCACAACAATGCAACATCTAGAAGTGGACAGACACAGTTGGAAGGGAGTGCGTCATTTACGACGCTTGCCTACTCAGGCATCAGCACCAGACTTCTCATATGACTGCATGACACGAGATGTAACTCAATAACTCAGTTTTATTCTTCAATGTTCATTATATGTATTATATGTACAACAGGCAGCGATCTAAAGGCCAACCTACTCCCGCACAAACAATCCAGCCATACCCATACCCGTTCCAATACACATACTCACAACACCAATATCCTGTCCCGTCCTGGCCAACTCAGGCAACAGCGTGGCCACCTGTCTAGCACCAGTGGCGCCCAGCGGATGACCGATAGCAATCGCACCACCCTTGGGGTTGACTTTGCTCTCGTCAATACCCAACTTGCGAACGCAGTACAACGCCTGGGAAGCAAACGCTTCATTGAGTTCCCAGATACCGACATCAGAAACTTCCAATCCAGTCTGAGCGAGAAGCTTGGGAATCGCGACTGCAGGCCCAACACCCATCTCATCGGGAGCACAGCCGGCAACCGCACTAGCAACCCAGCGTCCCTTGATCGAAGACCCAAGACCAAGCTCCATAGCCGTGGAGCGACGCATAAGCAACGTCGCAGCCGCACCATCGCTGACCTGCGAACTATTTCCAGCCGTACTGGTACCATCCGCCTTGAACGCCGGCTTGAGCGTAGCCATCTTCTCCACCGAAATCGTAGGTCGAATACCATCGTCCTTATCAACCGTAATCTCCCTCGGCGGCGCATCGGGATGCTCAGCATCGAAAAACTTCGTCGTAACAGGCACAATCTCCTCATCAAATAAACCCGCCGCCTGCGCCGCGGCAGCCTTCTTATGCGAATTCGCCGCAAAGACATCCTGATCTTCCCTCGTTACGCCATAACGACTCGCAACATTCTCCGAAGTCAGTCCCATAGGCATAATACAATCCTTCGCGTCCTGGGAATGCGACTCCTTCAACTCAGGCCAGAGCACAGTTGGAATTGCTCTAGATCCGTAATTGCGCGTCATAGACTCCATTCCACCTCCCACACCAACATTGATCGCCCCGGCCCTGATTCCATTCGCAATAGTCGTGATTGCCGCCAATCCAGACGAACACTGCCTATTAATCGTATGAAACGAGACTGAATGCGGGAACCCGGCATGGATCTGCGCCATCCGACCAGCTTTTGCGCCGCCGAGTTCTTGTAGCACGGAGCCGATTGTTACGTCGTCTATGAGTGCTGGGTCGACGTTTGGGTTTGCGGCTAGAGTTGCTTTGAGGACATGCGCGAGCAGTTCTTCCGGGTAGGCATCTTTGAAGCCGCCCTTTTTGGCGCGGGTGACTGCCGTGCGCACCGAAGAGAGGATGACTATATCGGAGGGAGATTTTTGGAGGACCTGTTTGAGGCCTCGAGGGATGGGGGAGGCCATTTCTATGTATTCCGTTGCTTTATACACGCTCAAATCTCAATGTCGTATGTAGTCTCTCTTTGTACAAAAGGTACAGTCTAAAGCAGAGAAGACTTAAATTGTTTTAGAAAATCAAAACGAAGAAAAGAACGGAGGCAACCCCGACTATTTCAACAAAAATCGACGACTGGGGCGCATCGGCTACGGTCCCATCCGAGACGAAATGCCGGGGTAAACATTTAAGACGATACAAGTGTGGAGAAGGTCAGAACGGCGCATTATCCTTATTAGAGTTTCTAGAAAGAAACATAATTCACAATGACGGCTTGCAATCAACATATATATCGCTTTTACTACTTTCAAATCATGTAACCCTGCGGTCAAAGAGGGATTGAAGATTTAAAGATTGTTTGTATGGGGACAGATTTCGGGTAGGGCCCGGATAGGGTCGGCTTTTCGGATAGCCGCACCGGATTAACATTCTTGTCTAGCCATCGAACTAATTCTGATCAACCAAGCAATATGAATAGTAATAAATCTAAACGCTGCATGATAAGAGAAAGCTATAAGTAAAAGGGTATAATACAATCGTAAAAATAAAAAGATAATTCGTGACTGCTGATCTCCCATCAGCTCTTGAAATGCACCATAAAATGCTGTCATACTCTATGAGCGAACTATATGACTGTAATGCCCCGGAACTTTCATTTGACATTTTTCGCAATCAGCGCGAAAGCCCATTGAGAAACTGATCTTCTCTCTTTTGGGTGCCGTGACCGATAGGCGTTTTGTCTCGGTTGTTGATGCTGGTGTCCTTAATATAGGTATAGTACTTTCAGTCTCAACCTTGGCAGGCATTCGAGTAGGAAATCCCGAATTCTGCTCTGGGACTTGAAGGTATATGTTCGATGGCGTGTCGCCATCGATATCCATGGATGAAGGAGAATCAGGCCAGTATTTCTGTCTGCTCATCTCTTTGTCTATATTGGTTGTAGGCTCCATCTCAGAAAAGATGTCGCCGGCCTCGCTGATTGGACTGGGTAATCGCCGTCGTCGCCACCAACTAGACTCATTCGTGTTATGTGTGTTAGGCGTAGGAGTAGCACTGTTAATGTCTCGAGAAGAATCGGTCATCAAGTCCTTGTTCATGTTTAATGTGAAATGACTGTATATCGGTGTAGATGTTCGGCCTCCGCTGATAGTCAGTGACTGATTGAGAAGATGGTGAGGTATGGGCGACGGTTGAAGGTGATTTGAGATGGCTTTGCTTTTTGCACCGACGGGCCAGGGCGAGAGATTGTCGCCATTTGGGAGAGGTGAGATTTGTGCCATGTCGACGTCCATGGCGGTATCCAGTGTTAGGGTTGGGGGACGGCGGTGCTGTAGGGACGAATGTGATGGTTGTTTCTTTTCCTCGCGCCATTGCCGGAAGGGTTCGGGTAGTGTGTTTTCGAAGGGTGTGCTGTTGATTTCGTGTGATGACTCGGTGGGTTGTAATGGAGGCGAGGGCGTAGGATTGTCGAAGGGAACCCATGTGGACAGAAACGAGGTATTGTTACGTTGGCCAAGACGCGATTTCTATCACAAACTTGTTAGTGCGTATTCACTCATGTCCAGTCAGTTGACATACCTTGTGCCCATAGTCACCAAATCCATCCTCCTCCCTCGGCCGTTTCGCAAGAATCGAGGACATAGCTCAGTTTCCACTTTCGTTGCTGAGAATTTATTCTTTAAGGCAGTTCTATAGCAGAAACACAGATCGCTTGTTTAACCGCTTTGTTCATCGAGGCGGGCGGGTCGACGGGTTAAATAACAATCAATGCGGTGGGCTCCAAATGTGAGAGATGACGGTCAAGAAGAGACATGAGACAGGTAAAGCACGGACGAGAAAAAGCGCCATCAGCCTCCGCGTTAGATATAAAAGATGAGGGGCAGATAATTCTTCAGGGACTGACAGCAGTGGAAGCACGATGTAAGAAGACGGTTTCAGATGAGCGCAGAATGAAGCTGCTATCAAAATAGAGTCTAGGGTGGAGGCTGCCTGGGGCGTATGAGTGGTTGGCGGAAGAGGACTAGCGGCGAGCTTGCTAGTTAGCGGCGGCAAGGCACTTATCGTTGCTTATCAGATATGTTACATACATAGTATACTAGTACCAATATTGCTAGTATACTATGTATTAGTCCTCCCGAGTACTCCGTACATGATGCTTTCTATTATGGTCCATGTGCGTCAAACTACTGTCATCAATAGATAATTCTCCTCCTACACACTTCGCCCATGACGTAGGGCCTTGTTTAGGGCGTGCTTGATGTAGTATTCAATTCAGTGTATCGGCTTKCGGKATCGGTCTGACCGTGACGATATAATACAGCGCCATTCCTGCTGCTCAACTAACAGCATTCCTCACCGGCGCGCGTTACGTACCCGTAATACAGGTTACAAGAGCTCTAATAATTAGCCTCTGATTGGCTGAGACCAAGTGAGTCATGGTCAGATACTGCCGCTGGAGACTCACCGCCCGCCACACCGGCGCAGTGTGGTCTCAATCGGGGAATATGATTGGCCAATGGACGCCGTTCATCATGTGAAATGCCCACGAAGACAGCGGGGCATCGAAAATATTTATACTATGTGTCCAGACTGTCATACAACGACTTCTTTCTTACCTCTTCTACTATTGTTTCGGTTCATTGCTAGTTGCATACGGGCACATTCTGCAGCTTAATAGAGCCTTATTTTTGGTACGTAATGAGATGCACCAGCGGACGCGGACTCTGGGCACCCGAATGATGACATTTAAAAGTGGCATCTGTCTTAGTTTCGTGATCTGCTGCTTATGAGTCATTGGCTGACTTTTGTATAAGGACAGAAAAAAGAACAGAAAAGCAAATTGTCTTCCTGCATCATTGCATCAGAGTAGCATTGCGAGTTTAGATTTCTTCATATCCGCCAAGCTTCATACATATTATAAGATGCCTCTTGTCAAACCCCAAACGGAACAGAACGACGATACCCGCGGTATGTCTGAAGGAAGAAGAAGAAAAAGACGAAGAATGACAACTGACGATATAGTCCTGGGTTACGATCCTCTTCTCTCCCCTCACTACCTCCAGACTCAGATTCCCTCTGTGAGTCATCATGCACTCGAAGTTGAAGAAAAGCGAATGCTAATTGAATAGCCCGCCACATCAGTCGAAACCGTCAAATCTGGCCGAAACCAGGCCATCGAAATCATCGAACAGCGCGATGATCGCCTCCTCGTTGTCGTCGGACCATGCTCCATCCACGACCCCGAAACCGCAATCGAATATGCGCATCGCCTCAAAGCGCTCTCCGAAAAACTCGCCGGCGACCTGTGCATCATCATGCGCGCCTACCTCGAGAAACCGCGCACAACAGTTGGATGGAAGGGTCTCGTCAACGACCCGGACATTAACGAGTCCTTTAACATCAACAAGGGTCTTCAAGTTTCGAGGAAGTTGTACGCAGACTTGACTAGTCTCGGAATTCCGATTGCTAGTGAAATGCTCGATACCATCTCCCCGCAGTATCTAGCCGATCTAATCTCCGTGGGCGCCATCGGTGCCCGAACCACCGAGTCCCAACTGCATCGCGAATTGGCATCCGGTCTCAGTTTCCCAATCGGATACAAGAACGGCACAGACGGTAACTTGGGTGTTGCCATTGACGCTATAGGCGCTGCGTCGCATCCCCACCATTTCCTGGGTGTCACCAAGGAAGGTCTTGCGGCGATTACCAAGACATCTGGCAATGAGCACGGTTTCGTGATCTTGCGTGGTGGCACCAGGGGGACGAACTACGACCGGGAGAGCATCAAAGCCGGCCGCGAAGCACTACGGGCCCGCAAACAGCGCGAAATCATGATGGTGGATTGCTCGCACGGGAATTCCAAGAAAAATCATCGCAATCAACCTCTCGTCGCAAAGGAGGTTGCGGATCAATTGCGTGAAGGTGAGACTGCCATTATCGGTGTCATGATTGAATCGAATATCAACGAGGGAAACCAAAAGGTCCCACCAGAGGGACCGTCTGGCCTTAAGAAAGGTGTCAGTATTACTGATGCCTGTATTGATTGGGAATCGACCGTGGTTGTACTTGAGGATTTGGCGGAGGCGGTTCGCGCGCGTCGGGCTGTTACCAAGAGTAATGGAAGTGCTTAGACTTTTGGTCTCTGCAAAAAGTGTCTATTTTGTTTAAAAGGCTAACGATGCCAGCCGTGTCTGTATGACCATGAGAACGAACGACTCTACTACCTACCACTAAATTTTAAATTATATAGTAAAGATCTCAGTAAATAAGTATGGTCTATGATTATGTACATCCATTACCTATCTATATACCAACCAAGTATACATAGGCACACTCGAGCAAGTATACCATCATCTTGACACAAAACAGAAAATGCCCAATAATACATCGACAGAAATGGAACAAAAATGCAAACGCCGAATGCGAATCCCACACCAGACGTAAATAGAGTCAGTCAGAGGGAAGAGGTTAGTCAATAATACATTCTTTTAGTCACACAGTCAGACACGAGTCATGCACAAAGGGTGGGAGGTTATCGTCCCCAGACCCAGCTCGTCCAGCTCTTGACGGACTGTTTCGCTGTCGTCTCGACGTTCAACGCCAACGCATCTAACGATCCCGGTCCCTGCGCGTTGATATTGCTCTGAGCTTCCGCTTTCTTCGCATTCACAGCCTCCAATATCCCGAACGATGTCGCCTGTTCCTCGGTTGTCTTATTATTATTCATCAACTCACTAACCGCCGCTGTTGTCGTCGTCGCTGCCGCAGAACCAACAACTGCATCAGGAACATCCTCCTTCTTCAAACCCTCGAACAAAAACTTCTTCGTCCGATTCCACAATTTCTGCTCATCCGCCTCTTTACGTTTCTGCTGCTCAATCTCGCCGATCTTCTCGTTGCGCAGAATCTCGAGTTGAGCGGGTGTTGCGTTACCGGCTACGAATGCTTCGCGTGCAGCTTGCAGGTCTTGTAGTTGTCTGTCGAGCCAGAGTTCGCGCTGGCGTCGGTTCCACATTGTGAGGGATACGACGGAGTAGAGTGTTAGGGCGCCGCAGACGCCTGTACCCGGTCAGCATTGTCATCTAAGTAGTTGGTAGGAGGAGAAAAGCACCTGATGCAGTAATGAGGGTATAAATCATCACTTTGTGAGCACTATTAGCCACCCTCCGACCCCTCTCGATTATCCTATCGAACGCATTGCCGGTCTGGGCGAGTCGGGCGGCGCGCGCTTGAGCACGTAGTCGCTCGACTTTTTGTCGTGGTGTCTCGCCGGGTGGTGGCGATGACTGATTCTGTGAGGAACTTGATATCGAGGATTTTGTAGGAGATTGGTAATTTGACGGTGTGGGTTGTTTATTTTGTTTCAAGGAGTTGGGGAGTTGGTAGGGAGCTTTGGAACTGACATACGGCCCTGTGGCCGTGAAGCGGGTTGCATCTGCTGCTGAGCGGGACATATTGATTGTGTCGATGGAAACTGTAGAGGTGTCGAGCACAATTGGACTAAATTGCTATGTATAGAAGACTCATCGAGGCGAGTTGATAGGTATGGTCTCTGGATGGATGAGATGAGGTCCGTCGGTCCGCCTGGAAATTTTTAGAGGTCAACGACTTGCCGTGTTTTGGCCAATCAGAGGGCTTGGACGCGGAACCCACCCGAACATCTGACATCTGCTGTCTACTCTATAGAAACGTTACAACGAAACAGAATAAGATGACATCAAATCCAGATCTGTCCTCAGTCCTAAGGACGCTTTCTGCCTTTGCAAACCCTACCTCAACACCCCAACCACCATCACCACAACATCACCATCAACATCATCAACATCATCAACATGGACGACCACCAACCCATACCCCTACACCTCCAACATCAACCCCTAATATCAAGAAGACACAAGCAAGCGCAGCAAATATAACAGCCTACCCCCCCGCTTTAAAGCATATAATGCACCTCACAACCCAAAACGCAGACTTCTCCGCCCGGATCCAAAACCTCATCAAGTCCCAACGGGAGCATGAGCGGACATGGTGGAAAGCGCGGCAGGCGCTGATCGAGAAGCAGGCAGCGAGAGAAGAGAAGAGGAGGCAGATCGAGCAGGTTTTGTGCGTTCCCTGACACACCCTTGAGGAGTTTTAGCTATGTGTTGAACATGAGCTGATCGGGAGATAGGAAATCGGTTGGCGCGAGTAATGCAACTACAACTGGAGCCAGTGCTGAGGACACGACTGTACGTCCTTCACCGACCCCGCTACCCATCTTGAATTACGACGCTAACCCGCATAAAGGAGAAAATATCCCAAGAAAACGCCACAGAACTGCAAGCCTACGACTCAAAGGTGTACCAGGCTTCAGTTGACATGGCGCGGGCCATAGAGAGCGAACTTCGCAGATTGGGGGTTCCTTTTTTTTGTATCGATCGTGCCTTGGTAACCACGGAAGATGACACAGGGGGGACAACATCTGAGTCAGTAGCAGAAGAGGGTGCTAAGACGAAGAAGATATCGAAGGAGGAATTAGAGGGGTTGAAGAAGAGGGTATTGGATTTACTAGTTGATTTGTGTTCGTGATCCTACACCAATCCTATCTACTTTCTAGCCAGACACCAGAGGAACGATTTATTCTCAACTCCCAATCTATGCAGACAGTCATGTCTGATAACACACATAGGCTGGCTAGGACGTATTAGAGACACAGGTAGCAAAGGCGTGAATGAGATCCAATATATGTGCATGAGAAGGAGGACCCCATTATAAATGATAAATGATAAATGATAACATGATTCTTTAAAAGTGTGTTGAAAGTAAAACGCCCGTTCCAAACACCGCCCTATGCAAGGAAATGGACCGAAAGAAACGAAATAAAAATCATCACAGAATGTTTAAGAGATTCAAGAGGACGCCCGCTCGGCGACAGCAATGGCGACAGCCACTGCAGCGCCGCAAATGGCACTCTCATGCGCAAGCTCCAATGTGATTGAAGGCTTGTCTTCTGCTTTTGTGGCCGAGTCACTGCTCTCTCGTGTTAGAATGTCGAGGTATGATTGACATCGGTCCCGAAAACCGGGATACTTGTTAATCACACTTCCGTCACAGGCGATGCTCAAGGTCTTGGTGGGCTGCTCGAGTTCCGTAACGGTAACCTCCTGAGGATCGAGTTTCTTGACTGTCTCGGTTGTGGAGTCAACTGGGAATTCGGCCTCGTTACGTAGACACCACATGCTGTAGATGGCAGTGGACAGGTAGCCCGCCGAACGATTTGAGACGCACTTGCATACGTGCTTGATAAAGGTCAAATCCTCTACCGTCGGTGTAGCAGAGAAGCTATGATTCTTTTGCAAAAGAGCTGCAGACGGAGCTAGTGATGGAGAGTTGTCACCTTCGATGAACGCAACAATTGCCGTGTCCAACGAATATGGTTCCTTCATCGAGTGAGGCAAATCGCCACCAAACAGCGACGCCGTCTCAACAGCCTCGACGATGATCAGTCGCACAATCTCCCCCAGATAACGACCAGTGATCATATACTCCAGAGGCTGAAAGTCGGGTCGTAGATGAGTGCGGTTGAGATAATCATCCCATCGCGTCATCGGCAGCACATTACCACCAAACATACTCAATTCAGTGTTGATGATGACATGCTTCGCACGATCAAACCATCCAGGAGGCCTTGCACCAAACTTGGCGAGACCGATTTCATGGACAGGAAAGTGGACAGCCGCATTCGTACCCGTTCCGAGAATGAGCGACATCCGGGTCTTTGGGTCCACGTAGGCGCGTGTCAACAGAGTAGCAGAGCTATCATTGACAATCGCATCCATGCGAACATTCAACGACAATTTTTGGCACGCTGACACAATCAACCCACCTAGCTCCTGTCCCAATACCGAGTCCGAACAGCGGAACCCTTTACCCATACCCTGAATTTTTCCACTGCTGGCAGATGTCTGATCAACAGGGAACGACCACGACAGTCCAATCGACAAAGGAGTCTCTTCCCGGCCGTATTTCGCGTCCACCCCAGTCAAAAAATTGTCAATCCGCTTCGCCATCCAGTCGAAAAAGTCTGTTCCTTGCAACGCCTTGACCTCCTCATCAATCACCATCGACGTCGAGCTAACGATCTTCATGCCTTCTTCTCTCCCACCCAACTCAATCAAGGCGACACGGAACGTCGACCCGCCCACATCCAGCGCCAAAAACGTGCCCGTTTCTTTCCCCGTGGGTAGAGCATGGTTATACGACGGGAGCATGCAGGACGGGTTCGATTGCAAGCACGACTTGAGCTGGTCTTTGATCTTGGCGGCCATGGTCAACATGTTCTGTACGCTCAGATGTGCATTGAACAGCCGATCGATTTCCTGGGCCAACTCCTCGAGCGAGCAGCGTCGCTTGCGACCATAACGACCGTATACAGAGCGCTGTCGGCGCGGCGTTTCGCCGAAGAGGGCAGCCTCGAGGGCGGCGACCAGATTATGGAAGAGCTCCTGCATGCGATGCAGTACTTTAGCGAGCGACGATGTCATGTTGACGGTGGAGAAGGAGCGATTGTTTCGTTCGAGATGAGACAGCGACCGGCACCGTTTCCTCTGAGCAAGCTGTTAGGCTGCTCAAAGGAAGAGGTGTAAGAATAGCTGTTCGTATCAAGTGTATAGTAGACTATGAGCGGGTCGTCGTAGTGAGGGGAAGGTACGACGAGCTGAGAACAGATAATTCCGCGTAAAAAATTCCTCAAGAGCAAAGACAAAAACAATTGTGTCTTTTGTTTCGTTCCTGCTAGGGTAGTTATAATGTTGTTTTTATTTTCGCAAGCGGTATTTTGCTCCGGGAACCAGCCAGGTATGGAATGTTAATTACTCCAATTCCGGGGAGTAGATGGAGGATCCCGAGCGGAGCGGGAGTGCAGAGATAAGGTCCTGGACTGGGAAAGTAACAGTAGTCAGAAGGGGCGGAATAAATTAGAATAAAGAGCGAGGAAGAGAGAGAGAGAAGAACAGAAACGAAAGTAAGGAGAACAGATGTTTATGGGGAAGCGAAGAAACGAGTTAGGCAAGGTAACGAACGAGTTAAGGTGGTAGTAACATTTTGGACGAGCTAAGAGTATGACGGGGTGAGGTAGCACCGGAAGATCTGCTTACCTAGGGCCGCTAGCCCGATTCGGTCTATACAGTATGATTATGATCATAATCATACTGTGCACTTCCTGTTGTGTGCTATATAACAAGAGTGTACCATAGACGTTCTACGTACTAGTATGCAGTATGTCGGTGCTATCATAGAGAGCCAACTAGAATGCGATCCAACTGTATCAAATAGTATTAACTAACTATGAAGCACCAGGCCAACCCTAAAGCAACGTTGTCATACAGGACTCCGTACGCGGCTACCACAGTCCACTAACATGGTGTGAATGACAGTCTCAGCCGAATGTCACGGGACTATTGCAGATGCTTCGTCTGCTCGTGCTCCGTCGTATGGATCTGTAATGGCAGCGTTGAAGTGTAGCGGTTACAACTATGTGGTAGTAGATGAGGTTGTAGATTAGATCGTATGGCCATGGGAGTAGTACGTCTGTACCACTGTTTATGTTTGATCATTCATTGAGCCGGCAAGCACTACAACGGAGCCAATATTGTTTCAGCTTGCCAAAAGATGATGCCATTCAACCATTGCATAAGTTGACTTTTCGATCAGCAAGCAGAATTGGGGGGACTGATTGGCGGACACGGGATACTTCGAGAAAGAATGCGCTAGTCTGGTCACGGACTAGCGGAGTGTAACACAGTCACACTAGCGTGGGCTGCTGCAACGACATTTATCTTATATTTATTATTATTGTTGATTTTATTATAACTATTATTTAATCATCTATGCTGCATACTGCAGTCTGGTAGTATTACATAGTATTGTGTGTATTGCCTGGATGCCCGACTGGAGGTGATGAAGATGTAGGGCTAACCCTACATCTCCCGCAGCTTCCTCTTTTCAACGTCGCATTCCACTCGTACACACGCTAATCGGCCTCTGGTGCTCGTACACACGCTAACCACAGGCTACCAGTACCAGCTCTCTGGAGGCAGGATGGTTTAGATAAGACCTGCACGCCGTCCTACTATTACTATACTAAGGGGCTGCTAGGGTTACTCGCCGCAAGCTTCAATGCATCAGTCAGCATCCACCCCATTGCTGGAGCTACCCAAACATTGCGATCCAGAAACACAGAGCACTAGTTAACCACTGTGAGTAGTTTGAGACAGTTACATCTGCTACGTACTAGTAGTATACCACAAACAAATTCATGCCAAGGCTGCCGCGTGGTCGCCTGTCGTTCGGGCACTACAGATTAGTCGGGTGGATACAAATCTGATAGAGTTACATTAGCATCTGCTAGTTGACTAAGTCTACTATGTATGTTCTTGATTTCGTTGCTTGCCCTTTTGACTAGCTAGTTACTATGTAGCCATCTACACCCTGAAACACGAAACATGGCCCGGACTGGACTGGACTGGAACGGTCTGGTAGGTAGGAAACGCAATCTGAGTTAACGTACGGGGACCAAATCATCCTCCACTTAGCTCATTCGACGTGATGAAGCTGTAAGGGACGGACGGCTGATCGTTCGGCTATCATCGTTGCATGCTCGTACATTACTTAAGAACTCAACATATTCAGTGTTCGTAACAACGCAAACATGATATACGTATACTATGCTCTCCGTACATATGACATGGTATGTATTATCAACTGGTTAGGTGTATAGACGGTAACAATTTTCATGTCGCAGCTTGTAAGATGTAACAGTTGCAACGGTTGACAGTACACTCTGTCCAATCAGCGCCGCGAACGCCGTATGACTATGCTTATCATTTCTTATCGGATCGATAAGCTTTTGTATTCTGGCTATGTTAACTCGAGGATATTCAACTAAATTAACTCAGGTTGCGAAGGCTGCTACACAGAATCTAATAGTTGGCCTGATTTGAATCCTGTCCAGCCCAACTACCGGTATAACGATGTTGGTTTACTGCTCGGGCAATTCCATAATTTGGGACTTTCTGTGCAACGGGTTAGCTTACCTCGGAAATCAGATAATGCATACCCAAGAATGTGAACTACACATATACATAGTATGCAGTTTACTACTTTCATCAACGTACTCAGACAAGCTGAGACATCCGAGGGTCGATATGTTTCTGAAACTTGGAATTCACTCAGTAGTGTGTCTGCAAAACTGCAACTGACCGGGCCGATCATGAAGATCACATTGGGGTCCTTTCTTGCTGCAGAAGTGTAGACACATATGCGATAATACCAAGAATTTCTCGTCCTGTTGGAAATAACAGGTAGTATTATAATATATTGTGGAGGTGGAGTGCATGGTGTAGCATTTATGCACCCCGACCGAGTCTACTCTCTTCACGGGGGAATTGGCTAGCCCTAGCCCTAACCCTACATCGACACGTTGACAACATCGCTTCAACAGAGCTAATACTGTCTGCATATTCTTATCTTTCTCATAGCAATATTCCATCAATACTCATATAAGCACACATGATATAATAGAATTGGATTGTTAAATCATGAATCAAGATGCATCACCATGATGTCAATCAACATCGCCTCATATAAGAACACTTCCAGGGACCGTATGAACAGACACCTTCCCAAACACTAACAATAAACTCGCTTTATTATCTAAAATATCCGTCCGAGACAAAATGTCAGTCGAGCGAGTCAAAGATCGAAAAGACGAAGACATCAACGAAGGCGACCATGTGTGGACACGATATCGTGGCGGCGTGCGAGAGGGAGATGTGCGTACCGTTCCCCGTCTCTTTACCATCATAGTTGCTTTGTCAGGAACATGTCACTAACAAATTATAAAAAAAAAAAAAGGTACAGAAAATCGTCATGGATGAGCGCGAAGCTCGACAGGAGGCTGTCGCAAATCCACCCAAAGTAGGTGATCGAAGCCTTTCAAGCTCAGCCGGTCTTTATGGGGTATGCTAAGTTAACAACGGTGAGTACGCAGGTCATATTCTTAGATCAACATGGCGATCGAGTCGCGCATAATCCGACGACTTTATCCAAGACATCTACGCCGTGATACACAATACACGCAAATTGTGGTGTATATGGCTGTTTTGAGGACAGTCATGGGTAATATCTGAGCTATCTACTACACCATAATATCCACAGAAATTCGAGATGCACTATTCAGTTAAACATCTAAAATTGAATTGTTGAGTTAAGCTTAGTGCACAAATCGTCTGATGCTGGTCCTTACGTCATCCCCACATGAGGAACATCGGCTGACCGCTATGGCTTCATAATTCAATCGTTCTAGACACATAGTATTAGTCATTCGCATCACCAGTCTTAATTGAAGGTTGACCATATATTCGACTTATTCTTCTTTGGAGATGCTATTTTCCAGAGATGCTATTTTCCAGAGTGGGCAGATTGCCTATCCGTTGCTGCACAACATTCAACCAAACCCGACACATAGCACCAATCGTCAATATGTCTACATCGTCTTCGCCACCAGTCATCTCCCACATTCTCGAAACATGTCTCTACGTACGCGATATCGAGATATCAGCCAATTTCTACAAATCGGCCTTGAATATGGAGCCTTTTATGATTACTGTACGAACACCCAATTGACTACATGATCAGATTGATAGTAATGAAATCTGCAGCCGAGAGTTACCGCATTCAACCTCGGCTCTACGACTCTACTTCTCTTTAAAATAGGCGCAACTCATCAAGATATAACCGTCAACACTGAGAATTCTCATGGCATAATCCCGGGTCACGGCCCGAGCGAGTCCCTTTTTCAGAACGGCAATAGTTTGAAACAACATTTCTGTTTCGCCGTCAAATCTCCTCAGGACGTAGATGAGTGGAACGCTCATCTTGAGAAAACTGGCGTGTGTATCCTGGGCAGAATGGAATGGGAACTTGGTGGGAAGAGCGTCTATTTCAAGGATCCGGATGGTCATGTAGGCGAGATTGGATCAAGGGGGATATGGAAGCATTACTGACTTTCATAAAACTTGTATCGTAATCTTTCAGATTTATTCAGAAGATGCAGCCTCAACCTCCTTCGCAATACTCTCCAGCTTCGCAACAGATTCCTCCACCTCCTCCTGACTAGGAAGATTGACAACCACTAAATACAACACATCTTCTTGTAACACCTTCTTAATTATCCGTCTAGTAATAAGTTCTGGTGGCTGTCCATTCGATTCTCCCTCTTCCTCAACGGAAGATTTCCCCTTTACAAGACGCTTGATACCAGTCTCAACCAGCTGTTGTGTCTCGGCCATCATCTTATCAACCCCCGGGACAGGGATGTGTCCTCCCGTCAGAATTGAGATTAATGAGCCACTGTTTGCGGGATGGTTGGGGTCGTTGAAGCGAGATTTCAAAGGTTTGCGTTGCTCGGAGGGTATGACTAGGGCTGATCCTTCGTGCTTGGCCTCCTTCAACTCGTTAGTAATTTGCCAAATTGTCTAACACAGCAGAAGCAGTGGCAGAGGGAAACCCACGAAAAATGCATGTGCCTTCCTATCACTGTAATCATTATACCATTCCCCGGCATTCCTCAATTTATCGCGAATCTTTGCTAGTCCCTCACCCTCTTCCAAGACTACCCGATTCAGATCCGGATATATCAAAGCCGCAGCTTCGGGCAACTCAATCTCGCCACGCGTCTTGCCGCTCACAAGCCTAATATCATTCATACCCTTCTTGAACTTCGTCATATTCGGATCCGGATCCCTAAACTTCTCGACTGTCTGATTCAAGTCTAGCCGTTCCTTTGAAAACAGTGATCCCTGCTGCTGCTGCTGTCCAGGAACCGCATCCTTGAACGCCATCACCATCGCATACAGGCCTCGCGGCATAAAAATCTCCTGATTGACGCGATCCAGAAATGAGTTCTTGCGATGACGCTTTTGGAGTTCTCGCGCGGTGCCGGCGACGACTTGGACGACGGCACTAGTGATTTGGGCTGCGAGGATGGGGACAAAGCCCAGTACGCCGCCGGCGATTTGGATTACTTCGATCCATGCGGAGGCCTGTACTTCATCAGCATCACGCTTCTTATACAGATCAAGGACCAGGGAGAGGAGGAAGGATGTTACCTTGCTAACTCGATCGAAGTCTTCGAGAAACTCGAGAAATACGTCCTCGCTAACTCCGCTGTCAGCAAGAACAGGCGCATAGGCGCGCACAAACCCTCGTTCTCGCTTTCGTGGTCGTCGTTGAGGAATGATTACGGGACATGGGAGCCTTTGTATTGGTTGAGGGGGCGGTGGTCCCGCCAAAGCGACAAGATCGCGAACCAGGGCTTCTCTTTCGTTGAGTCTAACATCTTCTGTCTCTTCTACTATTGATTCTCTTTCTTCTAGTGCTGTATCGTCGTTGTTTGTTGTTCGCATGCTATCGGCGATTTCGTCGAATTCCCATACGGCCTCGTCTTGGTCGAAGCCGTTTACATAGTCAAATTCGGCTATGTCGACCTCAATCTTGCGTTTCTCATCGTTTTGATCAATTATACCATTGTCATTGGGCTTATCGGCCCTAGCCTCGAGCTCGACATTATCTGTAACCGAAGAATCTGGAGATGTGGAAGTAGCTTGTTTCCGAGATGAGGAGCTTTCGCGAGCGGCATGGATGGCTTCCGAGGTCACCCCCAAGACTGGGCTTAGAATTTTTGCTAGAAGAACCATTTTGACTTATGGCTTGAGAATTTGACCTTGGGTAATTGAAAGGTAAACCCATCAAAAGGTTGACACCTCTTATATCCTCGTCCCTTGGCAATCATCCGCACCATTAGACATAGGTAAATTCATCTTGATCAGCAATGTGGCTGAACGCAGATCACAACCCACAAGTGTAGGATATTCCGTCCTATCATTTACTAAAATTCATCAAAGTGCAGCGGCAATCTGATGTCAGGAACTTTACCCGAATAGGAAATAACAATTGCCAAGACTCGAGATTACTAGACTGAGAACCTCAAAAGAGTGAGTCTAGCCCTAGTTGCTCGATTGGGTCATACTATGTAGAAATCCCCTTGAAGAAGTGGATTGTACGTACTTTTAATAGGCTTCGCTAGACAAATAGAATTATAATCTGTACCAACAGCAAGACGAACAGTAAAAACCAGATATCCCTTGGTCGGTTTTTGTTCTCCTCCTTAAGGTTGTCGAGGCACAATTCTATTACAAAACGGACTACGTGCCATACAATATTAATTATTACATTAAATTGGGCCCGGAGGTGAAGAATATGTATGAATAAGATTAAAGGAACATGAAGACAACTATTGCTTAAGTCTAAGGTATATTCACGTAAGTTCGATATACGTACTAATCACCAAAACGAAAAATGAACTTTCAGCCCATATCAATGATACACCAGATATCAACAAAAATAAATAACAGTGAACAACACAATAGAAGACCTGGAGCTTTATCACCATCTAGATAGTCGCGAGTGTCATTCCGGAGGACCCAAGGGGAGGATATCAAAGGAGAGAGTCATCGAAGCTTTACTGGCCTCCTTGACGGACAACACGGGGTGGCTGGTCCTTTGAGCCACCTTTGGTCTTGCTGGTGAGGAATCCGAGAGCGAGGCACATTTTGGCTATTGGTTGGTGGATGGCTTCGAGGGAGTAGGGCCTTTTGAGAGCTGTGAAAAGGAAATCAGTCTTGAAAACAGTCTTTGATGCTGGCGAATATATTTACTGGTAGTATGATTGGTAGAAGAGACTAGAACTTCACGATTTGTCTGTCTGGATGATTGAGATGAAGAAAAATGCATTCCAACCCATGATTCCTGTGCTTTATATACCTATACGCCTCGAGCTCAGCCTCCCAGGTCTCGCACTGTTTGCCCCTCTGACAAATAACTGACACAGCTAAATCTAAGGTCCATCCAAATATGAGTGATATCTATGTCTATATTGTATACTATCGTATTGAATGCTCGGTATAGATTGCTGCAAAGGCTTGATTCAGAGCTGGATGCTTGGCCAATCAGCAAGGAAGATATCAAGCCAAGTGGGTCACATGGAGCTTATCTGATGTTGGTCTTGGCACTCGTATTGTCCCAATGCGGTATCCTTGGCGAGTCCTAATCCCTAAAAGGGTAACTAGTGCGGACATCAATGGACGCCTCCCAACAGCATCCTCTCCCTAACCACGTCAAGCCTTTTCTATGATTTCACATCAAAGATCGTCCAGCCAATAAAGCATATTTACTATCTCCCGGAAAATCAATCGGCCGCAGCAGGCACGTTCAGCCCCATGATGTCAATCCTATTTTTGGTCTCTGACCCTGACATTGAATCCGCTATGGCCTCGAAATTCCCTTAATAAGGATGTGATCTTGGCAGGAACGCTACTTCTTTCATATGTGCCATCCTTTCAGACAGAGATCAGAAATATATTGAAAATGATGGAAGACGGACGCAAGCGCCACTGCTGGGAATGTCTCCGAAGCCGTCTTGTCTGCGACTTCACACTCCCTGCATGTAAACGGTGTCTTGCTTCGGGAATTAATTGTCCAGGATACGACGAGAAAGAGCCAAACAGATTAAAGTGGCTTGCACCTGGCAAGGTAAAATCCCGAACCAGAAATTCTTCCAAGTCGAAGCCCTCCAAGCCTTCAAAGTCTGCTGTGAAGAGCAATMAAAAAGAAACGAGCCTCTATTCCAAGGCGGAGGTCTCTGCCTGCGGTGAAGATGTTTTCATTCCTTCGTTTGAGTTCAAGACTGAAGCCCATATGCTGTTTCAAGCCTGTCAATACTGTACGTAGCTCACGAATTGACTGGCTAAGCTTGGCAAGAGACCCTGAACTGAGTCAACTGACATGACACGAACAGACAACGCCTGCATATACCCCAGTCTACTACCAACAACCGAACTTGGCCCAAGGACAACCGTCTATCAGATCTCCCCCGCTATTTTCCAAATGTGTCTTGCATATCCCGACTACATACGGCTCAGCATCGTTTGCGTAACCACTAGTCACTTAATGAATCAGATTAAGGATGACTCAGGCCCATTCGACGTTCAGAGTAATTCGCTGGCCAAGACTTTTTTCCGCTACCGGGGGCTTGTTATTCGCTCCTTGAGCGAGGAGATTAAAACATGGCATAAGCGTTCTAGTAACTTCGTCATTGCTGGGATTCTTATGCTTTTACTTGTTGATGTGAGTTATTTGTTTCCACGACCTTATCGTTTGGCTGTCATGTTAATGTGTCTCCACAGACCCAGCATGGCGTCTCTCCTTTCTGGCGATGCCACCTGCAGGGGGTCCAGGAGATAATCCTGCTGCGTGGCGGCATTCGTGCATTGGCCGAATCAACCGGTACACAGCCACTGCTTTTCTGTTTTGCATAGTGCGTGACATTAGCCACTATTGTTTGACCAAGACTAATCATATCAGCCTCGGAGTCATCGGAGACACATGCTCGCCTACGCCAGACCTAGTCATGGCCCCTTCGCTACTAGACGAACTCGATTCTAGCCTATCACAATACCAGGACGGTTCATTTACCACCCACGTATATCCCACAACACTATTCCAGGAAATTATCAAAATCAATCTCATTCGCTTGCGAGTATCGAAGAAAGATTCATTACACGTCGCAAAAATCTTCACCACAGAAGCCTTCAAGATACTGAACCGTATCCAGACATTCTCACCAGAGACATGGGCTGAATCCAAACCATCCGCACACGATGACTGGGTACTTGTAGGAAACATATACCAATATGCCGTGGCTCTGTACTGCATACTGTCACTACAGAGCTTGTCGGTGTTACCTCGCACCGCCGCGCTAAGAGAAACCTGCAAGCTAAGCGCCAATCTCCTGCAGATCCTTCTCCGCGAGGGCGTGCCGTCTCCCAGACTCAAGACTTTTTTCCTCTGGCCGCTGATCGTACTCGGTGTGGAAGCTGTGCATAGCGGTAACGATATGCGTGTCTTTGTGCTAAAAAATCTGGAAGACATGAATCGTAACCTCGGTACGTATATCCCGCTGACTGGGAAGGACGTTCTTGAAAGATTCTGGGCTTCGGGAAGTACGGATTGGGATGCTTGCTTTGATAAGCCGTATGCGTTTGTGATGCAGGCTTCGGTGGACGTCAGTAAGCTGTATTAGTCATTTAGAATGCGTTTTATATTAAATAATTGATTTGAAATGTAATCTTCATGTCTATAGATATCTTAAGAGTTACGTGACCCCCGATATACAATCACTCTGACTTGTATTCTATGACTTCCGATGACAGTCAACACACGACTTCAGTATAAAAGTGTAAATCTATTATTTTGTCTCTTGAATACCTAGGTACTTCGTCTTAGATACATATATCATCGTCGTGTGGATCAACCTGATAAAACCTGGAAGTGGATTTCTTCTCCACATCTTCTGAAGACTTTCATTGTTCATCTAAGCTTATCATCTAGCTCCTGGCTTGCCAACCGTGGTTCATCATTTATTTAGATCTCCATAAGTTACAACTCTAGACTTGCAAAATCTCAAGATCTGGAAGAACTAGCTGTGTTGATGATCGTCAAGAAGCCTCGGCGTAGCCAACTCTCCACTTTTTAGCATCATCCCAAGCCAGAAAAGTAGTAAGGCTAGGCCAGAAATCGCAACAAACGACGACGATCGATATAGCCTTTTTTCCTCTCTGGCCTGGAGCAATTACCTCATTACACTATATACATTCTAATATGAATTGTCCGGCTTATATACTCACTTGCGTTGCTGTCCGGCCAACCCAACATTCAGGTGCTGGATAGATCAGGGCAAGATGCGACTGATCCTCTCTGTTGTGACAAGCCTTGTCGCTTGCGCAGTGGCCAAGCCCGTATCTGTTGGAACAGACGATCCCATAGAACACGATTCTTCGCATCATCATGTCGCCCGCTCCGGTATTTCAGGACTGCTGTCAACTGCATCCAAGAACCTAACCTCATCAAACCCATACCTCTCTCAACAAGCGGCATCAATAAACTCCAAAGTCGAGAGCTTACTATCATTTTCCAATAACGAGTCCACTAAATCAAGCTCGACTGAATCAGCCGCAGACATTATTTCAGCTATCTTCAGCACCCGTCCTGCAGACCTGACCATCTCGGTTGACCTCCTGCTATCAACAGGCTTGCTAACCGGCGAGATTCTCAACTTACTCAATGGCTTCACTGATTCCACACTAAATTCCATCTCGAACAACAATGCCCTAGACCCCGAGACAACAATATACCCCTCGAAATCAACGGATGATGCCCCTTACTCCGTCGACGAACACACGCTTCGATCCGCAATCTACATCCCCGACTCATTCTCATACGGTGCAAACGGCAAAATCCCCATTCTTCTAGTACCGGGAACATTTATCCCTGCCGGCGTCACGTATTATTTCAGCTTCAGCAAGTTAGGTGATCGCGCAAACGTCGACCCCGTCTGGGTAAACGTACCCGGCGACTCACTAGGCGATGCGCAAATCAACGCCGAATTCGTCGCGTACGCAATTAATTACATATCCGGAATATCGTCCTCATCCAAGATAGGTGTCATTTCCTGGTCCCAGGGCGGCCTCGACACACAATGGGCTCTTAAATACTGGCCATCAACCCGCTCCGTCGTTCAGGACTTTATCCCCATCAGTCCGGATTTCCATGGTACTGATTTGGCGTACTTCATATGTCCTGGGTTCCCATTATTGACGTGTACGCCCTCTGTTGTGCAGCAGGAGTACACGTCTAGTTTTGTGGCTACGCTGCGCGCTGAGGATGGGGATTCGGCGTTTGTGCCTACGACGGTGTTGTATTCGAGTTTTGATGAGATCGTGGAGCCTCAGGGTGGGATGTCGGCATCGGCGTATATGCTTGACGTGCGTGATGTGGGCGTTACGAATGCGTGGACGCAGGAGGTTTGTGCCGGCCAAGTTGCGGGGGGTGTATATACCCATGAAGGGATGCTATATAACCCATTGTCATGGGCATTAGCTATCGATGCGCTGACACATGATGGTCCCGGTGATATTTCGCGGCTAGACTTGGATACTGTGTGCTCGACGTATTTGGCAGAGGGGTTGTTGTTGGATGATCTATTGGGGACTGAAGGGCTTCTATTGCTTGCGTTAGTGAACTTGTTGGGATATGAGAGTTGGACGGCTGTTGAGCCGCCTATTATGGCTTACGCTTGAGTAGCTAGACAGCAAATTATGAGTCTATATAGTTCAATTCATGAATATGACCTTTGCAGGTATATAATAGTCGAGGACGAGATCATCCAAACTAAATGCTAGCTCTCCGGGTAGGCAGGGAACTCAACCACTTCTCTTTCAACGTTTTGCGATAGTCTATCAAATTTGTGTTAGTGAAGGCAGACAAAGAGAGAATAGAGAACATGGTAACGCATGGTAACCTACCTAGAATAGCTCGAAGTCCCTGCAGGACCGAGGATGCCAACAACACCAAAGCAACAATCTGACCAAAGCCCCAATAATTTTCAGAATCACCATTCAGGCGGTGTTCATTCCCAGCGCGTAATGCAAATATCATATAAATATGTAGCGGATATTGTAGCATTGCTAGCGCCAGAACTATAAGCTTGGGCCTCTCATCATGCGGAACCAACGCAAAATACCTCTGCAACTGCTGTGTTATAAAACGGCCTAGATCCTTCAAACTCAACTTATCTGCATTGAATAGATGGGCTACACCCGAAATAGTGCCCGAGAAGAAGTCAAATATGGTTATGGGGTTGCTGTTTCGGTCGGAAACCAGATACTCTATTGCCAGATATCGTTGTAACTGTGGGTTCGTGTTGACCGCGACTAGTCCACAAGCTGTCATGCTGGTGAAGAAATAGATACTGGTTATTGCGAGATATACATCATCGCCCAAGGGATGCAAGGACGTTGGCGTCGAGATCTGATTTGCAGAGTAGCATTGCCCGGGTATATTCTCGTCCCAGGTCTGTAATTTAAGCCCGAACATGATGACGAACGCGGAGTATAGACTGAGGAAGAAAAGAACCAACACAGAACGGTCACTGTTGTGTGCATTTTTGTTGCCAATCACGTTGATCAGAGCAGCGCATACTGAAATGCTAAAGAAGGAAAAATCATATCAGCCATATTTAACTTGGAAGCGGAGTCGCCATCGAGGACCTCCGAGGACAACCTACCCGGTTAAGTTCACTATGTCATAGATAATGTGGAAATGGTAGAGATTCAAGCTCTTGTATTGAGCCATAGCGCCAATCAGCAGCGATATACCTGGGCAAATCAGTCATGTCTTTGAGCTGCAGGTAAGAGCGAAAATATTTCTCACCGTTTAATGTTTGCACATCGCTAATGGTTTCTGATATTTTCCCAATATACAGTTTCTGCAATTGATACGGTATGGATAACACATCTCTCGCTTTCTGGCTGAAATGAGCACCGAGGGTGTCATCTCTGTATTTCAAATGTGGAAAGTAAAGACGGAGAACAGCCTTGAGACTTCCATCGACCCAGGCAGACCATATAGACAACACGAATGAGAATCCAGCTTGAATCACAAATGATAGGATGATCTAGTGAGGATCCCATCTACAATTAGCTTCTTGGGTTGTCTCGACGAAACAGTATAGAGGGGCAGTTTTTGTGCTTACTCCTAAACCGGCAATATCAGGGTTTGAGTCTCCGACATCTACGCACTCCATTATCTGACAGACAAGCTTTATTTGAGTTATTGGCACTGAATCCTAGGGATAGTCTATCGAAGAAGAAGAGATTTTTCAAGTTAAGCTATGGTCGTGAGGCTAAGCGATTTCACGCCAAGGCTACGCTGCATTTCATTTAGGGCTGAATCTACCCACGTCTTGACTCTGATTAGGGCTAGGTAGTTAGGGCGGAGTCTACTGGACCCCATCGCTTTCACGCACGGAGTAGAAGAGTGATAGAAGTCAGTTGCTTGACGTGGTGATTTGTTGTTGAGGGGCGACACTCTCAATCCTAATCCAGCAATATCAGAATTTTGAATTTCCAATGTTAGGGCAAGGCATTTATTCGGTTAAGACGGCGAAGTCTCTGCTAGATCGCCAGGGCCACCAGATTCCAAGAGACATATTTAAGAATGACTATTCATAATTCATTTGAACAGACATTTTGATGGCTGCGAGACTGTGTCCTCATCTTGACCCAGGCAAATAGCCTTCTCATTAGGACTAAGTGAGATAAATTCGTTCTATTGAGGTATGCAGGATGTGTTATGCTTGAACTATTTGCATGCATCCAATATACGCATTGAAATCGCTATATACAATTTAAATGTACAATATCATACAGGCGTAGTATGTCCGTATATACATAGTCTATAGAGATCATCACATCAAGCTTGTCCTTCCACCAACTTCTCTCGCGCCTTCGCCGTTCGGCATCTCTCCATTTCGTCCAACCACAAACTCGCGGTAGATCGCCTCTAGGCGTCGCCTTTCCCGATCACTCAGAGAGCAGCGAGTCGTGGACAATGACCGCTCAACATGCTGCCATTGAATGATAACTTCGTCGCTGGCATTATCCGTCCCTGTGCCATTGGCTCGTTGCTGTTCTTGGCCGTCGGCGGTCTCGTATGTACCATGTTCGACCTGTCGCTGACGGCGTCGGGCCTGTTTCAGGGCCGCCAATCTTGCAGCGATAACAGCTGGTGGGTCGAGTTTGGCGTTGACGCCAACGCTCGATTTATCTGCTTCCTGCTCGGAGTAGAGAAATTGTATGAATGATTTGCTTGATGCGTCGGTTCCGTTGGCCTGTGCGCCGTTTGTCCTCTTGGTTGTATAACCTGACGCTGATGTTGAGCGATCTCCCAGAAGATCATGAATTGCCTCAAGATGGGCATTGTAAATAACAGCTTGGATATCAGCTCCAGAGTATCCTTCTGTCCGAGAGGCGATTTCTCCGACACGGGATTGAACGTCCGGACTGAGGTTGAGTTTCTTGCTCACGGCTTGTAAAATATCAATTCGGTCATCATGTGAAGGCATATCGCACAGAAGACTCTTGTCGAGGCGACCGGGACGCAGCAGAGCCGGATCGATCAAATCTGGTCTTGACGTTGCTGCTAATACATAAACCCCAGAAAGACCCTCAGCACCATCCATTTGCGTCAACAGTTGATTCACTACTCGATCAGTAACACCAGTAGAGTCATGTCCACGCTTTGGTGCGATACTATCGAATTCATCGAAAAACAAGATACAAGGCCGCGCAGCCTCGGCGCGTTCGAAAAGGTCACGAACACTTTTCTCACTTGCTCCGATATATTTATTCAAGATTTCTGGACCCTTCACACTGATGAAGTTCAGGCCACATTCACCAGCCACTGCACTGGCAAGTAATGTCTTACCACAACCAGGAAAGCCATACAGCAACAGACCTGATCGTAGGCGAAGGGGGCATTGTGCGAAGATAGGTGCGTATTTTGTAGGGTATTCCAAAGTCTCCAAAAGAGTTTGTCGTGTGGCGTGAAGACCACCTATCGAAGAAAAAGTAGTTGAAGAAGATGTTAATGTGACGTTGCGAAGAGATGCCGGGGTGAACCCTTTCAAGGCTCGCTCAAAATCGTCCATCATCAATGTAATTTTCGTGGAATCTGCACTCATGTCTTGCACCGATCGTATCAAAGCTTCATTTCTAGCTCGAGATACTAACAGCACAAGATCTCCAGGCATATAGCCGTCTGTCTTACCAGCTAAGTCCAAAAGATCCAAGTCGCGTGCCAGCACAAAGCCGTCTGCTCCAGACGAACCTGGTCGGCTTCCAGGATTCGAGGGGTCGAGCCAGGAATCTTCGGTTGATCCACTTTCGTTGCGTTGGTGACCTCTGAGTGCGTGATCTTCCTTATCTTGACTCATGAGCTTGTCCAGAACTTTCCGTCGACCTTCCTTACCCGGTGCCTTTAAGGTCAAGATTTCTCGCACAATATGACCTCCAACGATGATATTGTTCAAGGACTCCTTTGACTGTGCTGTGGCTAAGAATACCACCGAAGATGTCGTCGTGCAATACTGGCGAACAATCGAGCCTATTATTTCGCTGACCTGACGACTTCGTCCATTTTCACCGCCGACTTGAAGTTCCGTCTCTACAGGGCAGAGTTTATCCAGGTCGTCAAGAATGACAAGGGCTGTACCACCGAGGCGAGCGCACCAAGATGCAGACATAAATTGTCGGTTCAAGGTCTCCTTGATAGTAGACACGCGAGTTTCATCTGTGACCAGCTTGCGGCAAGGGAAATAAGATACGTGGCAGAGTTGCTCTTCCCGTAGACGAGCTGCCAGCAACTGGCATAGCGATGTCTTGCCAGACCCAAGACCGCCAGTCAACAAAATAGATGATCCTCTCGACAAGTTTGTAAGGCTCTGATTGATAAGTGTGTCAATCCCAACCATGTTCGGTGGTGTTAGAGGTATTCGCTCGTCTGTAGCTACACTCGACAATGTAGTGTCTATCGGTTTTGGTATATCCGGCTGTACATCAATGACGAATTTGCTCTCTGATCCTAGTATCCAGCCGGACAAAGATACTCCCTCTGCATTTTTCAAAGGTGGGTCAAAACGCAGGATACCCCCGTCGAAAGCACCCGCAGAAAACTGATTATCAACTGCTGGGATTAGCATTCCGTCCGTAAGAGGCCCTGACATGAGACCAGAATCTGAACCAGTACTGCCATAACTGAACTTGATTCGCTCGGCCAGTGCGGTACGAGATGCAACTGTTTCTCCTCCGAATTTGAGTCCATCTCGCTTTTTGGAAATGTCTGAAATGAAAGGGTATATTTTTATCGCTTTAACCGAAGAAGTGCTTAGCTGTGTGGGGGCAATTTCCACACGAACAATACCTCCTATGATCCCTGAGCAATTCAGAGCTTCGCAGAGACGTGACGAGATAGCAACGTGCTTGGGATCAGGAGCATCGTCCCATGGTTGAATTTTGGCCACAATTTTAGTCGACAACCGTCCAGCTTCACCCGATTCTTGTTCTTTCTGCTGCAACTGTTGCTGCGGGTCGACTGGAGGTTGTAGTCCTGCTGGTTGAATGACAGAAACAGCTACCCATTGATTCCCACGGAGCTCATGACTTGAAAGTACACTACGATCAGCCCATACTTTCAAACCATCATTGCTATGGCCGGGAATGTCTTCATCAAACCAATCTCTGACATGTTGCCGGTCCACGCCTCGAAGATAGACTGCGTGTTCATCGGACTCGGAACCACGACTTTTCGGCCGCACCGTGCTGCTGCTACTTCTTTCACCGACGCTTTTGCGACTATTGCTTGTCGTGCTTCGATTCTCCCCTCTATTGGCTCTACCAGATTTCGGTCGAACTTTTGGCGCCACTATGACTTCCGCATCAGGCGCAATTTTAGCAAAAGGCGATGTCGTAGGAGGAGCGGGGGTCAACGAAGTAACAACGATATTTGCGGTAGAGGTCGGCGAAAGGTGTAAGGTAAGAGGGTGTAAATGGTTCGTTGGATTCGATCCTGGGCTGGTATAGCCGGGGTTAGGAAGAGCTCGGATTTGATGCAGCAGATTCAGTTCCAGGAAAGAAGCGTGTAATTCGATAACTAAATCTTGTGAGGACGTATTCCAGAAGGGCGTAGTGGTCATACATACTCTCCCAATCAGCTGGTGTCAATGGTTCGATGTTGACAGTCTGCGCAACCGGATTGTCGAGGTGTAAGAATAATCCAACCTGCAAAATCAGTGCCGAGTCCGTTTCGATTTGGTGCGACAATCACCCACCTTCTGGCCCTCGGTTAGACCCAATACCCTGGCAAAGGTGATATCGATTTCGATAGATGAAATCTCTTGTTCTCTAGCAGATGTGTTCGAATTGATTCCATCTCTGCCAACTACCGGCGCCAGCCTCCGCTTGCTCGGCATGCCCGTCCATCCTAGGTAAGACGACTTTTGAGCAGCGGACTGCGAATTCGACGGTCGATACTGTAGTTCCACGATGACGTTTTGGGCAGCCTAAAATAGTCAATTTAGAATACACGAAGGTCTTCTAATTCTGTGAATATGCGCTCTTACTGCATTAGCATTCACCAGCAGCGAAACGACCGGGGTTGGCAAGTTCACGAGACATGACTTGAGGGGTACCAAAGCGACTTCGGCAGTCGTGGCAGTCTTTCTGCTGGGAGCCATGGCGCAAAAAACAGATCTGTGCCCGCATGCGATTTCAGAATATAGGCTCCCTATAAGCGGGTCAGAGGAGTAAAAGACGAAGAATAGGATGGATATTTGTAGTCCGCATAATTGTTCGCCGGCAACTAAGTTGAGTACTGTATGCGACGAGCGTTCGGCTTAAGCTTCTCCACGGTCCACAACAGAAGCCGCCCCGGGGAAGAAGCGGCCGACCGCCGAACCGAGGGTTAATCCGCGCCGATGCACGTGACTTATGCTTCATTCCCATTCCAGACTAGCGGTCATTATAGGAATGTCAGACGCGTTCCTCGTGTCGCGCGACGCGTCGATTTGACTTTCGCTTTGGCGAGTTTCGGGTTAGCGCCGATGCCCAAGTTTGGCATCCACCAACCTCCAATTTCTCCGACAATATCACTTGAACCCTTGTATGCCGGGCAGATAAGAATACACATCTTCTCACTGATACAATTATCCGGGTCGCATACAGACGAGTATCTACTGTCTCGTCTTTCCAGCGCCAATATGGCTCTTCTTCAATATCCTGCCCCGGTGGACTATGCCGCCCAACGGGAGGCATTCAAGGACTTCTTGAAAGGCTTCAAGAGCTTCGAGTCCGCATCAGAAGCTGCTGCGACAGAGGCTATCCAAGGACTGCGCATTGATGGCGACCGTACCGATGACGAATACGATTTTATGGATGATGTTGAGACCGAAGGAGGTGTACGTCGTGATCCCAAGACGAAATACATGCGGATACTCGAAGATGTCGCAAACAGGGATAGCAACAATATTCTGATTGAGTTGGATGATCTAGCAACAGTATGTCTAACAACATCTATTATGTGCACCGAGATTGACGACTGACCTGCCCCTGACAGTATGAAAAATCTCTTCCTGAAGACGCCGATCTCAAGCTGGTAGAATCCTGTCAATCTAATACCAAGCGCTACGTCGAAGTTTTCTCAGAGGCTGTGGACGCCGTCATGCCTAAAGAGACGAAAGAAATATCGTGAGTTGAAATCATTACAGCAACAGCAACGGACTTACTGACCATAATCAGCTTCAAAGACGACGTTATTGATGTCATCATGTCGCAACGTGACAAGCGAAACGAGACAATGCGAATGGCTGCTGAGGCAGAGATGGATGCTAGTCCGCCGCAAGCGATTTTTCCTGCAGAATTGACGCGGCGATACACATTGAACTTCAAGCCTTTGACGGTATCTGAGTCTAGTAGTGGACAAGGATCGAAAGCGCTGGCCGTTCGTCATGTGCGAGGCGAGCATCTCGGTCGTTTGATTACTGTTCGTGGTATCGTGACACGAGTATCCGATGTCAAGCCAGCTGTCAAAATTAACGCTTATACCTGCGATCGATGCGGCAGTGAAGTGTTCCAGCCTATCACAAGCAAGTCGTTCTTGCCTATGACTGAATGTCCTTCCGACGACTGCGTTGCCAACAACACCAAAGGACAACTATTCCTTTCCACTCGCGCTTCAAAATTCGTTCCTTTCCAGGAAGTCAAGATTCAAGAAATGGCAGATCAGGTTCCAGTTGGACACATTCCCAGAACCTTGACTGTGCACTGCAATGGCACTCTTACACGTCAACTCAATCCCGGAGACGTTGTTGATATTGCCGGGATCTTTCTCCCCACTCCTTATACCGGATTCAGGGCTATCCGCGCTGGTCTGTTGACAGACACATACCTTGAAGCGCAACACATTACTCAACACAAGAAGACTTACGACACCATGATTATGGACAATCGTACAATTAAGAGAATGGAGCAGTACAGGAATTCGGGCCAACTGTACGAATATCTTGCCCGCTCTATCGCTCCCGAAATTTACGGTCATCTTGATGTAAAGAAGGCCTTATTGTTGCTTTTGATTGGCGGTGTGAACAAGGATATGGCTGATGGTATGCACATCCGTGGAGACATCAACATTTGCCTTATGGGTGATCCTGGTGTGGCCAAATCTCAGTTACTCCGATACATCTGCAAAGTTGCCCCTCGTGGTATCTACACTACTGGTCGCGGTAGCAGTGGTGTTGGTCTCACAGCTGCTGTTATGCGAGACCCAGTCACCGATGAGATGGTGCTGGAAGGTGGTGCTCTTGTGCTTGCTGATAATGGTATCTGCTGTATCGATGAATTCGATAAGATGGATGACTCGGACCGAACAGCCATTCACGAGGTGATGGAACAACAGACCATTTCTATCTCCAAGGCTGGCATTACCACGACCCTCAATGCCAGGACGTCCATTCTGGCCGCAGCCAATCCTCTGTATGGTCGCTACAATCCCCGCATTTCCCCTGTTGAGAACATCAACCTTCCAGCCGCTCTTCTCTCACGTTTTGACGTTATGTTCCTTATGCTCGACGTCCCATCTAGGGAGGCCGACGAGGAGCTAGCTCAACACGTCACATACGTCCACATGCACAACAAACACCCAGAGACTGGCGATACTGCAGTTATCTTCAGCCCGAACGAAGTTCGTCAATTCGTGGCGCGTGCTCGTACCTATCGCCCAATAGTACCCAGAGAAGTATCGGACTACATGGTTGGTGCCTATGTACGAATGCGTAAACAGCAAAAGAAGGACGAAGCAAACAAACGCCAGTTCTCACACGTCACTCCCCGTACCCTCCTCGGTGTTATACGTATTTCACAAGCTTTGGCGCGTTTGCGTTTCAGCGATACTGTTGTCACCGACGACGTTGACGAGGCACTCCGACTTGTCGAGGTTAGCAAAGCCTCTCTGGATAATGAACAGAGCGGGGAGGGAGACCACACACCAAGCAGCAAGATCTACAACCTTATCCGTGGTATGCGGGAGAGTGGTGCTGCGGCGGCTGAGGATGGACAAGAGGGAGAGCTCAGTCTTCGCCGAGTTCGTCAGCGAGTCCTTGCCAAGGGCTTCACTGAGGACCAGCTCACGAAGACTATCCAAGAATACCAAGAACTGGACGTAAGTGATATTGATAGACTTTTATGCCACGGTGACTATCTACTAACAGAGACCAGGTCTGGCAAATCACCGGTAACGGCACTCGTCTGCTTTTCGTTGAACTTGATGGCTTTGATGACGATATGGATATCTAAAATAGGGCGTTATTCGTGTCATCTTTACGAATGCTCTGAGTCCTAGGTTATTTACGTGTTTTGTATATGGAGAAGGTTAAGCGATGTCATTCTGGATGGTGAAAGGCGGCGTATGATTTTAGAGGTATCAATACAGTAATATGCGATAGTAATGGATTCTATTGGTTTGATAGGTGATCTGTAAATCAGTAGGTACTGGTCGGATACGCGGCCGGTGTTGCTATAGTGGCAAGCAGGTGCCTGATATCCAAGGCACTAACAGAAATAAGGAATAAAATAATTTCCAAAATTCGTTCTCTACCCGGACTCGAACTTACCACCAACACCGACAAAAACACTCCTACCTCCAAAATGCTTGCAAGAATGAAAAAAAAACTGGTAGCTTCTCTTTGATTGAGCGTGTCATCCTTAGTGCAGGGGCCATGCTAATCTTCTCTGTATCGTTTCAAATTGACCAAATGCCCGAAGGCATAAGTAATGGGAAAAGAATGGACTATATGGGAGCAGACGGGAAGGGTTGGTTGCGAAAAATGAAAGGTGATTGGATCGCTTGGGTTAGTGGCCGGCAAAGCGGAAAGAGGCCTGAGGCCACAAAGGAACGTCGAAATTGTCGCTTCCCAGATTGTCTGGTCGGTGGGTGATGAGAAACGTTAAACGATGTTGAAATGGGGGAATAGAAGAAAGAAAGGAAAGAAAGCTGATCGGAATAGCATGCGAAGTGATAAGTAATGAAAAGTGGTCCATGTGAAAGCGCATCGACAATGGGTTAGAAAACATCCAAATATATAACTGTAGAAGTCTCTGCTAGATATATTGTCCGTATTCGATCCAACGCTGATTGTATATCGGCGCGGTGACAACAAGTATATGTAGTTTGCAACCAAAAATCAAGACCATGGACAATGATAAAGCAATACAGAAACAGAAGTACAACTGAAGAAATGAAGAAGAAGCTGAGGGGTAATAAATCGAGAGCCATGCACCCCACCACGATATCGGATGCCCAATGTGAGAACGTGACTGCCACCAACCCTAATCAAAATTCAGGATAGGGTTATTCAGGGTTATGTTATTCTATCGAGTCTGACGTCTATATCCGACGGCCATTTGTGTCGTGTGTGTCTCCGTCTCCGTCTCCGCTTTTCGTAATCCAGGTAGGGGATAGGTATATGCCATACGGTTAGGTCAGATACGTAGCGCTCCTCTCCTTCCATCGTCTGTAAGACGCAGTACTTGACCTCGTTCTTCAATCGAAGATGGTTGTACAGCATGCCATATGGCTGTGTGTAACAAGTACTCTGTAAACCTATAGTAACCGTTAGCCGTCAAGCCTCGGCATTTTTCTTATCGTAAGCCAGGACTAGCCAATCAGTGACTCGGTTGGTGCGGTTTATCCCCGGATTTCCGGGAGTGGGTCGCCCTGCTTAGTAGGAACCGGGGTCCAGTGACCTGCCAACTACGGAGTACTTAACAGGCAGCTCGATGCTACCCTGTCGCTCTTACTCCCGTTATTATTCTTGAGCTTCTTGTTCTCTCTAATATTTGAGTGTAAAACATCAATATATATACTTCCCAGGGATCAGCACTCACTACATCCACAATGCCTGTCAAGTCGCCTTATCCGGACTTCGAGATCCCTGATACCGACATCTGGTCGTTCCTGTTTGAAAGGAATGACCGGCCCTTCCCGGAGGACAAAGGTAGACCTATTTTGATACACAAAATACGTAGGGTCAAAACTAATATTTATAGAAATCTTTGTCGACGCCAATACTCAAAGGTCATACACCTTTGGCCAACTCCGCGACAGCGCAGTGACATTTGCCCACGGCCTCAAAGCGACGTGGAACTGGAAAAAGGGCGATGTCCTCGTCATTTTCTCGCCCAACTGCGTCGATACTCCAACCCTCATGTACGGCGTCGCCTGGACCGGCGGTGTCATCTCCCCCGCAAACCCAACATATACCGTGGATGAATTGGCCTTTCAGCTAGGTAATTCTGAGGCAAAAGCCCTTGCAACACAGCGCGCCTTACTTCCTATTGCGCGCGAAGCTGCGAAAAAGGTGGGTCTGCCTGAAGATCGGATTATATTGATTGGCGATGAGCGAGACCCAAGTGGCGTGGTGAAACATTTTACGTCTATTCGGAATATATCTGGGACGACGAGGTTTCGTCGGCAGCGCGTGGATGCGAAGAAGGATGTCGCTTATCTGGTATACTCATCTGGAACGACGGGATTGCCGAAGGGGGTCATGCTCTCGCACAGGAACATCGTTGCCAATATTTTGCAGTGCAAGAATACTGAAGGAAGATATCTTTCTTGGAACGGCAATGCAGATGGGAAAGGAGATCGCATGCTAGGACTTTTGCCATTTTTCCACATTTATGGTGAGTCGATTCGGTATCATTTCTAGGAACGGCTACTGACTATCCCAGGCCTCACGTGCATCCTTCATGTCAGCGTACACGCTGGTTATGCCGTGTACGTCATGCCCAAATTCGAAATCGAGAAATTCTGCTCCCACGTACAAAACTACAAAATCACATTCATCTTCGTCGCCCCACCAGTCATTCTTCTTCTAGGCAAACACCCCATCGTCGACAAATACGATTTGTCCTCCCTGAGGATGCTGAATTCCGGCGCAGCACCACTCACCCGCGAACTCGTCCAAACCGCATCGGCACGAATCAAAGTCCCAATCAAACAAGGTTACGGACTCACCGAAACCAGTCCTACAACGCATACCCAAATCTGGGAAGACTGGGACAAGGACATCGGTTCCGTGGGTCAATTGCACCCAAATATGGAAGCCAAATACATGACCACGCCTGAGGACGAATCGGCGCCTCAGGAAGTCCCCGTCGGCCAAGTGGGTGAACTCTGGATGCGGGGCCCGAATGTCTTTATGGGATATCACAAGAACCAGAAGGCGACTGATGGCTGTTTGACTCCTGATGGTTGGTTCATGACTGGCGATGTTGGATATCAGGATAAGGATGGCAAGTTTTTTATTACGGATCGTATCAAGGAACTTATCAAGTACAAGGGCTTCCAGGTTGCGCCGGCTGAGCTGGAAGGCATTCTCCTGGATAACGAGTCGATCGATGACGTTGCCGTGATTGGTGTGTATAGTGAGGAACACGGCTGCGAGGTTCCGAGGGCTTACGTTGTCCGAAGTGCAGCTAGTAAAGCATCTGGCGTCAGTGATGCCGACGAGGCAGCAAAGATTGTTGCTTGGATCCATGACAAGGTCGCTCAACACAAAAGACTGAGAGGTGGTGTGCGCTTCGTGGATGCTATTCCCAAGAGTGTCAGTGGTAAAATTCTGCGACGAGTGCTCAAGGACCAGGCCAAGAAGGAGGACGAGAAGCCAAAGGCCAAGCTATAAGTCATTGGGTATCTTTTTAATACATGTATAAATTCATGTACATTATTCGCAGCCTTCTAGCGCCCCTTTTTTTATAAATCTGTCCTATTTATTATTGATTTTCAGTTGGATCAAACCAAAAGTAAATCCCAGTCCATATCCTCTAAAAGATCCAGCCAGTGCCTCCTCTGCCTCAAAGGATTCGACCCCCAATAAAGTTCAATCATTTCCTGAGCTCGGGTCGTATTTCGAATCCCAAAGTTGAGTTCCAGCGTCTTCAATGCGCCAAGGATCAGGGATAATTGCTCTTCTTTGCCTTCACATTCACATCCGGCTATAAATAGTGGGAAAGTCAGTGCTGAGAATTCGGTATGAGTATCTGGAGGGTGGGATTGGAGTAAGGTGATGATCATTCGTAATGCTTGAGGCTTTGAGAGGGAAATTTGAGAGCGTAGTCTATCCCATACGTTGATATTTGTCACGGTGGTGGTGGAGGTAGGCCATGCCATTCTTTCAAGACTGGAATGGAGGAATATGAATGCAGCGTAGCGGAAACAGTTTGCTACCATTTCTAGTCGGTCGATTGTTGCTACTGTGATGCCCTCTGGGATGATAAATGATTGCTCTCTGCAAGACCAGCTGGTGAGGTATTCATTTCTGCAAGTAGTCAGTTCAAGAGGGCCTTCCAACATTTGATACGAAGACAACCTACATGTCAGAGATTTCTCGGGTCAAAAAATCAAAATCATCCACTCTGCGAAGATCTGCAATGCGCGAACAGACTTTTACTATTTGCTCGCTGCATCCAAGGTATATGTCTATTTTGGGAGTGGTGTAAAGACTGTCGCAGATCAACCCTGGCTCGAGAGTTGGGGTCATGAGATTGGCCATATATTGCCAATATGTTAATCTAACAAGAGGATTAGATTCATCGTACTGCGAAAGGTGAAATTTCACAAGACTTACAAGCCAGAAAGCCAGTCCGCAAACTCTCGATTGAGATTGGCCAACCCTCCGCAAGAAATGACAAGCCTCTGCAAAGCTTCCAAATGCCCTCTCCAAGATCTAACCGAGCCCCTGACAGCTTCATACTTGCACACCGACGCAACAGTAGCAACCAACTCTTCAAGCAAGGTAACGTACGCCGGACTCATAAAAACCAATTGCGACAAATCTGTCAAGGCATTCCGAATACCAGACAACGTTTTGCCGTAATATGTCATTTCAGCTTTTCGCAATGCGTCGCCATTTGGTGATTCCCAGCTCGACATGTGCCCCGCTGAAAGGGTGCAAAGAGCGTTTAGAAGGAGAGGTGACGACAATGCTCTTGGAATCAGTACTTCATTGAATGGGTTTCGTTCCATTTGAACGTTGAGTACTAAGTGAGATCCTCGCTCGACGTGATATTGGATGTAAAATGCCTCAAGGGGTTGGAATAATGTGAGTGAGCGGATTATGTTATTTCCGATAATTGGTTTATGGTTGGAAGTGATGGCCATTGCTTTGTAAGTGTCTTCGTTTTCGTGTATCCCTGATGCATCCGGGGTAGGGATTGACTCCGGTGTTGATGGATTGCTTGTCCAGCAAAACTGTTCGCTCGGCCTAGACGTTGCAGTTGACGCCGAAGAGGGAGAACGAGAAATATCATCATCCCGGCAGGATTTTGAAACTTTTCTGCGTTTTGTTTCTGATACTCTGTGCTGTTGAAAAGTTGTTGTAGTTGTACTCATGGGCGTGATCCATAAATTCGGGTATCCCTCACAATCACGTCCTAATCTGATACAATTTCCACATCTGTTCCTTCTTAGTCTCTATAACAGCTACAATTTATATCTGAACTCACTTTGGCTTCTGTTCATCACACTTCTTCCTCCTCTTCTTACAGGTCACACATCCAGAACGGCTCCAAGCACCTCTGATCCGGAGGGGCGACCCGCTCCCGGATGGTGACAGTCCTGCCAATGAGATCTCCGACGGGGTAGGGGAGGTTGCCATTCGTCAATCCATGAGGTTTGCTAGTGCAGAGAATATAAAATGATCCGATCCTTGATTGATGGGACGGGATTCGTTTGCATACGCCTCTGGGTATGTGTCTATTGCGGGTGTTGGAATAGATGCGATTATCGATTCATGACTGAATTGGGACAGACTTGCGCCACAGTGCTCGCATCAACCCACAGTTGGAAATCAATTCCATTCCCGTGTTGCAAAGGGAAAGGAGAGACGGTCTGGAATCTCTCTGCGAAATTGACTGAGAGACTGAGGATAGAGGGGAAAAGATACGCTAAACCAAATACGGAAGGACATGCGCCGAGCTTATCGGAGCGATAACGAAAACTCTGCCTTATCTCACACCAGACCTATCAATGCTGTACATACTTTATTCCAGGCTACATGACCGTTTAAATTCAATTGCTATTGGCGCTGATAACCCAGTTGTATTTTTCTACAGCAATGAATACTCATTGTTGCAAGATACCAAGATACCGAGGCGTCTCAGACGCGTTATCAAGGGTCGATAAGTGACGATAAGGCGGCGCGACTCCTTCCCAAAGCGGTAAGTCCATCCGATCAATTAGTTTCCATCATAGCCTCAGGCACCAAGTACTTATACTCTTATCATTTGCCATCTGCTTATTTTACCTTTGCTGTTTCCCTTCTCATTCTATTATTATTCCTAACAGAGCCTGTATACGTCGCATATACTCGGTTCGGGGTCATATTTCCACACAATGTCGGCCATTACACAAGCAGTTTCACAGACGGGCTCCGCTCAGCTGCATCCATTCGACCCTCTTACGCCTTTAGAAATCAAACTGGCTGTTAAGATCTTGGAAGGCACATTCTCAGGCGTTCAATTGAGGTTCAAGCGTATAGATGTGCAAGAGCCTCTCAAAAAAGATGTTATTCCGTATATCGAGGCCGAAAGGCTAGGCCAAAGTCTTCCTCCCAAGCCGGCCCGTGTACTGCATACTCTTTTCCATCGACTTGATAATGGCGCTTTTTACAAGGCCTTAATCAACGCAGATACCAAGTCTGTTATCTACGCCAAAGAAATGCCAAAGCATGTTCAGGTTTGTATTTCACATTAGGACAGTCGCCATGAACTGTGGGCTAATTTGTTGCCACTGTAGGGTCCTATTGATGTGGATGAAATGATAGCCATTGAACAGCTATGCCTTGAACATCCCGAAGTTCAAAAGGAGATTGAAAAGCTTCAACTTCCCGCAGGCGTGACAGTGTGCAACGATCCATGGATTTACGGCACAGACGACCCGGAGGAAAGTCGTCGTCTGTTCCAGTGTTATATGTACATAGTGGAAGTCGACCACCCACAGAACAACCATTACTCAACACCGGTCAGATTCTCGCCTGTATTTGATGGCCTCACGCATGAGCTGGTTCGGATGGATTATCTTCCGGCCGGTATTGACCATTCTACCATGGCTACTGCTCCATGGAAGCCCGTCAAAACTATTCAGTATGCACATGAACTTCTTGACGAACCGCTAAGGACGGATCTGAAGCCATACATCGTACAGCAACCCGAAGGACCTTCATTTAATGTGGACGGCAACCTAGTTACCTGGCAAAAGTGGCGATTCAGGGTTGGCTTCAATACCCGTGACGGACTGGTGATTAACAATGTCACGTATGATGGTCGTAACTTGTTCTATAGGCTGTCGCTTTGCGAAATGACAGTGCCATATGGAGGTATGCATTTCCCCCTTTTAAGCTGTGATTATCCGTGGCTAAAATTATAGACCCCCGCAAACCATTTCATCGCAAGCAAGCCTTCGATGTCGGCGATGTCGGCTTCGGCATCACCGCCAACCAGCTATCTCTCGGGTGCGACTGTCTAGGCCATATCAAGTACTTCAACGGCTGGCGAACAGACAGCAATGGCGAGCCGGTGTTCTTGGAGAATGTAATTTGCCTGCACGAGCAAGACAACGGCCTCCAACACAAACACACCAACTACCGCACAAACTCCGCCACGGTCGTACGCAACCGTCAATTGGTTGTCCAGATGATCTGCACCGTAGCAAACTACGAATACATCTTTGCCTACATCTTCGACCAAGCCGCTGGCATTGAGCTCGAGGTCCGCGCCACCGGTATCCTGTCCACTTCCCCCTTGGAGAACGAGAACGGCCAGACTGTTCCATGGGGAACAAACGTCGGTCCTGGCGTGGTAGCCGCAAACCATCAACACATGTTTTCCTTCCGCATCGATCCTGCCATCGACGGCTTCAAAAACACCGTCATCTACGAAGACAGCGTCGCTATGCCCGAAGACGACAACAACCCTTACGGCTGCGGCTACATCTCCCAAGAGACTATCCTCAAGAAATCAGGCACAGCACAAACCTCTGTCGAACGCCACCGCGTCTTTAAAATCCGTAACGACAGCGTCATAAACCCGATTACTTACAAACCCGTTGCATACAAACTGCAAACATCGCCCGCTCAAATGCTTCTCATGGGTCCCAAATCATTCAATTACCGTCGCGCAGAGTTTGCGTCGAAACCCATCTGGGTTACGAAGTTTCAGGAAGAGGAGCTGTATGCTGCGGGGGAGTTTACGAATCAGAGTCGGCAGTCGGAGGGTGTTGAGAAGTGGGTTGCAAGAAATGAGACGGTGGAGGATGAGGATCTTGTTCTGTGGCATAGTACGTCTCCCATTTTTCTCTAACAATGATTGGACTAACGCGACGGTACAGCATTCGGCCTCACACACAACCCCCGTATTGAAGATTTCCCCGTCATGCCAGTCGAGAAAGTGAGCGTTATGCTCAAGCCCGATGGCTTCTTTACTAAGAACCCGGCTCTGGATGTGCCTCCTTCAGTGCAGTCGTTCAACAAATCTACTCTGCATAGCGATGCTGCTGCTTCGTGCTGCACGGGATCCAGCATGGATAAAGCCAAGTTGTACAAGAGGGTAGACTAGGTTTTCATATAAAGGCTCCAGTTTGGTGATACTAAGGTTTGGATAGTTGTCTTTGGCGCTTTGAGCGATTGATTACAAGTGGAATCTTGATTTAAGAACGATGCATATAGTGAGAATATTACATATGAATCTTGTCCGAGTATAAAATGTCATCAAGTGACAAAATATGAAATCTATATCATTATTTCTGTCAAAGCCTAAGATCAAACAAAACTAGAATATAATCCCCATCAATCCCTTCATTCCCTCCTCTCCGTAATACAGAATTGCAGTCATTTTTGAAAGTCATTACAAAACACAAAAGCCTCGGCGAAAACCAATGGATCTATGCATAGAGAGAAACAAAAAACTCGACATCATGATTTTGTGGTCATGTTTTTTCATTCCCTGCTGTTCATAGCGCAACGTGGTGGATAGAAACCTTGAAGAATTTGAATAGACAGTTCGTTAACGAATACGTAATGAAACTCGTTTGTAATTAAACAGATGAAAAGACCGTCGAGCGTCAGGTCTAGTAGATCAGCCTGTGTGCATGTGCAGAGGACTGTTTAGGTTGAAAAATCTACGCCTTGGTAGGGACGTAAGCGCTAGGGACCTTGCCATGACCGATACGGTCAATAGCAGCCTGGCGAGCTCCCGCGAGGCCGTACTGGGAGGGAATGCCCTCCACACGGTGAGTGGAGTTGATGTTCTTGACCAGAGTGATTTGCCAGCAAGTAGCTCCACCCTGGCGGGAGGTGATGGTAGAGGAAGCCAAGAAGTACTCCCAGATCTGTTGTCCTGTCAGTAAATCTGTGCATTAAAGAAATCAGGACAAGGCTTACTCTAAACCATCTCTTGCCATACTTGGCCTCAACCTTGTCGCGGTTGGCCATCCAGTTGCGGTACCAGCGCCACAATGTAGCAGAGTAGTGAACACCAACGGTGTCGATGCTCTTGATTTCAAATCCGGCACCTTCAAGAGAGTCGACGACGAAACCAAGAGGGGTAGAAGCGTCGGCACCGGGGAAGATGTACTTGTTCATGAAAAGACCCCAGATGAGATCCTCGTACTGCCATGATTTTCGGAGACCAGCGATCTGAAGGAAGAAAACACCATCATCATCAAGCATGTCATATACCTGAGAAAGGAAAGAGCCGAAATGGCGGACACCGACGTGCTCAGCCATCTCTAAACATGTGATTTTCTTGTAGCCACCAGTGACGGAGGGAGCATCACGGTAGTCCATGCACAAAATCTTGCTTTGAGACTCTTCAATACCAGCTTTACGAAGACCGTTATTTCCCCATTTGGTCTGGTTGCGGCCGAGGGTGATTCCAGTAACGTGAGCATCATAGTGGACAGAAGCGAACTTGGCCAAGGTACCCCAGCCACAGCCGAGATCTAGGACGGTGTCACCGGGCTTGAGTCCAATCTTCTCGCAGACAACGGACAACTTGTTGTCCTGAAGCTCCTCAAGTGTCTCTTCCTTGTTGATGTCGCTGATTATACCGGAGGTGTAGATCATACGAGGACCCAAGAACCAAGCGTAAAAGTCGTCACCACGGTCGTAGTGATCACGAACCTGTTCCTCGTCTGTACAATTGTTAGTCATAATTTTCAATACCAAGTAATAAGTCAGAGCAGCTTACCCTGAGAGCGGGAGTGGATAAGCATCTCCGGAAGGAAACCAGTCAAGAAATGCTTGTACAATTGCCAGGTGAAACGGAAGCTGGCCCAGTCATGTCGGTACTCAAGAATATCCAAAGCATCGCCCTTGAAGTCAACATCTCCATCAAAGTACTTCTCGAAGAAAGTTGTCATGGGAATCTTGCTCTTGCCGTGGTATTTGACACGGTCATGCTCGCTGTGGAACTCCAAGTAGTGCTCGACGGGACGACCAGGGTATTTAGCTTTTTCATTCTTGCGGGGGGAAGCTCCAGATGCAACGGTCCAGAAGGCCATCAAGATTGGGATTGTAGTGAAGATGGCGAAGAAGATGGTGGTGTAGAAGCCACCGCGGAACTGGCGAGCAATGTAGAACGGCACGCCGATCAAAAGGATGATCAAGAGGACATTGGAGAAGCTGTCACTGCCGGCCGAGTCTGCTGGGAGGGGGGCATTCTTGATCGCAGGGTACTGTATTGCAATTGGAGTCAGTCGGGGGAACGTTCAACAAGGCCACGTTCAAGCTTTCAGGGTCCGTACCGACGTTGTCCTCACTCCACAATCCTCAGGGGCTGGAGATGCGGGCGCAGGAGGAGTCTCGATGAACTCAAAGTCCTCGGAGGACTCTGAATGGGTTCTGGCCATATTTTCACAGTCAATTGAGTGCTTGATCGTGCTGACTGTGTGCGTTGAAACAGAGACAAGGAGATGTTTTGGGCAAAAAAGAGCGGGATGTGTCTGGGAGAGCAATAATAATCGGCTAGGGGATCTCTCAGACCCATCCACGCCAAGCAGCCCGAGCTCGTGCCCACTCCAGAGCTTGGGCGTTCCAGCTTTACGTACGCTGTAATGTACACCGCTGAAAAGATGCTGCCTAGTATACTTGACTACGATGAATATACGATTGATTGTTTAGATTCAATGTGGTATGATTGCGTACACCAGTTGCTGCTAGCATACGCCAATTGGTGATCAGGGCCGAACCATATGTTAGTCCCACCGGACGGTCTGATTTCATGCGTGAATTATTTGTACATATCAATTGAGAGAACACCCCGAGCCATTTAAGACCAATACATAGATGATAATACCTCGATAACGCCGAATTATACTTAAAATCCGACGAAGCCAATCCATTCTGTCTTTGAGAAAAGTGATGAGAAAGTCAAAAGTAAAAATAGCCCTTCTGGCGCCATCCTGTCCGGTAAACCCACACCCCGCTGTTTCCATGCCATAAGATTTACAAGGTGAGCTGGAAGTTCAGGCTCTCTGCATCCTCTTCGAAAAGGGGAAGACCAATCTCTTCGTCGGAAATAGGGACGACCTCTTCCTCAGGGAGACAACCTGCTTCTTCGCAGCGCGCCCACATCTCACTGCCCACCGGAGGGGCGCCGTAGAGTTGCACGTACGTTTCCGGGCTCACGATTGCTTTCGGCTGGGAGGGKTTCTTTCCGGCTGCCGTTGGCTTGTTCGGAAGAGCAGACGATACTGATCGGCCTCTGGAGTAGCCCACGGTAGTACGCGAGCTAGCTGTAGCGACAGCATGTCGTGCATTCGACATATTGGCCCGAGGAGCAGGAGTCTTTCTGGCTTTAACTGCTGCGGAAGAAGATCTGACAGTGTCGCTGCGAACTGTTGCCGAGGATCCAGGTCGAGAAAGAGCAGCCGCAGCATTGCGCGCCTTTAGAGTACTCGCTCGTGTTGGTAACATAGCCGAGGAACTGCGAGCGTGTTCTTTTTTGCATGCCTTGCTAGAGGTAGCTTCAAGAAGAGGTTCGTACTTGTCCTCTAGAAAAAGCTCCTTCAAGTCGATGTCATCAACCTGCTTCTGAATAATTTCATCGATCTTCTTCTCGGAAGCAATCATTTGCTCTTGGAATTTGCGCTGACGATCAGTGAGGCCGTCTTCTCCAATATCACCATGGTAGTAGATTTTCTGCCAGCCCCGAGTCATGTTGGCTCCTTTGAATTGGGGAAATGTGGTGTCGTAGGTAATATCCTCTGGATAATCAGGTAGTTCTAATCGCGTGATATCAGTATTTGATAAAAGCACTACTTTCGTAGGGCCAGGACATAGATTACCTTTCGGTCTGGGTGGCGCATATTCGACATCAGGAACATCATCAACGTCAGACGCGTCAAGGGCCTGTGGCTGGGCCTGATGAACCTCAATTTCCGCTTTCTTTGGCTTCTTGATGCTGGAGCCTCTGTGCTTGGTTTTCTGTGTCTTTAGAGAGTCGGCCTGCAAACCGGGAGTCTTAAATGCTGCTTTCGCATTTGTAGTCTTCGCTCCCAGAGGGGCGCGATTTCGAGGACCTATCATATATAAGCGCTTCGATCACATCGAAAAGTCACGGTCATGTCCTACCAAGTGGCGTGACGAAAGCTTCCTTGCCAGACTGCAAAGCCTTTCCACCCAGTCCCCCCCCATTGCCTTTCACAGTGTTCTTTCCAAACGCCAGTGGTTCATTTTCGTCGTGTAGTGGGACCTTAAACGGCGTCTTCGGAGCTCTATTGCCGGGAGTCTTCTGTTGTAGCGGTCGGACGCCTTGATTCAAGGGCTTGGAGGCCGCGGTCATCTGGTGCGAGTGCACCAAATTCTCCTGATCTCGTCGAGCGAGCATGCTGGCGGCACAGTGTTGGTTGAGTGTTGTTCAAACCATCAGTCAATGGATCTAGGTCGATGATCTTTAATGGAGGTCATAAGTAGTTAGTTGACGTAGAGGGAGTGGGCTGGAGACAAAGGCGGCAATGGCCGTTCTTTTGTTGATTTGGCGGTTGCCCGTGGAGACGCGTCTCACCTTCCCTCTGCCCCACGACCTCGCTAACCCAGGAAAGTTAGCGCATCCCGATCGGGAAACGGCTAGCCCCTTAAGAAAGACCAGTGAAGGCACCAAGGCACCCAACCACGGGACCGGGAAGGGAGTGGCTTGACTCCTTAGGKAGGCTTAGCCGTCTCCAGCTGGCAAAACACACGCCAGACAACTCAACAATTCGACTGCCTTCCAACTTCATACAATCTTCTTTAAATCACAACCTTGCTGAAATTCGCTGAGCGAACAATCTCGCTACTTTCACAAACACCTTCTCAACCCTCACCACCTCGAATCACTATTCAAAATGGACAAGATCCGAGAGGTATGTCTAAGAAACCCCTCCCCTATGATTCTCCCCCTGATGGCGGGGTAGCTTGTGTTATTGTTGTTGTCTGCCAACAGCAGCATCAGCAGGACAACGAGACTATACAAATTCATGGAAGTGAATTTATTACGGCATACTGATCATGTTTTTCCTATTTACAGAGAATGGCCGCTCTCCGCGTCGAGGCGGACGAGGCTCAATCGCAGGTCGAGGAGCTCAAGACCAAGATCAAAGCTTTAGAACAGGAGAACTTGGCAAAGGAGCAAGAAATCACTTCCTTGACACACCGCAACCAGCTCCTCGAAGGAGAAATTGAGAAGATCGAGGGAAACATGAAGGAATACAAGGACAAAGCCGATGTTAGCGCTCAGCACGATACCCAGAATGAAGCCTTGCAGAGACGTCTCCAGCTCCTCGAGGAGGAGGCCGAGGAAGCCGACAAGAACCTGCGTGAGACCAACGAGAAGTATGTTCAAACTATCGGATATGGATCCTGAAAGTGAATTGTGGCTAATTAAAGAATAAAGACTCCGCCAGACCGACGTCAAGGCCGGCCACTACGAGCGAAAGGTTCAGGCACTCGAAGTTTCCAACAGCCAGTGGGAAACCAAGTATGAGGAAATGGCCAAGAAATACTCCGATCTGCAGAAGGAGTTGCACGAATTGGAGGTTTCAATCAGCAATGTTTAAATAGCGACCTATATCATCATCATCATAAATACAACAGTGTGCCCTCCTGTTACCCGCTTCAGACTGTTGACGACCTGTTTTCCGGTGTGATTCTCCCGATCTCCGCAGAACCGTGTTCGGGTCCCTCGTCGATGGAACAGTGTACCACTATGTTGGAAGGGATTCTCTTTTGATTTGAGGCGTGTCGTTGTCACCAGATTCCTGGTTGTTTTCTTGCAGCTTCCTTTACCTCCGTGTGCTATCCTTCCGCGGTGTTTTATCTGGTAAATAAAGGATATTTTAATCAAAGTTTCCCACACGTTCCAGTACACACGTAGTTATACATGAACTAGCAGAGTCCACTTGAGACCGACATCTATCAGCGCTCCTTTCTGGCGCTGGCTTTCTTCTTACCCCCTGTTCGTTCTTTTCTCCTCGTAACCTTGCGTTCCTCTTTCGACTCATAACGGAATTGTTTCTTTTTCTTCTTGGGGGCGCCTGATTTCGAGCCATATTTCTTTGGTGCTTTGGGTTTTTGCGGTACCTCCACCTTCTCTTTATGTTTTTTGTTGTCGTCTTCATCATCAGATGATTTATATTGCTTGTGGAGCTCTTCCTTGGAAAGTCCCATTTCTTCAACCGTCACGGTAGTGTATTTGTCTTCGTCGATATATTCTTCCTCGTAGTCCACCGGAGCAGGCTCCTCGAACCCTTCCCATTCCTCGGACTCCGAATCAGAGCCACTCTCCTGAGACGAGGCATCGCCGCGAATTTGTTCTAGCATTCTCTTGGATTCATTGAGAGCTTGTTCGATTTCCGCTGCTCGTTGTTCGCGGATCTGCAGTACAAATGTTAGTGAGATTCAAAAGCCAAGTGCAATTGAAAATTTTGTACCTTTCTTCGTTCTTCTCTTTTCTCTTCACGTGCTCTCTTCTCTGCATGTTCTTGTGCCAATTTTATTCTTTGCACTTTGCGCTTGTGAAAACCCGTCAAGAATTCATGTCTGGCGTCTGGATCGAAACTGATTTCTTCGACTGCATTCTCAAGCTTTCGTCGTTTCAACTGTGGTGCCATGTTCCAAATATTTTTTCGCAGCAGTTTATGAAGGCAAGTACAATATGGTTTAAAAATCAAACCGGAGTGATACCGTCAAAATAAATTGCGGAAAATCCTTTGCGGGCAGCGGGAAGCTCACCATGCCAAGCCTCGGGGCCTACCGTCCAGTTCGTAGCTCCAATCTGCCCGCTCAATCAACATCAGAACTGCAACCATTCTACATGGACATTGCAAATAACCAACATGATGATTGCCAGGAAATTCTTGGTAGTAGCTCTCGGAGCTGGCATCGTTGACGCTCTCAGAGACACATCGCCTTTCATTCTTCTCTCTACTTCAGAGTAAGCCTATCCTGTTCTGTTGGAGCGACCATTGCTAACAGAATGATACCTAGCTTGCTTGCCTCCTCTTCTTCCGCGAATGTCCTACCCGCAACCTCTCTTCTCAGCGATGTCTGGAGTAGCTTGAAGACTTGTACCTCGGACTATTATATCATTGCGACCCAACCCGGTGTCCACGCCACCGACTATTCAACTCAGCAGGCAACACCGCGCCTTCGAGAGAAGGTGCTAGGAAAGGATAAAACCATTCGCTCCAATATAACAGTCACAGAAGTCGTGGGTCTTTTTGACCCAACATCTATTCGAAATGGTTTGGAACAGGAATGCGGTGCCCAAGTGACTACGATAGATGGAAGTGCAAGTAGCACAGCTCTCGAGTTTGAAGGTGGACCAAGAATTATAGACATTACATTCCCAGCTCCGTCTTTGCATGAGTCGCGCCTGCAAGAACTGTCCCAAAACGGTATTTTGTCCTTCTCATGTTCGTAAAAAATGGTGCTGACTTGACCTGTATAGATGCCTTGCTTGCAGATGTTCTCGACCACATTCCATCCTCGAAATATACGCTCATCTACGTCACCACTCCCCGCGAGTACGAAGATGACGATTTGAGCTCTATTAACTACAATTCTGAAGATGATCTTCAACAATCAATCCATCAAGATTTGAAACGTGACTTCGCAGAGTCTCGACAGGATGACACGGTTGATAACAGATCACTGTTTCAGAAATACCAATTCCTGAGTCCAGGTATGCTACAAAATCGTCATCTTTTGGCGAGACTATGCCTCTGACATAGAAATTAGGTATCTTCATGGGGTTCGTCGTTGCATTCGTCCTTATTGCGATTTTGTACGTCGGTATTTCTGCGCTGGTCGGCCTTGAGGTCCCCTACGCTGCTTTTGAAAAGGACACATCGCCTAATTCCCAGAAGAAGCAGCAATAAATCAATGTCATGACTGCCTGGTTCTGTCCATGTGTTTCGCTATCAGCATTTTTGTTACCGTCTTGTTGGGATCCCAACGATTTGACTTTTTGTATCGTTATTCTGGCGTAACAGGCGTCATCTAAAGAACTTGTGCAACTATGATATTGGACAAAAAAAAGATAATTGGACAAAAAAAAGATAATTGGACAAACTCCTAATTGTAGCATCAGAAACTGGGTTCTTGTTTCTGAGACATTGGTCTAAGTTTACGTATAGAAATCCACGTGATTATTCGACAGGGGCGCCAAGGAAAGAAATAAGGATGGACTAAACAGAGACCAGCGCTTCATCGCCCCTCTACCTACAACATCCAAACTCGTTTCAGACTCAATATTGATTCCTTTCCACTCGTTCAGACACCCATCGCTTGATATTGACGACACTCTTTCTTTTTTCGGAATCGCTCGTTTCAACCCAGTCACCGGCCATTGACATCCTGGAGATTGTTTGCTGGCGCTTTGACTCGGGCGTTTGATGGACTGCAATCCTGGCTATTAACGAGTCACTTTTGGTTTCTACATTGGAATTTTTACAAACAAAAGACGAAATCGGGAAATGACGTTTTGATCGATGCCCGAGACTTGCGACCATTGAGATCGATCAACATTCCATTCCTGGAACATTCTATCGTACCTTGTACGCCAACCTCTATACATATCCACAATCACGATGAACATCCTCCGCAACCGAATGGCTTCGAAGCCAACTTCTCTTTCTCTTGTTTTACTAGCGACCCTCCTACTACTCAGTCAAGTCCATGGAGCTACAGATACAGATACCGGTCTTCCTCGACTCAGCACGGCTACCGAGACTTCGACGTCAACTACATCCACATCCACATCAACAACGACAGGAACAAATACAGCAACGACGTCGACGGGCACAGCTCTTCCATCATTGACATCGACTTCCAGCACTCTGACAGATATTCCTACCGCTACCGTACCACCAACGTCTAATGCCCCTTATATGCAACAATCCAATCTGCCAGAAGGCACCGTCTTCATCGCTGTCGGAGGCGCCCTAGGACTAATCGGATTATCAGTTCTGGTATGGCGCGCGATGGTGGCATGGTCCATCAACCGCTCTGTCCGCAGAGCCGCCTACCAGCAGACTAAATCCGATATCAAGGCTGCCGCCGTCCTACGTCGAAGCAGTAGACGCAAATCGAGCCGTCGTTCTGGTACTAGTGGTCGTCGTCGTTCCCGTCGCGAAACCCGCGGCACATCGATGAACATGGAGAAACTGTCCAGGTCTGATCGACAGAGTCACGTATCCACCAAGACCCCGGCCACGCAAAGCAGTCTGTTCTTTTCGCCAACTGCAGGCGCCGGAAGCCATCAATCTATCAATAGAACATCCACATTTTTGCCTGCTGGTTATTATGCAGCCGGTAATACAGCGATGGGAAGTCATAGTCAGGTCAATCTTGGACGGAGCCCGCCGGGAACACCTACTTCGCCCCCAAGCCGTGGCTTCGATGCCCCTTTCAACCGCTCATCGCATCATTTAGCTGCATCAACTAGTTCTTTGAACCTGAATGCGCCGCCTCAGGGAAGAGTGCCGAGTGCTTATCTCGAGGATCTATTCGACAGCCATCCTCCAACTCGCCCCAACGGGCAGTAAATCACTTGCACTCCCAATAATCTCTTTTTTTCTGTTGTTTTGACTGAAAAGACAAAAAGGAAACATGCATGCATCTAATACCGGGTTTTGACTTTGTCATCTGTGTCTATATACATACATAACACCAACGCAACTTGTCTCTTTACATTTCTTCGTTTCTTTTACTCTTTCGGTTTATTGAGTCGACATCTTCCTTCATGATGTACATGTCACTTTGGCGTGTCGGGCAATTGGCGTTTGTTGTTGCTACTTTTGTTTTGCTGTTGGATTGTACATTTTGTGTGTCTGAGATATTTATAACTATATAGTTTCCGGGATATGTAATAATGCAAATATATGTCATAATCATGCCCAAATGTCGAGAATTCGCTGTAAATTTACAAATTGTAAATATACAGGATAGCAAGAAGTTGCAAGTCTATCAAATCAATTGCTAAATCATGGGGTATATATATAATTGACCACTAAACACCATACTCAAAACGTCTATAGATCACCATTCATGTCTAGTCTTCGTCGAACTTCCCACTGAAATCGCTCAACAATACGTCGTCAAGAGCAGGGCCGCGATTACTCCGGACTACGACAATCAATATTAGCAATTTCCCAATATGCAAGTGGTATGGATAGACTCACCCCATTCAGTCTCAACTCGAAAGAAGATCCAAATCCACCGTCTAGCAATCTCCAAAAACATAAGCAGAAAAATCCCACTTTCAAGATTAGTCACTTTATCCAAATGAGGCGAAAGGCGGGATAGCCATGTAAATCGTAACACTAGATCGATTGCAACAACGCCATAGTACATTTCGTCGCGCGGGAAGATGCGCCGTGGACGGAGGCCGAATGGGTACTCTCGATGCCAGGTACGGGTGGTAGGTGAGAGGAGGGTCAGGTCCCAATCTTTTGTGACGTCCCAGTAGAAGGAGTATGCGGAGTTTATGAAGCAAAAGAGGGCCCTATATCAGTTAAAAGGAGTTGGCTCAAAAGACTGTGGAGGTCGACATACCATAGACGTGAAACGGTGACTTCGCTGAGTCCATGGGTCGTTTCTTGACTATAATTGCGCTCCAAGTTGCTGAATATAATCACGGGAAATGCTGTAGAGTATTTGAGCGCGTTGGCCAAATGCTGTCCGCCCCATCCATCATTCCTATGTCCGCCTCGTCGCACACGAAAGAACTCAATCAGACACTGCCTGAATCGTATCGCATACGGAATTGCAATGAGCAAGGGAACTATAATTCTCCCTCCACACATCCGATCTGGCTTCCCTGTGCTCGACTTGCCGGAAGAGAAAAACATGCAATAATTGATATAAATCTCTGCGAGTACCTTGGAATAACTCGTCAGGGCATCAGCAAGCAGCACATCTCCGAACTTCCCATCTTGCGCTTCTGCTAAACCGCCCACACTAATTCGTCGTAGAGAAGCGAAAAATCTACTGCGTCCATTGCGTGAAAGGCGGTGGAATGGGAATAGTAGTATGACCAAGAATAGGATGATGTAACTTTGTGGAATAATTTCCCACGCAAGTACCCTTTCTGTCGAGCCACGGGTTATCATCCAAAACAGGAGCAGGAAGACTCCAAGCGGAATCGAGAGAAGTGTTGCCAGACGGTATGTAGATTGGTGATGCGTTAGTTGATGCGGCGAAGAGCGTGAAGGATATCGAATTAGGGCTGGAACATCCTGCGCATTACATTAGCATAGCTAAACATTACATATGAAAATCCAGTCAACTTACTATTTTCGCCAAGGACAAGTAGTGAAGATTTATACCCCATCCCCAAAAGCCTAGCGCCGTGTAACACTTTCATTAGCGACCAAGGCAACCGTCTGATTTGAGGCTCGTGCTTACCTGCCACAAGAAGAATTGCTACACGAAACGGAAGAGGGAAGAAGTTTCCAAAGCGGTCTAACTCTTCAGTAGGCTGGACCCCGCCGCTATCGGCCATGGCAGATAGGTTGGCGCAAACTTGTATCCAGGAGATGAAAAGAGCCGAGGAGGACGATGCTGATCGAGACAAGAAATAGGGAGGGACAGGCGTCTCGGTCAGGCAGAAACAATCATGATAGAGGCATTGGATATGGAATATAGACAAATATCCCACTAAAAGGCATGCAATTGGATCTGGTCAACTGCACAGTCAGGTTGATAGCGAGGATAGAGGCGGTGTATTGCTTTAGACTTTGGAGGTCGACTCGAAGACAAAGATGATCGACAGGGTAAAGTCACATGACTACATCATTTAAGTGGCCGAGAAAGGAAACAAGCTCCCGGCCTAGTCACGTGGGCCATGCCGAGGAGAGCCTCGGCCGGAAAGACGATGTATATCGGCAGCATTGAACAAACTTCATACCTCCTACTTACGCGATAAAAGGTAGATTTAACTAGTGCTCTTACGATTCTGTCTTTTTATTTTGCATATTGATGTCGTCCATGAGATCACGCAGCATACGTCCAAATTCATAATGGCCGACAAGACGTCAGATAGCTCCGACACGCCCTCCGAACAACCGCCCGCCAACCCATCCAACTCCGCACCAACATCTCATTTCTACCCCTTCGCAACATCTCCAGATATAATACGCTCTCACGAAAAAGACGCTTACATTGTCTCGACTCTTACAAATCAATCACAATCAATCATCCGCTCAATCAAGGGAGCGCGGTACGCCCACGGCAATGCGGACACAATCAAGAACCTGACGGAACTCCTGTATTTCTCTCTCACAACGTTTATCGGTAATAGAACGCTGGGCGAGGAATATTGCGATGTCGTGCAGCTCGAAACTGATACACTACAATTACCTTCAATCTTACGGCGGTGCGGATATATTTTCAGCAGTATTATAATACCTTGGGTGCTGGGTCGATCACTACCTTCGATACGAGCAAGATTTCGAGCACGGCTCGAACGAAGTATAGCCAGACAACGGGCAAGGGCGGCGTTAAAGAGCACACTTTTACAGACCAACAGTTCGACAAAAAAGAAGAGCCAGTCGATATTCAATCTGTTGCGCATTCAAGAATATGTCCTCGAACATCTTGATTCATTAACGTCGCCTTCGCACGTTTATGCTCTGAGTCTGGCTACATTCTATTTCACAGGCGCATATTATCATCTGTCAAAACGCCTCTGGGGCCTTCGATACGTCTTCACAAAACAAATCGGCGAGAGCGAACAGCGAGTTGGCTATGAAGTCCTCGGTGTTCTTTTGGTCCTACAAATGACCATTCAAGGCATAGCCCACGTGCGCGAGACTCTACAGCAGCCCTCAGCACAGACCGAGAAGATTGCAGACGTGTCGGCAACTTCAAAAGGAGACGCGCCATTGTCCTCCATCCAGAATCCGATATCAATACCCACTCTGACCGCCAATATAGCGCGTTATGATCTGGCCGAAAATCCACAGGCAATCGCCTGGATACCAGAGGGGCAACATCAAAAGTGTACACTGTGTCTTGAGCCGTTCAAGGATCCTAGTGTGACTACTTGTGGGCATGTGTTTTGCTGGACTTGTATTAGGGACTGGGTTAGAGAAAAGCCGGAGTGTCCGTTGTGTAGGCAGGAGGTGCTTCCTTCGAAGATTTTGCCTGTACGCGGTTAATTTTCGGTGGTGGACTGTGCACGATGGCGTTCGTTCTGCGGGTTGGGGTATTTCATGTGTATATATACCCTTATTTAATGTGATATCATAGTGCCATTTATCTACCGGTTATTAAAGCTGGAGAGTATGCATTTTACTTGATGCTAAGAACATGAAAATGTAGAACGCCGCTAGACAATGCCAAAGAAATGCGCTCCAAGTAGATCATGACAAGTGAGGGGCGATATATATAAAAATAAGTGCCTTTTGGTAGATTGCTGGTCTGAAGACATTTAGATGCAAATATGCTGTCAAATCACGCCGAATCTGTATTTTTAGCCTCATCGTTGACCTTGACAACATCCTCCTCCCCTGCGTCCACCACCTCCAACGACTCCTTCATGCGCACGCTGAGTTCAGCTATTTTGTCCTCTATCTCGACTTTGTCCTCCTCAGCCAAAAGAATAGGGAGATTAAGTTCGGCGAAGGCCGGCAATGGAGGAACGGGGTTTAATGCTTTTCTCTTCGCTTCTAATGTGCGATAAAGACATATGCAAGCATAGGCATCCGATGCGGCATCTAATCAAATAAGTCAGTCTTGTTTGAGCCAAAAGGGACGCATGGGACTCACACTGAACTTGAGCATAATCCAAGGGTTTGGTCCAATCACTCTTTCGCACGTCACTGTCTTTCCTCAACGGCAGCCCTAACAACTCCTCAACCTGTTGAGCCAGATTGACGGCGCGCCGATCAACCAGTTTTGGCTGCGTTGAGCCGTACTTGACGAGTTTGTATAAATGGCTGAGTTCAAATTGACCTTTTGTGTCAATGTCCAGATGCCTCCGGACGCGCGAACAATCTGCTTTGATGGACACACCTACTTTGACGGTATTGGTAGACTCGAGTAATTGTTTCAGTGACGGCGGAACTAAGTCTTGAATTTCATTGCCCTTAAAGAGTGCAATATGAATTAGGGCTATACGTTCCTCATTGGCGATCTGGATCAGGGACACGTTGCTCTTGATACCAGCTGATATCTGAGCTTGAGGTTTCCACTCAATATCGAAGCCTAACACCTTACTGTCAGAGAACAAGGCAGCCGCACGCTCGGCATGTTCGAGGTTTTTGCAGTAATGAATGCCGATCTTTCCTCCGTCCGGCGTTTTGTACTGATTATAGCTCCAGAACTGAGGTTTGGTGTCGTCAGTTGCGGTCGCAGGAGGTTCATCGGATTTACCAAGTAATTCATAAGACGACATTATGCCCAGACGCTCTGCATCGGAGACTGAAGATATCGCTGTATCTTTGTCTGTCGATTTCACTATCTGGTCCTTTTTGATCAACGCTATTTCCGGCTCGGATACCCCGCACTGGTGCCCGTTATCATTCATAGAAGCTTTGGAATCTGTGCAATACCTACGACTTGATGGGGGCATCGACCGTGGCAATAGACGCGTTGAACCAACTTGCATGCGTGATTTTATCGCGTTTGCTTCCTGTTTGCTTCCTTTTCCGAGTGCCCGAGCTCGATATCCGTATATTCCTCGTTTGTGCGAAGGTACATAGTCCAGGAGCTCAATCACATCAGACATCGTGGGGTCTGGAAAATTGTCGAACTCAAGAGTAGCCTCGTCGAGATTCATGGATCGGGACAGACCGTCACAAATTGCATCAATACAAAGAAAAAAACGGCGTGGGTCAGAGCTGGGAGGGTCTTTGGGAGTGAACAAGCCTTTGGCAATGGTGTCAGGCACTCCACCGAGCCTGCTGACTTTGTCCTCGGTTTCCAACCTTAACCATGTGTGGTAACTGGTTTCTTCAAGCTGACTTAAAAAATTTTGACGGTCAAGATCAAACTCCGTCTTCCATTCTTTAAAGCGGGCTTCCGACGTAGAATCTCCCATCACTTCCGAGATCTTTTCAAGTCTCAGGACTTCACTGGCTAGATTTCGAGAAGATACGTAAAGCATATAGAATGGGTAGTAAATATCGAAATGTTTCCAAGCTATATCGAGATCAACACTGCGCGGAGCACCTTCTTTCCATCGATAGAAATACCAGTGGGCCATGAGCGATGACATTCCACGAGTATTGATCTCATCAGCAAGAAGATCCGGATCCATCTCAATGTCAGATGCAAGCATACGGATGACTTGGAGATCGAAATAATTTTGAACTATGCTGAGAATGTGAGATTTCCCCAGAGGACCACCCCATCGCAGCGAACGCCGCATTGCTCGATACCCGTGAAGCGATTGTCCTATATTGAGGGCCCCATCCATTATATTCTCCCTTAATCTCTTGAATCGATATTCGCCTAAATTTTTGCAAGCAATCAAGATTCCACGGCTTGATTTTCTGATTCTGTAGCCCACTTCCTGTAGCTCTACATACTGAGACAGGAACAGAATGAGTGGCTCAAGAATCTTCTCAATGTTTCTTTTGGCCGAAGCAGCAGGCGTGACATGATCATCGAAGAGACCCTCAACAGTTGAGACAAGTGATGCTTCAAGCTGATTCAATCGCGTTTCCAAGTCAATTCTTCGAGATCCCAGTTCGATCCGTCTAAGAGCTTGGCTGCATTTCGATACTTCAGCTTCGCCATCTTGGATGAACATGACATTCTTGTTGATGTATGAGCCGACCTTACTGGCTATAGGATACCTGATGACAAAATATTCCTTAAATACCTGGCTCGCGATGTCGACCGAAGACGCACTACTCGTAATCACTTGTTCGTAGCGTCTCATCCACTTTTCATAGGCCCGTCTTTGTTCCTCTGCAAAGCGTCGGATCAATTCGAGACTTTGTTTGAGTTTTTGCAACAGGAGACTTGCATTCCGGAGCTCGTTGGCGTACTGGTCAGCCTGGATCTGTAGCTCTTTCCTCTGTCGCATCAATGCTTGCTCTTTTTCTCTCTTCTGCCGAGCCTGTGCTTCGAGCTTTTTTCCTCTTTCGCGAACCATACGACTCATGTCAGAGCTGTTGGTATCGGTATCTTCTTCCTCTTCCTCATCGAACCCCTCGAAGTCATCGTTTTGTTTAGGTGTGCAAGCGGAGAACTGGCGCGTGCCACCTCCTATTTTGAGTAGCTGATCGAATTTGCGAAGAGGGCAAGCTCGAGAGATGATGGCAATATATCGCCCATGACGAACTATCGGTGTATGTAATCCGCTCTGCTGAGTTGAGCATTGTGGTCCTAATGGACTGCGCAAGTTGACGCTATCTGGGAAACTGCGAGCTCTCGGTGGGTAAGCAGTGCCATTGGAGGGCCAAACTGCTACTGGTTTGACGCTTTTGCGCATTGGAAAGAACCATCCTTGTCAAATATGTCAGTCACGGAAGGTAAAGACAGTATAATCAAATTGTCGAGAATGCTAATGACAGCGTCCTAGAAGTAGGAGATTGATTTAAAGAACGGAGCTGATGACTCGGGAGCTCAAATGGATAAAGACGATCATTAAAAGTTTACAATTTACGGGGTTTAGTTGAGCTAGTCCTAAAGAGGCTAGCGCGGAGCCAATATCAAATCTAGTCCCGACCTGGTACGCCGTCAACGCTTTCTGTCTTGCATCAAGTTTCATACGAGACGCTCTACTTGATTAAAAAATTCGTGCGAACAGTATAACCTTGCAAGTTCTCGCTGATCTTGTTGTCTGTCGAATCATTTCTCTGCCAAAACCTACTACAAAAACTTCACACACAATGGCTTCGCAACTCTTACCCCTCGGTAAGAAATAGCTCTGTGCGATGTATGAAATGTATAATTGTCCATTGTCACTAACGCCATCAAAATAGAATTGATTGACAAATGTGTTGGCTCCAAGATCTGGGTGGTGATGAAAGGTGACAAAGGTATTGCAGACTGAACGTGTTCAAGCTTAAGGACCACGCAAGGACTGCTTTTGTGCTGACTACTGGTATAGAATTTTCCGGTACTCTTCTCGGATTCGATGATTATGTCAGTACGTATATATCCCTGAAGCCGAAACCTTTCTTTCATAGTGCTGACAGAACGATAGATATGGTCTTGGAAGATGTGACAGAGTTGTATGTCTCATCCAAAAAAAGCCGCAAAATAACGTCTCTAACCATCGCAACCACAGTGACTACGCCGGAAACCAAGAAAAGCTCCCCAAGATTCTTCTAAACGGCAACAATGTCTGCATGGTGAGTCCCGGAATACCGATAGCGCATGTATTTCGACACACTGACGATTTTATGCAAATAGTTGATTCCAGGCGGTGAAGGGCCTGTGGGCAGCTCATAGAAAGAGCAAAGAAGCTTTACGAATTTCATGTGTCAAGCTACCTAGCTACTTAATGAATCAAAAGTGAATGATACGTTGACAGCAATTCTTTTGCTTCTATCGTTGAATCGTTGATGCACCATCGGCCAATGCCATGGTCCATATCAGGCGACGAGTGGCACTGGTTTATTCTTATCATAGGAGGTTTCACCTATTCCCAGTCGAGACTAGGGGAATGTCGTTTTCCTGCCATCTTATCAGTTCTTGCATCGTTATCTCTCGCCCTGTCAGAAGGATCTACGTAGCTACAAAACGGCGCACGCTTGCAGCAGTCCGCAAGCCACCAGATCGTCTGCCTTGAGAATATGCGTTCGGTTCGTATGTTCCGGTATGCGCCGTCGTTATTCAGGTTATTGCAATGATCCGTGTACAGAAGCCTTCTAGAAGGTGAGAAGCACTAGTGTGCGCAGATGGATTGTAGCTCAAGACCGCGTTTTCTAACCTAGGCTATGGATTGTAGCTGCGGCTAGGTACATTTCTCAAGCGTGCAATTGAGCTTGAGTAGTGTTCAAGATACCCTGCGCTGAATTTGAAGCAATTGTATTCTGTCGACAACAGCGGTTTGAGTAGAAGAATTGACTGTTCACTGAATTGCGCTCTTTTCGCCTCAAGAGCATAGGGCAAATGTCAGGTCCGATGGAAGACGATCCTAACCGTTCCAATTCTACATGCCTAGGTAGATACGCAATGATGATAACAAAGTCAAATTGCCAAAATAGAAAGGAGAACGCCACCTGTCAGGATCCGATAACTTTTATCAGTGCAAGAGGTCAAAAATCAATGTCAAAACATCTCTCATCGACACGGCCATTCACTATTCCAGAAGCCAAAACGTGGAGTTTGATATCTCCATAGTGTGACGCTGATCTAGTCCTGACTCCAGACTTTCCATATTGTTAGTTCGAAATTCACACTGCCAGGCTAACTGCCTCTCCCTGCTACCCCGCAACCGGCAGGATCGATATACCGGGCCGGTGTGATGCGATGAGAAGAGATCGTGAGCACAGCGTCGTTTCCCCAGACGGAGCCAGCCGGGAAGTATCTCTGTCTATTTTGCTGCCATTCTGCTTCAGCAAATCGAGGAAGGAGCTAGTGCGGCAACATCTGGCTGCCATCGGAAGCCTTTTGGCCTCTTGCCCCCTGTTTGACCAAAGTTCATCCTAGAGGCATATGTTTTATTGGGTAAATAGATAATAGTACTTGCTTCCGTCAGCTCGCATTTGAAGCGCGCTAAACACATCATTACATAATTGATACCTGGAATCTGTTTACCCCAGGTTTCCAAGCTCGAGGATGGATCTCATCCCATACTTATGTGGAAAATTGTACGTAACAGCTCGGCCTCATGGAGACTCCATCTCGATGTGATGATGTATCACACACACTGCCTCTTCGGGCAAAATACGCCTGGACTCTTAGGCCTTGGCGCCTGAATCCTGATCGGCGTTCACCATCTCCCGATTAGGAATGGTGGCGTTGCATCAGAGGCGTTCGGACCCACGGGAAGAGTGTGAATAACATACCGCTAGTACGTAACGCTAGTACTGAGATTACCATACAGGCTCGTAGCTCAGAAATAACCTTTTGAGTCACAAGGCACAGTAATGACAACTCAATTCATGTCTTGAGGCACGTGTCATTGGCTGGATGTCTGCTTAGTCACTGCGAAATCGCATTCAGAGTGGATGAAGCCTGTCCCCGTTCCACATAGTAGGTCCTCCAAGGCTCCACCCTTATCTCACGGCTTTTTACCCCATACTTCCAAGACAAGACGAAGTAACCCTAGACTTACTATGTAATGCCATCGCGCCACTGAGAGCGCTACGAACGTACATGGTACGAGTGAGCATGAATCAGTCGTCTCGTATTCTCATCTCCGTGGCTCCGTCGATATCCTTCTGTACATGATGGGAAGGCACATTGCCGACTCAGCCTTGGGAGCAAAAAATGCCGCACCAAAAGCCGGGGAAAGGGGCCCGGCGAGATCTGAGTCCTTTTCCAGATCCCTTCTATCCGGGCGGCAGGCGACGGCATACCTCAACACAATCAAACAAAGGGTTGCGTGTCAAATCACAAAGGTAAAAAAGGTTCTGGAAAATTACATGGAAGGGACGAGTAATAGGTCCAAGTGTTGCTTCAAACTTGGTTGGTCACTTCAGTAAGCCCAATAAGCCACCTTGCACCGGGATCGCCGTTGCTTTGTCCCTAGGTTAAACTACGCGACCATTCCCGCACCGACGGAAGAGCTGCGCTTATACCAGGGAGAAAGAATTGACAATTGTTTGCTGTCATGTTTATGAAGTTTATCTGATTTCTGACCTAGGGATTTATCAGTGGATTAGCTTTATCTATGGGGCATGGGGCAGTTTCATCCTTCCGGAGTACGTACGCAGCAACATGGATGGATATGGAGACTTGAGATAAGAATCATAAGACAAGAAACACAGTGGAGTCAGGTGATTTGCTCCGGTCTCTTGGCAAAAACGTTAATCCAGGCCGGCTTATCAGCCCGTGCCCACTAGTCAGTCCTTACTGTGTACGTATCACTGTGTCAGTAACTGCTTTGGAACATCTCCGAGTCTGAACTCATGTTGATCTGTCTGTTCGTGTTTTGCTCCGAAGCCATTGGCCGACCGCCCAATGCCAACCCAACTGCCAACTTGCCAGGCCGGAGCCTCACTGGAAAGAGCAAACCACCTGCCGGAAACGGCCTGTCTCCCACCACCCAATCATGCGCCGTTGCCACCACCCACGAATTTAGCCTGGTCTTGACCTTTGTACGCAGCACTCCGGCTAACATGAGTAGGGGGTTAGTTGTACGTACTCACAATAGTATAAGGAGCAGAAAGTACGTAGTAGTAATTGGCGCGAAGAGTAGCGCGTAGCTACGTCGCAGTAGGTATCGTTTGGCGCTGTATGTGTGATACGAAGTCCTAGAGCGTTCTCCACCAGAGCAAAGCGTGGCCCCGTTCAGTTGTTAACCAAGAAAATCAAGTGGACTTGGTGGAGCTCAGCATTCCTCCCTGATAGGATTACTCCAGACTAATCCCGAGCTCTGTCTGCTGCAACAAATGGGCCAATTTGAAAGGCAGAAGGCAGGTGAAAAGTATATGAGGGAAGGTGTGCCTTGTCTTCTGCCACCTGCTGCCAGAGTCGGACTGTTTGTCAGTGGTCGCCCGATCGCTTTTGCCCTTTTCTACATAGTATAAGTTTAAAGGGAAAGCCACCTCCATCCTTGCTCCTTTGCTCTTCGTCCCTATTCCTCTTCTCTCATCTGCCCGCCCTCAATCAGTGACCAGTGCCCGTCTGCTGATAAGGCGTGCCTATCATACCTACATACGTACTACGTATCACTGGGAATAGACGCCACAGCGAGCAGTTCGCCGTTATCAGTGGCTGCTAAACAACACTAGGCGTCGGCAGAGTGCTACATTAAGGCTCAAGCCTCGTTTTCTTATCTCTTCACCACCATGGACAAATCATACGAATCCAAGGAGATTGGTGGCGGCGCCGCTCATACTATCTCATCCGAGGAGCCGCCATCCTATGGTGAAACCCAGCCCGCTGGCAGCTTCCGCCAGCGCTTCATCGACAGCTTCAAGCGCGATCCCAATGCCCATGTGACCAAAGCCGGCCAGGTTGGCGCCGACGGCAATGTCTTTGATCTCGAAACAGCCGCGCAGAACACGGCCAATTCGCCCCTGCAGCGCAAGCTGAAGGGCCGTCACCTGCAGATGATCGCCATTGGTGGTTCGATCGGTAAGCGCAATCTCTTGAACCCCGGGGTCAACGCCCCCATACTTTTTAAAGCTACGTAGTAGATGGGCTAATCTGATTTGACTACTGTAGGTACTGGTCTGTTCGTCGCATCTGGGAACGTGCTGGCCGCCGGAGGCCCGGCCTCCCTGGTCATTGCCTACATCCTGATTGGTGCCATGTTGTACTGCACGGTCCACGCTTTGGGAGAAATGGCAGTTTTGTACCCTGTCGCCGGTTCATTCTCTGCTTACTCGACTCGTTTCCTTGACCCCGCCTGGGGCTTTGCTATGGGCTGGAATTATGCCCTGCAATGGCTCGTCGTCTTACCCCTAGAAATTGTCGCCGCATCAATCACCATCCAGTACTGGAATAGCGGCATCTCCCCTGCTGCCTGGGTTTCAATCTTCTTGGTTCTGATTATTGCAATCAACTTCTTTGGTGTCCGAGGATACGGCGAGGCTGAATTTGTATTTGCTATCATTAAGGTCACCGCTGTCATTGGTTTTATGTGAGCTTTTTCCTTCTCCCGATGTGTCGGTTGCTTCTTTTCTAATAACTTTCCGTCCAACAGTATCCTTGGAATCATCCTGAACTGTGGCGGTGGTCCTGAAGGCGGTTACATTGGTGCGAAGTACTGGTATGATCCAGGAGCCTTTAACAATGGTTTCAAGGGACTCTGCAGTGTCTTTGTCAATGCTGCTTTTGCCTTCGCTGGTACAGAGCTTGTTGGTTTGGCTGCTGCTGAAACCGCAAATCCCCGCAAATCGCTTCCCACCGCCATCAAGCAAGTTTTCTGGCGTATTGCTCTCTTTTACATTGTGGCTTTGACCATTGTCGGAATGTTGGTGCCTTACACCGACACGCGTTTGGAAGGAACATCTTCTGCTGATGCAAGGGCGTCCCCTTTTGTCATTGCTATCGTGAATGCCGGAATTAGTGGTCTTCCTTCTGTCATGAATGTCGTGATCATGATTGCTGTCTTGTCTGTCGGCAACTCTTCCGTCTACGGATCCTCCCGTACGCTCGCCGCTCTTGCTGAGCAAGGACAAGCACCCAAATTTTTGGCCTACATTGATCGTCAAGGACGTCCGCTCTTTGCCATTATGGTTGCGTCTGTTTTCGGGTTCCTGGCGTTTCTTGCCGCCTCGAGCAAGGAAGGTGATGCCTTTACATGGATGCTTGCCATTTCTGGTCTGTCATCTATCTTCACATGGGGCTCTATCTGTCTAGCTCATATTCGCTTCCGCTCCGGCTGGAAGGCTCAGGGTCACACCCTAGACGAACTGCCCTTCAAATCCCAAGTTGGTGTTTATGGATCCTGGGTAGGTTTTCTCTTCAACGTCCTTGTCCTTATTGCCCAATTCTGGGTCGGATTCGCCCCTGTTGGATATAGTGGAATGTCCGCATCCGAGCTCGTGAAAAACTTCTTCTCTGTATATCTTGCGGCACCCATAGTCATTGCCTTCTATATCCCTTACAAGATCTGGTTCCGCACTCCATTCATGAAGGCTCACCAGATGGACTTGAACACCGGTCGCCGTGACCTCGATATTCGAGAATTGATCGAGGAAGAGCGCGCCGAACAGGCCAAATGGCCTGCCTGGAAGAAACTCTACCATTGGTTCTGTTAGATACAAATTTTCACCGCTCAGCATGACGATGTTGCGCTTCAAATAAGCATCGCACATCTAATATATTCCCATTATGATCATGTCATATATATTATAATGTCAAGATATGTCAACATACTTCATAGCATTATTCACTTTTCCAATGCCCACGTATACATCCAATCTAATTATAGAGTCGCACGTGTCTAGACCCATTCTGACCAATCAACGCTCGTTATCGGCCTGATTAGGTAACCCGAAGCTGAGACCAAGCCGTTGACGTAGCACCAATCAAACCACCTCAACCTTGGGTTAGCCTGCGTGAGGTTGCTAGGGAAAGATCTGTGTTAAGTTCATCTTCAGTAGACTACTCTCTCGATACACACTGCACAGCCACATCCTGGACATATGCATCTGCGTCTCTCCTGAGCGCAACGCCATTCTCTTTGTTGATCTTTCTTGCGACTTTTGCTCATTCTGTTTCTTTGATTTGGGCGGGATCGTCAAAAGTCAGAGCCAGCCACTTCAATTCAGCTACCTAGCCCATACGCTCTCTCCCCCGTTTCTACTTTTTCCGGCGCCTTCACTTGATTGAGAAACTGAGGATTGAATCAACGTTCCCGCCGATCTTTCGTCAAAATGCCCGGCTTTGCGGACTCATTTTGGACGCCCGACTATGCCTCTGGCTTGGGAATTCTGTATACAAAGCTTCAGCAAGGCATTGCCGAGAACAGACAGATTCTCACCGTTGCTAGTTTGCGAGCCGACGCAGAAGACGTTTACTCCTCCAGACTTGGAGACATTACTCCTGCCGTGGATCGCATAACCACAGGCTTCTCAAAAGATGAGGGTGCTAGTGTGAGGAAGGTATATCAATGAAACAGATTCGGAAAGCGGTTGTTGAATAGTAAGAAGCTAATGCCGGTATCTATTTCTTTTAGGCATACGATGGAATTCGCGGCGAAATGATCGAGGCGTCCAAAAACCACCAAAAGATTTCATCCAACATTCGCGAACTCGTCGTCAACCCTTTTGGTCGATGGTGCGATCAGCACGCGGCCCGAGTCCAGAATTCGCACGATGATCTACAAGCACGTATTAAGGATCACATGAAACAGACGGAGCTGGTGAAGAAACTGCGGAGTCAATACTTCAACAAGTGCCGCCTTGTTGAGGACTTGGAGGAGGAAAATAAGCTTGCGTTCCAGAGCCCGGAGGCTTCTAGTCCCAAAGGAAAACCGCCAGCACCAAAAATCGTCTTGACGGATCCACAAGAGTCCGACGAGCCCGAAATCTTTGACTTGGGAGACAAATCCTACAGTGAAGATGAAATCAAGAATATCTTGTCCGACATGCTCAATACCATCAAGATTGGTGAAGTCAAAGTGCCCATTCTCGGTACATATCAGAATACTTCGACGGGTGCCGATATAGTCGACTATCTGCAGAAGAAATTGGAAGCCCCCAGTATCAGCTACGCCGAGCGAATTGGTCAGGATATGGTAGACCTTGGATTCTTGCGATTGATTGGAAATATGGGAAGCACCTTTGCCAACAGCAGCCGTATGAACTATCAGTGGAGGTCAAAGGTATTCCAACTTACTGGAATGCCCGAAAATAAGAAGCCCCTACTTCGCATGACTTCGCTCATGTCCAATGACGAAGCCACTGCGTCGCCAACAATCTCAAGTGTTTCGGAAATGCTTTCGGGCTGGAACCCCCTGAACAACCCTTATCCTGACGAGACCCCTGCCGAAAAGCTTCATCGTGAAGCGCGCGAGGCAGATGAACGCTACAAAGCTGCTGTCATCAAGCTGGATCAAATACGATGCATCCTTGAAGAGGAGATTATTGATCACTTGCGATTCATGGAGCGATGCGAGCTTGATCGTCTAAAGGCCATCAAGTCTGTAGTGCTTGATTTCTCCGGCGCGATTAGCAATGTTATCCCCGGCTTGCAAAGCACGGTTGATCATATGATGCTGTACCAAGAGACCATTCAGCCGCTGGGAGATTTGAGGTATTTGCTCGAAAATTACCGCACCGGAGGGTTTGCGCCAAAGGTGCAGCCCTACGAGAATTACTACGGTTCTGTCGGAGGTGAGTAACCTATTTTTGAATCTATATACTTTACTAAGCACATTCCCAGATCAAGTATTTGGTGTCGACTTGGAGGCTAGGGCTAGAGCTGATCGAAAGCGAGTCCCTGTCATTGTGACTAACATTTTGACATTTCTCGACAATCGTAAGGACCATCAAGATTGCATGGGCTTGTGAAGTCTTGCTAACTTAGAATAGACTACCCAGATCTTGAAGGCGATGAAGCCCGACGAGCTATCTGGTTGCATGACGTTCCTCTTGCTGCCACTCACCATCTCCGACAAGCCCTAAATAACAGCGCCGGAGATCCTCGTGCCATTCTTGACAAATATGAGATACCCATTGTTGCTAGCGTTCTAAAGTTATACCTCCTTGAACTTCCCGGTATGCTTATTTTATTTTTTTTTTCTCCCCAGAGCAAACAGACCATATGCTAATCGGCTCTGGCAGACTCCCTTGTTTCATCGCAAGTTTACGAAATCATCAAAACCATTTACTCGACCACGGCCAACGAAACTTCCGAAGAAGGCAGAATCAAAGTGTTGCAAAGCACACTTGGCCAACTCCGACTTAACAACATAGCCACGCTTGATGCTCTCATGACGCACTTTACACGTTTAATAGACTTGACATCCGCTGATGAGACCTATGTGGCCGCTCTTGCTCAGACTCTGGCACCATGTGTTTTGCGACCTCGCCTCGAAAACACACTGACACTCAATGAACGTCACAGCTACCGCTTGATTCGAGACCTGTTTGATCACAAGGATGCTATCTTTGGCGAGCTCAAACGCCAGTCCAGCGCTAGCAGTACCTTGGGTGCTGGTGCTGGCACTGCTCGCCCACGTGCAATCAGCACCGACGAAAGTAACCGAAGAGCTGCCGTAGAGGCTCGCAMCCGCGCTATCGCTAGTCGCAGTSGAGCCACAAGCCCAGCTCCAGGCGCTCGACACCGTCGTGACCGGTCAACCGACGGATCACAGGGATCAGGTCGTTTCCCTATCAACGTCGGTAGTCCACATGGATCAGAGCGTCGCAACCCTCGTCAGAGTCTCGACGTCCCGTCATCAACTGACCTGCATATTGTCACCGATTCAGCCAAATTGGCTGAAGATAAGGATGCTCCCAACGGTTCCGCAGAAGAGACTAACGAAAAGGCCGCACCAGAAGTCTCGGCTACTATTACTGACTTCAACGATCCTGCTCCCGTTCCTTCCGCCGACGTTGACGCCGATGAACAGACCACCAACAACAATAATCGCTCGGAAGGCTCGCCTACTCCTACCGCCAGTGTGGCTACCATCGAGAAACGGGACTCACTGACCCGTGGCCGACACGTTCGTCGTGCAGGCGGCAGCCATCCTCCAACCGATCTTGCCAGCAAGCGAGCAAGTGTCGTCACTGATGGGGAACTGAAGGGTGTCACATTAGAAGATAAGCCAATGGAAGACTTTGCTTGATCCCTGGACGGACGGGCTCTGATAAACCTATGGACAGTGTGATATTTTTGTATACATATATCTTGTTTTCCTTTGTTGTGATTGCGTTCAGTCCTCTTTTCTTTTGTTTTGTACTCTTCTTGTCATTTTGGTTTTAATATTTTCCCGGCTTCATGTTTGTTTCCCTTGTTGGCATGAGATATGTATCTATGTACAGATGTTGTTTAATTTTCGGAGTAAGCAATGAGTGATGAAGTTGAAGCAATGTGTTGTAAAGAAACACCTGAGGACAAACTAGGTGTCTATTATATTGCGCTAATACATAATAGGAATAGTACGGCTAACGCTGAGCCCTAATCACTTCAGAGAAAGGGGGTATTAGGTAGTGCTTGTAAACGCTTGTGCCGATGGTGCTGAAGTGCGTCGAGAAGGCATACATGTAACTAGGCCGCTTCTTTTCAAGACACCTCCAGTAACAAACCGATGAAGGATGGGTGCATTTTCAACCAAGTTACGTATCTTCCAATTTCTCACGATGGAACACAAGAACAATTCACTATTAACATTGCCCTGTAAGCCTCCCGTACAAAGCTCAAAGGTACGGCTTCGATTCCGTATGAGACAGAAAGACGCCTGCATAACCACCGTCAACAGTAGCCTTGTCTACGAGAGCCAAGACCGACTTGGCGCTGTCTTCGGGCTTCATAGGCCCTTGGAACGTGGGTGAGTATTGCTTGAACTTCCCAAACATAGCCATGGCTAGTTGTCCCTCCTCCTCGGTTTCTTTCCAGTACGTCAGCGAAACAATCACATTAGATTTCAGGACTCAGGACTGGGTTTCGTACCAATATTAAGACTGCCTGTATCCACAGCACCAGGGCAAATAGCCATGCAAAGTACGCCTTTCTCGCGATACAGAGCGCTGAACTTGGCCACTGCCATATTCAGAGCTGCCTTACTCATTGCATAGGACGCGGCTTGGTATATATCTGCTTTGAGTGTCATCTCTGGATCCGACATGCCCGTGGATATTGCGATTACTTTCTTCGCGCGTCCTTTTAAGATCAGAGGCATGAAAGCGTTGAATACGTGGATTGCGCCGATGGTGTTGACGCGGAAGTGGTCAATTACGTCTTTTTCGAGGGCTTTGGGGTCGTGGCTTCTGTGCAGGAGTTAGTTCTGAATCATGAGAGGTTTGATGGTATGTAGGAATTACAGAGTATCAAAGCCGACCAATGCAGTCTTAGCTTGAAGCGCGGCATTGGCTACAATGTAGTCAAGGGTACCGTTAGTTCTCTCAGAGACATACTGAACTGCCTTCTATTAATTTTCGTTAGTTTCTGATACGATTCCCCAATGTGTCGGTTACTTAACATACCTCTATTGCCAATGGATCTGTGGTATCGGCCTGAATGATGTGAATATTGTCCCGGCCGATTTCAGCAGCAACCTTGGAATCGACAGCTGCTTTGTCGCGGACGAGGCCGAAGACAGTATTCGATGGGTTTTGGGAGATCTGGCGGACGAACTCGAACTAGATAGTGAAGTATGTATATTAGCTACAACTTTCTAGTACATGAAGCAACAACAAAAAGAATAAGAACGTACACCAAGGCCACGCGAAACTCCGGTAATCACCCAGGAAGACATTGTGATGGTTTATGAGCTGGAAGGTATATGGTATGTGAAGACTGAGGATGCTCTGAGAGTTGATGAGCCAGAAGAGCGGTCATGATATACATATTTATATTGTGATTTCGTGTTTCGTTTGTTGGCCTTTTTTTTTTCATGATTTCAAATTTGGCATGAGCTTCAAATTGCCAAGATACAGAAAAGTTGCCTCTTTTCTCAAAGCGGAAAGACAGGGGTGCATTAATAATCAGAAATGTTTTTGTTAGTTAAGTACCATTGCTCCCCCACCACCACGCAGCGCATTCAAGAGAGGGAAAATGGCAACTTTTTTGTAAATGCTTAACAATCTTTGTCAACATGCAGTCAAGAAAACCGTCCACAATGCGTACGGATGAGTGCTGGCATTGCAAAGGTACTGTCTCCCGTCTCTGACGTCCGAATGAGTCTGTAGCTTACCCGCAATTACAGACTCCAGAGCCACTTGTAATCGCGCACGCCCGCGCTGTTCCAGGTGTATCAAATCCAATAGACCATGTCAGTATGGACTGCGACTGTCGTGGCCAAAGCCTACCAACGCAAAGCGAAGCTTGACCCATTCCCTCCAGCCTGGTTTTGGGACTACAAACAAGGTCTCCTCGCAAGCAAGCTTTCTGAATACGACATCACGGGATATCCAGCTCCACTATTACCTACGGATGAAGCATGGTTGGCTCTTCTCATTGTTTGGCTATCCTCTTCCCGACTGATTCTTTGGAAACAGGACTTGGGAGCCATGAGGGATTTGCCCTTCAAGGGCTGGATTTACCCATGGCGTTATCATGGCTCCCAAACGACCTAGCTTATGAAGAAAGAGAACTTCTTGATTATTGTGAGTACGATAATAATACTTCGTATAGCCTGACCAAGCTAATACTTGTAGTTATATGCACGGCGCCTTCAACACTAGCCATTTTCGAACCTGACAAGCACGAAATCGTGAGTCTGTTGGTGCGTCTCGCTCTTTCAGATAGTTCACCGTCTTCAATTGCTGTGCTACAATCGGCGTTGGCGCTCTCGTCGTTCCATCGGCATGGTTTGCAAGCAGGCGTCTTTCGGTTCAGAGCGCGCGCTCTCCGTACACTGATTACATCTTGTACGCCCGGTATTGAAGTTCCCACGGTAGTTCAGCATATTGCGGCTAGTATGATACTTTGTCACCTTGAGGTATGTTTGAGCTGGAGTTTACAGATTTGTGCTTGGATGAGTACTGAGTTCTTACCAACGTCAGATGCTTGGGATGCCGAATACTGTGTCTCTGTGGTTCTGTAAGTTGTACTTGCTCTACTTGTTTCTATTGCCACCGTGCTTCTTCGAAGACAGTGCTAAACTGACTTTCCTTCTAGGTCATTTAAGCGAAGCTAAATATCTAATCGACAATGCAGGTGTTGATAGCCAGTATATTGAGCGCCAATTTTCCGGACTTCTAGGCTGGGTAGAGTATCATATGGTTATGAGTCGGTTTACGATCCGACACTGGTTTGTAACCGAAGACTCTACTAAAGGGATCAAAACTTCCGTACCTGCGGACCAGGGTAGCTGCCAATTACAAAAGGTCAGGCCGAATATTCCATGTCTACAACCGCATTGATCTAACACGAGATAGATCAAAGATGTATCGCACTGCTCACATGAGATCCTTCAATGCTTGTATTTCATGTTTGAAATGATACGTCAACCGTCAGATTTACAATACCATGACGATGAATATGAAAGTACCTTGCGTTGCCTCGAGCGCAGGATAACGAATATTGTCCCGTCGTCACCAGAAGCCGTATCGGATACCATGAGCACAGCCTGGGAGGCTACAATAGAACTTTTCAAACTAGCTGCTTTGATCTACCTGAAGAGAGCATCGCGGAACTTTTCTGGACCGTCTCCTCAGATCGACGCAATGGTCGAGAGGGCGTATGTACTTCTCGACGGCTTGGGGACTTTCAATCCAGCCTTTCCATTGCTGATTGTTGGGTGCGAGACTCGGACAGACGAGCAAAGAATAAGAATCTTGCAACATATTGAGAGAGCAATGAGAACCTCGAGTTTGAGGGGCTTGCATGAACTACGGAGCATTCTCCAGCAGATATGGGCCCAGGATGACCTTGCCGTTGATTATGAGCTGGATTACTTGAATAGATTGGACGCTGTGATTACTTCTTACCGCGTAATGCCGAGTTTTGTTTGATCTAGGGAGTTCTCAGATTTGAATCATGATGGATGAATAGGTAGGAGATTCTGCGATTTAGATGTCTATTCTGCGCTAACCCAAGCCCCGATCCAAGTTCTCTTCTATACAAAGCATATCCACTGCGCTCAATGGTATCTCGGTTTTTTTTTATTTACATTTGTGGAATAATACCACTTTCAACGGGTCATTCGATAAACTACCGGCTACTACTGTCCTTTCCCCGATCTTTTTTATTGGCTGTCGGTAATTAATCAGAGTTAGAAAAAGAACCATGCTTCGCTCACCACATGGAATCTTCAATTCGAGGAATACCTTGCACGTGTATTCTAGGAAACTAATGCCAAGTGACAGCTCATTCATACTTGAAGGACTTGCTGATCGTKTTCAAGCCACTGGAAGTATATTCCACGATGGCCAGACATATCTGGAGTGAAAACTCCCTGAGCAGCTCACTTCAACTTATCTGCAAGCCGCCAGAGTTTGTTTTATACAATGGCTAGCTGAATGGACGGCTGAATTTATGGTTGAACAGTTCATGACCAAAATTCTTGACTGAGCGTGTTGTCGAAATTTAGGGCTTGCGTTGACTATGGAGTCAAGTTCTTCTGCTTCATTTGTATCGTCCAACACAGAAACTTTGAAACACACGGAGTCTATATTGACAAGGCGAGCTGAAAAAACACGGATTTTGCATAACATAGCTGAGAAAATTGATAAAGATGCTGCTTAAATATCACCCTCGATTTGGAGAGGCAGAGGGTCAAAGAGGGAAGCGATGATCTGAAGAGTACTTAAGAGGCCACTAGACCACATCCTTCTATCAATCCATCTTCAAAATCAATATTTTCCTATCATTGATATATTACAATACTCAAAGCAAGATGACAGCACGAGCCTTCGGGGATGACAGTGTGCAGGGCCACATGTTGACAGCCGGCGTTGTCGCTGGCTATCTGGTCGATGCCATCTCCAGATGGCCAGGGATTGCCCAGAATGGTGTAGTTGCCGATCGAAATGCAATTCAAGGCCTTATCCACAATGACCAGAACCGAATTGATGCAAATGCAAGAAATTTTGGGTCTCAGATGCATGGAAAATATACTCCAAGTAGCCACTCAGAAAATTTCATTAATCAAAAAGCCAAATAGGAATTTCTAAAGCAGAAAGCTAAGAATAAACACATTCTTATTCTAAAGCTTAACTGGTGGTATGAAATTGTCCTTGGGCCGGACAACAACATGACACAGTTCTCGTTGTTTGGGTATGATATGGGCCCGATACCTGCACGGAGATACTTGATGTTTACATGCTCCAAGGATCCTACTACCAATATATGGTAGAACAACACTGTCTCGCTGCGTTCTGTTGATGATGATGATGATGCAGAGGAAGCAGAACTAGAAAAGGAGGTGGAAGATTTGCTTGCTTTTGATTATGTAGACGATGGCGTTGACGATGATGGCAAGAATCTTCAACTGCCGCCCAACTTTCAAAGCGTGCTTGGTGGAATTGATGCTTCCTGTGCGACCTTCTCGTGAGAAGGATTCAAAGGAACCTTTTCAATGTGACCAGTACCGACGGAGACACATATAGTTGTTATGTGGACGGTAGGAACGTTGAGTTCGCAGTCCCTTCCGACCTGACAATGACCTGGGGATCCGAATCGACCTCATTCTCCATTGTTGGAAAATCAAAGAAATGATTCACGAACAAGCTCAGCAAAAAGCTCAATCTTGGAGGGGACGTTCTCGGCTTCGGAGGCGAGTTTGAGCGCACTTTTGACGAGACCAGGACGGGAGAAACTTTCAAGAAAAATATGACCAGATATAATCAGGAGGTTGTTTACAGTATCTCTTTTAAAGACGAGGACAGTACTGCCAAATATTTGACTGACAATGCTCTTACGGCGATGAAGACTTGGACTCCGGAAAAGATTGCTGCGTCCTTTGGCACTCACTACACCGTCAAGGCAACGGTTGGTGGTTCTCGAATTCTTATTTCCTCTCTCGACACGCGTGATGAGTTCACAGAGACCGAGATGTCTACAGCAATTGAATTAAAGGTATGTTGGTCTTCTTTCTGTTCTGTCTTTTCAATAGACTGATGCGCTGTCCTTCTAGGCAAAATTCAAAGATACTAAAGGAGGAGATGCTGGCACTTCGTCTACTGATAAAAAAGCCAAAAGCTTTTTGAAAGTTTGCAGACTGTCAATCCACATACCATAGGTGGTACTGCTACACGTACTGCTACAGACGACAAAGAGGATTTGAATTCATGGCGCCAGAGTTTGCATACTAACCCGGCTCTCATCAACTATAAGCTTCGACCCATCGAAGAGCTCGTACCCGCAGACCTGACAGTTGAGCAGGGTAAAGATGCCGGCGGAAAAACTATTACAGTGTCGAAACGCAGTCTAGTAAAAAAGGCGGGAAGGGCATTTATCGATGCACATGCTCCAGTTGATCACTGCACTGTGCTCGCTATCAAGGTACCACTCAAGCCATACTATAGTGATGCCGGTAGTGGCGCGAAGCATGACATGTCTGTGGCTTATCCCGATGTCCCCAAAGGCTGGCTCCGTGTGTCACAATTTGCCCAGGGAGCTAGCAGGAAATACGCATTTCGTGGACAGAGCTATACTTATGCCGTGCGCGCAAATCCCAATCTCGTCCTTCTCGGTACTCATGGGACTTGCCCATGCCCTGGCGTAGTTGCTGCTACTCACGCAAACACTATCTGGACAGGACGTTTAACTATGACTCTTGGTGACTCGCTTCCACCGGCTCCGACGTTTTGGAGACCTTACTATCAACCATATAACGAGCTCGGTTGAAAGCTGACTACACGAAGATTATACAGTCAGGTGGTACTCTTGGGTTAGGACTCGATGTGATTAAGCCTCTTCAGGACCAGTACAGCCCACTGTTGAACCCTTAGCATATGGCCGAAAGGAACTTACAGGGTTGGACCCCTGTGCCGTATTCCACAAGGATATGATAGTCAAGCTTAAGAAGTCGGTCAACACCAGCCTTGATGTTCGGTGGCTATGGGATGTTACTGTCTAGGGCTTGCCAATATCCAGGGGAAATCCAGGGCCGAATGACGAGACTTTGTTGATGGAGTCTGCCCCGGAGACGTCAATTGCATTGCCATTTTGGTGCACAGGACGTTCAGTTGATCCTGCCAAGTATGATGGAGTCACTTTGGATTGGACCAAGGTCAAAATACTGCGTAATGAATGGTTGTCCAAATGATTAGATGCTTGTGGAGATATTGGTAACGGTCTTTTCGTGTTTTTTAGTCATCTTTAATGGTAAGATAGCACGAGACTAGAGTGTGGTGGGCCATCTTCCACTTTTTTTTTTTGAATACCTGTTAAATGCAATGGCCTCTTGATTTTCGTGAGGGTATTTAGGTCGTAGAGAAGCGTGAAAACACGTATTCGATATTCATGTAGTCTACGTGACTAGCTAGTTCCTCTCAATCGACATACACAGCCTCAGTTCCTCAGCCTTGTCAAATACGCCTGTCTTCTTGTCCGTATTTACGTGTACGGTCGAGTCAAATACATGCATAATAACCTCACTCTGCGGCCAAATAAGCGGTAAATACATGTATGTAATGACCATAGCCACTAGTCTGCCTGCCTGCATATGGCACAGGATCGCTCTGTTTTGACACTCTTCCATCTTCTTCTACTTTCTTCTAATTACAACTACACCGACTTTTCTTGTCATCGCACCTTCGCTTCATATCGTTAACATCAAACGGATAATGACTGAAGCGGCTCAACATGATCCCAAGGTCGTCTGCAGACTTTGACATTGCAATCATTTGCGCTTTGCCTGTCGAGTTCGACGCCGTGGAGGCTGTATTCGATGAGCATTATGACTCTGCAGCATATGAAAAGCAACATGGAGACGCAAACTTTTATCGGACCGGGAGAATTCATCAACACAATGTTGTACTGTCGTGCTTACCAGAAATGGGAAAACGAAGCGCCGCTAGTGTCGCATCGAGTCTACAATGCACTTTCACAAACATCTATTTGAGTCTACTGGTTGGCATTTGCGGCGGTGTGCCGTATTCGTTATCAAAGACAGGGAAGACGGAGCTCCTATTGGGGGACGTTATTATCAGTTCCAGCATCATCGAATATGACTTCGGAAAGCAATACCCTGATAAATTTCAGTCGAAGCCCGGGTCGATAGACACTATTGGCCGAGATCGACGTATTTGTTCACTTTTGGTGGCCCTGAAAACATCTCGATTACAGAATGAGTTTCGGGAAAAGCTGTCGGCTTACCTTGCGAGTCTTCAAGGATCGGATCGAAAGTGGAACTATCCAGGTGCCGAACATGATAGACTATATGAAGCAACCTATCGCCACAAGCACCATAACTCAGGCTCCGGAATGAACTGTATTTGTGACACATCTCAAGTGAGCCAAGATCCTATCTGCGATGAGGCGCTCGAAAGTGATTGCAGCAAGCTTGGTTGCAATGGAGTGCTACTTAATCGGAGCCGCCTGTCTTCGTTTGATCACTCTCCCCAAATACACTTCGGGACTCTGGGCTCTGGAGACACCGTGATGAAGTCAGGAGAACATCGCGATGAGCTAGCCAAGACAGCACAAATTATTGGGTTTGAGATGGAAGGGGCAGGTGTGGCTGATAGCCTACGTTGCCTTGTCATCAAGGGTATTTGTGACTACGCAGACAGCCACAAGAACAAGATGTGGCAACAGTATGCCGCTGCGACTGCCGCGTCTTGCTGCAAAGCCTTTATTGAAATTCTACAAAAAAGGATGCAAAGAAGTGTGTCTTCGTTTGTTGGAGATAAAGGCACCGCTTTCGAGGTCGGGGTGATTGATAAGAGCTCAGAACGGCTCGCATCAGCTTCCTTAGATGGATCTTCGGCTGCTCAGCATGACTACCGATGGGACATTAGTTCGATAGCCCCTAACATTAGCGACATGGAGCATCATTTGAGTGCACTTCAAGAGGAGCTGCACCGGGTCAAGGGCAATATAGCAAACCCTTTGATCAAAAGCGTCTTGTTATCGGGACTTACTCATGCAGCGGAAAATAATCCAAATTTTTTTCATAGGTCCCAAGGAATAGAATCCTATCGTATATCGCATTATGATACTAAATTCGGCAAGATAGTCTCTCGGATACGGGTCGACAGAGAGACTATAAAAGCAGTACAAGACGGCGAAAGCTGCACGCATTACAGGACAACAACGTCGTTCATTTTTCATCCTGCGTCTTGGCTTATCAGAATAGGATTCAAATATGGATTGGAAGCCATGATTACCAGCTCCCGATCTGGATGGCAATATAACGTACTTCCAGTTCGTGCTGTGGCGGATGACGCGTTGATATTCGATTTATGCAAGATTGGTAATGTAGATGCTGTTCGGGAGCTTTTTGGAAGAGGAAATGCGTCTGTTTTGGATGTCGATAGTAAGGGCTATCGGCCTTTACATGTAAGTGGTACTTCACCTGTTTACCATGAAGCAAATATTAGCGTCACTTTCACTCGTACAATTTCTGGTCTTGCTGTGGGCTGACTCAGAACAAAAGAGCTAATGCCTTTTGCTGTACTTAATTCAGATTGCTACGCACTGGGGGCATCTTGACTTGGTCAAATTTCTCATAATACAACGTGCAGATAAGGCAGCAAGCACGTACTACAATAAGTGAGTTCCTTGCTGGTATCATTGTTGACTCGAGCTAATGTGTAAGCAGTACCCCTGCTACGCTGATACCATCGAAAGGGGAAGCCATAGAATTACTGCGACTGTATGATGATTGTATTGACTTATCCGAGCCAGATTCTCAAGGGTGGAAGATTTTTAATAGTGTCTCAGAAGAAAAGGTAGATTCTGAAGAGCATGTGATAACCAGTTTTATATCTTTCTTTCTCCAAAAGTACCAAATGAGCATAATCGACGGTGGTTATTATGAACCGCCGATTCGATATGTTACATGGTGGTCAATCACTGCGTCGTTTGCCGAGAGCCTCCAGTTGCTCTTAGATCTCGATCCTCAAACAGGCCCTTTTGAAAATCTTCTTTCAACGAAAAACCATTATTCGCTAAAACAACCTTTGATCTTCGATGTTGTTGAGATGCCTGATACTAGGACGGACATACTGCGAATTCTTATCGACAAAGGAGCAGACATTCATGCTATATACCGTGGCGAAACTCCCACATCATTGTCTCTTTATTTCTCTTATACATTCTTACGCTGGGGTGATCGACTACGAGACATATATCAAGAGCTCGACGACTTTATTGCATCTGAGACAACAACCGCATGCATACTAGCGCGGTCTGGTTGGCATGCCGGTGCTCTTCGAACCCTTTTCAGCATAAAATTATATGAACCTTGGCATTACACGATAGATGACAATGACTTGCACAGATTTTACGCGTCACTGGAGTGCGAGGAACACGGCCTCTACGGCCAAGAAGTGAGTGATTGGGCCCTATGTATAAATCCTTGGTGGGAAGAGCTCAAATATAAGATAAAATCAAATCAATGCATTTTTTTCATGCTGAAGGAGGGTGGCATGTATCTCGATAAGAGACAATCTCACAACCATGATACCTGTGAGGAAGATGTTCAACCATGTGAACGCATAGGCGTCTTACCATGGGTGTTGGAAGAATTCTATCGCAGAGGAGGAGTATGGCGATTCGACTATGAGCCTGGGGAAATATGGTGCCAGTATTGCTTAGCAGAGCGGGAAGGGTTTTATGAGACTTCGAGCGAAAAATCTGATGCAGAAAATTCGACAGAGGATACTGATACGGAGACCTCATGTGGGGAAGAAGAAGAGAAGAGCGATGATGATGCCTCGGATATGTCGATCGATTAGCATGAGTATGGTACATAAGAACTGATGTTTGGGATATAAATCAGCTTAGCTGTGCATTCAGATTCTAAAATCAACAATGAAATATTCAGGTCGTGCAGATACCAATCGCTTATTGCAAATTGACAAATAAGCCTCCGTCAACCAATATTTGTGCACCAGTCTAAACAAGTCAGCCAATGCACCCCTTAAAGCAACGACACAAGGGAAGAGAAATAGAACTTACAACATAACCACTCAACTCCTCCGCAGCCAAAAACACCGCCGGACCGGCCAAATCCTTCGGCTGCCCCAACCTTCCCAACGGTATCCTCCCTTCCATATACGTCCTTTTTTTCTCATCCGCCATATCCGCATCGTTCAACTGCGTCCTAATCGTGCCCGGCAACAACGCATTACATCTAATATTATACTTGCCCAACGCAACTGCCGTGGATTGCATAAGCGACAAAACGCCGGCCTTTGTAGGACAGTAGTGGCACTGTTGCCCGCCGCCGACTAGAGCTGAGATGGAACTTATGCCGATTATTGAGCCGCCCGCTGGTGTTTGGTGCAGTGCCATTTGCCGGCCTGCGGCTTGGGTGGCGTAGAATGCGCCGCAAAGATTGATGTTCACTGTTTGAGAGAGGAGGGAGGGCTCAAGCCTTTTTTTCGTTAGCATCATCCCACCCACTGTTCACGGATAGAATGTAGGAGAGAGGGGGCGTACTCTAAGAATTCGGCAAACTGGCAAACACCAGCGTTACTAACAAACACATCCAGCCGTCCAAACGCCTCGACAATCTTGGCCACAAAATCCGCCCCGGTCTCGGGTTTGGAAATGTCGCCTGCCACGGTGATGAACTGTTTCTCTGTTGAGGTGATGTTGAGCTCGCTGATCACGGCCTGCGCATCTTTGTGGAATGCTTCCACGAGCGAGTCATCGTTTGGTCCGCCGAGATGGTTGACGGCGACTTTGGCGCCGTGGCGGAGGTAGTCTAGCGCTATTGCCTGTTATGTTTACTGTTAGAATGATCAGATATGATGAAAGATGGAGAGGCATACTCTTCCGATACCAGTCAAACCACCTGTTATACCGCAGACTTTGCCTACTAAGAGCTGGGGAGTTGCCATATCTTCTCTCTTCTATAATATGTTGAAATTCGATGTCTTCGTGGAAATGGAGGATGTCTGTTCTGCTCTCCAATATTGAGGTTTAAATTGGGTGTGTTCAATATGTCGTTCAATGCTGTTATTGCCAGCTCACACGTATCGGTATATCTTCTCCTTTCTGAATTTTTACAATGTTTTTCTTCAGCAAACATCCCACCATGTCTCCATAATAATGTCCTACAAAAGTCGATTGTATGGGATTTTTTCTCTGGTCGTACCCCACAATCCGACACCATAGCTCGGTAATTCGGGGTATGTCTATCCCGAGTCCGGAAATTGTGTGTGGGTGTTTTGCCGGAGCGTGAATTTACATTGCTTGAGGGTCTCTTGTTGGGATTGTCTTCTCACGCATACTCAGGGCTAAAATTTTTAGCAATTAGGATTAAAGAAGCTTTTTAGATGTCACGTACTCGCATGGTAATCAGGCCACAGACAATTTAAGGGTTAACCTAGTAGTCGACTAGATATCCAAGTCATATAGTATCGTTAAATGTGATAAATACATATGTAACAGTCTAAACACCATAATATAAAGCTAGATCTACTATCATGTTTAATTGCCGTTGGCCTGCTCTTGAGATGGCTCCTCCGCGGTCGGTGCTGGCAGACTCTTCGCGGGCGCAGGGTTGAGAAGCGCGGAGGCAGGAATCAACGGAGCAGCTGGGTTCAACTCAAGACCAAAACCGGGCTTGTCAAGTTCAGTGAGGTCAAGATAACCCTTGGTCGGGATGGGTTCATTCAAAAACAGGTTTCCAAACACAGGTTCCACAGTCTTGCCATCAGGGGAATTGGCGAGATATTCTTGGAAAGGGGTGTTGGGTTGAGATACGACGAAGTGGTAGGAGTAGGATCCGGAGGCGTGGGGAACGACGGGGATATCGTAGGCAGCTGCCATGGCAGAGACTTTGAGCAACTCAGTAAGACCACCGAGCCACATGACGTCGGGCTGGATGATGTCCAAGTTGCGTCCCTCGATCAACTTTCTAAATCCGTATCTGGAGTATTCGTGTTCGCCAGTGGTGAATTTGACAGTTGGGTGAGCTTGCTTAAGAAGAGCGTGGCCGTCAAAGTCGTCGGGGCTAAGGCACTCCTCCCACCAGTCAATGTGCAATCCCTCTGCCTCGGCGCGCTTGACGAGCTCGATCGTGTAGGGTACGTTCAACGACATGTAGCAGTCCACGCGGAGAGGAAAATCAGGGCCAACAGCTTCCCGATGTTTGCGAAGGTACTCAATATTTCGTTTCAAACCATCGATACCTTCATCTGGTCCGTAAGGAAGAGCAACCTTGGCGCCAATGAACCCGGCTTCCTTTGCAATTGCGGGTTGAGGTCCAGTGCAGTAAAAGTGTAGTCTCTTGCGAGTGGCACCGCCAATCATTTTGTAAACTGGCTCTTTGCGAATTTTACCCAAAAGATCCCACAAGGCCAAATCAATGACAGATATGACAGCAGTTGCGATACCCTTACGACCGTAGAACATGGAGCCGCGGTACATTTTCTCGAACATATCGTTGATATCACGGGGGTCTGTCATCCTCAATCTCCATTAGCTCGTCGTTCCGTGTCAGAGGTCAAGAATGTAATGCTCAGAACGTACCGCTTCCGATTAAAAAGCGCTCAAAGTGCTGGTGAACAAGCCAGCATGCTGGTGGTCCTCCGAATCCAGTAGCAAATCCCTTGGTTCCATCACTCGACTCAATCTCGACACAGAACGAACCCAAAACATTGATACCCCAGCTGGTTCTCGATGCACGATACTGTTCCCATTTTGCCATTGGTGTCGATATCGAGCTGTCCACGAGCCAGTGACCACCTTTCACCTAGATTTCGACGCTGTTAGCATGTCGCATGACCATCGCAACGATAGCCACAAGAACCTTACATTGTGATAGTCGCCTCCAGAACCAACACCCTGAATGATGAATGAGCGCACGTGCTTGATGGTGGGGAACGAAGATACTGAAGCCATGTTGTCGGGACGTATATCTATTCAATCACACACGAAAGACGACAAATGCAAGGATAAAGGAGATAGAAAGAAGGATGAAATGAGAAATGACTCTCGTGAAGATAAATAAGAGCTTAAGAACGAATATGAAACTATGCCTCGGACATCAGTCCGGACGCGCGCAAGGCATGAGGCCGTGCAGGGCAGGCGTCATGGCGGTCGGTCTCGGGGTAAAGCAGCCCGAGCTTCTCCAACCCCGCGATGCCGAGAATATCGCGCGAAATCCCGATTGGCTGTTGACGGGGTGTCTAGTCCAGACTTGGATTAGAGCGCCGGTGAGGAAGAGCCTGATGAGCGGAAAAATATTTCTGTGCAAATGGCGAATTCTGTGCTCCTCGTGACTACGGAGTACAGAGTAGAGAGCGAGAATTTTCCGACAAGCTCCAGCTTCGTCAGGCACAAAAKCGTTCTAGTAGTGCTGCCTGAAACGGCCTAGTGCAATGCCGAGAAAGAATCTGGGGAAAGCCTGCCGTGATTGGCTGTGATTCTGACTAAGCACTGGGCTGTTGCGGGGTCTGGCCAATCACGCTTTTTCCTGAGAGTCAAGCGCGACCGACCACCCTTGCTCCTTCCCAAGCATGCTGCCGTCTCCGGATTTCTGCTTGTCCCATCTTTGACAGAGCTGCAACAGACTGCTCTTTCTCTCCTTTTCTTCTGATCGCCAACATCATGCTTTGATCACCGAGTGATCTGCCGAGAAGCGGATCTGTATGGGACCGATATTCTTACGGCTAATTTTCTTCGTGCGGATACAGTGGCCGTTTCAGATCCCCTGCATGTACCTTATCATACGCAATATCCCGAACAAGGTGTGAATCATGGAGGCTGCTGGCAGGTTTTCCCCACAGAATGGGGACAGGCACGTGCATGACTATGAGCAAGGGCAGAGTCCTGAAGTGGATTCATCCGCTGCAGAGTCCGATAACGATCACTTCATGGGCTCAAATGGCTCTCAAGCATTGCGCGGGACTAAAAGAAAGCGTCCCTTGATGGTGTCGTAAGTTTGTACTTGCCTTTGTCTCCATATTGCAGTTCCCTCGCGTTCCTAGTTCAGCAGTAGACTGATGGCTCTAGATGCGAGTTGTGTAAGCAGAGAAAGGTCAAGTGCGGTAGGTAGACGAGCTTTTCTCGCTTGTCCATTGCTAATCCCAGCTCGTAGACCGAGCTCAACCCAGCTGTGGGTGGTGCGCGCGTAATGGCCAGGTTTGCGAATATAAAGAGCGCAAGAAGCCAGGCTTGCGAGCAGGCTATGGAAAGGAACTGGAACAAAGACTCGGTCGGACATCTACTGAACTCTGATTGCATCAATAACTGACTAATTTCAACCAACAGACCGGCTCGAAGAGATTATGCAGACACAAGCTCGCTTGATCGAGAATCATATCATACGCAACCTTCAACCACAACCAGACCATAACCGACGTCAGAACGTGCGCGTTTCCTCCTACGTCTCACATGGCTCACCATCGGAGCCGTCAACGGCGACAGGGCCGAGTCCTCAGACTTCAGTGTTTGCTGGCGAACCGCCTGCATATCCGCTAACACAAAGGCTAGTCGATCCAACAATCAATCAACGCAACGCGATAATAGAAAGCCCAACAGCAACATCCAATAAGATACACAACAACTCCATGCTCTCTAACGGTGTTTCTCACTCTACTCCACACTCCCAGGTTCCATCAATTCCATCGTTACCTGATCGAATCGGTGCCGACTTTTCTCACAATGATTCTTCATTGACCATTCCTGTCAGTCTTTTCAGTAATCAAGAACAATCTTTATCAGATTCCGAGCTCGACTTGCCACCCTATGATTTACTTTATGCACTAGTGGACCTTTACTTTGAGCACGTCAACAGTTGGTGTCCCATCCTACATCGCAGATCTACCTTGGATACTTTGTTCGGACCGTCTCCATTAGAAGAAGCGGATCGAGTGGTTCTACACGCTATTGTTGCAACGACTTTACGTTTCTCGGTCGATCCGCGATTGAATGTCGTCAACCGAAAACGGTACCACGAGGCATCAAAACAAAGAGTCCTCCTTTACGGTCTGGAGAACTCTTCGGCCAAAGCTATTCAAGCATTGGTTATTCTGTCATTGGATTTTGTTGGTTCCTCAAACGGACCTCCAGGTTGGAAGCTCCTAGCTTTGATAGCTCGTTCGGTCGTTCAACTAGGCTTGGCCGTGGAAAGGAATTCGGCACTCGATGCATCACTCTATCCATCTATCTATACTTTACGAGCAAATGTTTTGCCTGATTCCGAGACATGGATTGAAGATGAGAGTCGCAGGCGCTTGTTCTGGATGGTTTATTTACTGGATCGATACTCAACAATCGCGACCGCATTTGACTTTGCTTTGGATGAGAAGGAAATCGACCGGAAATTGCCTTGCCGAGAGGAATACTTCATCAGAAACCAGCCAGTTGAAACAAGATGGTTCCGTGCCGCTGGCGATCGAGGCGAATACACTAGCCACGGGGATAATGTAGGCTCTTTTGGATTCTATATTGAGATCCTAGGCATACTTTCGCGCATACATATTTTCCTCAAACGGCCTGTAGATATTGGAGCACTTTCGGACGTTGAAGAATGGCAAGCGACATATCGAAAGCTGGACAGTGAGCTCTCAGCGTGGGAGTTCAATCTGCCAACAGAATATGCTCTTGAGAATGCATCTCGTCTGTTCCAAACCTCGAAAACAAAAAAGGGTTTTCAATGTGACTGGGTGATGCTTCACGCTACATATCAAACGTGAGTACTCTCTGTCGAGTACGACTGAAATTAGATACTGATGTTAATAGAACCGTGATTCGCCTCCATTCTTCCGCCGCATATCCTACCACACGATCTCCCATATTTACACCCTCCTATAGTGCCAGTCAGCGCTGTCTAGTAGCGGTCGACAACATTCTGACATTGACTCGATTCGTTGCCGAGAACAACATGCTTGACAAACTCGGGCCCCCATTCGCTTTCTCGCTATGGGTTTCAGCTCGACTATTGCTCGTTCACGGATCAACGATTGCCCACACAGTGAGCCCAGATATTTATCTATTCGTAGACACACTAGCACAGATGGGCCACTACTGGAAAGTTGCCGAACGGTACAGCACGATTCTAAAGCGCGTCCTCGATGAATATGGCGAATACGAGCAAACGGCAGGCATCGAAAGCGAGCGCGTCACACCATCTTCCGTCAAAATACTAGCAGATATGCGGCGCTGCGCGTTTGACCTCGACTTTTTGATTTCTCGGCAGCCACAGCATCCTCATAATAACAAGGGCGTATCCGACTCTAATGGCCTGGTGGCATTGCAGTCTGCCAACGCCGACGCAGCAGCGAAACAGAACACAGACACTGCCGGCTCCCTTCCCATGAGCCGAAACCTAACAAACAACGACTTTGAATACCTTGATGTATTTGGATTCTTCAACGTTCCGCGCGTACCGAACATGCCTACACCATTATCAGCACTGGGCATGACTACACCCGACGGTAATGGTCCTCACAGCGCCAACAATAATAGTAGTCTGACCACCACCAATCCCATGTCTATACATGGCCTTACGACGGTGGCGAGCAATAATGAATTTAATATTACGAATTACTTGGTGCCAACCCCAGAGACCGATTGGTTATTTCCGCAGCCGCATGGTTAGATAGGTCTTTGATTTATTGACAAATATTGATTTAATGCTCACTCAGCATTCCTCTGTTTTCCGTTTCTTGAGCAAAAGATTCGTCGGAGATTTAAACATGCAATATGTGTAAAATAATGTATGTAAACCAAATATGTATTGTTCTGCTGCGAGGCTACTCAATAACCTCAATCTTGATACCCCCAAAAGTTTCTAAAACATAAGAAACCGACCCACAGCAGTGACACAGAATGGAAAACCCCAAGTGATCAATCTCATTATCTTGAAGAGAATGATTGAACGGAACGAGAGGTAATAATGCAGTAATAACAGATCTAATACACGATGGAAAAAAACAGGGCAAACAAGCAAATGAGACGTGTAAGGTATAACTTTCAGAGTCGGGTTTGAAGTACTAGTTGACAGCCTCGGGATCGGCGGTATCAACCTCACAGTATCTCATGAGCGCATCAATAAACGCTTCGGTCGTTGATGATTGGCCCATCTCCATGTCGACGGGTGCTTCCTGGTCAAGTCTATCAATCTCTTTGAAGATACCAGCAGCCTTGAGTGCCAGTCTTTTGATTCGATCGTGTGCATATTGGTGACGATGAGTGGCTTCCTTTGACATGCCACGGGGATCTTGGGCCATCACGGCTAGAGTGTTGTTGAGACCTCGTGCTCGACATTGAAGAGCATGGTCGAGAGCTGGAATGATAACTTCACGGCTTAGAGTGTTCGCGCCGGCACTGGATGCAGAAGACGTGAGATTACTCGAGGTTGAAGTTGTTGAAATCTGGGAGTCGATACTCCTCCTCCTGTTTTCGGAATTCCTTGACGAATCCGATTGGCGACATGGTTGAGGCGCTGACAACGACGGTAGGGGCTGGAATGCAGGAAGAGCTTTTTGCTCGGGTAGTCCAGCAACACGTTGGACGACTGGATTCGGAGCCGGGGGGACATTAGAAGAAGGTTGCTCTTGTCTTAAGTAAGAAGTCGATACTTGATTGCCCACTGGCTTGCGGCTTATGTTCTCAGTTTGAGTGGGAGTAGGGGTTCCTTGTTGTTGAGACTGCGGCCGAGACGAAGTAGAATTTGGTGAGCCAGCAAGATTCAAAAAGGTCAAGTCAGACGCAAGCGATTGCTGAAGAGCTTTATCGTAGTCTTTTGTGGAGGGGCTATCATTATCTTTGTTTGCTATCGAAGACTTATCCAGACGCGATGGTGTTCCAGGGAAAGCACGAGCTTGTTGCGGTTTTTGCGGAGATTGAGGTAAAGGAATCTTTGTAGGTGACCCTAGAGGTTTCGGTATGGAAGCTTTCTGCTTTGTAGAAGATTGCGGCGGAGAGTTAATACGGAGGGTTTCTTTAGTGTTTTCAATGGCGTCACTTTCACTCTTGACTACTTGATTGGTGTCCGAAGACCACGGGTCATGGCTTTGATTGCGGACGTTTGCCGCTGCACCACTCAATGCTTGAAGACCAGCATTCCTACCAGCCGGGCGAACGGTTCCAAAGTCCCATAAATCTTCGTCGTCTGGAGTAGGCTTTGATGGCGGCACTTGTTGCGCACGATCGTCATCGTCATCGGGAGTGCCACGTCCGTGGATTGCCTGCCAGCGTTCGTGTCTTTCGATCAACTCAGTCAGGTATGTTGTTCGCTTGGCCTTCTTTAAAAACGGATGCCTGAGTAACTCCTTTGCCGTAGGTCGCTCTCGGGGATCACGTCGAAGACACAAACCCACGAAGTCCTTGAAAATTTTGCTAAAATTTCCTTGAAGTGTCGGGGGGTTGTTCTTTGGAATCAAAAACAATACCTTCATAGGGTGGATGTCGGAATAAGGTGGTTGCCCAGTCGCCAATTCAATGGCTGTGATACCGAGAGACCAAATATCTGCTTTGTAGTCGTAGCCAGATTGTTTGATCACCTCTGGTGCCATCCAGAAAGGTGTTCCCACAAATGTATTCTTTTTCGTCATAGTAGCACTAAGCTGACCGGAGACACCAAAATCGGCCAATTTCACTTGGCCATTTCCACTTAGCAATATGTTTGCAGCTACGTAACCGAGGTCAGTCACAATGCTATTGACGATCGACAAAGGACAGCATACCTTTGATATCCCGGTGTAGTTTCTTGTCACTGTGAAGGTAGTCCAGTCCCAGCAGCAGCTCCCTTATAATGATCATGATGTAGTCTTCAGGTATGATTCCTGGTCGTAAAAGATCCGAGCAACTTCCGCCAGCACAAAACTCCATCACGATCCAAAGGTCTGAGCCTTTGAGATAGGAGCCGAGATATTTCGTTACATAGGGCGAGTTCATGGTTGACATGATGGAAATCTCGGTGATGATGTCTTCCACCTCATCTTCAGCATTTTCAACGTCTATAATCTTAATCGCAACAGATTGACCGGTGCGCTTGTCGACACTGCATGAAAGAAAAAGTCAGAATGCAATTGTTGAATGAGAAGTTCGGCCACGAGATACCCTTTGTAGACTTTACCAAAGCTTCCACCGCCTAGAAATGCGACATTAGTACGATAAACAACACGAGCAGCGGTCCTTTATGTGTTTGATTGGTAACGTACCAAGGCAATTCTGCTTGGTGTAAAGCGTTTCTGGATCTGCAACTGCCTGCATTTTGCGCCGAGTCCAATGGCCTAATCCGAAAGATGTGATGGGCGATTTGGCGAAAAGCGAGTTGGGAAAAGAGCGTATTATACGTAGTTTTTCCGGCGCGTCTGTGAACTTGCGCTTATGCGTCGGTAAAATTAAGGTGCAGATATTCAGCTCCTTGTAAACAAGGGCGCCAGCAAGGAGTGTTGATGGACCCGTGATTAACTTCCACGAGCGCTCGAAAGGCTAGCGCTTCTATTCGGGTGGAGGCGTTGGCAAGATTCAATTGACGTATATTCGCCAGGAATATGTCGTTGATTTAGAGAGTGGTTAGAGGCTGTTGAAGAGATTCGCAGGAGAAGGGAGTGTGTCCTCCGACTTTTGATCTCAATCGGTTACTGATGCTGAACTTGATATCCGGCCGAATCGGTCAAAAATGAAACGGCGATGATAGTCCTGATTTTGTCAATGGTCCCTACATTAGCCACTTCAATCGGGTCGCTTTTTTTGGGGGTTTGATTCCACTCACTTTGGGTGATCCAAGTGCCCAATGACTTTGTTGGATGTAGTATGAGTAGGTTCTCGATACTCTCTCATAAGCATCATCTCAGTGAGTTGAATCGTGCAATGCAAGTCGACATTATCATAAATTCATCAATCGTGACAACAAGAAATAAATAAATAAACAACAATCCTGAGCCGGTCACATCGTCTCATCCGTGATAGCGGCTAAAAGGCGGCAAGCTTGTAAAGTTGTAAACAACCCGAGGAGGTGCGATTGGCGGGGKACCGTTGTTGTTTGTGTTGTAATACACCCTTGTATTGATACATCGTCGAGTCGTGCGAGTGACGTATAACAGCTCGGTCCTTCAGGTACACGGCTGGTTTAATTGGTTGTTGGACCTCCGCTCTTGTTTTGTTTTCTAGATTCTGTGTATTGCCATTACGCTATGCTGTATCCTATTAGGCCAACTATCAAAACAGACTACGTCGAGCTAATCATAAGGATATGAGTAGTTCTAGGCTCAATATAATAAGCTGAAATGCATCTAAGTCAGGTAGGTCATTATCATTGTAGTCAAAGCTGTCATGAGTTCTAATACACAAAAGGGTGTTGCAAGCCCTCTCTAGTCAAATATGGACAGGCTCATGTCATAAATTCTCGTTCATGGCGAACGTGGCGTGAACTTCAAAATAAAAAGTGTAGACGAATTCATCAGATCTGTAAATAGATCACGTAACGCCTCAATGTATGCAGATTCGATTAACCGGGTAATATGATTTGACTTAGTCTTCCAAGTATCCTATCATTACTGTACCATTCTTAAGACCAGCATCTTGGATGGTCGTGTCGAGCTCGTCGATAAGGTTCTTACCCATCGCATTCAGCTCAAATACAGCGCCTGTCTTCTCTTCAAGTGGTGGCTCTGACTTGAGCCATTCGTATATCCGTCGTACGGGATCTGCCAGAGCGAAGCGACGAATGACTCTACCGGAAGGATGGCGGAACTGGATGCGGGTGGTGGTGGCTGGATCAGCAGGTGGCTCCGTGTGAATGTGATCAGAAGGAATAGATCGGAAGGCAGAAACACCAGCATCCTCTGCTGCTGCCGCATCTTCTTCTGCCATTGAAATATCCTCGCTATCTTCGGCTTTTCCTTTACCCTTAAGATCACCAATGCTCCGGGTCAGCTCATCCGGATCAGCTAGCCTCTCTGCAGTATCAGCTCCTTCGAGACTATTCTTGAGCGCCATCTCCAACATTTCTTCTTCGGTCATCGCCTCTATTTTCTTTTCTCGAGGAACGTCGGGTTTTCGTTTTGCGACGGGGTTGCGGGCGTTCTGTTTCAAACTGTAACGGTCTAAAAATTCATGGAGCTGCATGAGGAAATCCGGAGCCTTTATGACTGGGGCCCCGGACCAGACTTTGACTTGTTCTCCGGTGCGAGGATCAACAATGGCGATGTGAGGATAATTGTCTGACACATCACTTCCTTGAAAGTAGTATTGCAAGTAGGGCATACCCCTTTCATCATCCTTGTTGTATTGCAAGAATATGAAATTCTCCTTGACCGTGTCCCTCACGCCTGGATCCTTCCAAAGATCACGATTTAAGACTTGGCAATCGAATATGGAAGGGTCTTGAATGTTAATGAGCAACCATCTTTCGTTCTCTCTACCCTCCTCGCGAGCTGCATCCCAAGGCAATCTAGACATCAGATCGAATGGCGGTCGGTACATTTCTGCTAAGAGGGTTGATTTGGACGACGTTTCTGAAGCACCTCCAGTGGCTCGGGCGAGAGCGTTTCGTTGTGCTGCAGCTGCGTTATCAGAGCTCTCTTCCCAGATAGACGAGTCACGTTGGTTGAATATTCCTGGACGATCTGCAAAACAAGAAATGAATGGTTAGTTCAGGTGAAGATATTTATGTAGCTAAAAATTCGACTGACTGTTTCTGCCCCCTTGTCGCATTCTAAACTGGGCCAGAGGATCAAAGTCTCCGTAGCCTTCTACCCCAGGACCAACAAGTGTCTCCGTTGTCCTGGCGATAGGGGCTCGCACGTCGTCCGCACCACCAGCATACATCTCTTCCTGTAACCGGCGAGCCATGGCGGCATCGTCTTCAAATGTGGATCCGGCAGGTTGGCGCGACGGAGCTGACGAGCGGGTTTCATCGATCGTGATATCTTCATCGTCCGAATCTATATGAATAGCATTTTCGACACGATCACTAGGACGAGACGCTGCGGCGGATGCGGGTTGTTGTGTCGCTCCTAATTCCGCCCCGCCATTCTCAAAGTATAGTTGCATCGCTTGTTGGATATCGAAATCTGCAACTTGTAAATATTGAGTGGCAAGCTCCGCGGTAGAGCCTGTAATCTCTTGGAACTGAGATACCACGTCGCCCTCCATGATGGGCTAGGTGGGATGAAAGTGAAGGATGTCAAGCTGATTTTAGGCAGACCAAGGAATAAGGCAAGCTTGTCTAGCAACGAAGGCGGCAAACAGAACAAACGCAAACTAGCTGCTCAGGCCTGACTAACCGAAATGAAAATCGCTGGATTTAGAATTAATCTTCCACAAGAAAGGACCAAGATGAAAATGGAAAGACAATGAAAAAAGCTCATCTGCTAAAGTTAAGTAGAAGTTGCTAGCTACAAATGTTCGGTATCGTCATCTCTAGCCATATTGGTGGGGACAGTCGGAGAGGACGTTATTCCATTCCGCTGCTATGGCAAGTCGAGCCGACTTGCTGTGAACAACTATGTATGCACAATATGTAGTTACGGTGACCGAGAACTTCGGGAAGTGCAGATTTGCATAATTCTTTTGTGATGCAAATGTGCACTTTTGGTCCGTCGCGACCACCGTGCCACTGAAGCGCGCAAATCACATGACCCGGGATAAGCCACACGGGCGCGGCTAAGACGCGGTGCGCGCCCTTTCAATCTTAACGTTTTGGGAATGCGCGACGCGTCTCGGATATAACTTGTGTACCTGCCCTCGGGCGGTACCTTCTCTCCTCCAAGAAACTCATCGCCGCTTTTTCGAAGCACAATACGACTAACATCAAAAATGGCAGCTACGGTATTAGGAAAACGACAGCGTACTGCTATTGAGGTGGAGGGTAAGAGCTCATACTATATAAATTTACTCCTTCCTCGTTTACTAATTTTGTGATTTCAGACTCTCTGCCTCTTCGTTCTGGCAGCAAGCGCCGAGCACGTACACCTCGCATCCACGAAGAAGATAGCAACACCCAAACTTCTCTTCGCCTCAGATCTAGGGTTGTTGGTAGCTGCGAACCACAACACGCGAACCAGATTAACACCAAAGTTTCCACCAGCGGTAATAGTCGTTCGAAACGTATTGTTCAGAACAACGAAACCTTGTCACCTTCAAAAAGCGACACGCACCTTAAACCCACGAAACCACTAGACAGTATGTTCTTCGTGTTATTATTACGTGAGATTGTCTTACTAATTACCAATTGAAAAGCCGAAAATGTTGTTGTCTCTGAGTTTCGTACTCCTCAGTCGAAGCGCTTTCGCGATGCGCTCGTCAACTCTCCTCCCGTCACTCCCAGGCATCGCGTTCAAGTCGTGGGAAAATCCATGACACCTCGCACGCCTCGTCATGTTGGAACTCCAGCAGGCTCTACCACTGTCTACACACCGGCTCGTAAAATGTTTGCACGAAGCGCAAATCCCGAACGTTTGATCGGAAGAGAAAAAGAGCGCGCTGAGCTCTCGAAGTTTATTGAAAACGGTATGCAATCACGAAAAGGAGGTTGTATATACGTTAGTGGACCTCCTGGAACCGGCAAAAGTGCTACGATCGATGAAGTTTGCCGGGATCTGAATGTAAACACGGTTGTCAAATCTGCGCATGTCAACTGCGTCAGTATGCGATCTGCGCGAGATATATATGGAAAGCTCCTTGAATCTCTGTGCGGTGAATACGATGTCTTTTCGATGAGTGAGACGGAAAAGCTCAAGAGCATGTTCGTCCCTACTAAGAATTCGGAAGACTTGTATCTGGTGACATTGGATGAGATCGATCATCTTCTTACGACAGATCCAGAAATTCTCTATTCTCTTTTTGAGTGGTCACTAAATAGCAAGTCGAAGTTGCTTTTGATCGGTATTGCCAACGCATTAGACCTTACGGATCGATTCCTACCCCGGCTCAAGGCGAACAATCTGAAGCCCATCCTGCTTCCATTCTTGCCTTACAGCGCAGCTCAAATCGCCAATGTTATTTCCACCCGCTTGCGATCGCTAGTCCCTGATACCGAGGCCAAAGCGAGCAGTGATTTTATCCCTTTTGTTCAGCCTGCAGCCATCCAGTTGTGTGCGAAGAAGGTTGCTTCTCAGACGGGCGATCTACGCAAGGCCTTTGATTTGGTGAAACGGGCAATCGATGTCATCGAGCAAGAGACTCAAATCAAGTTAGACAAAGAAAATGCTATTCCCGAAAGCCCATCCAAGCATGCTCTTGCGGAAAATGTCAATTTGTCATCACCACCAAAGACACCTGCTTCCAAGCGCACTCTGGCCAACGCATATACTGCCCTTACAGCACCAAGGGCATCGATCGCACACGTTGCCCGGATAACTGCTGCGGTCTTTGGTCAAGGCACTACACAGCGCCTCCAGGGACTGAATCTACAACAAAAGGCAGCCTTGTGTGCTCTAGTGGCGCTCGACCGAAAGCGACGTAATATGGAAATTTATGCTACGCCATCAAAGTCCAGAGTGAATGCACCTACTGTGCGAGAGCTATTTGACACATATTGCTCGTTATGCCGGAGTGACAATATCCTCCATCCTCTTACCGCGACTGAATTCAAAGATGTTGTGGGTAGTCTCGAGACATTGGGCCTAGTGGGAGAATTTCAAGGTCGTGGTCGCGGTGGTACTATTGCCGGTGGATCGGGCATCATGCGCACGCCATCTAAAAGTGGAAGCAGTTCGTCAACTCCTTCCAAGGGAAGCGATGAGAAGGGCCTGGCTTGCTTTGTGTCTGAAAAGGAGATTTTAAGCCAGATTTCTGGACCGGGGGCGGGCATTCTTAAGGCTTTGCTTGCTGGTGATTGTCTTTAGCATGTCATGTTTGCATTAGAAGTTGGAGTTTTTTTGGTCTGTTTCTTTAGCATTTGCAGCGATCCTGTTGTATTGGATTGGCGTTTTAGCGAAGACATACTTTCATATGAGTATATTAAGTAGACAGTGTTACCGAGGAAAGCCTCATCTACATCATAAGCATTAGATAATACTACAACAGAATTACTATCCATTCCTTGCCAACCTCTCATAGGATGATATCCAAACTATAAGCCCTGGAAGCAGCTCCTCCCCAAACATCCTTTTTCGCATCCTCACTCAAACCACGTTTCTCAAGAATCCTCTCAACAACCTTCCTCCACCTAATCCAAGCTCCTGCTCGCCCTCCTCCAGTTGTCGAGGCCGTCGCCCCCGTGCCAACCGTACAGACAGGCCAATCTGATCCAAACATGATCCTGTGCGGACCAAAAGCATCGAAAACGGTGTCTGTCCAGGGGCGAGCATGATCGACAAGATACTTTACTGAATTCTCCTCGTCTGCCTGTATAAGATCGTGAGATAGCTGAGGGTATTCTGAGAACAGACCGGAAAGTTTCATGTATGTTGTCGTGGACTGTGTTGCCATGGCATTGATCAAATCTCTCCACTCGAGGAAGTCAGGATGGCTATTGGCTTCACCCGGCGATATGTGCAGGTTTGGTTTACATAGATGATCTTACGGTCAGTGTCATTCCCAAGCCCATATGGCGCGGTAGACTTACTAATAATAATAACAACCCTGTCTTCCTGGCTCACACCATCATTCGCCCTCTTTATTAAATCAACGGCTTCTCGCAATTGTCCTAATCCGCCCTGTCTAGCATCAACACCTAGGTCAAATGCCAGCCGCTGTCTGCCGAGCCATTTCAATCCCTCGACAAAGTCCCTTTGAAGCATTGTCCCCACCGGCTTATCCTGGACGAGGTATCGGAAACCTCTTAGTTTCTTCCATACCTCGTCATTCTCATCGTGATAGTCTCTGGCTGCTGAAGCAGCTATGCGACCCTTGACGAGAGAAAGATATCTCTCCAACACGGCTGAACCACCTGGAACAGGCGCCCAGGGCACAAACCCAAGCATCAGCGACTTATGAGCTTCGGCATGCCCTTCACCATCCGCGGGTGTTCCGCGCGCTATCCGAGCCAGGAAGGAGACTTCATCGAGGACATGGCTCCATCCTTTCGTATCGTTCTCTTCTTCAACGGAGGATATGCGATCTACTTCGAGGTAGACAAATCCTCGCAATTGATATTTCGAGGATGCCTCCTCTGTAGCAGATACTATATAGTCTTTAACAGAGTGTTGAGAGCCTAGCGGGTTGGTTGGGTTGTACCAGGCGAGTGTTTCCAGTTGCGTTTCTGTCCAGAGATGGATGTGTGAGTCGACGATTGGGATGGTCATTTTAATCCGTCGATCGAACTGCCAGACGGAAAAATTCCGATGGCAAAATCTTGTACTTTCTTTTCGTGTTTCAAATATGCCATCAACAGAGACTTGAAGGGTCTTGTTCTGGGTAGAGGATTGACAACCAGCCAATGGGTGGATGGTGTGTTGGCAGAGAGGGGTTAAGGGGACTTGAAGCTCTTGCCTGGTCGTACTGGCATCGACAAGGTCAAGATAGTCTAGTATCTTACTTTTTATGCCAGATTTTCTCTGCAATTATTCTAGAACCTCATGTAGCTGACTACTTTACACAAATTGTGGACCTACATCGCAACGACGACCAATTCCTGATAAACCGTTGTAGAGATTGCTCGGCATACATTATCCCGAAGAGCGATACCCTACATTCGTCAAACTGACTTAGGGTTAGGGCTGGCAGACGGAATGTGTTCCGTTTCAATACCGTACCATACAGCAAAATTCAGGTTTTTGGCGTGCGGGGTATGTATGTTTGGTACATTCGTCTCCTCCCCGCTTCCCTCCCCGCAATATCATGTATACTACTAGTACTATATTGCACTAGATTTCCGTCTGATATAGAGATTTATGGGACTGATGTATCAGATTGTCGAGTGATGGAATGCTCGTGGATGGATTTTGTGGGGCAGATCGTAATAGTATGAGATGATTTTTGTGTTATCATTCGTGTTGCTGTGTTGCATGACTTGGAGATGGATCAATGGTTGCTGTACTTACTGGCATGTAGAACCCATGCAGAGTGCTGAAATCAAGCTATCTCACAGAATGAGAATTTGTTAGCCATAAAACTGGATCCGAAGGTAGTATATTCATGGTCAATCATCGCGTATGTATCGGCAGTCTCGGTACTTGACAAAATCTGGGGTCGTGCGCCTCGGTGATCTGGGGAGGAGATGGGGTAATACATTACGACCTTGTGATTGTGATACCCGTTCTTTAAATAAGGAACAAGGGTTCCCGGATCGTTCCCTTAACTGAGATATTCATTCATTCATTTGCCATATTGCAAGCAATATAAACGAATATATCACTAAATCTGTACACACAACATGGCTGAGAACGTAACTGTTTCTATTCCTCAGAAACAAAAAGCTGCTATTTATGATCAGCCAGGCAAGATCTCCACCCAAGTGGTGGAGGTCGATGTACCGGAGCCCGGTCCCGGTGAGATCTTAGTCAATTTGTCAGTACTATGTTTGCTGCACTCGTAAACCTGTACTATAATATCTGACACTCCTCTAGATCTCACACCGGCGTCTGCCATTCGGATATGGCTGTCATGACCAACACCGTAAGTTATATTCCTCGCCAAATTCAACAAAGCTGACGTGGCTAGTGGAAATCTCTCCCCTACCCTACCCAACCAGGCCAAATCGGCGGCCACGAAGGCGTCGGCAAAATCGTCAAGCTAGGACCCGGCACAGAATCCTCTGGCTTCAAGATTGGTGACCGTGTAGGCATAAAGTGGGTGTGGAGTGCGTGCCAGAATTGCCCTGCTTGTCTCGTGGGTCTGGACGGAACTTGCTTGAATCAAAAGGTCAGTGGATATTATACGCCAGGCACTTTTCAGCAATATGCACTCTCGCCTGCAAATTATGCGACAAGGATTCCCGACGGATTATCATCGGCAGATGCTGCACCTATGCTCTGTGCTGGCGTCACGGTTTACACGGCGCTGAACCGCAGTAAAGCTCTTCCCGGGCAATGGGTGGTGATTTCTGGAGTAGGAGGGCTGGGCCATCTCGCGTGTCAATTGGCAAGTAGAGGAATGGGCCTTCGGGTGATAGCAATCGATCACGGAAGTAAAGAGGCGCTTGCCCGGGACTCAGGCGCTGAACATTTTATTGATTTTACCAAACTCGATAAGGAAGGTGTTACCAAACATGTCCGGTCCCTAACAGGTGGATTGGGTGCACATGCTGCAGTAGTTTGTACGGCAGCCAATGCAGCTTACGCACAAGCCATCGACCTCCTTCGATTCGGCGGAACTTTGGTCTGTGTGGGTATCCCTGAAGGGGAATATGTGAATATTGGCGGTGCGAATCCAGGCATCATCACTACTAAGCAACTCACCATCACGGGATCGGCGGTGGGCAATCGCGGTGAAGCCATTCGAACACTGGAATTTGCCGAGCGAGGGATTATCAAGGCGCATTATGAGATCGATAAGCCGGAGAATTTGACTGATATTTTCGAGCGGATGGAGCAGGGGAAGTTGCAAGGAAGGGTCGTGCTTGACCTGTCGTGATCAGGCTAGTACATCGAGCGCAGCTAGTGATACTGCCGTTGGCCGGGATCCGTGACCGGCCGGATTCCTGCATATCCTAAATGTACATTAACAGATACCTAGGTATGCAATGTAGCTTGAAAATGTTTAGTTTTGATGCCCCGCAGATGATCCTGACGCGGAGAATACTGTAGATCTAAGCGCTGATCAGCTGTACAAGGAGCCTGGGCGTTTATTGATTGGGCTTATATTATTCTTTCATTGGGGAATCTGTTTCTCGGGCGAGGATATTACATAAATCAGGCTGACTGTGCCTCGTGTGTAAGATTGATTCTTCACGCCTGATTTGCAAGGCATTCCCGGAGTGAGCCCTAATCGCCGCAGGCCTGCACGAGGCCGCGGCCACTTTCACCCTCTGAGCCAATCAAATGCCGTAAATAACCACGATTCTATACAGTCCCATCATAATTAGATGAAGTCATTTCTATCTGGTATGGAGTGCGGAGCCAGAATATGACTCCTCTTTTGAACGCTGCTCGATCAGGCTTCTTATTGATCGCAGTGTTGTATGCCTTGGCGTCAAGTAATCTGTCTCGATCGTTGCTGCGCCGCATAGGCTGAACAATGCGTCACCAGGGAGGAAATTAAACGCATTGAGCCAGGTGCAAATTAGAATGGAATAAACCAAAGTGGAGATTATGCATCTGTTTCCCATCCCATCCTCATGCTTATAGCTCTGCAACCTTGCCCTAGCGTGCTTTAGTGTCTTTCCTTTGATGGTATCCATGCATATACTCAAATTCCGGTACGGATACTCATATGTTTTCCCTTCATGTGAGGCAGTTTTTATTTAAGGTTATGTGATTCATGTATTCGTTTAACATTTCCATCATGGTTAGCTGCATCGCAATTTTTGGGTAGAAATATAGTAATCGATGCATATTCAAGAGAGAGGTATAACAGCTGTCGTTCATATAAGATCTTGTACCCTCCTCGCCAATTGTCAAATAAAAAGTGATCTTCATACTCTTGATAAGTTCAGCTATTAATTCACGCTGACTTACTAATCGTTAAATTCGCGCAGTCAGCCTTCTGGGCTGACTKCCGACCTGAGCACCTTGGAAATAGTCTCCATTTCGATCATCCCAATCATTTAAGCGCCGTCAAACTGGTCTATGGAAAGCCGCGCCAGGAACAATTGGATATCTGGCCTCGAAAACGAAAACAACACACATAAACATCGGAAATGAAGAAAATAAAATTCAAGTCCAGCAGCGATCAAGCCGTCAATGAACACTCACTGTCGTTTACTCCATTGTCACGGTTCCCCATGCCACGCCATAAGCCATGGCCTCGGGCTCAAAACTGACGCAACCCATTCCGTGCCAGTACGCCAGTGGAAAAAAAAAGCGCGGTCAGAAAAATGGACAGACCAGAAAGAGCCTGTGCCGCTTGTCAGCTTCCCGCCGTTTATTGTCGCGCTGGTCAAAGAAAGGAGACTGCTTGGCTCCATTTCGGAGCGTTGCGGCGGCGAAGCAATTCCAGAACCTTGATATGTGGTGCCTTGTCTTCCTGCCTATCTACTCCACGATACATACCGCCAGCTGAATAAATTGATAGGAGAATAGGAGGTCGAAAATTTGAAATTGCTGTCCATCATAATGCGGCGTGCAAGAACGAAATTCCCGCGGCTCATTTAATCCAGTCCACCTTGTCATAATTATCATTATCGTCACTTCGTATGTCGGTGTAGAAGTGGAAAAAAAGGAACGGATTACAAAAGGTATAACAATGGAGACAACCTTGGAAATCTGAGTGAACCCACAACTTTTACCTTATCCGTGGTCCGGGCAGGAACTTTATACCTCACATAAAGAAAGAACGATAAAGAAAAAAAAGTCAACCTTGAATAATCCGACTTCTCCCTAGTTGGGTCGTCCTGCTGGAAAGGTGGTTTTTCTATCCTTTGTCTAGTCCTGTGTTTTGTATGTCTCCATCCCCTACGAGACAGCCTGGAAAGCTGTCTCTCGGTGAGAATATGCCCACAACCCGCTCTCAGACTCACCGATCACGACGACACCGACATCCTCAGCAATCTTCTCCTCCCGCTCCTGTTTCCGCGGCGGCTCGTAATACCTCTGCATCAAGACGGAGGTATTCTCTTCGTGCGAGTCAGAGACAGGAAGGGGAGGCACGGCCGGGACGGCACAGAAGAGGCAACAACGACAACCGCAAATTCTACCAGTACGAAAGAGCTGAGTCCGACATTGAAATAGAGGCCGAGAGCCAAGATGAGGAAAATTCCAATGATAACGGAGGGGAAGAAGGAACCAGTCCAGACAACATGACCTCCATGATTCTGGCTGAAAAGTCAAGAATCGTATACGACATTGAAAGTCTGGATTTAGAATCGAGAGGTCGGGCATTGGCTGGTTTAACAAGTCGCTTTGATGTAGTATACTGTCGGGAGAGTTCCTCTGTTTACGAATTTCAGCTCATCGAGCGTCCGCGCATCCAAATCCGGAATGAAGGAGCAGATTGTACATGTTCAGAGTACGGGAACCGGCCGGACATCGCATGCCGGCACATATTTGTAAGTCTAATGTCTTGTGCGAGCTGACAGAGTCACTGACAATATCCTAGTGGCTTGTAGACCAGGKATACGACAGTATCTCGCCTCACACTCCCCCTCCGGGATTACCGCTATCTACGAATGGATTCTCTCCCACCCTACCCCCTCTACATACTCTTCTACAAGGCCGCCTAGAAACCCTTGCGAATGATCTAGAATGGCCCTTTCTACCCGAGAATGGATCAACCGCTATGGCCAGTAGCGGAGAAACGATCGCTGGTGGCTTATCCCGACAAGAGCAGGTCCGCGACATCATGTCCGCATTCAACAAAGTGACAATCCCCGAAGACTTTCGAAGGGACTTGGTAGAGTCAAGCGCGACATTAACCCCGCGTACACCAGAACAATGCGTTGTGCAGGGCGACTTTGAAGCAACAATCTTCCGACTTGCGGTCCACGACGACAACGTCTACAATAGTATTCGCAAGGCGATGCCGGCCGGCGCTTGCGCAGCCATTTATTTCGACAAGGTCCATCAAAAGTCCCGAAATCTTTTGACGCAATTTGACGAATATCGACGAACGGGACGACTGCCTCCTACTAGCAGTAGTAGTAACGAAAGAGTGCTCCCATCGCTGGACAACGTGAGCGAAGTAGCGAGGGAATTGCGACGGCACGTGGCTCAGATCCGGAAAAATCTTGCGGTACGGATACCGTATGGAACCAAAGGGGCGGTAGAGGCGCTCATCACATTGTTGCAGGAAGTGAGTGCGCGAAACATTGATGCGTTCGAGAATAATACTTGGGGAAGGGTGGCGCCTCCCGGTGAGGATGATGATGATCGGAATCTGTACGAGCAATTAATAGGACAGGCGACCGACGAGGACCAGGGTATGGGAGACGAGGAAGGTGGTGTTGGTGGTGGATTGTTTATACTAGACGTTCTGGAGGAAGTGCCTGCATCCGTGCTAGAGTCTTATGTCTCGAGTCTGTGCGATATCCTGGCAAAAATCGAGATAATACCTGCTCCGTCGTCGTTTCTGCTCAAGTTGAAGTCATTGATACATGATGCGCAATCGAGTCGTACCCAACCTCGGGGGAAGAGGCCGGCGACAGGGGAAGCTGGTGGAAGTCACAAACGGACGCGATAGTTTCGTTTTCATTCTCATGTGTTTATGTTCAGTCATGTTTTCATAGCGTTTTGTTCGGTTCGGTTCTGTATAAGTCTTGAGTTAGCTGGATCTTCTCTCTATAGACATCAGATATACAACAGTCCTCAGTAGTAGCACAAACACAATTATTATATATCAGTCTTGAACGTCATCAATGATGCACTGGTGGGCATGTTTCGTGCGTGATCGATAGACTGTATAGGTAGACATCCTCGGAAGTTCCCAACAACGAAATAACGAAATGAAAGCGAAGTACACGGACCCAGTACCATGTCCACTCCAGCCCATATTCATGGATCACAAATCACAAATCACAAAGCAATCCACATTTCTCGGCCTCTGATATCCGAGCCCACGACAACCTCTTCCAGGGTCCAAAGCACGCGCAAATCGAACAAGGATGGAGAAGCATGGATCAACACGCAAACAAAGAAACCCCTGCTTTTTGCGTCTGTTAGGCGCTAGCATTTTTCGCTTACGGTGGATATTGATAATCAATTTCGGACTTTCAGGGGTTTGGTCCTAAAAAAGAGGGAAGCTAAAGGACTGTAGGAGTTAGGGTACCAAACTTTGAGCACTCCGTTTCGTTACGTGAGAACATATTGGCTCGAATTACGTACTGGTACGCCCAGATCGCCCGCGGAAAAGGGTGAGGACGGTAAGAATACCCGGTAATCAAACGTGTATTTTCGTTACATGACCTGTAAATTACTGATTAGGGGGGGGGGGTTCAGGTTCGCCAGAAATGGAAATTGCCTGACTCGCTATGCCAGCCCAAACCAACATTTAATCTATGCCCTGATCGTATGACTCTGATCCAGTAAAAGGTATCGTATGCCGTTAATCATTGAGATCATAAACATCGAAACATGTCTACTACCTACAAAATATATACACGACCAGCTCTAGCAAATCAAGTAGTGTAGTTCTTCGCTGCATTGCGTTTCTTCGCATCCTCCAGAGCCTTTCGAAGTCGATCTTGTTGCTCTGTTTCAGCAGATGATCGCCGAGGTGGCGGTCCTGGCATTAACGCTTCACCCGGATGAGGCTCTTCTTCTTGAATAGGAGTATCGTGGCGCTCCGGTAACGCTGCCGACGGAGAACGAGAGCGCGTTTGCGGCTGTGGTGATACAGAAAGCTGGTCGACGAGCGACGGGGGTCGACGCCATGGACCAGAACCTGCACCGGGTTCCTTGTGTATTGCGATCAAGATTGCGTCAATCTTTGTCGTTATCTCCGTGGGTGCTTTCCTGATGCTCTCCAGCTTCGAACTGTGGTCTTCTTGTATCTTCTCGTCCTCTTTCTTCTTTTCTTCTTCTAGACGACGGAATACTTCAGGATCCGCCTTTGCATACTGAGCTTCAGCAACAGAGACATCATAATCTGCCTCGTTTAAACGACTATCGGCCTCCCGGAAGCTCGTCAACATAGACTCCGCGTCTTCTGAAAGCAACCTTGTCAGTGCAGAAACCGACCGTAGCAGTAACACCTTATCCGCGCCCGACAAATTGCTCCGCTCAATCATGCTCACATCAAGTTTACGCGTCTTCGTTGCCATTTCATCAAGGACACTCTGATGATTACCCAAAGCATGAAGAATCGCTTCGTCAAATATATCGGTCAACTTGTTCGCTCGCGCGTCTCGGTCTTTCGCAGCTTCCACAATATTCTGCTTCTCCATCTTTTCGAAATCGGCATCCAGCTTCTTCAGTGCTCGAGAATCTCCTAGGAATACCAAAGGTCGTCGTTCTGCCTTTTTCCGATGTCGTTCCCGATCTAGACCAAGGTTGAGTCGTGTTTGGTATCGGGCTTCCAACTTGCCAGATAACGTGTTAATCGTCTTCATTGTGAGCGATATCTGGTATTTAGAGTTGGGGTTTGAGTGAATCTTGTCATAGCTGAGTTCATCCAGCGCTCTTTGATACAATGCTTTGAGTTCCACAATCTCCTCCTTGAGCCGCGTATCCACCGCGTTGAAGACTCTTCGAATGTAGTTGTCAAGCTCCTTACGCTCTTCTTCAAGCTGGGTTCGAGCTTCATTCTGTCGGAACTCTTCCTCAAGAGGATTGATATCAGCGTAACCAATCTCCTTTTCGTTGAAAAGGGCATCTATGTGCGCCTCGGATGCTTCTTGACGTTGGAGACGTTCCTTTTCTAAAGCTTCGCGACGGTCTCTGGCAGACAGCTCCCAGTTTTCTGTAGTCACGTAGATATACCTAAAGTCATCAGAGTACACCTCCATCTTCTTCCTGATATTACTGATCTCAACAGTCTCTTCCACGACTGGAAAGGGATCTGGGATCAAAGCAGCAAGTTCTTCAAAACCACTTCCTAATACAGGTGGAGCATTCTTCCCTTTGTAAGAAACACTCTTTTCTCGAATAATTCCGAGAAATGTTTCGTCCATTTGCATGCTTGTCGAGGGTTTCTGGACACTCAAGCTTGAATTTGCTGGAGCGCGTATCGTTGGAACCGCCATAGCACGTCCACTTTCAGCAGATGCTTGACGCAAAGCCGAGTACGCTTTATAGCCTGGCTGAGCAAGACTGAGTTCTTCGCCACCGCGCTGAGGACCTTCGGTGTATCGAAAAGGCGTGTAAGCAGGCCGAGGAGGTTCTGAGATCAGAGAATTGGTTTGTTGTGGTATGATTGAGCTATTCATAGATGGTGGTACCGATGTTGATCTAAAGGCAAGGTCGTTCTGATGCTGAACTGCCAAACTACCACCATGATAATCGCCTTTGCCTTGAGGATTCGATGCTGACCGGTGAAGGGTGCCCTGCTCTTTCGCGAGATTATGTGTCGGGCCTTTAACAAGCATAGGTCGTCCACCAGGACTGTAAAGGATGTCGTCAGAATCCACCGACCCGTGTCGACTTTGATTCGGATTCTGAACACTCGCTTCAGACTGTACCGGAATAAGCCCAGAATCAACAGACATAGGAATAGTGGCCGCCTTCTTGAGTTCTTCACTAGGCTCGGTGGCTTTGGTCTCCTTCTCAGGAATTTCTATGCTGTACAATACCTCTCGCAGTCTAGCCTCCTTTGCGACAAACCCAGTGAAGATATTGTACTTCTCCTCTTCCGACTCGACAACTGCCTCTTTGCGCAACATGGTCACGTAACGAAACAAAGACGACTTTGACCATGGGTCGAGATCCTCATACGGATCAACAATCTTGACTGAGGAGGCTGCCATTTCAGTAGCGGCAGGCGTTACTGCCAGGGCAGTGGCCTGCTCGCTCTGTGCCCCAGTAGTACTATTGGTATTTTTTGCTAGAGGGGAAGAGCTCCGGGATCCCGAAACTGCAGGTGCTTGAAGAGGCTGTAGCTTGGCAGATACTGTTTGTGGAGAAGTAGGCTGCGCAGCTGTGGGAGAAGTGGGCTTTGTCGACATAGGAGCCGGGCTTGGAGCATATGGTTCATCCTGGGCTTTAATGATAGGAGAGACGGGATTCTGGGTCCAAGCCTGAATGACGCCATCAATAGTATCCGACCTTTCCTGCGGAGATATAGCACTTTCTTGAGACTGAGTGCTATCAGTCCTCGGGGGATGGGATGACTGAGACGTAGCCTGTGTCTTCGGAGGCTTATTATCAACCGGTGGTGACCACTGTGTCTGAACTGGAGAGCTTGGGCTCATCACATGAGAAACGGGAGGTTGATATTGAGATGAAGTATGTATAGAGTCCTGCGGAGTGTATGTTGTATTACTTTGTTGCATCATAGGCTGTCCGGGAGCAGGGTTTCTTGGATGTAAATCATCTACATCACCAGGGGTAGGAGTCAAATGTTCCCAATCTGACACACCACCATGCCCGAGTATTGATGCTCCAGGCAGAGGATGACTAGGCTGTGCTGCTGCCCATTGCGTGTCGGCAGTTGGGGGGAGAGTATTTGGAGGCGGCTGCGACGGCGCTGATGTCGGCATGGCCGGCGGCGGACTTCCTAGAGGAGGAACTCCTGGTTGATAGTAGTTTGAGCCTGCCTGTTCAGGAGCAACGGGTGCATAAGCGAAGCTCTGCGGTGGAGGTGCTGTTTGCGCGCCCGGATCATAGTGATGCGATGGCGCATGATGAGAGTACTGAGATCCGTATCCCAGCTGATTGGTCTGCCATGGTTGTGGAGTTTGCTGCATTTCATTTTGATAAGCAGGCGGTATAGGCGGTCTTGGAGGGGGCACTGGTGGGGATTGGGTAGACTGTAGATACGTATTATTGTTGTAGTCCCAAGTCGGCGGCGGAGGCGCTGGACCTGACGTTGAAGCTGGACGGGGAGGAGGAGGCGGAGGCGGAGGGGATGGCGCGGAGTATAGGTCATTTCGAGGCTGTTGATATCACCATATTAATCTCATGTCTATATTAGTGTTTCAAGGACATCATACCGGTAAGGGAGGAGGGGGAGGCCCCTGCGCCATGTGTTGATTGTACCGCACGCCCCAGCTAGTGGTATCTACATTTGGGCCAGGGCTCACGGGCGGCGCCGGTGAGGCTGTAGGCGCGGTGGGATGAATAGGACCGTATGTGCTTGGGTTGTATGAAGCGGCAGGCGGAGGCTGACTCGATCGCCATTCGGGCTGCGGTGGGTTCGGATAGCCCCCCGCGTAATGCGGAGGAGGCTGGGAACCGTACATATCGCGTTTCGACTGGGTATCTCAAAGCAACGAGGCGACGCTCGATATCGACGTAGCTGACGTTTCCTCGAGTCGTGACGAATCCCCGCGGCGTCTAGTTGCGAGAGCTAACTGATGGCTTTTCGCAGGATGTTGTTTGAGCTTCTTGTATGATGTTTTGAAAAATGAACCAGCAATTTGAAATGGCGAATGCTGTTCAGATCGTCCTTGCGAACCTCACGTAGGTTCTGGTGCCCGATGGTTTTTATGTTCTGCTGCCTCTAGATAAGACAGAGTGATAAGGGGGACAATGAGATAGTATGCGGTGCGCAAGGACCGGAAGCTTTTATTAGGTAAAGAACGAACTCTGTCGCTGTGACGCATAGACTCTGGCGTCGCTTCCTAGGAGCGAGCCTCTCGGATGTCTTTCATCAGATGAAGTCTCAAGATCAGACCTTGGGCGGAGGAAGTCTGGCAGATGGATATATTTCAGTCTTTCCCCTTTGGGTTAGGCGCTACGTGGTGCCGCGAACTCGGACTCCACCAGCCTCCAAGCTCCACAACGTGATCGATTCAGTGAGTTCCTGATTCTTACATAGTACACACTCCTGTCTACCTAGCCAGGAGACCTTTATTGTCTTCTTATTGCCATGAACACCTTTTTAACGAGTGCAAGCCTCGTCCAATGTCGAGATCAGATGCGCCCTTCGCTTCATCAGATGAATGTCTACTTCCTAAACTCTGGTAACCTTGCGCGGCGTTGGTGGCGCATGACCATCAGGCCAAGTGTGCCTAAGGCCCTATCTTCATGTGCCCCATCACGTGTGGGAACAAGCTTACTTTTGGGAGATTACTATGTAGTCCTTGAACAGAGAGAAAGACAATACGTAGTATGGTATTGATATCCTACAGGAAACTGCCAGCTTCAACGCAGGACGAGTATTATGAACCTCCTCATAGAGAACCATTGTGTACAATCATAGTCTGTACTTTCTCAGGCATGCGGCTGTAATTTTCTTGGAATTTATACTACTATGTATGTACTACGTACTATGGTTGACCCCGGTGATTTCCATAGTACGTTTTCTATTTTACTGTCATACAGGGATCATGATATAGTGCCGTACTTTTTGAAGCCAATAACTGGCCATTGATATTCTTTATAGTATAGAGACTTTACTCATTAAATCACCCAGTACATTACCATACAAAGTATTACATTGCTTGTATTTACGTCAGGATAAAAACGTACTATGGAAATCACCGGGGTCAACCGCAGTAGTTGTGTTTGAGTACGGTAATGCATGTGGATCCTGGGGAAGTGTCAGTGTCAGTGTCAGTAACAGTAAACTGACGTATGGTAACTGGAACATGGCCCGTCATTGGCCAATAACGAGGGAGCCGGGATTCGCCCTACCGTATCTCATCAAACAAGGACAGCCATCACGTACTAGGTAGGCACTTATGTTACTTGATTGCAATCGCTTATTCATGCTACTTTGAGCCCATCCGCCCTATCAGTCACGGCTCCTATTGGCTTCTTGTACGATCTGGTGGGATCAAGATCTCCGTCCAATGGCTGTCGGGAAGCGGCTATTTTGCCATCGCGTTGGCGGGTCCTCTGGAAGGAACCCAGTCGGAAAGTTTGATGGTGATGATCTTTGGCACTTTAACTCGTGTACGGGGATGCTGCACGAGGGTTCTGTGTATGTGGCTTGGATTTTCCAAAGTCTAAGATTGTGCGGCACGTACGATACGCATACTGATACGGCAGATCTGCTACCTGCATGGTCGTGGCGGCGAATTTACCCTGATTTGAAGCAAAATCTACAGTGTACTGCTATTGTATGTAGATCATATTAAGACGAGGACGGATGTGAACGGTATACCACCATGCGATCATCATATAGGGATGGGCCCTCCTCATAAACCCCATGTCAAGCCATCGTTGGATACGTCGATTTGGCTTTTGAATTGCGCTGCAGCCACAACTTGCAGACTCGTTAGGCTCCCTGATGAGTGATCGGTCTGAATACGCAGTCCCTATTGTCTGCGAACTGGTGTCTACTCAGATCAGCGGCATTGATACGCCTATTCTGTAAAGTTGAAAAGTTCACTCCGTACTATGTAGTTACTCGTACGTACTGTATAGGAATTACCAGCCACCACGTTTTGGTTTCGCAAGCCGCCTGGCACCTGCCAAGCCGAGCCGCTGCCCCGTATTGGCTGGCGGCTGTGACAGCACGTACACTGTATAGTAACTACGTACGTACTGTATTTACGTACGGACGAACTTGGTTCGGTTTGGTCATCAGCATCATCCTGATTATCGAGTCATCTCGCTCACAGCAACTATCAAATTGTTCTTCGCCCATCTCGTCTCCATCTCGCCTCTCCTTCCCTCTTTTAGTAACCGACTGTTGCTTCATCCTATTCCCACCCATTCCTGATTTCCTCCGCAGTTCGTCATTGGCTGTTGCCACTCCGCTCGCGCGCACCGAATTCAAAAAACCCAACCTTCTTGCTTCTTGCCTGTTGCCTCCCGCGCTGCGACGAATAGTCTAGTCGCCTTTCTGTCCAAGGTTCCGCTGTGCGACAACCGGTCTTTCCTTAAGAAGAGCACACGCTGGCCCTGTCTTTTCCCGCTTCATCTTGGCAGCGACTTTGCAGCCGCTGTCCGCCAGAAAAGCTATTCTTCTTCCCAGCACAGCCGGACAAGTTTCCATGGCCCCGGCCTAACTACGTCCAGAGCAAGCGGAGACCAACGACGAATGCCCATTGCGGACCAACAACAACTCCCGCAAGGCTGATTCTTATTCTTTCTTTGTCTATCTCACATTCCTGTTTTGGTCTGCGCCTCTGCGACCTCCACTTTTCGGTTACCCAGGCTGGCGAAGCTGAACTAACCCGTCCATCAGCTTGCGCCACATTCGCTTCAGGAACACAGCAACGCCCGCCCCACGCGACGGTACATGTACGTAACCTGTCGTTGCCTTTGCGGTCTCTCCGTCTGTTCACACTCCCAAGAGTCGATTGCGCTCTGGATCTACCTAGCTGCAATCTGCTATACCTTTATCCTTGTTTTAAATCACCTCATTGCTCTCTTCATAGTTTTGTCTGCTGTCGTCATCGCGACTTTCCTTCTACGCGCAAAGCACGAGACTTGTTGCTACTCTTTCGAGACCTAACTGCGATCGTGAATGCAAGACTGACATGACTACTAGCGTGGTAACAGAAGCGCATTCTGATCCTCATATTCTTTTTCCGCCAGGCAAAATACACGGTGCCTTCATGGCGGGACAACTACAGACCAGTGGTGATCCTGTCGCGATATCGAATCCGCTCCCAGCGGCTACGACTTCTATTCTCAGCGGTCCCCCCGATCAGATCTCATACCTCAAATCTCCGAAGCCAGAGTCGCATCTCAGTTCTATTGCTAGTGCCGGCTTACATACATCACCGTCTCCTGACTTCGAACCCTCAGCTCCCGCAGCGACTACCGTTGGCATGGCCAGCTCAGCCGCAGATCAACCAACGGTGGCTGGGAAGGAACAGGATACACAACATCAAGACAGCCCACGTGTAGCTCGGGAAGCACTGAATGCTGCCGTCGAAACTCGAAAGGAAGATACGGGTGCCGCACCCGTTCTTCTGAATAATGAACCCAACGACTCAAGCCCCAAGGCAGCCCAGGCCTCAGACGACATGCAGGTAGATTCGTATACGAGCTCGAGTCATTATGCTGAGCCATCTACTGGTGCTGATGATCAAACCAACCAGACTTTGATGAATACGTCGACTGTGGCTAGCCCTGGCCCGATTGAAGACGTCGCCTCTCAAGATGGTGACCGACCACGCCCTCAGTCCGTTTTGGCAGAAGATGCAAACAAGGCCTTCTCATATCCGATGCCCGCAAACAGCCCATTGGATCCGCGCCGTGGTCTCAGCCTACCCCATTCGGGGTTTCATAAAGGTAGTCCTCGTTCGCCATCAGCGAAGAAACACCGCTGTCCTTATTGTTCGACCGAGTTCACGCGCCACCATAATCTCAAGTCCCATCTTCTCACACATAGCCAAGAGAAACCATACGTATGCCAAACGTGTAACTCACGATTCCGACGTCTACACGATCTGAAACGACATACGAAACTACACACAGGAGAACGCCCACATATTTGCGATAAGTGCGGTCGAAGGTTTGCGCGGGGAGATGCTCTAGCTCGTCACAACAAAGGCCAAGGTGGATGTGCCGGGCGACGTTCGAGTATGGGAAGTTACGCAGGCGAAGAAGATTTCGGGGACGGCACTGTTGGTGCAGAAGACACTATGGATGGCCTTATGTATACTGAACCCGAGCGAATGGACGAAGAAGAGGAGCGTCGCCTTGGTATACCAGGTATACGTAAGCATAATAATGTATCTTCCGAGCCCATACCACGCGCGCCGGGCGTTTTTCAGAATCGAGCACCAAGCACATATCCTCCAATCGCTTCGACTCAACCGCCGCCACCGCCGCCTGCTCGCGGTCTTTTCCCACCGCCGACGAACCATGGAGGATCAAGCTCTTCTACTTCACCCATATCTACAAGTGGAACTATGACTTTTCCTGCAACCGCGCATTCATCTACATCAACATCATTTCCCGCTCCTAATATGACAGAAAGTCCCAGACCTCTATCACCAAACGCGCTTTCTTCGCAAGTCAGCCATGGAGCGGATACCGCGGGGGCTCTCTCTCATCAGCATAGATCTCATTCACCGAATTCGAGTCAACAATACCAGTCGTCACATTTCAGACATGGCCAAGGTTCTTTAGGTCTTCCGCCGCCACAGCTGCCACCGCCACCTGGGCTCAATGCTCTAGACTCACGGTTCCTGCACACTCAAGGATCAGTGCAGAATGGTCCTGCGTCTGCACTTACTGCTAAACACAGCGGTACACACAGCCATTCCAGCAGCTTGGGCGCACCTTTGACGTCTCAAGCGAATGTTGATCCGATACCTAGCGGTGGTCCAGAAACCAACGTGCAAGGAGAATCTCGAGAAGATAAGTTGTGGGCATACATTCGATCAGTACACGAAGAAGTCGGCACACTGCGGGCTGAAGTGGCTTCTTTGCGCTCGCAACTAGCTGCACAGAACCAAGGCATTCCAGCACAGTCAGGTTCGGGAAGTTCTGCGCGATGAGACCGACCTGCAATTTGACTTGGAACCCGATCTTGATTCTTGATTCTTCTCATCTTTTTTTTATGCCCCTCAGTAACATTGGAGACCCATTATGCATTGTGCGAATGTATTATTGGCATCACTCTTGTTCCATTCATGTTTTACCCTTACATTTCGGAGATGCTGATGACATGCATGTCAGAACGCGGCCTGGGCAGGCGTTTCAATGTTTTACATTTCAAATCATGTTATATCCGACAGCTTTACAACTATTTTGACCTCATTCCTGTGTAAACTTTGCACCTTCCGGATCTCTTTACTGGGGCGTGTTGGCGTATCAAAACTTATATTTGCCTGGTTCGTTACCTGATGATGGCGGATCCTAGTATCTCTATTTGCTATTCATATTACATCTCATATCTACTCATTATCGTTTCTTGATACCGTATCAATCGACAACCGGTCAGCCTGGGATAAATATGAAATTGCGTATGGCTGCGTATTAATGCGTATCAGAATCTGATTAGTCACGTGTTTAGCCAGGTAGATGAGACGACATCGAAACGCGACATCTGTGCTTCATTTAATAACACGTATATCGGCTAATGTATCTCGATATACTGTATATTGATCACTCAAGAGCAAGACGCGTATTTTCAGTATAACAAGCGAAGTTCCGACTCAGTATCACCAACACTCATAGCGATAACAGCGACAACGTCACCGCTAACATCAACATCATCACAACAACACTATCAATCAACAAAAAGAAGCCAAAATGTCCACCACATCCTACCTACGACTAAAACCACTCCCCTTCTCATCCCTACCCCCGCATCCCTCCCTCACTCAGCCCACAGAACCACAAAGAGCAGAATCAAACACATTCTTATCAGCAATCCTCACCGAAGCCCAAACACTCATCACAACCACAATCCCGCAATCTTTTAAACCAGGCCGCAAACTCCGCTCCTCAGCACCCTCGGCCGCAAAAGTGCAACTCTTCACCTCCGCTTCCAACGGCAACGGCAACGGCGGTAAGCTAGAGGATTACTGGGTCTGTCGTAAGAGTATACATGCGGACTCCTCGATTCAAAAAGGCAGTGCGTCATGGAGCGAGTTTGAGAAAGGGTTGAGAGAGAATCATTCCGAGAATGAGATGGATTATACGCCTAGTGTGGCGTCGGTGGAGCATTTGGTGAAGTGGCCTGTTGTTGAGGAATTGGGTGGATGGAGAGGGGTTGATATGCATGGTTTGTTCTTGTTCATCTTTTCTTGTTTATATTTTGAAATATTGGATACTGAAGTATGTCGCAGTCAATATGATTACGCATACTTTCAAACCTGCTGGCCTCATATCACCGAGGACGTTCATATCGCTGGTCATTTCGGCATATGAGCCTAGCTCCGCAACAAACAGCGACAACGATAACCCCGTCCAAGGATTTTATACAATACAAATCCCGCTCCTATTCCAAAAGGACTCGCCAAACAACGATGTTCCAGATGCAATCAAACAACAGATTCTATCTGTTGTGCCAAAGAATACCATATTCGCGCACTATGCCAGCGTTGAGCGTGTGCGGTTGTTGCCTCCTGCAGATGCAGATGCGGAACGGCGTATTGAGTGGATCATGGCCACGACTTCAGATGCCGGTGGACAGATTCCGCAGTGGGTGCAGAGGAGTTGGACAATGGGTGGAGTGCCAAAGGCCGTTGTAGCGGATGTGGGTTTGTTTCTGGGATGGGTTGACAAGAAAAGATCCTCCTAAGTCGTACTTTGACACCAGTGTCTTTATACCTTTGTACTTTGATGCCAGTGCTTTTATACATAAAATTGCAGAGATCCACCAGATCGGTGCAATCTCACAAACAGCGAACACCAGGCCCAACACTTCCTGTATCAAAAATTTCCACAAGCCCGGCTCCAAGCGCCTCTTCCAGTATCCAGCGAAACGCCATCCCATTAAACTCCTTCCACTTCTTCGTCCTGCCCGGTAGTACTCCACTGAATTCACCTCTAATCCGCTTCGCGACGCTGAAGCTGCGGTTGGACTCAACTGCGCCGTCCCAGCGGTCCCGCAGAAGAGTCAATGGTGCTTCATGGTATTTGGACTGTTTCAATAAAGCCAGTAAGTGAGAGCGGGCCGCGCTTAAGAGGCGCAGATAAGGTCCTGTGCTGGGTAGAGAAAGAAAGAATGCTGGTGCGCGGGACTGGACTGAGTCATGCTTGGTGTCGTCGACTTGTGTAGAATAGGTGCGTAGGGATGTGAGATTGACGGCTTCCTTGGATAATGATGATGCTGTTACGAGGAAGCCAGCTCGTACAAGAGCGGCAGATTCTTCGCGGGAGAATGCCAGAGAGGGGATGGCGGATGTATTTGACATTTGGTCCAGAATACTCAGAAACCGATCTGTACCAATGTTAGTAGTAATATGCAGATACGGCGGAGTTACATACCTTTTGAATGCTGTTCTAAATCACTGCTCATTTGCACCAACTCACGCAAATCACTCGCCATGACCAAACAGTCCCCCAAACCGGCGGCACCATTCCCTCTTCCGGGAACAATCAATCTCTTCATCTGCCCTGATTGAACGAGCGAAACAATCTCCCGCTCCACCTGCGTGGGCGCCTGCAGTACAGTATGTAAATGCGCAACCGAGACCAACGGTGGCAGTGATTTGCGAGCATTCAACAATTCTGCAATACGGGTACTGTTCATGCCAGCCCTTCGTTCCGGCAGGTCCTCGAATATGGCTTCCTTGACATGTCGCATAGCTTGCATTACGCCATCTAGTTTCACCGACTCACTGAGGTACTGTGAGTTACCGATATCGGGTAACGGCTCGGAGTCGCTCATGGAGCCACCATCTTCTCCGCCCTCTGATTTACCACGCGCAGATGGTTTGGAGCGCGCATGACTGGCGAATGGTGAAGCGCGAGGTCGGGTTGTAGTGGTTGCTTTTCTCTTTTTGATGCCAGACACGGGGGCTGATGTGATGCGTAGGGGCATGAGTTTACGTCCTTTCGTTTTGCAGGTCGGTTGATGTATGTACTATGTATGTTTCTTTTTTGGCAGCCTTAAATGGATAGATTACATAGTACATAATAGTAGTAGTACATAGTAAAATGTATGAGCCGAAATGTTTTGCATACCCCCACTCTCTTAGTCATTAGCACTAATCCACTTTTAGGAATCTATGCTTATTAATCAATATCACGTGGTGTCACTGTACGGACTACGTAAGTATTAGGTTCCTCCGAATTGACTTTGCGCCAGACATGGATTACAAGTCATGACATTCAAGACTTCCATGGATCAAGGCAGACTACGTATTACACAGTAAACAATCGAGCAGTGATTAGTTTCCTTCAACTTTCCAGTGGTCAACGTGCGAAGTTTGCCTCCTTGATTGGTCGCACGCCACCCACCAATGAGAACCCCCATTTCAAATTGAACTGTCTAGGCTCCGTAGTCTTTAAGAGATGAGCTATTTAAACGGGGAATATCAGGTATTCATACATGGTCATAGTTCGTTAGGTACGCATTGCATGGCGTGTAATGGCCGTACAGTTTCGAGATTGACTGCCTTGTTCGGGACCGCCCACCCTTACATCATGTCGCCCCAGTCTTGCCTATGTATACTGCTCACCAGTCTAGTCGAATACTCAACGACTATCCAGCGATGTTCCGCTTCTTGATGGGTTTGATGCCTCGAGCAGGACGCACTATACTAACAAAAATATCATACCGACACAGTATGATATAATTCTCATCATGAAACTATGCAAGAAACATCGATATAAGATTTACTAAACATGCAGCAGCGGGACCTAAGATTACTACCGGTACTGTCACATTTCATGGTCGCAGCGAGTCCGCCACGTAAACCGCCCGCGTATTGATGTATTTATCCGTATAAGTATGGTATTTTTCACATGACGTAGAAATTATTCGATGTACCTCAGCCAGCTCCACAATTTTTTCCAGCTTCCACTGCCATACTTACATAGTAAGTACACAACCTACAAAAAGACTGTTTCCCTGTCCAGACACAAGAACTACTTCCTGACTATCGTCCTCATATTATCTATTCATACCGAGCAACGGCCTGCCGGTCTAGCTACTCTGCTTGCGCGCTGTCGTTGTTGTTGTTGACCTGACAGACACAAAACGCTGGCATTATCGGCCCGAAGCGCAGTTAAGCTACAAGAGAATCTGGCGACAGCGCAACGCCCTTCACAATGACTGTCTTCATTGCTTCGCTGTATGTACCGTCTGATTGCTGTAGTGCGTCAACGTTGAAAGTTCATACTGACTTGCAGTTGTCTAGCTTCCTTCCATACACGGTCAACTTTCATCTGGACAAGTCTGGCAAAACATCCCACAGCAGCCCAAAGTCAAAGTCGCCCAAAGGATCTCCAAAACGCAATGGTCTCTCCGCTGCCGCCAGTCTCTTCCAGAAACCTCAAGATGAAATCATAAAGAGAGCAATGACGCCAGGTGCGACCACCGACCATGAACAAATTTTCACCAATCCCCGAACAAAACTCGAGCCGCTTAGCGAATACCCGTTTCCCACGGCTCCCAATGGACAGGTCAATATCCTGTCGCAGAGCGAGGCCCATTCGCCTGCATGGGGCTCGACTCATACCTTCAACCAGCCTCGCCCGATGAATGTCACACTTCCTTCTCCGTCAATCCTGAAGCACCAGGAGTCGTTAGCGGTTGCGATGCCTCAGGTCATCGAGAAGCCAAAACAACCCACCATGGGCATTGAAAGTCAAAAGGCTCAAGGACAGCTTATGCGCTCGGTTCCATCCCATTCCTTTTCCGATGCCGATTGGACCATTGAATCCGCCGAACAGGGAAATCCCGGCCTACGCAATGCGGTTCGCTCATTTTCCGATCCTGGTTTGGATGATACCGTATGGGTGGGTACACTAGGCATGCCAACCGATGCGCTGGACACTCATGTCAAATCAGAGATTGCTGAGACATTGGAGGATAAATACTCGTCCCTCGCCGTTTACGTGAGCGATGCCGACTTTGACGGACATTACTCTCACTTTTGCAAGACTATTCTCTGGCCCGTGTTTCACTACCAGATCCCAGACAACCCAAAGAGCAAAGCATACGAGGACCATTCTTGGGTTTATTACGTCAAGCTCAACGAGGCTTTTGCGCAGCGCATTGCGAAGAACTGGCGACGAGGTGACACCATCTGGGTACATGACTATCATTTGCTGCTGGTTCCAGCAATGCTTCGCAAGCTGTTACCTGATGCGCAAATTGGCTTCTTCCTCCATGTCGCCTTCCCATCTTCAGAAGTCTTCAGATGTTTGGCGCCACGCAAGGAACTTCTTGAGGGTGTGCTCGGCGCAGATCTTATTGGATTTCAGATCGACGAATACTGCCGTCATTTCTTACAAACTTGCAGTCGCATATTGTGTGTTGAGGCTAGGAAAGACGGTGTGCAGCTGGAGGATCGGTTTGTGAATGTGGGCAAGTTTCCAATTGGTATTGATCCAACGTCGTGGGATGAACGACGCCGCAGCCATGACGTTGAACACTGGATCAAGATCATTTCGGAGAAGTACGAGGGCAAGCGGTTGATTGTTTCGAGAGACAAGCTTGATTCAATCCGTGGAGTGCGGCAGAAGCTTCTGAGCTATGAACTTTTCTTGAACACATATCCCGAGTTTCGTGATCAGGTATGACAACCTTACACCGTTGCTTACTGTTTACTAATTTCCGCAGGTTGTCCTCATTCAAGTTGCCTCATCTACCAACGAGCAAACAGAGTTGGATACCATTGTATCTGATATTGCAATGCGAATCAACTCAACACATTCAACACTGGCGCACCAACCGCTCGTATTCTTGAAGCAAGACCTCAGCTTCGCGCAGTACCTCGCTTTGATTACAGTCGCTGATGCGCTAATGGTGACAAGTCTGAGAGAGGGCATGAATCTTACCAGCCACGAATTTGTTTACTGTCAGGATGGAAAATACGGTCCCAAGTCTCATGGACCGCTAATTTTGAGCGAGTTTACTGGAAGTGCATCCATATTTGATGGTCATGCTCTACTTGTCAACCCATGGGATTACCGCCAATGCGCAGAAGCTATCCATACCGCACTCACCCTCACTGACTCCGAAAGGGAAGTTATGTGGCGGAAGCTGCACGATGCAGTGCTGCAAAATTCCACAACCAACTGGGTCAAGTCCTTCCGGGAGGCCTTGTCCAAAGTATGGGACGAGCATTCTTCTCGAGAGACTATAGCCGTGCCCCGCCTGTCAGTTCCGCGGCTAGAGGATGCATACCGCAATTCCGAGCGCCGACTTCTCATCCTCGATTATGAAGGTACCCTTGCATCTTGGGGTTCGCCGACTAGTATCATTTTGACAACACCGCAGCGAGCTTTGACCACTCTCACCGATCTGCTTGAGGATCCTAGAAATATTGTCTATGTGATGAGTGCCAGACGACCTGAAGAGATGGAACGGTTGTTCCGTCAGGTGTCAGGACTAGGACTGATTGCTGAGAATGGATGCTTTATTCGCGAGCCGTCCAAGGACAGCTGGATCAAACTCAACGAAGAACATCACACTAAGGAGTGGAAGGCTGGAACCAGAGGAATCCTCAATTATTTTCGAGAAAGAACAGAAAACAGCTGGATAGAAGAGTTGCATTGCTCGCTCGTCTTTCATTATGGTGACGCAGAGGACAAGCTTGCTGCGGCTCGCCAAGCATCCGAGTGTGCTGACCATATCAATGACGCATGTGCAAGCCAGGGAGTACATGTCATTCCGGTCGACGGTGCATTGATCATTCAGTCTTCGAGAACAAACAAGGCGAGTGCAGCGGAACTAGTATGGCGGTATAGTATCCAGCGGGGAAAAGAAGGAGGCTATACCGGTCAGCCTGATTTCTTGTTCGTGGCTGGAGACAGTCGCGAAGATGAAGTCGTCTTCCGCTGGGCGAACAAATTGGCAGAGTCCAAAGCTGTCAAATACTGCATGACGGTGACACTGGGCTCAAGGAGTACAGAAGCTAAGGCCACGCTGACACAAGGAGTGACAGGTTAGTCTTCCTTATTAAATCAAGCATTTAACCTTACTAACAATAATCAGGTGTTTTGTCCTGTCTTCAGCGACTTGCAGCGTCTACCCAATCCTAGACTGCGTTCTCACGATGCTCGACTCAGGAAGCAAGAACGGCGAAGACAATAGATAACATGCCGTCTTCATATACCCATTTTTCTTTTCTAGATACTGTTCTTTTTTTTCTAATTTCTCCAACATAAATCACCACACGTATGATTTATGATACACGACTACAACGATACACAATCTCCAGGCAATGCATTGACTTCGGATGGATATAGCAAGCTGGCGGGCGTTTTGATGTGTGTATGCTAGTTGACCACGTAGAATACGAATGGATTGTCTATATTACTTCTTATTCTAATGCATGTATTTCAAGGCTGGAGTCTAGTGATAGCCGGATATGTGGGGCTGCGGAGTTGGGGAGTGATACCGAGGTATCTAAGCATCCAGATATCCATTGAGGGATTGATTTATGTTTAGTGATCTGCTTAACCATAACACTGATTGTTTCAATTCGATCTCTATATATCGCCTCAGTCTCGGTAGAATATATAGGATATGCTCGAGTATAGAGAACGAGCAGAAATCGCAATGTCTCCTCCGCACACGCAAGTATTCGAAGATGGCATCACAGTCACGCCGTTATCATCGCATACATATACTGTGAATGTCCACCCAGATTGGTCCATTGGCGCTGGTATACCCCCTTATCTGTGACTAAATGACCTCTCGCTAACTTGAGAAGTCCCCCATGGCGGCTATACAATGTCAATCCTCTACCGCCTCGCAACTACACATTTCAAACATACACATCCCMCCCGACACAATTCCCAGCCTCTACCAATATCAATGCAAATGACCTTCCTGCGCCGAACGGCTGCTGGAACAGCGACTCTGACAGTAGAAGACTCCAAAATAGGATCGAGAACGTCTACAATCCACGTCACGCTTTCTCAGGAAGATGATAGTAGCAGTGCTAAGCCGAACCACACCAAAAAGCCGACGGCTAAAGTTGTGGGATACATCACCGTCTCAGACCCGATATCAGACGTTGGACATTCAGCGCCTTCAACCTGGAAACTGTATCCGCCTGCACCGAGTGGTGGACCACCCAGCGTTATCGTTACGCCCGACAACGTGAGCTTATCACCAGATAACGCTACGCAGTCAAAATGGCGACAGACAGGACCAACAGATTGGGCCAAATTCAGGCGCGTGGAGCATCAATGCATCACATTTGGCCCGACAAGCGCGCACATGAAACCGGGTGTCCTCGATCAATGGGCGCGCCTGCGCACGGTGACTTCGGGATCCTCTGCAGCTGGGAATGGGAAGTGGACCAACGAGACACTTCCATTTTTGAGTGACTGGTTTCCTGCAGGACTGGAACAGGTGGGTTATCAAGCCCTATCTTCGTCGGCGTCGCCACCATCAACAAGACCAAAGATCCCACCGTTTTGGTATCCCACTGTCACGCTGAATATAGACTTCAAGAAGAGTCTTCCGCCCCAGGGGGTGGATTGGTTATATTCTCGGGTGGAGATGAAATCCGTCCGGAATGGGAGGATGGATATCGAGGTGATCATCATGGACGAACAGGGGGAAATTGTCGCGTTGTGTTCTCATATCGGATTGGTGGTTCCTATTGAGCGGAACACGAGTGGGCGAAAATATGAAAAGTCCAAGATGTGATCTATTCACCTATATCAAATTCGTATAGAAATGTATATGAAATATTAGATACTAATATAATCTATATGCAAGCTAGAGCTTCTCGCTCCGCGTGATAATCCACAAAGATGACGCCTCCGCGCAAACACTCTTTTTCTTAACCCATTCCAATTGCCCACCGCCATCCTCCTGCTCTTCCTGGACCGCATGCGACAGAGCCCAAAACTTGCGCGCATCGCGAGCAAGACACCATGACCGGATGACCAGTAATCCAGGCGTGTATACAGGCTTCCTGTATCGCACGTTCAATTGCGCTGTATACTGAGCATCTCTGTCTCGGACATCAGTGCTCAATCTCGACGGATTTGAAGCCGACAAATGCGCCTCGACGGCATGCGACATGGCCTCATCAAATAGCGTCGCAATTACGCCTCCATGCGCAGTCTTGGGATGTCCACTCAATCCCGGCGTTGACATGGACACCAGCGTGATGGTATCCGGTGGCCGCGACGGAGTAAACACCCCTTTTGCTTTAGGATCATATACAGTCGCTGGCGGTTCCGTAGGTAAAGCTGCAGATACCTGGTCGAGATTGCGGCGACATAGAGTTACCAAGTATGGGATCGTTTCCTTGGTGCCAATTGTACCCGCGAAAAACCCATCTTCGTCGGTGTAGTCTTTGGCTACGCGAGTGGGCATGTAGTAAGCGACAAATTCGCTTTGATTATTGTCACCTTGCAAGTCCAAAGACTGTTGGAGGATCGATTTGGCCCATGGTATGTTGTTGAAGTGGTTCAGTTCAGAGTCTGTGAGCGGTCTGGGCTGAAATGCTTCCTGGATGGATGAAGCCGGTAGTTTTGTTGACATGGTATGAACTCGGGCTAGTCGTCTTCGACCAGAACAACTACTACTCAAGCAACCTGATATTTATCATTGGTATGAATCATCAATGTCTGCAGGACAATTGATATTCGATACGTTGTATCGTATCGATAGAGTTGATTGTCGGGCCTCGGCTACGTTGCTTGGTCTTTTACAGATGGTAATCATAATACGTAGTACAAAGCGTAGCTGATGTATCCCAGGCACGTGCCGACTTGACATTTGGAGAGCGTACATTGACATCATCTCAACATCTCAACTGAAAAAAACAGCTTCAACTTAACAGAGACCATTACTATGTATTCAGTCAGCTACAAGAATGTCATCATTTAGTGACGTTGCAATTAACGAGCGACTAGCGATTAGATTGCTTGTGGCCACTAGCAATTTGACGGATTCTTCTCGTATTGACTGACTGCGTACTATGTAAATCTGAATATCTGATAGCGGTTTCAGATTAAAGCATTCTAATTCAACGTGATTAAATCCTCAAGCCCAAGCCTATGATAACTGAAACTCCGCTGAGGCTTGAGAGTAACACAGTCATTTCCCCCGTATCGCTGATTGGTTTTGTGTGGGTATTAAATACATAGCGTGTACAGGTAACGGACGCTAATGCGAGCTAATTCAGTGGTCTCGGAGTCACCCAGCCAATTGTTTTTACTGATTGGCTGGTATATTACAGGCCTTACATATCGTTACACGCCAAACGAACTCCTCGATTAATTTTCCAGGAACACCGGGCGATTGGGCCACAGCAACAACGGTACAGCCCGAATAGTGCAAAGAAACATTGCTTGCATCGAACGGTACTCTGTGCGCCTCCTTTGTATATACCGGGATGTTGGTAGTATTCATTGAGTATTCAAGGTACGTACGTACATAGTAGAATTGTTGTGAGGATGCAGTAAACACAATAGAAAGCGTTGCTATGCAAGCCAGCTGCTGATAAGACACGAGCAGATTAAAGGAAAAGCCAAGCAATAAGCTAGTGCGCTAGTCCTCTCCACTTCCCTGCTTTCGCAGTACGTACACACAGAAAAGTGAATGGAAGCTGCTGCCCGGCTTTCCGGCCTCTTCTTTTTCGTTCCTTCCTGAACTAGCCACGCCCGTCGCGACTGCTTCTTTAGCTCCTCCTCTTCCTCCTCCTCTTTTTTCTCGCTCTCGCTCGACGCTTCTTCTCTCTTACTCTTCACACAACATTGACTACTCTGCGTATCATCATTGATCACCCTGCGTGCTATCATACCTTACTGTTGATCTCAATTCTGCGATCCACCTCCCGCAAAAATGCGTTCCTCCGCTGTGTTGATCCTTGCTGCTTTCGTGGCTGAAGCGACTGCTTATTACAACTACACCTTCCCAGCTGGCTTCAACCTGGGCGAAGTTTCCAGTTCCGATTTGAGTATGTTAATCATTGCGCCTGACACTAAAATTCATTGCAAGAGCCCTGGCTAATCGACATCACAGGTTCATGGTGCCTGGGTGAACGCAACACTTGCCCTCTTGTCTGCGGAGGATCTGCTTCTGCCAATGACTGCGATGCTGTAAGCACTTTTCAACTCTCGCCAATACTCCAACACATGAATATAATTAACGCGAATAGACAACCCTTAACTTCGACTGCACTTGCGCCAATGGCACCACTCCCGACCTGACCCCATACCAGAACACCATTCCCTTCTACGTATGCCAGGCAAACTACAAACAGTGCATCGCAAACAACCCCAATGACCTCGATGCGCAGAAGGCATGCAAGGCCAACGCAACTTGCGGCACGATCGATCTCTCTGCCACCTCGAGCACAAGCTCCTCTGCCTCTTCCACTACCGCAGCATCAACTACCGGCGCCAGCACCCTCGCCACTACTGCTGCCGCAACTACTGGCACTGCATCTGGAACTGCATCTGGTACCGCTGCTAGTTCGACTGCCACCCACGGCGCGGCGGCTCTTCAGATCTCTTCAGACCGTGCAACTGGTCTCTTTGCCGCTGGTTTGCTTGCAGTCTTTGGCATGCTGCTATAAGATCGCGCGCCATCGCAGATCTCATGATCTCGCCCTGGATACATATGCTCTTTTGTGGGGCACTAATAGCAGTATAATACTTTTCATACCTTTCTTCGAGTTACTTTGCGAGACGAAGGAACAGTTCCCAGTCTTTAGCATGGAGTTTATGGGCTTGTCTTTTCTTTTATGTTGAACGATATCCTTTGGTGTTTTGAGTTCGTAGTCATGAGACGCGAAACACGAGAGCATGGTTATGATATCGATGTCTCTCTTTTATTTGCATAAGTGCGTTCGATAGTTGGTACACGTTAGTCATTCGAATGTATCGCGTATTCGCTCAATCCATGGAGCGAATGTATATTTATGGCGGCCGGTCGCTGTCTATAATTTTCCTCTCATAAAAAAACTAAATAAGTTCGTATCTTACTCCGTACGGCCAGAATTCATGATGTTAATGGGACCTCCGCTCCGCCCGCAACGGACGCTGATTCGCCAAGAGTTCAAATCACACAACTGAAATTTCTCCCACACTTATCGATACAACCAAACGAGTACTCAACAACCTATCGCCCCAACCCAGCCAGACGACCCTGTCTGCTCTTTCACCGCTTACAGTCTTTTCTCTCTCGACTGACTTGATCTGTCCGTCGAGGAGCATAAAGAAACAACACCGCCAAAATGCCCGCACCTACCAATACCCTTCTCATTGAGGGGTCGTTTACGGAGCTGTGCGAGGAGCTCGCTCAATACATCGACGTGCTCCGTTCCAACGAAGAAGGTGCCAGTGTCAACACCGAGATTGCTCCTTTGCTCGAGCCTTTGCGGCAACAGGAACAGAATGGCGAGGATGCGAACTTAGGACAACGCGATGAGGTCTTGAAGAAGATTGTTGCTGCGGCTGCGGTTTTGAATAATGCTCCCGAGAAGGGTGTGCACTTTTCTCCTCGAAGAAGAATGAAGAGCGTTGCTAACATGGCGTAGAGTTCATCCCTGCTTATAACCTCCTCGTTCATCTCATTCAGCAATCCTCCGACCCGGATATCTTCCTTTCCCGAATTTGCATTTACCTGTCAAAACCCGTCACATCCTCCGCACAATTCGGCCCTTCGCTGGCCCTAACCATTTTGACCACCATCTTCAACACTCTCGCCCCCTCCGACTCAAGCCGATACCATGTCTTCCTTGCCATTATCGCCGTCATCCGTCAATCGGGTTCCACGTCTGCCTACGAAGCCCTGAAAGGTCAGTTAGTCTCTCAGCTCCCCAACTGGCTCGCCGCCTGGGAGCTCGACGAGGAGGATGCCCAAAAATTGCACTTGGCCGTTGCAGACGCCGCCGAAGCCGCCGGTGACAGCGAACTTGCGCACGCCCACATCGTCGAAGCCCTCCAGTCCATCGATGCCAACGAAGCATCCAGTAAGGAAAGTCGGGAACTTGCCATCCGCGCTCTCACATCTGCACTTTCTCACCCTGCTATTTTCGATTTCACATCTCTGTCTGCCTCGGATGCCGTGCAGGCCCTTCGGTCTAGCGACACTTCTCTTTTCGAGCTTCTTGAGATTTTTGCTGCCGACACCCTCGATGCATATGAAGATTTTGTCTCGTCGACTCCTTTGAGCTCGATCTCCGGTGGTGTGTTGGCGGAATCTGGCGATGCGCTTCAAACAAAGTTGCGTCTGTTGACGCTTGCTTCGCTCGCCTCTTCGACTCCCTCTCGTTCCCTGCCCTATGCCACGATAGCATCCGCCCTTGGCGTCGCCGATACTGAAGTCGAGAAATGGGTCATCGACACCATTCGCGCAGGTCTTGTCGAGGGAAAATTGTCGCAGTTGCGCTCTGAGTTCTTGGTCCACCGTGCCACATACCGAGTATTCGGCGAGAAGCAATGGGCCGAAGTGCAGGGACGTCTGTTCGTCTGGCGTCGCAGCCTGGAAGGTGTCCTAAGCGTGATCCGTACCGAACGCGAGCGATATGCACGCGAACTCCAGCAGCAACAGGCTGCAGCACAGGCCGCCGAAGAAGGCGGTCCTGCTGGCAAGGGAGGCGATAAGAAGCTCGGCGACAGAAGACGGCCTCACCAGCAACAGAACCAGTCACAACCTCGTGAAGTTGATCTTTTAGGCGAGGCTGACTAGAATCCATTGCATTATGTTTTTTCTACTTCTATTGTTTTAATGCTTTGCGAAAAGACTTTTCTATCATGTTTTCATTTGTTCTTGGAGAACCGGTTGAGGCATTTTCTTCCGAAAGAGTTGAGCTGTATGTAAATGGGAAAGAGAAAAGTTTTACTTTCTGATACTTTTCCTACATTATGTGATGTATGCAAGTTAATGCATTGATGATGATGAGATTACATCGAACATTAGTGTCTTTTTCTGAACAGAACAAGAACGTCTTACTGGCATCAGATTCATACTAGTCTTGATTGTATCAACTGACGATATCAGAGTCGGACTTTTCTGAACGGAAAAAAAAACAATCCGTACTGGATTTGCTAGACTTCAGATGTGTATCTCATGACAGCATTTCAGCAGGGCATGTCCTATGATTCTAGTGTCCTAGAGGAGTTGGAAATATTCGACCCAGGTATGTGTGTTTGGTACTAGATACATATTGATGTTCCTATGAACGGCATGCAGGAGGATTTGCCGGCGAGGACAACGTCGGAGAAAACGTGTATTGTCTTGATTAGTTTACATACATACATCAAAGCCAGTATGTGCAGGCGGAGAAGCGTCCGTCACTCGTTTGCATGATGCACTGCGGGTTTAGTATCGTAGAGCGGTTGGCTGTTCGACACATTATCTACAAGGACTGAGTGCTTAGCCTGCCTGCTGTGCCTCTCGGTAAAGCTGAGTGTCCGAAGACTAATATATTACTTTATGAACATGTATATATACCTCTAAACAATCTACCACTTCGCTGATCTGAACAATCCTCCAAAGAGGGAGCTTACAAAGCATCAACACCCTTGGCCTTCAACTCAGACTGAATCCGCTCATAAACCTCCTCCTTTGACCCCGTAGCCTGCACACTGATAACTTTGCCCTTCTCCTCGAATTCACGTACAACAGGCATGGAGGTCTGCTCAAACGTGCGGAATCTCTTACGGATCGACTCAATGTTATCATCGTCGCGACCACTGGTCTCACCACGCTTCAACAATCGGCCCAACATGACTTCCTCAGGGCAAACCAAGAAGAGAACCAATTTGCTAACGCAGACAGTCTCTTCGAAGAAATGCGCCTGATCGATCTGGCGCGGAAAGCCATCGATCAGGAATCGGGCCGGTGTGGTCTTGGAGCTGTTCTGTTCGAGGATGGAGGCCATCGCATTCGACAGCAAAGCGACAGTGACTTCCATGGGAACAATAGTGCCCTCGCGGATGTGGTGACGGATCAATTCGCCGTACTCGCTTCCTTCACGCACTTGTTCGGCGCGTAGCAGGTCGCCGGCACTCAGATGGTTGAAGCCATAGTCGCGCACGAGGTTTTCTGATTGTGTGCCTTTACCGGCACCGGGACCGCCGAGGACGAAGACGACTGTGACTTTGTCGGAGGAGAAGCGCGGTGTTGGTGCCATTTTTATCCTTTCGTTGGGGGAAGAGGAGTTCGATGGATGTGAGAGAGGGGTCTATTTGCGCGGCGTGGAAGCACGAGATTTAACCAGCAAAACGTATGAACCGGTACCAATCACGAGGACAGCGACAAAGGGTAGGATTTTCAAGGGTGATTTGCTGCTCTGAGTCGTAGTAGCTGTTGTTGCGGTCTTTACTCGAGAAGATGAAATGTGGCGGATGTTGTTATTGCTGCTAATGCGCTGGTGGGGCAGCACTAAGTAAATATTTCAGGAGTTAGGGGATCGATCTCAGGCTGAGCTGCTTGCGGAAGGACAACTTACGACTGCAAATCTTGGAACTTGATGCGGTCCTGGTGATTCGGGACACGGTGCTGATATAACGAGGAAGCATTCCGTACTATCAATTAATCGATTGATTGATGATCATCCGAACAAGTTGTTGGCGAGAGTCTGGAGGCTAAGACAAAGTGAAGATCAAATTAAGGTGGATCATTTCTCGGCTTGACTAAACACTTCTAGACCCTCATTCCGCATTTCAACTTTGGAATCATCTCAATCTCTTCAATAATCTGAATTATCGTCCTATATATAAATAGATCCGCCTAGCAAATCAAAAGAGTGGAACAAAAAGAAGTCGCCATAATCGCCGGGCGCCTGGGAATATAGTACCAAAAAGACATACAAGAAAAGACATAGCATGACAATATTATCGATCTACTTTGAACGTATTCAGAAATTCAACATTTCCTAGTCATATCCATGACTCTGACCTGGCGGAGGAGGATAGCTGGGACTCATTGGTCCAGCATACGCTCCCGGAATCGGCACGGCTTCGTAGGTCTTTTCCCCCGGAGCAGCGCCAACATGGTCATTGACCTTCTCCGACATATCTTCTTCATTGGAGTGGTCTGAAGACTGAGCGATGCCAACAGCAGGAGCTCCAAAGCCCTGTTGAGCGACCTTTGGTGTCGCGTTCTGCACCCGGATAGGGGGTGCTTGAAGTTGGAATGGTTTGGTTACTACGCGTGTGGGTGACTTTGGTGTTGCGTATTGAACGGCGTAGCTCTCACCATTCTCGGCTGCAGAGTACGCATCTCGATGGTATTGCTGAGCGGCCATTGACATGTATGGAGACTTGGGTGTCATGGGGAAAAATCCAGGTGTGTTTGGTGCAGATTGAACACGGAGCTGAGCAAGATACAAGTCTGAACGGGCCTTATCGCGGATATCCATAGTCTTCCTCAGGCGCTGTTTGGTGTAGAATCGGTAAAAGCCGACGGCATAGATGCAGATGACAATCACTTCGAGGACGATTTCGATAATCGCACACACCAGTGACCAATCTTGCAAACGGCAGACCAAGGAATAGTTGACCTGATCCTGGAACAGCTGGTGGCGGAGATTATCGTTACAAGACCATCCCCATAGATCTTGCCCATTGCTATTTGCTTTTGAGCTCTGGAAGACGGCTGCTCCGACTACCCACATAACAGTGCTGAAGGTGAAGAAGCCAACCGAAAAGACAGAGTACCACACAGCAACCTTTTCAGCTCGGCGATGACCGCCTCGCCAGTATCCGTAAAAGACGAATAGAGCAGCAGCCAGAGAAACGCATGACATGACCAGAAGCAAATATTGTGGCCAAGGGTTTGTTCCTACTGCCCATGGTGGAAGGTTACTGCGAGCAGGCAGATCTTTGGTGGCTCTAAAAATGGTCAAGCTGGTTGACAGCATCGAGAGGACAATGAGAGAGCAGCTAAAGTTTACAGTTCGTAAAAGAACCTTGGCAGCTCGGACTCGGACTTTGATTTTCTGCAGATGATCGTTAGTACTGATCGTACTTCCCGAGTTGCTTTTCTTACCAAATCTCGCTTGTTCTCTCTCGCCGTCTTCACTTCTTCCTTTTCTAATCTGACCTCCTCGCGGAATGTTGGACTAAACGGGTTCAGCGTCCTTGCGGTACCTGGGGTTTTGAGAGCGCTTTTCAAAGGCGAGGCCGGGGTCATAGGTTGATGCGCATATCGTGAAGGATCGCTGTCAGCCACATATCCGAATCCAACATCCGATACATGATGCTGAGCCTCCTTCATGACAGAAGCCGGAGGGTCGGCAAACGGTGATCGGCCTCCGTCCGACGGATCAATAGGTGAGATTACTGTCGTTGCCTCTGCGAACCGTGCTGTGCGAGGACTTTTGAAGTCGGAAGCAGAGGAGGAAGACGAGGATCTCGAGGAGCTGCGCATGATGGATGTGGGATTTTGTTGATTAGACATGGTGGATTGGCAGCGAGAGATCCTGCTCTCGACGGTTCAGTATACAGTTCAGCTCTAAGCTGTAAAGTCGGTGAGCTCAGCAAACACTGCTGGCAGGTACTCTACTGGTCGATATGATGAATATACCGATGATAAAGATAACAGAGCAGAAAGAATCAACTAGCTGCGGGCCTGCGCAGTGTTCAAAGCAATGCAATTAATGAAGCAAAATTTCAAGAGAAGCACAGCTTGGGATGGGACAAAAGATTTCCGAGGGCCGCACTCCATGGTCTATGTATGAATTGTCGAGACATGGGAAACGGGGAAACCGGAGCCAATGCATGCTCCCCTCTTTTGCTCACTTCTGGCACAGCATGATCACCCCATTTAGTGATTGACTGCAGTTAGCGCCGGGCTTCCATGCTAGGCAGAAGATCTAGGGCAGCTCGAGCGAGTGATTGGAGGGCCTGAAATAGCTGCCGTGTGCCTGTTTTGCGCTCAATTGCAGCATCTCGGCGTCGATTGGGCGGTGGAGGATGCAAGATAGCGCGCGGGGGGCCCTCGACAGGACGAGGCAGGATAAATCGGACAGCTACTACGGATTAATCAGTGGGTGGCTGCATGGGCGAGAGCGTGATATCCGACTGAGCGTGCATTGTTCGTCACAAACTATCAACCAATCAGCGCCGTAAGGACTGGACTTGGCACGCCAAGCGATACGCGGGGGCCTCAGGCTGCCCAATCACGGGGTCTGCCGAAGCGCGGACGCCTTCTTAGGGCCCAATATGTCACCAATCACCTAATGTGATTCCTGTTCGTCACGTTCGTTCTACGAGTACAGAAAACATAGTAACTGCTACGTTGTACTAATGTACTACTCACAAGTCGAGTCGTCGACGCTATTGTCTGACGCTGTGCCTGTAACAAAGAATCTGCACATCGATGCGGGATGGTCACGCTTATTGCATGATCCAGTGAGACCAACCATCCAACTTGTAGTAGTACTATGTAGTAATCCCGGTAATAATCTCGATGCCTGAGGCTGCACCATCCAGCCTTTGTGGTCTGTGCATGTTGCCTCATTCGGCGGCATATCAGTCCCGTAGGATGGATGGAGCTAAGATATAGTTAAGTCTCAGGAGGCTGGCTGGAAGTAAAACAGTATGATTGTATTGCTCTGTCATCGTAATAAAACGCCAAGCTCCAAATAAGCAATTGCTCTGTACAATGATCATGAATCAAAATGCCGCCTGTCCTCTCTACATCGCGTCGCCGTCAATCACTGCCCCAACATCTTTAGTAATGTAGATTTCTTCGAGGGTACCTTCTCCTTCGCCAAAGCCGCCGCCGTTCTGCAAAACCAGTCCCTTTTCATTGGCCAAATGCAGTAGACAAATAAATCCGAATGAGGTACTGATATCTCGTAACGATTCTTCCGGATATACAGTCTTGAGAGAGTTCATCACTTTCGTGAATTTCAGGTGACCGTGTTTCTCAACTTCAGAGGTGATGTCAGGCATTGGATGGTCTGCGTCTGACTGCCTATTCTTGGGGGTAGGGGTCGGTGGCCCGTCATCATCAGTAGGCTCTTCGGGCTGATCGATGACTGCTGCTGCATCCGAGGCCGAGTTGAACTCCATAGACTCAATCAATCCGTCGCCCATACCCTTCCACATTTCTTCCTTCAACCGTCGAACGTCAACCTTCTTGGCCACACGCGCGTAAGCTACATAGTCGGGCCGAACACGACGGCCACCTTGCGTCACTAGTTGTGAGCCGAATCCCCCACCATGAAGCGCCGAGCCAGGTGTAGCTCCAACCATATTCAATAGAGCTGTCAATCCCGTGGCTCCCGATCCATCACCCGCTGATGTTGTCGGCCGGGCATCCATGTCACCTGTGGGCGAGAACATTTCTCGAGCGTCCGCAAATGGTAGGTTGTCGTCGTCGTCGTCTCCCATCGGCAGCCCGTCAGGGAACGCAAGCCCATCGTCGTCTGCAAAAAAGTCGGCATCATACGTGCCTGCAACCTTTTCGTCGTCCGCTTGTGCGCCATTTTCGGGTTTGTGATTTGCCCAGAAAGCCTCGTCCATTTCGCCTGCGGCTGGAACACGCGTCTCGTTAGTCTCGCCTGTCCTGCGAGCCCCAAAGAATTTCTTCGATCCCATGCGAGCCTTGGGCTTGAGGAAGAGGCGCAACAGTTGTTGCGAGTTGAAGTGCTTGTCATCTGGAAGAAGATTGCGTCCTTTTGTTTTCCATTGCGTCTTGGGGATTGATATAGCAGAATTTGAGCTTGCTTGCGTGTAAATTAAATCAGCTGCTGTAGCATCCAGAGGAGCAGAAAAGTCAATCACGAATGGCTCCTTTTCTTTACGTTGCTTTGGCGCAGCCGTGGAATTGGCAGCACTAGTCTCCTTGATCTTCCGGATTCGCCAATGTTCAGGACCCGCCCAGTTCTTTTGTAGAGCGTTATCAAAGTAACTTAGGATGTTCTCGTGCTCATTATTGGCCGGTTGGTGGGAGATTGACAACGTGTAAGGATCTCCGTCCTCGGCAGCCTCCGGATCGTCTTCTCCACCAATGTCCATGCGATGGACCTTCAACAAGGGTTCCAATGCTGCCTCTCGCGCCCAGGCCTCTCCACCTTCACCGAAGCCAGCGTCTTCGCCAATGTCAAATCCTGCAAAGGTTCCATCATCGTCATCAAATCCCACAGCATTATCATCGTCGAGCATAATGCCAGAAGCATCACCCATACGTCTTGCCGGGTCAGACTCGTCGTGGTCCTTGTCGTGTCTCCATTCCTCGGGAGCTTTGAGCAACGGCATATCAAGAGAGCCGCTCGGGTCACCCAGATCAAGGTTCTTCAAGGATGGGCAAATGTCTTGTTCGGAAAGACGATCTAGATCGGGAAAGAATCTGTTTCCGAGGGAGGAGATATCGATTTCCACAGGGTCAACATCCATAGGATCGCCCTCCGGCTCCTTGGCTTGGGTATCCTCTGGCTCTGCGCTACCATTCATTTCATCGTCCTGGGTATGATCTCCGCCGTTGATTGTCTCGTCCACGTCATCACTACTGTCAAATATGATACGTCCCTGGCCATCGATAGATAAGTGGTTCAGCAATAGGCCCTTGGCACCGCCTTCGTCGAAGTCGGCCGATGCTTTCTTGAAAAGCGGGTCCACAGCAAACTCGAGCTCGAGCTTTTTCAATTGTAGCGATCCAAACGACGGAGCGAGCGTAGCCTCATGAGAGCGCGTCTGCATTAATGTTAACAATGAAATAGAACATCGTAATTGAAATGGCACTAACCTTCTTCTTTGCCTTTCTTCGTACACCGTCCTCGCCCTCTTCCTCTTCCTCCTCGTCGCCTTCAGCCCCTTCGCCTTCCTGGGCTTTGCGATCTCGGCTATCGGCCAAGCCACTCAAGAGCTTTCCGGTCTCAGTTGCGACACTATCCACTCTGCTTGTATAGATCTTAACGCAACCGTCAAGCGTACAACTAGCCTTTTGAAAGTTGACGCCATCTCCCTCGCGGAGCAATGACATATCATGAAAGTAATCAATCAGGGCGAAATTCCACGAATTCGCAGCGTTGATCTTATTATCCGTCGCCATTTTCATCCACTCTTCGAAGTTGGCAAGAATAGGAACTCGTTTTGCAGGAGTTGCACCTCTACCGCGACCATCCACGTCGCTTTCCCGACCTCGTCGATGAGAACCACGTGGTGTTGCTGGGCTTTGACTATCGGCACGATCGTATTGCCTTCGAGGGGGCATGGGCGTCTTCACAGCAGCCTTGATCTGATTCATTTGGCGGTCATACTGAGCTTGTCGCGACTGCATTCGAGCAGCCTTCTCTCCCATGTCATCATTGAGGGGGATCCTGCGAGCAAAAATAGTTAGCCTGTTTCCGACCTTCGTGCATCGCTCTTGCCGTACTTGATGGGAGAGTTCTTCTGCGGGGTTGAGGCACCGCCATTGGAGCGGCGATGGCTCTTTGATGGATTCACAACACGAGGCATGATGAATCGCGAGCAAGAATTGTATATGATATTGGAAAAGCAAACGATACAAGAACAAGTCTAGTGTTGTTTTAGTTATTCATCTTCTTCGTATAATGTGATTCAGCAGTTTTCAAGATCGACTGCAATGTAGATGCGCTTGTGTTCGGAGTGCTGGAGGTTGACAGTCGCTCTTCCTACTTTGTTGTTTTTCGAGATATTGCGGCAGGTGCGATCGGTGGGTGTTCCGCGGKTTGTCAACAAAACATACGGCATGCCGGAGCTGCCATAGACGCATCACGTGCCCTCACTCACGTGATGTTATCAGAGGGCTTATCGATAAAGCGTCGTCATTGGTCTTGCCTTGCGAGATTGCCAGCCCGCCAGCAGCAATTCAACCTCCTTCTCTTACCTTTGCCACACTTGTGGCATTTTATATTCTTTACGCTACACTGTACTTCTTCACTGAACGCCATATGACCACTTTAGGCGGCTTGATTCATTGAGTCTCTATATGCACATACATTAAAGCCTCCTATTGAGCTCTGATCATATGATTCGCGGGTGTATGTGTTATGCCTAGTTTTTGTACATATACATATCCAGCCAACCTTCATACTGCATGCAAACGGCGACAATCACAATGCTACGGTCGTAATGTTCACACAGCACAAGTCATCCTCATCAGCGCCGACTAGGCTGCGTGCGAGGAGACACAAGCTATACCACCCTCGACCTTTCTTTCTGAGCATCGGGATCTTCACACTCTTGACTCTCGGAAGCTGTATTGCTCAAAGTTATAAGCAGAGCCCGTCATCATTGAGTGATAATGGCTTCCAGAAACGGATGATCCATCCAGGACTTCAGGTTGAAGATTTAAACAGCTCAAGACTCTTTGAGCCGTTTGAGCAGGAGATAGAGGTATAACATATTCTCCTTATATTTAATGAGATTTGATACATGTGCTAATGCGAGTAGTGCCGTCTTGTTCGTGATGCAAACGATCAATGCTCATTTGTTAAGAGCAACTGTCCTGATGAGGATGGGATTTTCTCCTACCTTCAACTATATTACTGCTCGCTTCGCCATGTACAGCCGATTGCATTCATCATAATCATAGCATGGCTGTCGCTCCTTTTTAGCACCATCGGCATTGCCGCTAGTGACTTTCTATGCATCAATCTCAGTACGATTGCAAGCATTTTTGGGATGAGCGAAAGTTTGACTGGAGTCACTTTTCTGGCTTTTGGCAATGGCAGTCCAGACGTCTTCTCGACGTTTGCTGCAATGGGTTCGAATAGCGGTAGCTTAGCCGTAGGAGAACTGATTGGCGCTGCGTGCTTCATCACGGCCGTGGTGGCCGGTTCAATGGCCCTAGCCAGACCTTTCAAAGTCGCCCGTCGAAGCTTCGTACGCGACGTCGGATTCTTTATACTGGCTGCTGTTTTAGCAGTGGTTGTACTAGCTGATGGTGAACTACATGCTTGGGAGTGTGCATCAATGATCGGTCTTTATGTCTTTTATGTCGTCCTAGTTGTGTCCTGGCATTGGTATTTGACTCGTCAGCGACGAAAGTACGATAGAGAGTTTGCAGCAAGAGCTCAATTTCACATACCTCAAAGCCAAGAACTGGATCTAGAAGAACGATCGTCCGAAGATGATCCTGTTGCTGGAGAATCGAGCAGGCTATTACAGGGCCGGAGATCACCCGATTTCGAGGCACTTGAAAGGCCAGTATGGAACGATGACGACGAAGAAGAAGACGATGAGACACGTAACAGATATCTTGCCGAGATACGTGAGAATATGCGAGTCACACGGCCACCTTCATATGTGCGGAGAACGACTGCCACATCGATCCGGCCAAGTTTAGTCGGCGCTCTAGAATTTCAGTCTGTCCTTTCATCTTTGAAGAAAGCGAAGAATATACACGATGATACGATTGACCTCGGTCATTATGTGGATACAGATTCTGCCGGCCTGTCTCCTCGTATCCTGCCAAGGTCGAGTCAGAGTAAGACATCCTTTAATCGACCAGAGGAGTCCTCAACTCAGCGTCGATCTGCTTCACTTAATGTCACACCTATTTTGCGTTTAGATACTGGCTCAAACAATGCAAAGCAGCACAGTGGGACGTTGATTCCAGTGGTTTGGGGATCTTCCCACGCGGCCTTACAACAGAACAGTGAAGTTCAACATGTACAACATCAACCAACAACATCTACTCTTACTGTTCCCCGATCTCCCGAGACAATATTATCTGATCACTTGACCGTTCCTCAAGCTGTCTTCAGTTCTCCGAATTACCAAGCGTCGCCTCGATCACATCAGCCTCCATCGCCAAGTGGTGTATCCCCATTTGGCCACACACTTCCACAGCCGACTAACTTTGAGCAATCAGACGAAAGTGATAATGACACTATAAGATTTCCCGCCTTTGTCGACTCACCAGCTTCTATGTCTCCCAGACCATCCATTCTGAATCTTCCTGCCGCTGCTGTCTCACCGACTACAGAATATCGAAATGTGTCTACTCAGGAAGAGCTAGTATCAAAGTGGTGGCATTATCCATCGTTGATTCCTGGAACCATGTTTTTCGCCCTCTTTCCAACGCTGTGTGATTGGAGATCAAAATCCTTTTGGGCAAAGATTCTAGGTGTCGTTGCGGCGCCCAGCGTTTTCTTCCTCACGGTCACAATTCCGGTCATAGATCCTAATCAGACTGAAACCACGGAGAATGAATGGGACAATCGTCGCTCCCATTCACCTGCTGTTCTAACTCCCGCTAGTGGTAATCAGCGTCAACCAACGCCGATCATTCGACTACCTGATGAATCGCCAACTCTACAACCCGAAGATCATCAGCGACTTGGAAACGGCTTTCGTCATAGTATAGAACACATTTCCCCAGTGGCACAAGTCCAGGAGTCAGGTACTCTTCCCAATAGACCAAGGCTTGACTCTGAAATGGCAGCCGGCCCACCAGAATTAAATGACGACCCCTCGTCTGCAGCAACACGAACCTGGCACCGCGCACTTACAACGATTCATGTATTTACGTCACCACTTTTCACCACCATAGCCATTTGGAGTCTCCTGGATGACGAGCACAACTTACGAAATTTAATCATCCCCATCCCTATCAGTCTAGGCGCATCATTTATATGCGCCATACTGCTCAATATATTCCTGAAAAAACACGACGATCTCACGCAAGCACCCAATCAACTCCGCCCCTTTCTATCGTTCATCGGCTTCATCGTCGGCATCTGCTGGATCGCGATAATCGCAGATGAAGTCGTCAGTCTGTTAAAAACCCTTGGCGTAATTCTGAATATCAGTGACTCACTTCTAGGTCTCACAGTATTTGCCGTGGGCAACTCATTGAGTGACCTAGTGGCGGACATCACTGTAGCTAGACTAGGATACCCAGTCATGGCGCTAAGTGCTTGCTTTGGAGGACCCATGCTCAACATACTACTCGGGATCGGCATGGGTGGCCTGTATATGACACTGCACTCCAATGTCGAAGCCCCAACAGCGTCAGCAATTGAAGGTGTCGCACGCCATGCTCCGTACAAAATCACGATCTCGAAAAATCTCATGATTAGTGGTCTGACATTACTCGTTACACTGGTTGGACTATTGATCATAGTGCCGCTGAATCATTGGAAAATGGATCGAAAAATCGGCTGGGGACTCATTGTGCTTTGGTCGCTGAGCACGCTGGGCAATGTCATTGTTGAGCTTGTGATATAGAACTTCTCTCTTGCATCGTGTAGTTACTCCGTCGGCAGGGGTTTCTGTTGTTACTACTCGCGTTCTTTCTTCCTTCTTCTGACTACTACATTTTCCCATTTCGTTCCTATGCATAATTTTTGGGTGCATTGTGTATATCACTACAGGTTTACGAACGAGATTGTAAACCGATGTATATCTAGTAGAAGCTCTGCTGCTTCGAGTCAACAAGGTTACTGTCATTGATATTCTGCACGGTGGCCTGACATGTAATAGCCTAGGACTCACTTACAATCTGTGAATGAGGATAAAGCAGGTATGCGACTGAGATATAGATACTTGTAATGACTAGCAAATACAACTACATCGAACCAACGCTGTTTGATGTTACTCACAACAGTTGACCTAAACAAAGCAAAGAAGAGCACACAGTTTATAGACTAAAAGTAATGGATTATGTTCAACCAAACAATTTCAATCTCACAGTACACGACCAGCAACGGAGCTTGTGCTTCGGTCTTTCGTCTCAACCTTCTTCAACCCGGTTCCAGCTCGGATGGATGCGAATAGTGCACCGCGGTCGTTGCCACCACCGCCGCCCAAGGCTGGAGGAGGACCAGCAGCGGGTGGTGGAGGCGGTGGAGGAGGAGCACCACCAGGAGGAGGTGGAGGCGGTGGAGGAGGACCAGCAGCACCTGGGGGTGGGGGAGGAGGCGGTGGAGGAGGAGCAGAGGGTGCTGTTACTGCGACTGGAGTCTCGGCCTCCGGTGAGAAGGGAACCTCTTCAATTGGGTGTGCCGGCGGAGGAGGCGGCACGGTGGGACTGTTTTCTTGTACAGGAGTCGCAGATTTCGAATCGTCCATTGCGCTCAAAGGTCTAGGGGGTGCCATAGTGCCAAAGAGGATGCTTGCAAGTTGTTTAGCGCTTCCGCCTCCTACACGGTCGTCATCCTCATCATCAGAAGATTCATTGTCAGATCCAGCGGCAGACCAGTCATCATCCTGTTCGGGACGTGCACGAGGCTTTCGTTCAAGAGGACCGGGGATGGCTGCTGGACCTGATGCGACTTTTGTACTGKCCTCTTGTTGCTGCTGCTGGAGCCTGAAGAATGGATTTGTAGACTGCCCTTCTGATGAAGGAGTGATTGCAGCAGGTTCTGTCGAAGGAGGGGAAATGGCCGCGGCTGATTGAGCCTCGGCGGGCTGATTGAGCTGTCGGAAGAAGGGGKTTTTTGACTCGGCTGCACCAACGCTACGGCTGCTGGATGGCGAACCATTGACTGGTGGCGTGGGCTGCACATCGACAGCTTCGGCTGCAGTCACAGAGACTGGCGGGGGAGAGTATACGGGAGCTGCAGGAGTGCTGATATCAACAGGGCCCTCCTCGTCAGAAGAGCTCTCGTCGAGGTTCTCGAGTTCTCGCTGTAGCTGACGTTCACGCTCCTTCGCTGCCTCCAACTCAGCCCTTTGCGCAGCAAGTCTGGCTTCCTTCTCCTTTGCCTCTCGCTCTGCGGCCTGCTTGCGTTTTTTCTCTTCCTGCTTCTTTATTTTACCGGCACGGACCTGCTCTTCAAGGGCGCGAAGGCGTGCTTCATGAGCTTCACGTTCCTTCTGTAGCTCATCTTCCTGTCGACGAGTCTCGTCCCTATATCCAAGTTAGAATACATCGCTTATTACAGTCCAGTGCATCGTATGACTAAGAACTTACTCAAGCTGTCTCGTCTCAGCTTCCTGGGCCTCTTGCTCCTCCCGTATTGCTTGTTCCTTGATTGCAGTCTCTTCTGCCTTTGCCGTTTCTTCGGCAGTCCTTGACTCAGCTTGACTGTCTGGTCGACCCTTGCGTGAGGGAGGCGCTGGAGGGGGTTTCTTGCCAGCGGCTTTAACAGCAGCGGGCGCAGGCGTTCGTTCATCAGCGAGACGGCGTTGCCTTTCTTGCTCCCGTTTGGCATCTTCCTCCTCCGCCTTTTTCAATCTCTCTTCACGTTCCTTTCTTTCACGCTCTTGACGCTGAAGAAGAGTGTCGCCGGAGTCGGTGCTAGGTTTGAGACCAGCCGCAGCCATGCGCTCAGCAATGCGCCTTTGCGCACGCTCCCTTGCCGAAGCCACACGTTCCTCATGAGTCTGACCCGCAAGAGATGCAGACGATTCTGTCGAGCTCGGAGCGGGTCGTGACGGTAGTTCAGATTTTGTCACCGACGGCGGCTCCCTGGACACGGAACGAGCCTGGTCTTCCTTCCGGATCTTAGCTGTTCGGCTACCACGCTGTAAATCGTAGATAAAGTCTCGGATTGTATCTTCCACTCCGAGAGCCTCTTCCCAACGGCGCCTCTCATGTTCGCGAGTAGAGTTCTCGGTGCCCTCCTTGAGACTATCCTCAAGGCTGTGTGAGAAATCTTTGACACTTTCCTCCACGTCCTTTGTCATGGCCTCGTTACGCTCGCGCTCTGCTTTGATCTTTACATTCTCCTCTTCAAGTCGGCGAGTAGCTGCACCCTCATCGTCTGACGAAGTGGGAACAGGGCGACCTGCCAATTCGGCGGCACGTGCCTGCATACGAGCCCGGGCACGAGCTTTGATCCTATCGGCTTCAGTTATAGCGCCTCCTGGKCCGGTACCAATGATATTCAGGGCACTGTTAGGGTGAGCTTTAGCATCACGCAAGCGGAATAGCTCAAGTCTAGCTTCGGCAATTGCTCTCTCGACCTTGCGTACGTTAGAGGCAATCTCGGGGATCTTGTCTTGATATGACTGGAGCTGACGGCGTAAAGAACGACGTTCTGCGCCGGAGTCCACACCACGGAAAGCAGATTTGGGATCGGTGTCAATATCATCTTGGACACGACGAATGCGATCCATCAAAGACTCTGCCTCACGTCTGTCTCTGCGGTCCATAGCATCGTCTTCTTCTGCCTGGTTCTGGTCTCTAAAATCGACAGCGTCCAGCATGATCTTCGTTTCGCGAAGCTTTTTCTTCAGCTGATCAACAGTCAATTCATCGTCTGATCTTTCCGAGACTTGCGATGAAGCAGCTGGGGAAGGCGTCCTGCCACCATTACCAACTCTACGACGAGCGCTGGAGCGATATCCAACTTCGTCTCTGTTCTGGTACCTGGTGGCGTCACGTCGCGTTGCTGCACCGGGTGATGTTGCGCCACCTCGGAAAGAGTGATCTTTCAGGTAGCTGACACCTGTCTTCTGGGGCTGAAGGAAAGCACCACTTGTTTTGCGGGCCTCTGCATCCTGAGATAGCAAAGACTTGACTGTGCCAATAGAGTCGTTCAAGTTCCTTGTCGAAGGTGGAACCAATTCCGGTGGCAAGCGTGTAGGAATAGGATAGCCGTTAAGTCTCCTGTAGATCAAGTGCATAGCGACGCAGAACTCGTCCTGGTTGATCTTTCCTTTGTCGTTGGAATCTACCAATGTCCAAATGCGTTCTAGATCCGAAGTCGGMAAGCCACTCTGACCCATGATTTCGATAGCAGTTGCTCCACCGATGAATCCCTTATTCATACCATCCCAGGCGCGGAAAAGCTGATCATATATTTTCTTCTCCTCCTTAGTGACAGCCCATGGAATGTTCGCATTGCCCGAGAGACCAGTCGTACTGAAACCTCCTTCGCGGCCAGGCTGTGGCATGAGTTGTTGCTTCAGGGCATCAATGTTCGGCAACCCAGTTGCAGGCGTGTTAACAAATCCCCACTGGCCAGGAACACCAGTAGGTTGGGCAGCCAACGGGGCCATTCCAGTCTGTGATGGAGATAAATGGGAGGCAAAGCCAGTGGGCATAGGTGGCATGGGAGGGCGTGGGCCATTGTATCCAGTTGCTTGCGGGTTGCTAAGAAAGCCGGTAGCTTGGGGTTGAACAGGTTGCGACTGACCTGGGAATCCGGTGGGCTGTGGTGCTAGACCTTGCGGCTGGAAACCAGTCGCTTGGTTATAGAATCCAGTAGGTTGAGCAGTAAGCTGATTCAGGAGCTGCGTGTTTGACGGCTGTTGCGGCGTGGGCTGTTTTGGAGCCGGGGGCGCTGCAGAGTTTTGCATAAGAGGAGCGTCGAACTTGGGAGCATTGGTCTGTGGCGCGCTTGACTGAGTATCCGGGACGCCAAATGAAATGATGTCGACCATTGACGAAACTTCATTGGCGATTTTTTCGGGCAGAGACGTAGGAATCTCCTTGCCAGTAAGCCTCAGGTTGCAGAGGTACTATGGGTTGGTCAGCGTGGTTATTGATCGAACAAGTTCAAAATTCACTTACCAAAGCTAATGCGAGCTCGGGGAAGAAAAGCTGGCCGGTTTTGTTGGTATCTGACAAGACCCTAGAACATATGTTAATTTTACAAGCTCTGAGCTCATCAGAAGTACCCACCAAATCTTAGATAGATCCTGGCCAGGAAGCCGTGAACGCAACAAGATATCCCGAGCTTTGTCTCCTACAGCCGATATTAGTAAAATAAATACACGAAACCCTACATTATCAGACGAGCACCTACCATCCAATGTCACATCATCTCCAGCCGCGGCTTTAAACAGCTGCTCAAACTTGGCTTGATCCTCCGCAGTGATGAACGAAAGCCTCATATTCGGCATTCTCGGCCCTGACTTCGGCGGCGGAGTCGGTCGGGAAGACGAGCTGTCCTGAATGAACGATTGCGCCATCTGCGCCGATGTCTTGTGAACGGCAATCGTGGGGGGCGCTGCGGATGCACTGGGAAATTGTTGAGAGGCTGCATTTTGTTGCTGCGGAGCTTGCGATGACTGACTCGGAGCGAATTGGTTCTGAGGAGCAGCGCCTGGGAATCCGGTGAATTGGGCCTGCAATTGCGGTTGCTGCTGCTGGGGCGGTTGGAGCGATGTTTGACTGTACGGTTGTTGAAACCCTGTCGGATTAGGAGCGCCCGGGAAACCAGTGAACTGAGGCTGAAGTTGCTGACCACCAGGGAAGCCCGTGGGTTGGGTGACTAGGCCATGCTGAAAGCCAGCTGGTTGCTGTTGCTGTTGCTGGAATGGTGATGCCTGTTGCTGCTGGCGAGCGCTGTTTGCGCTGCCAAGGAACGAATTCGAGGCAGAATACATTTATACAGATGATATGAACATGAAACTGAAAAGAAAAGTAATGCAAGGATTATACAATGTAGCACACGCACGCGAGGCAAGCAGACATGCTAAATGTGAGGTTTGCAGCAGCTGTTTTGGGAGGTTGGAAACAATGACGGCGGAGGAGAAGGGGGGAAGGTGGAAACTAACAGAACGGACAGCCACAGTCCAACACGCGCTAGCCACAACCGGTGCCCAAGTCAACAACAGTTTCTACTTGACTCGATCATTTTTTTAGCTCTCTTTTTAGTTCATTCATTTTGATAGATAACTTTTGATTAAGTGGACTATTGATTTCAAATAAATATTTCGTGGAGAGGACGTAACTTCCCGACTTTCGTCAACTAGTGCGATTTCTGCCGGATGTCTACTTGAACATTGAGCTTTAAATATGTAATTAGATGTTACACCAAAGGACTCAAAAAGATGATAAGACTTTCAAACGTCATTAATTGCTGATAAACTATCCTGAACAAACGCCTAGATTATGAAATATATTTTCCAGCAACGCCACCGTCAAAACCCATCCTGAGTCCCATTCTGATGCTGAGACGCGCCCACCATTTTCCTCAGTTCAAACTCCTTGGTGAACTCTCGAGATAATGTACCCAAATCTCGGACAGTGTCGTGACAAGCCGCGATGAGAGCATCCTTGGGCGTTATCTCGCCGTCTGTTTGTACTCGGAGCTCGAGTTTGTGTACAAGAGGATGTGGGATCTTTTTATCATTAGTCTTTACATATTGGTTCAAGTAACAGGGGCAAGACAAGCATACCTTGTAAGCAGCGAAGGTGACATGACGGTTCTGAAGCAGCCGGCCACGGAGAAGATTACCCACGGAGTGGTCTTCTTTATTAATGGTGAATATAGATGTGGATGGAGTTCCTGTCCTGATATTAGTCATGATGATAATCGATGTGAGGACGAATCAATACATACGTGTATCTGCCTTTTCTTCAATTTTCTTTTCTCCTTCCCCTAGAATAAAGGCCTCTGTTCTGGACACGCAGATGATGTCAGCATTACTAGACACAGTTGCTTTAAATGAAAACATAATATGACATCTCTCTCTCCCTCCTCTTGACGCAAGAAAGAAACGGAATGGAAAACGAGACGAAAGGCGAAGAGCAAAATACTTTCTAGGCACATTCACAGCAGGCGGGGGAGCAGAGGCATCTCGATAGCGGGTTCCGTTCCATGAAGCCGCAGCGCTTTCGCCGTTTTTGGTCCACGGCATATCGTTCATGAGATCGATTTGGATGGGGTGAAGGGGAAAGTAGTACGGTGGATGAGAGGAAATAAAAAGAGAGGCTAGTAACCGAAAAAGGCGAGAGTGCCTGAGAGGTCATGAAGATGAGAAGGAACAGAGACAGACATGCAGGTGAGAAGAGGAGAGATGACAAGCTAGGAAGGTGCCCTCATGGACGAACACGAATGAACCATCAGGATAAAATGATAGAACAAACTAGATAGAACAGCCAAACCCACCTGTCTGGAGCGTTCATATTGGCGCTTCTATCCTTCTATCCAATCAACCAGTGACTTGATAGACAAATATAACAAAAAAAAACCGCCTAGAATACCCGTCCAACGGGTTGCTTCCTCTCTCACCGGTAGTAGAGAGCTATAGTAAGAATTTGACGGAAGTATCCAACCAAAATAGTATGTTAGTTACAATATAAAGCGTTGAAATGGTCGAAACGAATCGAAATGCACCAGTCCAGAATGTATGAAGATGCTGGAGATCTCCGGTGATCCTCCTCGGGCGGAAAAGTTGCCTGCAGCGGAATTGTCAGTATCAGCACGTGACTTCCGGCCAATTATCTTTACTTGGTCTCTACTTCTAGGACGACTTTCTACTTGTACTTGTAACAAGGACGGAAAGCAAATGGATCCTTATGCATGTTGCGTCTGATAATTTATCCATTTTCGTAATCCTGAAAGAAGGGGGAAAATGCTACTCATAAAACAAGAAAAAAATCATGACCCGAATGACCTTGCTCAACTCCTTCGAACAAGAAAAAGCGCGATGTAACAACACGGTTTTTATAATGGAAGGATTATACATAAGAGAGGAAATGATTACAAATGAAGTCATTCCTGGTCAGAAAATAAGTAAAATAGAGAAGATTATCTCTGATGAGAATCGTAATGCCGAACCATGAAAGTATAAGATAAGAAGTCGTATAATGTAATAGTCGAAGTTCAAAAATCATCGTGATCGTGTGCGTTGAAGCTCCATCAAAGTATTGATGTACTGTTTAATGGACCATGTGCAGAAGATCGCCCAAAGCCGAGTTTTCCTTTTTCAACTTCCAGCTGCTTTTCTTCTTCTCGCGCTTTTTCATAAGGTCTGCCCAGGCTTCATCCTCATCTTCGTCTGGAACCGCATTCTTGACATTCTGTTTTCCAGAAATAGAATCTCTGCCGGTACTGCCAACAGCTCGAACGGTCACAGTGGCCAACGAGGTTGATTTACGGTCTCCAGGCTGCAAGTGACTAGGGGAGACGGAGGTTGGTCGTGGGTTCTCATTGTTCCAAGGCTTGAGAGATGATGATGTAAACGTTGATGATCGAGGCATTTGTTGCTCTTGGCCAGCCATGGAGACTGGTCGGTAGCGAGAAGCCATTCCAACATTGCTGCGCTCTGAAGGAGCTATGGATGGGGCATATCCATGACCGCCTTGCGGTGTCATAGGACGTCCTATTGCGTCGGGGTGGATTGAGACCGGTCGATTGAGGTTCCAACGGGACATATTGGGATCTAACATGCTCAAGGTGCGCTGATCAATTTGGGGTGGGTTAGGGGGTAGGTGAAAGGATGATGCCATTGATTGCGGACGGTGAGCTGTGTTGACAGGTTGACCGAGGGCCGGTAGGAGGTTAGGGTTGATCTGTGGTGGTTGTTGTCCAGGCGAAACGCCCTGCATTTGCATCATCTGCTGCATCATTTGTACTTGCACTTGCATGATCTCCGTCATTTGCTGCGAAATCTGAAGTTGTGCCTGTTCGCCTGGTGTCATCACTTGAGGTTGCGGATATTGAGGTAGACCTGTCGGTCCATTCCAAGGACCTGAGGCGTTCATCTGGGCCATATTCGCAACGGAATATGGACGAGGAATTCCTGCAGCTTGAGCTTGAGCTTGAGCATTAGGACTTCCTCTGCGCATCGCTCGAGCTCGTTCCTCGTTTGCGATGACCCCCACAAGACCACCGGGCGGTAGCGAGGTTGAAGATGGCGAGGATCCTAAAGCAGGCGCTCCACCGCCCATTGCCAAACTTTCCCTATGGGAAGCATTTACAATACCGGCTCCAAAGTAGGGATCTCGAGGTAGGTTACGGGCAAACACAGGTAAGCTAGCCCGAGGATCCGAAGCATTTTCGGTCGAGGAAGGACCAGGAGATCCAGAATATGATACACGAAGATTGGGATTAGAGCTCGACGCATTCAACCGAGTAGGCGGTCGGTTCTTGTTGGGAAATCCGTGTGCCGCCAATATTGCAAGAGGGACATCGTCGTCATCCTCACCATCACTCTTACCGCCCTCCTGTGAAATTGTGGGTAAGATGAGCATCGACGAGCGTGAGAGCAAGTTTGGCGTGCTGATACTACCGTGTTCGGAGATTGGGCGCAGTGTTTGCGAGCCGCTTAGAGAGCCGGTTGATTGGTGAGGAGCCTGTTGTCCAATAACTTTCATCATCTGCTGACGGTAAACGGACAGGTGAGCCTCTTGCTTGCGGCGTTGTCGTGCAGCTTCTCGGGTCTTCTCCGCTTCGTCTTCATCTTCCTCGTCGTCTTCATAATCATTTCCAGTTTCTGAGTTGTCGCTCTTTGATGTAGCGCTGAGTCTGCGAGTCATCTCTCTCTGTTGACGGTAACGTTCGAACTGAGCAGGCGTCATGACCTTGTTTTGCGTGTTAGATGCCGAGGCAACGTGATATTCGTATTGCGAGGCTAGCTGTGCGCTAGACGTGATCTCATCGCTCTCGAAAAGAGGGGTTTCTTCGCTTGTATTAGGATGTGGACTAGTTGAGGCGGGTGGTTGCGGGCTTCGGGTAGACAGCAGTATAGATTTGCGAACAATTTCGGCGTCATCGTTGTCGGCTATGAATGAAGGCGAATCATCAGAATCGTAGCTATCGGGTGACTCTGGAGCTGCGGACTTGGCGGAGGTCATGGATTGCGACGGTGCCAGCATTGCCGTTCGTCCTTCATGTTTGGCGTTGTCATCGTGCATCAGGGCATTAGCAGACGTCTGACTATCCCACGAGTACGGTGACGGCTCAACAGCTTGCCGCCTATCTGTGATTATAGGAGCTAACGGAACGCCTCGTTCGTTACGACTAGGGGTTGGACGATCGTTCAATTGAACATCGCTCTGCAGATCGTTAATATGAGACGGGCAATTTGTTGACTGCGCAGGTGACAATACCATTTTCGAAGAGTCCAACAAGATGGCGCTTTTCCGCTTGCCAAAGTTCTCAAACATGCTACCGAAGCCATCATCCTCATCACCCGCCCCGCTTATAGCCAGATCTGAATCCAACAACTTGGGAGGAATGGCTGTGCTGGCCGAGCTTGCGGTCGTTGCTCGATCTCGGGTGGTCGATGGAGACACAGTCGTCTGCTGGCGGGATTGTTGATGTGATGTGGGTGTAGATGTACGCGGTCTTGTTCCGAATGAGAACGTACGGCCGGCGGCACGCAAAGAAAACACGGAAGGAGATTCTGGCACTGGTGGTATGGGGAGGTCATGAACGCCTCGAGAAAGGTCGTTATGTACAGGGACATCGGTGGACGAAGGTAGGGTTGAAGATGAACTATATCGAGCAGAAGACGAGCTGTCATAGAGACCAGTGGAGGCCGAATTGTTGGTTCCACCACTGGCTCTAATAAAGCAAATCAGCAACCGGAACACCTTAGCCACAGATGACCATCCACCGGGACATACCTATTATGGGGAAGAGGCTTTTCGATTCCAGAGAATATGTTATCTGATTCCGCAGTTTCTGGGCGGTAGTATCGGCCCTCACCACTGGAAAAGGTCTTGCCCTTGTTCAATCCATTCGGACGCTCGAATACCCGAAACGAGGACTCAGGTGCCTGTTCCACCTCATCGAGAACGTTGCCAGACGACTTTCGTCGGGCAAAACTCTTGGGAAGCTTGATCGGCATCGAGGCGGTATTATCGAATGTAAGACCCGACTCGTGCCTGGTGTAAAACCGCCGCAGGGAAGACGGAGAGCGAGATGGTTGGAGCTTTCAGGGCAAGATCGAGTGTAGAAAATGATTTCTTACTCTCGAAGACCCAAGTGTCAGCGAGAAAGACCTAGACTTCCAGGGGCCGTGCAGGAGTCGATTGATTGTTGCTGAAACAACGTCTGGGCCGGTCACAGCAAAGGAATTAATTGGCAATCACGGAAGGCTGTGGCCGAGCCGAGTCCGAGGAGAGCGAAGGTGTATTATTATTATTAAGTAGTCGACCGAGTTGCAGGGGCGATATTATAGAAACAGAAAATAAAGAAAGAGAAAGAAGTGCGCATGAATCAAAAATCGAATTGTTCAAGGTGTGAAAAACAGATGAAGGGAAGAAAGTATCGATGGGTGGTGGATGGATGGATGGATGGTTGGATGTTTTCGTGAAGTGTTATTTAGCGCCGCCGTGGACCTTCTGGCATGCCCCTACTGGGCGATGTTTACATAGTATGCCGCCGCCGAGAACCCACCGTTTCCGGCCAAGGAGAATGCTGTTTATTTATTTTATTCTTTAATGACAGCTTGATATAAGCATCCAGACTCTTAATAATTTGATCTTCAGGCTGCGTACTACGGGAGTACGACGTTTATGTTTACTATGTAGTGAGCAGTAATTGACTCGATCAAATTGTACCGGCCCACAAGGGTATATTAGTGGTGAGTATTGATCGACTCCAAATTTAGCATGTAAACCCGCTTAGCTACTTCGTATCTTACATAGTACAGTAGCAAGCACGCTCACAGCTTGCTGCTGATCCCAACTCTTTTGAAGATTTCGAGATCTCATTTATACTATGTGTCGTATGTACGTATATGCTTACACCTCGAAATCAGAAGCAAAAAATTGATAGTTTCTTGCTAGCGCTACACAGTGGCTGCCAAAAAAAACCTGGTGGACGGAGTATACTACGAACATTAATGAATGATTATTGTGACTGTGGCGGCAGAGGCGGCGTTGATTGGGCCTGACATGTCTCATCGCCCAAGCACGGATACCGTATGTTACGCCAGTATGGCTCGTTCTATGCAGCGAGTGCCGGGTTTGCGCGGTAAGTACAGTACGCAGATCTGAATCAGGGGAAGCCCAGAGCTTAGAGTTTTGGCCTTGGGACATTCGATGCGATCGGCTTGATCGTCTAGCTGTGTATGTGGACAATGTAAAAGTACATATATATATTATTGCGTCGATGTCGAATATCATTGATGTACTTGACAGCAGTACCCTTTTCTATGTATTACGCAGAATTCTCATTCCATTCCATCTCCTGACCCGGCGAGAAAAAAAGATCTGGCTGGACTCTGTAATAAATCACGGAGTACCCTTACCGAAGATGGGCAGTGCTACTCAACCAACTAAAGAATGCTAGCCGACCTTTAAAGATCAAGTGGAGCCCTCAGATTATTTAATTACATAGTAAGACAATCGCCGCTGACACTTTTGACTTTCAGCCCTTCAAGTTGTGTAAATTGTGGATGATCATGGCATCATATGTCTTGCAATTTGCCCGTCACCCATCTGCCCTTTAGCGACATGCTCCCTATTCAGCCTACTTTGTGTCACGGAAACTCCGCACGTCAGTTGATCAATTGGCTCGGCTCGTACCAATCACATGTTTTTGGTGGCTGCAATAGTGGCAAGCCTCGACTTCGATAGGGTGTATCGCGTACCTACTTTTACCGACTGGTCTTGTTATGGACTAGCCTTGAAGTTGTGTACTGCGTATGTAGCTAGTACCAAGTCACATTCCTTACAGATTTTCGTTGGCACACGGGTGTTGCTCGGAATGTTGTTCCTACATACATTCCTATTTACGTAGTGACCACAATTCTCAGTCTGTCGTGGTCGCCGGCTACTACGGCGGACGAGAGAGAAGAAGGCATATATTCGTGCCAACTCGAATCAACAGGGCCTAGAACAATTCATTTGGTACCCAAAGAAAAAAGAAGATGAGCCCAGCGACTGGATAGCCATCAGGAAAGAAGGATGCACGAAATAGAAAGCAACGATGGGTCCAGTAAAGTGGAATGGTCGGTCTCCGGTCAACAAGAGCAAGATTCAAAGGTCTCCCTCGACGACAATCGAGTCTTGAGCTCGAAGACCGCCAATCAACGCCACTCCTGCTGGAACGCGAACGTTGACGACATTGAAACAGGCAAATGCCGTTAATTTCTGCAAGGCGGGACAGCACTTGAAGATTGATGTCACGATGAAATCGTTCATGACTGTTTGGAAGGAGATATCCAAGTCTTTGAGCGCAGGATAAGCCCGACCGTCAGCAAACACCTTTTCAAAGGCATCACGAGAAATATGCCGGCAGGAGCTGATGTTCATTCTTTCCAGCTTTGATCCCGAATGTTCCATCAAAGCTATGAAGCCCTGTGATGCAAGCCCCACAGGTTCTTCTGGCCCATTCGGATTAGAGTTGTCGATATCCCGAGTGGACGATAAGTCAACAAACTTCAGAGGCGGATTTGACCATCCCGTAAAGAGATCGACATACCCTTTGTCGGTACAGACCACGTTATCAGATAGTCGCAATTTCTCAAGCCGAGAACAGCGAGTGTGTATTTTTTTGAGCAGCGCATCGTCACAATCATGAAAGCCTTGCAAAGAAAGAGTGTGCAGTTTGGGTCCGAGTTTATCGACCAGAGTAATGACGCTGGTTGGTTGTACATCTCGCAGCATATTGATCGACAGATGCTCCAGCTTGGTTAGGTTGCCCAAGGCGGCAAGCGCTTCATCTCCGATTTTCCAGCAATGACTCAGCTTCAACCGACGAAGGTTCGGACACTGTTTGCTGAGGGCTACAACAGTCTCATCATCGAACGAAGAGTCGAGATTCGAGAGCTTCAATCCTTCCAGTTGAGGGCCGAGTTTCATAAATAGCTGTCGCCAGCAACCATCAGAGATGAGATTAGCAGCATCAAGCTGCAAATGCTTGATCTTGAGCTGACGGTCCATCATATATTCCAGTACTCTGTCTTTCATTTGACCTGCAAAGCGCAGATTGACATGCGCAAGATGTGGCATGAAGGTGAAAATCTTCTCGAAATCATCCGTCTCAAGTTCTGAGATATGTAAGCTGGAGTAGAGAGAAAATACCAAAAAGAAATCATGGTTACTTACTTCCACAATCATAGATGTTGATTGCATCGAAATCTGAGCGTAGAAAGAGTTGAAGCGTCCGTGGAGTGAGCACTCGTCTCTTCGATAAAATTTGACTCAAGCGATGAAGTAGCTGTGGAGGCAAGTCACCAAACTCTTCCACATCGTTGATGTTGTCCGCGACTTTCTGGACATCTTCATTAGCCTCAATAACCTCTACCAAGAGTCTACAAGTCTGGCCTACCTTTGTACACATTTCTACTAGACTTGAAGCGCCTTGTTGAGCGATACCGTCTAGCAGTTTGCTTTGGTTCTGACGCCGGCTAGTTTTAGGAGCAGTCTTCTTCGGTTTTGCCTTCTTCTCATCCTTGGCCAGTTCTTTGGAGCACTTAGCGCAAAGTAGACCCCCATCTGGTCCGGTTTTGCTGTAAGGTGTGACAGTGAATCTTTTTTGGCAGATCTCGCAGTTGTCCAGCTGTCCTGGCAGCGGCCTCGACTTTTGATGCATCATGTCGCGAGCTATTTCATCGTCATCGGAGTCCTCACCCTTGCGAGCAGCCTTGCGACGGGCAAACTCTTTACCCTGCTTGATCTTGGCCAAGGTAGCGGCCTCTTTTCGTTTTCTTTTCTTTTTCTCCTCGGGTGACTCGCCAGTAGTCCCCTCCTCGTACTCTGCTTCGGCTTCGCCATTTTCTCTCTGCTCACGTTCGGCCTCTCGTTCTGCCTGGCGCAGACGCTCCTGATAATCATTTTGAATCTGAGCTGCAGAAATGTTGTTTGACTAACGAAGGATGCCATATTAGTAAAGATTTTAACGTCATACCTCCCGGTGTTCGTCAAAACTATCAAATTGAACATTAATAGGTGGATGAAGTGATTAAAAGCTTACCGCCAGGAAATCAGTAAGAGCCGAATGTCTGAATGGCAAAGTCAGTAAGCTTCACTTTGAAGATTTGGTGGATAACTTACGGTCCCCTTATCTGATTGCCATTTTGGCGCCGATTAGACCTGTTGGACCTGTGATAAGTGTCAGCATTCATCTCATCCCACACATAATGAGTAGTATATCAGATGTTCGAGCGCCTACATATTGAACGTATTCCCGATAATAATGTTCTGGTCACTCGAAAAAATTTCTCGGCCAGTATGATCTGAGTAGTAAGCACTGAGCAGTGAACAGCCGGAAGTCACAGGAACTCGTGACACTTTCGCGTTCCACTTAACGCGAGAATCGCCCGGAAGTGGGGTTCATTCACCACATAAGGCGGAAAAAAAACTCGATCGGCTTGCCACAGCCGAGAGGGTGTTCCTGGCTCTTTGTCTTTAGTCTTCCGAGTTCACAGGACTGGTTCAAGGAGGTGGCAAGAGAAAAGTGCACGGAAGAGATCGTCTGAACTTGGCTCCTTCCCAAATTCCGATCGATACGGATCGCGCCTTCTCCTGTTGCACTTCTTGCGGTGGATAAGGGGCGCTCCAGGCAACCACTAGCCCCACCAACCAGGGTGCTCCTTCCGCCAGTGAACGGGTAGATCGCAGCCAATCAGACGCTGTGCTCATGACTGAACCACTGTGCTGTTCCTCTGATGATTCTATCGGTCTGACCATAGACCGTTCCTTTTCCTTTTCATCTATTCTCGACAAGGCCGACAGCTCGTCCCAAACCGCCAGCACATTCGCCGTTCTGATCAGTATTGGACGACAGCCGTTTGCAAAGGTGCCAGATTTGGCGAGTGGTCGATCATTTATCGGGTAAGGCTGCGATAACTACTCCGTACTGTACGATAAGACCAAACGCTCACTGAACCTTCATTTTCCTAGACACTCTAGCGAGGCCACCGATCGTTACAATGTCGACCAGGCGCAGTTCTATCAGGCTTGCACGCGGTGCATCTGTCACTCAAGCCCCAGAAAGTGACGAGGCGGTTGCTGCATCAACTTCGCACCCAAATCCCAAATCAACTCGTCGCACTACGAGAACTTCATCCTTTATGATCGAGGTTGCCGTTCCAGCGGTCAAGATGACAGATACAGTTTCGAGTGCCTCGTCACTTTCGCCGCCGTCCGTCGACTCAGTCTCGCGAGAGGATAGCGTTCTTGATACCCCGGCTACAAGCGTCGCTGTTTCTCCACCGGCATCCGACAATGGTGGAAAAACCAGGAAAAGGGTCAGTGCTTCGACAAGAGCCCAGCAGCTTCGTGCCAGTACCTTTGCTCTTCCTTCGTCTACGGGCTCGACGAGAACAAAGAGAACTGCCTCTCAAATGCTCGCTACTGAAACATCGGATGCGGCTTTGGCTCGTGAACTACAGCTTGAAGAATATGGTGGAAGTAATGCCAAACGTCAGCGAAATACTTCTGATGTGGAACGTATTATCGCCCAAGAATCCGACGATGAATTATGGCCTGAATTTGAAGAGCAAATGTCTCCTCAGCCGAGCCGACGACGCTCCTTACGCTCTCGCCCAAGATTTCAGATAAAAGATGATGTTGATTTGCCCATGCTAGACGATGGAGATGATACAGACGATGCAGACGACTATGCTTATTCTCCGTCTGACGACAACGCGAGCGAGGCGGATGCGGCTTCTCCCGAAGTAGGAGAAGAAGAAGAAGAAGAAGTCCCAGTAATCGCACCGTCGACGACTCGCCGAACTCGAACTTCTAATACGCCACGTCGTGGCCGAGTTTCGGCTGCAGCCCGACGTCAAAGAGCCGCCGAGCCAGTACTTCCTTACACAATGGGCCGTCGGGTAAGAGATGATGATCTGCAATGTGATTGGATTGCGTCACTAACTTCTAGCAGGCAGCGAAAGAACGTAGAAAGCTTGAGAAACAGCACCCGTTGATTATTAGTATGTGGAAGGACCTGGAAGATATGCCAGCTATTATCCCTCAACAGGCCGAACAACCAGCGGGTATTAACCGCATGCTCAAGTCATTCCAGTTGGAAGGCCTGAATTGGATGATGCAGCAGGAAAAAACCCAATACAAAGGAGGATTGCTAGGCGATGAGATGGGGATGGGAAAGACCATCCAGGCTGTGTCCTTACTCATGTCTGACTATCCCGTGGGAAAGCCATCTCTAGTTGTCGTGCCTCCTGTTGCATTGATGCAATGGCAATCAGAAATCAACGTTAGTAGACCGATGACGAAAAACCAATCCATCCTAACCCGTTATAGGACTACACCGATGGCAAGCTGAAGGTGCTCGTGTATCACAACTCGAATCCTAAAGTGAAGCATCTGAAAAGAAAAGACCTTCTTGGTTACGATGTTATCATGATTTCATGTGAGTTACTAACTCGTGTGATTTCTATCTTGCTAATGCCTGTGACCAGACTCTGGGTTGGAATCAATGTACCGTAAGGAGATGAAAGGTTGGAATCGAGAAGATGGCATTGTGAAGGAAGACAGTACGTAACTATCTATTATACATTGGCCATGTCAATCATTGACCATAATTGCAGGTGTGATACATTCAATCGATTTCCACCGCCTAATTCTGGACGAAGCACACAGCATAAAGGTATATAACTTCCACTGTTGCTGATCCTACATCTGTACTGATATCAAGTAGCAACGTACAACCAGTGTCGCTCGTGCGTGCTTTGCGTTGAAGTCCACATATAAATGGTGTCTGTCTGGCACGCCGGTTCAGAACCGCATTGGCGAATTCTTTTCTCTTCTTCGCTTCCTTGAAGTTCGCCCATTTGCCTGCTATTTTTGCAAAATGTGCCAATGTCAGGAGCTTCACTGGTCTCAAGATGCTGAAAAGAGATGCACGCATTGCCGTCACAGGTAAGCTTGACATTCCGTTACATTTACAAGGCTGTGTCTCACAATCTTTGTAGTGGATTTAGCCATGTTTCAGTCTTCAACCAGGAGATCCTTAATCCAAGTAAGGTCTTGCTTCTCAACACATGATGAATCATACTTACAAATTCCAGTCATGGAAAGTCATGGGCAGGCTCGTCATGATGCCTTGCGCAAGCTTCGTCTCATCACGGATCGAATCATGCTTCGGCGCTTGAAAAGAGATCATACATCATCCATGGAGCTCCCACCCAAACGGTAAGTCCTAACTTTCGACGTGGTAAAGAACACGGAAACGAGCTCATGCCTGTGTTGTATAGTGTCATCATACACAACGAGTTCTTCGGCGAAATCGAGCGTGATTTTTCTACCAGTATCATGACCAACACCACTCGACAATTCGATACCTATGTTAGCCGTGGTGTCATGCTTAACAACTACGCCAATATTTTCGGTTTGATCATGCAGATGCGGCAGGTAGCGAACCATCCAGATCTGATTCTCAAAAAACACGGTGAAGGTGGGCAAAATGTGTTGGTCTGCAGCATCTGTGATGAGCCTGCCGAAAGCCCCATCCGGTCACGATGTCATCACGAATTTTGCCGACAGTGTGCAAAGGACTACATGCGGTCTTTCGACGCAGATTCCATTGTCGACTGCCCCCGATGCCACATCCCTCTGTCCATTGATTTTGAGCAGCCGGAGATTGAGCAAGAGGAGGACGTGGTCAAGAAGAATTCAATCATCAATCGTATTCGAATGGAGGATTGGACGTCGTCTACTAAGATTGAGATGCTCGTATATGACCTCTACAAGCTGCGAAGCAAGAAGCAGACCCACAAGTCGATCGTCTTCTCACAGTTTACATCAATGCTACAACTAGTGGAATGGCGTCTGCGCCGAGCTGGTTTCAATACCGTCATGTTGGATGGTAGTATGACTCCCGCACAACGTCAGAACTCCATAGACCACTTCATGAAGAATGTAGATGTCGAAGTATTTTTGGTGTCCCTCAAGGCTGGTGGAGTGGCCCTGAATTTGACCGAAGCATCTCGTGTCTTCATTGTTGATCCGTAAGTCACTCCTTGATTTTATGTCCGGGGTCCAGTACTAACTGCCGATTCGTTGCAGATGGTGGAATCCCGCAGCTGAGTGGCAGAGCGCCGACAGGTGCCATCGAATTGGCCAACGCCGCCCGTGTGTCATCACTCGACTTTGTATTGAGGACTCGGTCGAATCTCGCATGGTCGCTCTTCAGGAAAAGAAGGCTAACATGATCAATGGCACGATTAACAAAAATGAGGGCGATGCGTTGGAGAAACTGACACCCGAAGACATGCAGTTCTTGTTCCGCGGCTCGTAAACGCCTGTTTAGACCGTTCTGCCGATGGGTGCGATTTTCGATACGTATATTAAAAACATGGTTATTTCAGGCGTTAGGACACAGCCACACAGGATAGGCGGTGCATGGAATGTGGCAGACCGGAGTTCGGTTAGGCACGGCCACATGTACCAATATCTCTTTAGTGTTTGCTTTTTCAAAACTTTTACAACATTTTCTGCAGGTTAACAGATTCAAGACATATCCACAATTCTGCGTTGACACATCGACACATTAACAAAGGCTTGGAAGACAGTAGTGCATCGTAGTCTTTTGCTAGAAGTCAATCTGATTAGCAAAAAAGCCTAGCGCCATTGATGCCATCCATTGATGTATGAGTGCCGATTGGCCAATCCAGCCATCCCTACGTCACCGGCGTGTCCGTCTTGATTTAGAAACAAAAAGGAAGCGATCCACTGATTTCATCTGGATGTCGACGCTACCACAGATGGCTCCATCATCTTGATGATCAATTTCCTTATTATCTCTCTCTACCCACTTTGAATCGACCGTCGGCGCGTCATCTCTCGGCTGCCCTCTTGTGTGCCAAGCAAAGCTTGTTCTTCTTGTTCTTTTCTTTTGCTATACTACTGTCTGGATCTGCTCGTTACCTGCCAAGAATCGCTGTTTTATTGTTAACACTCTTGAAGCGAACGTTCAGTGTATCTGATGTAGCTGACTTCCTGAAATATCCTGTCATTGTTGACCCTGATCATACTTCACCAAGGTTGTCGCAATCTCCACCCGGAAGCTCGTCTCCACTTGACACAGTATCAGAAGAATAAGGAAAGAATCATGGGTGCTGACATTTCCCCAGAAGTGCAACGACAACATGTGACCGAACGCTATGGTCCCAAGCTCGTGGAAAAGACAGAGAAGGCGCACGACAAAGCCCTCGCATTCAGACCGGGTGACCATAAGGGCAAGGCCGAGGAAAATGATCCGCCTGGAGGATTCGATGATACTCCCTTCCCACATGCACCGGCCGGTTATACGCTGAAATTTACCTTTCATCGTGCGGATAATCTGCCCGCTGCCGATTTCAACACCTTATCGTCCGACCCCTATGTGTACGCTGAACTCAAAACCGACCTACCGAAACGACACAAACAAGATCCTAATGTCGTCTTTCGGACGCCTACAATAAGGAAAAATGTGAATCCCGTGTGGAATGCAGAATGGATTGTTGCGAACGTTCCCGCATCCGGATTCCACCTCAAGTGCCGTGTCTACGACGAGGATCCGGCGGACCATGACGACAAATTAGGTAACGCGCATGTGTTTGTGGATCGCATAACAGAGAACTGGGAGGGGATTAAGGAGCGCGCATATCATCTGAAGAAGCGCGCSGGTAGCAAASGAGCCTATATGGTCAGGACTGTTGTGGCGGCTTGCTCAACCTCACGAGACTTGGACGCAGATCTTATCATCAGTGTCGAGTGTCTCGGACGGACAGAAACCAACAACGGTGCTCATATATATACGGTTGGGCCGATCTACTGGTTCAAACATTTTTCGCCTTTAATCGGGAGACTCTTGAAAACTTCTGGCGCAGCGGCGAATGAAAATGCACAAGGMAAGACCACTCCATATGAGTAAGTTTGCGCAGGATGTTTATAAAAAAGATTTACTAATGACAATATCAGCTTTCAAGCAATCGAAATACAGCTCAAGGGTCCTGTACCCGACGACTTGTATCACCGATATGTCGAGTTCAAGCCATTCGTAGCTGGAATGTTCACCTCACACAGTCTACGAGGCCGAATTTTGAACCGCGCCCTGCATCACCAACACGCTCGAATCTACAATTTCGACCGCAGCACTTTGAACGGAATCTTTTGGGAGCCATGTACAGAGCTGACAAAGCTTTTGCTGGAGTTTGTCGATCATGGTCGTGACGGTCGGATATTCACCTATGTCCTCACACTGGATGGCCAGCTTCGATTTACAGAAACCGGCAAGGAATTTGGCATTGACATGCTGAGTAAACATACTATGCACAGTGATGTTTCTATCTACATTGCCTTTTCCGGTGAATTCTTCGTGCGACCCAAGAAGAAGCACCATCGACTTCGAGAATCTATCACATCTATAAGCAGTAGCAGTCGCCCGAGAAGCAGTACAAGCGGCACGGAACCGGGAACAGAGGATGCCGATGAGGTCGGTAAAGACGAGGATGACTGTTCGGCTTACGAATTGATTATCGACAATGATAGTGGTACGTACCGACCGAACGCAGAGAAACTCCCGCTTCTGCGTGAGTACTTGTCCAAGAACTTCCCTGGCCTTCAAATCACGACACTTGACTGCCAAAAAGACGAGGATCGGATGAACCGCCTCAAGGAACAACGAAGAGCTGAAAAACAACGCGCTCGAGGCAACATGGTTTATACGCAGCAAGTGAACGACTCGTCCTCGTCGCTGTCCAGCTCTGATGAAGAGGACTTGCTCGAGCGCTCGGGGCAGCCTCATGAATCGTCGAATAAACATCATTCATATGATTTAAGCGACGTCAGAGGCAAGTTTCGGAATTGGGTCGAAGCGGCGGATGGGACTGGTGACGGTCATGATAAGGCGATATCAACTGAAAAGCCGCCTCATAACGGAGACATGAACGGACAGGCTCCGAACGACACCCCAGCCTCGACTACAGCCATCGAGGCATGAACGATATCCACGATACGCATGATAGTTTTGACGTTTTCTGTTTCTTGCCTCGATGGCTTTGATTATTTATCCCTACGTTATTTTCATTCTGCTTGTACCTGTATGCATGTATAATTCGGTCTGTTGCGTTTCGAGATAAGCTGACTATGTTTTCGCTTCTGTTACGAGGTCACGACGCGTTTCGGTTGAAATCACTGGCTGGTTTTTTCATTGTCGATGAGTGCTGGCACTTTGAATAGTGTTTTTGTAACCAGGATTGAGTCACTTATGGCAGGTTAATCATGCGATATTCTTTCTACAACTCGTGGATTCGGGGTAAATACGTAGCAGCCTTTGCGGGCAATTCTGTATGAAACACGCTAAGAAGCGATCGACAAGATCTAAAGTTCGCATTCTTCGATTTGTACTTCTTGCTTGAGGCTCGATGAGCTGAAAGAATGAATGAAACAGAATAGGAAAGAAAGACATCGTGGAAGACTCTAGGCAGCTGAGACAGTCTATGTATAGTACGTAGTTGTACTTTGTATTTGCGCAGGCGAAATTAAGCCTTGACTATTGACTAAGTCGTCAATATGGGGCCGTGAATCCCCCCCCACCCAACTTTTACTGGAACAACCACCACCACCAGCACCACCACCACCAGCTACGACCACTCTTCGCTCACTCACTCATTCACTCCTTCTTCAACCATCTCAACTCTCCTTGATTCGCGTCTATACTCGAAAAGTGAATTACTCATTCGATTTCGTCCAAGTCAAACCAACCCCACGAGCAACTAGCGCCGTCTCCCGCCAGACCTTCCGTCATGTGTTCTTTCTGAGGCAACCTTCATTATACTGCGTGACAACACCTCTTTTGTTTTGCCTTGTCCTTGTGTACTTCCGAACCAAGCCACTCTCTGCAAGGCAAAAAAATAAATACTTGCCGTGTTTCTCGACTAGCGTTTCCGATTCCTGTGATTCATCAAGCACAGCGACCATCGAGCTTCGATCTATATAACTCTTTGGCCCACCAAGACCACCTTGCTATGAGACCAGGTTCCGACTCTTGAAGAACTGCCACTCGTCCGGATTTGAACGAAATTTCGACGGCTCGGTGCTCGATGTCCACGACCAATCGCGCTACGTCTATTATTTCGCATTCGCTAAAGAGGACACTACCTTTCGCGCTCGTTTCATGATTAGTCGGGGGAAATGGGGACGGTTTCAAGCAAAATCGATGATTCGGGGACTCTGTTCTTCAAGGATCAGAACAGATGTGAGTTTTCCTCCAGCTCGCGATAGGGGTTTGTCCTTGTGCTAACCATATATCTTGCGCTGATGTTTTAGTTGCGATCGCGAATATTACGGTTCTGAATACGCATGGGCAGGCACTGCTACATCTTACACCAAATGCATTCCCGGCATCAAGGTATGTCGCTGCGCGCGATACTGGCGATGACAGCCCAGTGGAATATGTACAGGTATAGTGACATGCGACTTTGGCAGCCTGAAGTTCCAGATCTAACGCATCGTTCTCAGGATCCCGATCCACCGCAGTCCACATTAACGCCTTCTTTCCTGCTTCGTCTGAACAACGACGACGAACTCTCCTTCAGATTCACATTCATCATCAGGCAGACGCAGTCGGGCCAGGTCTTCAATTCTAACATCAACGGAGTGGCAACTTCCCTACCAGAGACTACGGATACAAATCTCATGGGCCTAACATTTGCGCATGCATCCAACATCAAGGAACTCGACAATCTCATTACGAGAGAATTCCATGCAAATCCGAACTTACAGAATAACACAAATGTACAGCTAGTTGGTGACTTCTCGACGAGTGGAAGTCCTTCTGTGCAGTTTGATTGGACTTGGAAATGGAAACCGCCAAAGGCAGTCGAAGACAAAGGCGGCGGTTGGCGCAACAGTTGTAGTTTTCTTGACTACGATCAACGAACCAACCGCCTGAATACCTTGGCAAACATCACATTCTGGGTCCAAAACACAATACGCCCTGGGTCTAGCCCACAATTGATGTCACCGCCTAATCTGGATATTGGGTATCCTGCGCGCAATCGCATACCGTCAAGTCAATCCTTTTTGTCGCATTTGAGTGACACAGAAGGCCCCACTGGCACGGCAGGACAGTCGGTTAGCCCTGGAGAGTTGGCAACCCCTATTCCACCAGCGTCGTCTTCTTCTGTGCCTGTAGCCAACATGCCGGCTCCAGTCAAAGTCGACCTTCCGTCACGACAAGGCGATGATATGAGCGCCGTAGAAGATGGCCCGCTGTTCCGTGCTACGATGAAAGCCTTGGAGCAGAAGACGGGAAATATGAGAACGAAGATTAAGAAGGTGCTTAAGAAAGCCGAGGCGGCCCATATCGCGCAATTAGCTTGCAACGATGCCGTGTTAGGGTTTATTTCAGCCCTAAACGATGCGTCGAGCTCCAACGCTAATGCTATTCAACCCGCCATGGAGCATTATTTCGAGAGAATTGCCCGGGAGATTCTCAAATACGAACAAATCAACGCCGTTCAGCTCCAGAAACTCGTCATSGAGCCGTTATCGAAATTATATCAGAACGATATCAAGCAGGCAGAATCCAAGAAGAAAGACTTTGATGAAGAAAGTAGGGATTATTACGCCTATGTTGGTCGATACCTGGGACAACGGCAAGATTCGTTGAAGGAGAAGAAACGTGTTGAGAGCGATTCCAAGTATCAGACGAAACGCCGAAACTTTGAGTTGAAACGGTTCGATTACTCTTCTTTCATGCAGGATCTTCACGGCGGACGAAAAGAACAAGAAGTCTTGTCCCACCTTACAAAGTATGCGGAGACACAGGCAAGAAACTACTTGTCAACAGCCAAGAAAGTGGAGGATATGCTCCCACAACTAGAGGCATTGGTACGAGAAGTTGATCAAGCTGATAAGGAGTTCCAATTCAAGCGCACGGAACGTGAAGAGAAACGAAGAGCTTTGGAGAAGAGCAGCAAGACTTATGTTGAACCGGACAGTGTCAGTACCACGGCTGCAATAGGTGCAGTGACTAGTGCGCAGCAACCGGAGTCGGAGCTCAATCGAGCAGATAGTACTGGCTCGCAGCTTAGAAGCGTGCACAGTAACACTTCGTCAATCTCCTCGCAAAACGCCCAATCTCCCGGCCCAGCCGGTTTGACTAGCTCACTCTCTAACGCAAGTTCGACTGGCGGAAATCGATTCAAGGGTATTCGCGATCTTGAGGAACGTGATAATTCGTTGGTTGTTGGCTCTGACAAACAAGGAGGTCCTCAAAGAAAGGAAGGCTTGCTCTGGGCTTTGTCGCGGCCGGGTTCGCATATTGATCCTAAGGGTATTAATAAACAAGCATGGCATAAGTAAGTTTCCTCTTTCAAATGAGTCGATATGAGACGAATCTTTATTAAGTACGTTTGGCCAGGTTTTGGATCGTGCTGGATCAAGGCAAACTGTCTGAATATAGTAACTGGAAACAACGGCTGGATCTGCATATAGAGCCCATCGACCTTCGTATGGCCTCTGTTCGGGAGGCTAGAAATGCAGAACGTCGTTTCTGCTTTGAGGTGATTACCCCTCAATATAAGCGCATATACCAAGCAACTTCAGAAGAGGACATGAGTAATTGGATAACGGCTATCAACAACGCCTTACAAAGTGCCGTTGAAGGGCGTGGTGCGCCGCCATCCATGCCCCCACCATCGACGCACAACGAGAGCAGTTCCATCAGGCGTGATATCGGTTCAATTCTGACCGGTAAAAGCTCTTCCTATTCTGGACAACACGGTTATTCCACTACCGCATCGTCAAATACAAACAGTGTCAATCGACGAACGACTGTGGGTGCACGGCCGAGCTATATTCGCAGCGATAGTAACAGCTATGAAGAGAACCCCGCCAGACTATTGCAGACAATCCGGGATGCCGACCATGGTAATAAGTGGTGTGCGGACTGCGGGTCTACGCTCAAGGTTGAATGGGTATCGATCAACCTCGGAATCGTGCTGTGCATAGAGTGCAGTGGGATCCATCGTTCTTTGGGAACCCATATTTCCAAAATTCGATCGTTAACGTTGGATGTGAACTCTTTCTCGAATGACATTGTGGAGATTCTGTTGCAGGTTGGAAACAGGGTCAGTAATATGGTATGGGAAGCGACATTGGATCAATCATTGAAGCCACAAGCACAATCGACCCGAGAACAACGATTAAAATTCATAACTGCCAAGTACGGTGATCACGCATACGTCCAACCACTAGCAGCGGGGATGTCTCATTATACTACTCCAAACGAGACGCTGTTGGCCTCGATTAAGAAGAACGATATACAAGGCGTCCTTTACGGAATTGCATTGAGAGCCAATGTCAATGCTACAGATCGGTCACGAAACACGCATGCTGTCTTTCTTGCCCTCGCCGCCGCTGACCCAGCCATCCCCGGTTCTACATCACCCGGATTCTCTCCAATGAGCACAGCCAAACAACCACCGCCCAAACCCATTCCCTTCCCTATTGCCGAACTGCTCGTACAAAACGGAGCAGAGATCCCGCAACAACCAGCACCTATACTTCTTTCACCAGCAGCACAATTATATATCAGTCAACGCACGGCTACCGTGTCAAGCTCCTACTCATCATCAACATCAAGCGCCACAACTAATAATAATATACCGAGCTCCGGCAGATCATCGGCCACCGACACTTTGTCCTCCCTACCCCTGATCAGAGGGGGATCGACTTCTGAATCACATTCGGCGGCGCATGCTCTTGCACCGCTAGACAGTAGGGAGCGAGAAAAACTTCAAAAGAGAGGTAGTGCTGGTGCAAGATTTGCAGGCAAAGTTTCATCTTTGGGCATTGATAAGTGATTGAGGCGGGACGATTAGTCAATCTTGATTTTTGGATATACACTATGTATTTGCATGATACCTTTGTTTTATCTCGTCTCAATATCGCATTGTTTAATTTATGAAACGGCCATTCATTGCTGGACCATCACGATGGTTTTATGGTTATCCTTTATGCTTTTCTGTCTGACCACATTACTCTTGATATACTGTGAGACCGCCTTATTGTCATGTCATGTTAGCCTCATTGACATCGCCTTGCTTCTTTTGATCCCCTCTACCTCCGATGTTCATAAGTTACGAAGCATATAAGCCAGCCATCTTGTGCTGTCTTGCAGGTTTACTTCGTTGCATCGTCGAATCTATCAAATGTGTCCCTAATGCATTGATCGGTATCCACATGCAGATATCGATCTTGTACATATGTATATATCATTCCTAGATAGTATAACACTCCCGGCGGGCACGTTCATCATCAAATTGTCTCGATTCTATCCTACCCGTGTAACATGGTGTTTGTACACTATGTCCTTAGCCTTTCACTGCTGTATGATATAGCAACAACACTTGGTCCTCACAACACATTAACTAGATCATGCCGTTAGGCATCTATTTACTCACAAACAGGCATCTCCCTTCATTCCCAACATCCCTTGAAATTGACCATCAAGCCGGGAATCAGCATCAACTCGGAAACCCCAGTGGCAAAAGTCTCAACGTTTCTTCTCCCTTTTACTTTTCTCTTTTCTCTTTTCTCTTCTACTCGTATCAGCCGGAGCAACCGGCATGCCGAGTCATACGATACTGATTTGTAGCATGTCTGATCCATGAATTGGTACTTGTCATGTTGGGTCTTCCGGGTCTAGCATGTGAAACCCTGATCGAGCTAGCTATGGGACTGTTATACGATATCTACGAAGTCAGGAGAATCAGTGGCAGCCTCATTTCAATCGTTGCCACTCTACAAGCGATGAGTCAAACTGCTCCCCATTCTAAAAGATAAATTAAAGTGGCTTGCTCCAGTGGCTTGCTCCAGTGGCTCCCCGAGTGGCTAAGATCATCGGCCTCAGTCCAGTGGCTGAAGGCCTGAACCAGATGATTTTGAGTCATAACTTTAAATGTCTAAACTATTGTACGTATCTTCAGGCAGATGTTTTCTCTCCGCGCTTACTGGTAGCATGCAGCCCACATGGACCTTGAACTACTATGTAGTAATGCCCTGTACATGCATAGTGTGGGTTCCCGGGATGCTGAACGGGTATGTAGTACCTACAAACCGGTGCATATTCCGCACATCCCGCTAGCTTGAGGGCCTCCACATTCACTTAATGAGACGTTAGGGCTTGGATTAGAGTTTTCGAGTTCACTGCGAACCTATCAAGTGCATGAGAATTCATTCAACATGTCAATTGATCAAATTTTTATATAATGAATACGTCTTTAGGATTTCATAGCATAAGAAATCTCTGCATTTTATGGGGATCTAGGTTAGTTTGACTTGATTGAGCATGTTGGTTGTATCCACTACTGCTTGGGAATACGTATGCGATACGGAGTATAGTTTGTAGATGTCAATATCGGAAAGCTCCGCATGGGTTGAAAATCGTGGCACTGCCCAGCCACAATGTCTAATATCTCTGACCGGGTATAAATATGGATCACAAGATTCCAAATCAACAAGCCACGCAACGCAATCGCTTCCAGTCGGCATGTGTACCAAACAGGAAGTTCTCGGAGATTCGTTAGAGGGCGTATGTGACGTTCGCCACCGAGAATTCGGATGCAATTGGCTCCCGAAGCCGGGTCCAAGGAGCATGGATATGGATAACACGGGATGGTTGTCAAGCCTCAGCAATGCCGACCCGGATAGCCTGGTCAGTGGTCACATGTGATAACTGAATTACTCCGTAGAAGGCGAATCGGCAGGTGGCGTGGKGGGTGCAAGCCACAATGGAGAATGCGTCTTCCATATGTCAAGAAGAACACGAATGACGGGTGGTGGAAGGGAGTCGTTGGTATATGAAGTCGAAACTCAATCATGCTGTTCATGGTTGATTGGCCATATTTTGCGTTCGTCTGGGGAAATCAGATCCACTTATAAGCGCCGCATACGTCTGTGTGGCGCGTCTTGTACGCGCTCATTGGCCTAGATAGGGTTAGGGCTACCCACACTTCGATAGACCCACCTAAATCTACGTGCCCGTTCCTTTTTTTGGATCCCCCAGTCCACGCCTTACTTCTACTGGAAAGTCGGGTTAAAGATTGAAAAAAAAGCGTTGTAATAACCTCTATTTCAACGTCGCCTCACCAATGCTTGCTCACCGTACTACCTACTCCTTGCGCACTAGTCCGATAGGATTTGCATTTGATTTCTAGTGTCTTGCATGCAACGCTTTCTATTTGACAGCGGTCGTCGCTTTATGTCTCAATTTGCTGTATGCACTTGGTAATGAATCCCGGTTGTGTCTCTCTCGTTATGCCCACTTGATATACCTGTACGTCGATTGTTTGGGCAGAGGTATATCACGATGAAACAGCCCACATATATACTACGTCAAATTTCAGTCCTTGAATGCCACTTGAAACGAAAAGAAGAGTTGGGACAGCCTCCGATCGATGACGTGTAGACACGAGTGTATTCCCAGTCTCGAATGGGACGATTTCCGACTTCAGCTATTGATCATTGATCGAAAATGTGGCATGATCCGGTTTGCAGAGAGGCTACAAAGAAGTTCTCCGCGGACATCCGTAGGCACATGATTGATTAACCTACCCATCAATCAAGTGGGCTTTCGCGTCAGCAGTCTGCCATAACGGACAGTTGAAAGTCGGAGAATTTTCCCACTATCCCTCAGCTGTGGCAAATGCCACAGTCATCCCGATAATAATTTATCGCAAATTTATCGCTTCCAATCCATTCTTGTCTTGGTTGGGCCGTTCGAGCATAGAGTTACGAAGCTGATAGGGTAGACGATTGCGGATCGGAAGCGTAGCGACTTATGTTGATCATAGAACGAAGCGTAGTGTTATCCTATAAAACGTCGCGGTCAGGGTCAGGGACTCAGTATGTGAAGGTGGGAGTGACGAGGATAAGAGAAGGAAAAAAATTATAATCAGCCGTTAGAGGGGCTTAGTTGGCTTTAAACGGCAGTAGACTTAGCAGAAAGGGGAAGAGGGGGGACGGGTTCGCCACAGTGGGCGACGTCAATCATGACTCGATAGGGAAATGTGGGAGATCTCGTGACTCATCAGTCAGGCACCACTTTGATCGATCGATGAAGACCAGCACAAGTTGTTTACAAAATAAATAACGCATAGCCCGTTTCCACATGTCAGGCATGTTCAAGTAGACTGCCATAGAAGATCATCAGTTACTAGTTGAGCCTGTACGACTACTTTCTTGCACGCGTGTTTGCAAGGTCACGTTGTCTTGAAGGTCTATGTGTATGATCAATTCACCTTTCTACTGAGTATGTAGTAGACACAACTTTAGTTGAATGCTTGAGCTGCCAAGTTCTAGGCGGGGACATCAAATGCACGATTGTAAACTATGAGTAGGCAATGCCCTGGATCGACGAATCAGCATCCGCCTCCGCAAAATAGTACCACCATTCCCTGTCGACATATGCACTCTAGGATGATAGACAAGAGATGTTGACTTCATCAAGATATTCTTAGAAATGGTTATATCATTATGAACAGGCTATGACTGTGAAATGATTCTATCTGAAGAAATAAGACGTCAAGTCATGCAGGGACTTTTTGACAGGCATAGCCTTGCATACTTACTAGGTAGATCCCGAACACGTACCCGAACTGTATCTGAATCATACTCATTCATGGCTTGCATCGTTGTAAGGATTTCCGCGGACTCGATATGGCACAGTACGTATGTATCGATACTCATCCGGATACGCGCCATACCGCAAGCGGCAAGGGACGTATCGAACGATTGGCTGGTATCTCATACCGGCTGTGATGGTACAATGCTTCCTTTCGGTACCCGTATCGATCTCCGTACAGACACATTGTATTACATTGGATGTATGTTGTTTTTTTTGTCAGCTAATTACGGCGATAGTCAATGCCTAGCAGTCAGGCATAAATACATGCTCTGAAAGCATGTTTGGCATTGGCAGAGTATAGCTCTAAAACTGTCTCTTACTTGGACGTGAACCTCGCTGTCAGTTCCAGAGCGGAGCAAGCCGCATTTTTCACTCCAGCCCGATCACCCAATCAGCGCCAGTGGTCGCCTCAAATCGTCAGTTACGAATACTACTCATAGTATGTACTACGTACCATGTAGTAGAACGGACCAGAAGCGTCTAAGCCCAAGCTTCGAGGCTAGTGGTACTGTACCCGTTTTCGATCCCCAAAGTATGGATACCACGCACGTAAGTCATACAATTTCTGTAATTTACGGGTTCTTGCTGCCTTTGCCACCACAAAAACTAAACACGATTTGATTGGCGGAAAGTCAGAAATAAATCGAAGATTGATAGCTCTTTGGACCACAATAAGACTCGAAACACGAGTCCAGTAAACCGATGGAGATGCGGCCTTAATTGTGGACGACGCCTGGGGAGCCCTCGTATGGATATCTTGATCTTTACAATACATGTATGGGACAGATCCCGCCAATCAGCTGGCATGGCAGCTTCAGCCGACGACCTCATCAAACCACGAGCCTGCGGAGTATTAGCTACGTGCTTCGGACGTATTGAGCTAAGAATTAACAATGCCCGCTGTGGGATGCGTCCGGTGGCTTGTTCCCACAGACGCATTTCTACCGTACATGCCACTCTAGGAAACTTTGCAGGTGGCGAATCACGAGACCGTTGTCTTGAATCATTGTTTCCCTTACCTCTTGAGTTGTGAAAGCCGACGAAAGGGTAGAGTGAAGCGAAGCCTTATACATAGTACATAACAGAAACAGCCACCGCAGGGCTCATATCTACCGTACCAATCAGTCCAGTCAACTAATCAGACAGTCATGAAAGCGCCACAGCGATCTACAAATCAGAGTCCTCGTAATACTGAAAGGAGGGTAAGCCACATTCGTAATTGTACCTAGGCAGAATTTCCCCGTTTCACGGATCCCCCAACTGCTGCTTTGCTCCATCTTATACTCGGATACTGTATATAGTGTATTGTAATTGCTTTATGTATTCGATGTACTCAATGTATTCAATGTATTTGGTATTTCTGGGTATTGATGAGTCGTAAAAGACCCAATAAAATCAGAGCTGTCAGGTACATCCACTGTCCGAATACAGTAGGAGTACTATAACTCACAAAAATGGAGAACTAAGCCAAAACTGTGGGCACGTTCAAGGAATGGAAAATAAAGTAATTGGATCCGACGTTGTGCATATGAACTTGGAATGATCTTTTTCCTATGGTTACTGCATATGTGTTTTTTTTTCCTTGTGTGTGGCTTGCATAAAATAGGTCGGGCTCTTCGAGAGAGGTACAAAAATCCAACCAGTACTTTCCTGTATGTGAGAGAACGATCGATATCAAACATTCTACTTTAATCTCATTTTTCTATGGGCCTGCTCGTGCTTTCTTAATTATTTTCGGAGACATTGCTCCACTAAATTTATTCCTTATATGTTTCGATTGACAATTCGTCTATCCTGATACTCCATATTTTTGAAAAGCCGCTCTGCTATAGGTTATTCAGTTTTCCTTGAACTTGACCCGAATGGTACAAAACTCTCAAGCCCCCTTGTCAATCTGCATGTTGACAGCTTAGTCTGTGGCGTAATTCATCTCACGTCGTGCTTCTATCTCGGTTCTAAAGATAAAAAGCTCAGCTTCGGCGCCTCACCAAGAGACTAACGTGTCAAAAACGCTGATCAATTGTGGCTGTTGTTTGTTTTCGAACATCATACGCCACCTTTTTTCGTTTTTGATGATTCATAGCACACAAGGTAAGCCTAGCCCATTAAACCCTGGTGGATCGCGAGCTCTCCTTGGATTTCAATGCACTTCGGCAGCGCCAACAATCAGGTCTAGCCTCAATGTGCGCTGTGCCTTAGTGCAGCCTTCGCCAATTTCAACCCTGAAATAGGAATCCTGGATCAACCGAGAACTCCACCATACTCAGTCCCATTCACGATTCCAATTCCCCATATCGTACAGACCGAAATTACTAACACTTTGTCCGAAAGACTTGGTCTCTGCTCGTGTCAGTACTCGGTATCTTCGCCACAATTGAACATACGGCTGTGGAGATCGAGGTAAACAAACCTCAGCCCTACCTTGACCCAATCAATCCTGGTAGGTAGACATTTCCTTGCCTCATTCTGATCTCACCAAACATCACCCGTTCGTTCCTGGTGCTTTGTAAGAGCCCTGCGGAAAAGACAGCCCCTGCGGGTCTAGCCTCTCGGTCTTGAGTCGCGTCTGTCTATTCAAGCGCTTCTCTCCACTTAGCTCCATCACTCCAATCGTTATAGTATGGCTCACTATTCTGTATTTGATAACAGGAACAGACCTCTCGGCCCGGAAACAAGTATCTTCTTGCCTCCACAATAAACGCAACGCTGTGCGTGCGTGTCTTTGCGCGAGTCTCCTCTCGGATGACCTCTCATTTCTCCAGCGGCGAAAAAAAGGTAAGCTCCTTCTTTATTTCTCTCAATTCCACTTCCTGTTGCTGCCTTAATCCGATGGCAAACAATTTAAACCCCAAGGCATCCAGTTTCGAATCTACCTCAAGCTACAAGTGAGACGATCAGTACTTCTAAACACGGACCTAACTTTAAACGTCGACAGGCCCGCGATTAAAGCAAGCCAGGTGCTAATCCATAGCCCGGACAAGCCCGCGCCTCTACGAGGGAGTGGCTGAGAAAGGACCAGCTAGGCCTCCTTTTACTTAATCTTCAGTAGGTAAGGTGGCTCTACCCCCCCCAGCCGGCTTCTGTGGCTGCCCAATTTGCGCTTCTCACAATCACCCTTTGCCCCCTGTAGTGTTGCTTGGCTGTGCGAGCAGCTGATTGGACTATTTGTCTGCGAGCATCTTGATCAACCCTTATAACCCTCATTTTGTGCACACTTTTGCATCGTTTGGTCGCTTTCTTCGATCATTTTCAGAACCACAAGCAATCTTCACTCTTGCACAGACTCATCGCCTGATTTGGGGGAAGTTTTCCTCGATTCCAAGCCTCTTTTCGAGCTGGCGAATCGCACACATATCTTGTCTGTGTAAATTCTTTCCAAATAAGCACCGTGACCCCCGCTTTACTGGCCCGCTGTCACTGTCTTCGGATATTACAGCCGCTTCATGATTCTGATGTGGACAAACTTCGCACTGGCAGTTCTTGAACATCAAACACTGGGCTCTGGCTGAATGGCAAAGGTTCCCGCGTCATACCGGCCTGGAATGTGAGGAATATAAGCCTATCTCTGACTCGTTACCGTTGCTTTTCTTGCTAGGGGAAAAAGTGTTGTTGGTGGGATGTCGAGATTCTGAGCGGGTTGATGCTCATTGCCACTTTGTCCTTTGATGAATCCTTTTTCCTTTATTGCTCTTTTGCGTTTTCAAAATTTTTTTCATTCTATAGTCGGCTGACCACAATATTGTTCGTGTTAGACTCAAGGCACCGTCACCAAGTCAACGACCTTTAGGACTTGGTAGCCGAGGATAGTCGGTTTTCAGGTAAGTAGATACCCATGACTCTTGTTGCACTTTTCCCATCAAAACAGTGATTGAGCGATGATCTGACTTTCATCTTTCCAGTTTGAAGACTGCCACACGTCGCTGTGTACACTTTCCATACGCTGTTCGCATCCATGGGCGATGTTTCTTCGGACCACTCTCAAAGTTCCGGCGATGGGGTTGCTGAAGGAACCATGTTACCAAAGCGAGAACCTATCTCGGCTGGGGGCGAACACGGTTCGTTAGGTATGTTCTTCGTTCAGCGTCTGTGAATATAGTCATGGCGTACTGACAAGATCGCTCAGGTAATTCTTCCTTAGACTTTACACAAAGCATCGAGCCACCAGGACTTTCACGTCAGACCGCGCAGTCAACAAATGAATATCAACCAGCATCGCACGATCCTTCTTCCTCTGGGAACCTAGCAACAAGCCCTGCGACATTGAATATGAACGAAATGACATCCGCATTGCCGTCTTATCCAGGCCCCTCACGATCGTTTTCACAACAGAACGTACAAATGCAGTTCATACCAACGCATCAATCACAAGGAATGATGTACCCAGTTCACCAGATGCCGTACGTCAACACGAACGCTCCAGGGGGCACGATGTACAACATGCCTTACTCCCAGCCTTACCACAGTTCGTACATACATCAGAATTCCCAGCCTCAGGGAGGTTATTCTCCCTACCCTGCCTCCCATCATCATCAGACTGGAACACCCATACACCCACAGCCTTCAGGATATAATCAGTCATATTACACACAGCACCAGTACAATCCTGGTTATGGTGAATTGCAAGCCGGAACATCGAATACGCGCTTGGAGGCACAATCACGTAATTTCAATAATGATTACCGCCGGGCTCAGCTGGCACCACTTTCTACCACGAGAGAGCAGGAGAATCGAAGGACTTCGATGAGTTATGATGTTTCCTCAACAATTGTCGATGGGTCGTCACGCATGAAGCAGTCACGGGCACCTTTGGCCGGCTCAGGTTTGTGAAATCCCACAGGCCTACCCTGTACCGCACCTGCTAACTCATTCTGCGCCTTCCAGATCACGGCCCGGCGCGACTGTCATTTGCAGTTTCTCCTAGCATGCCACCGAGGGGGCCTCCACGAAAACCGAAGCAATCGGGACACGCTTTGTGGGTCGGCAACCTTCCTCCCTCGACCAACGTTCTTGATCTTAAGGATCACTTTTCCAAAGATGCAACAAGCGACATCGAAAGTGTGTTCCTGATCTCTAAGAGCAATTGTGCTTTTGTGAACTATAAGAGCGAGGCTGCTTGTGCAGCAGCAGTGGCAAGATTTCATGATTCTCGTTTTCAGGGTGTGCGGTTAGTTTGTCGTTTGCGTAGAGGTGCCAGTGCCGCTAGCTCAGGCCAGAGCAACCCGATGTCGTCTCGACCGGGAGATGAGGGTCAAGCTCGGGGTCAAGAAGAGAACAGGGAGCCGAGAGTTGTAGAAGAGTCTCTTGTTAGCCGCGCGCAACGGTCCTCGAGAGTCCCAGATCGATACTTCATTGTCAAAAGTCTAACACTGGAAGACTTAGAACTCAGTCGTCGGAGTGGTATCTGGGCGACTCAGACTCACAATGAAGCAGCTTTAAACCGAGCATATGAGGTATGGACCCCCTAAATGACTTATATATAGTCTGCGGTCGTTCTTTTCTAACAAGTCTTTTGTCACAAAGTCTGCGGACAATGTGTACTTGATCTTCTCAGCGAACAAATCTGGAGAATATTTCGGGTACGCGCGAATGGCGTCTGCTATCACTGATGATGAAGCGCTCGCTCTCGAGGCGCCTTCACGACCGGAGAACCCCCCGACTGAAGCTGATGACTTGGAGGTCCTTCCAACCGAAGCAACGCAAACGGCTCCGAAAGGGCGGATCATTGACGATTCGGCGCGCGGAACGATATTTTGGGAAGCGGATTCATCTGAGGATGACCGACACAGTAACGACGGTCACGAAGACGAGGCGAGTAGCCATAACAGCGGCAATAATGGTGAGGAGGAGGAGGAGGAGGACGACGACGACGACGACGATGATGAAAACGAAGCTGGAGTCGAAGACGCCAAGCGCGAAAGAATTACGCCGGCGCTGGGTGGAGAAGATGCTATACTCGGTGGTCAGACATTTGGGAAACCGTTTCGTATCGAATGGATCTCTATCGAGAGAGTTCCTTTCTATCGCACGCGAGGTCTACGCAATCCATGGAATTCCAATCGTGAGGTCAAGATCGCTCGTGATGGCACTGAGATCGAGCCTAGCGTGGGACGGAAGTTGACGCAGCTTTTCCATGTCCATCCCAGTGTGATGTCCGCCGGCGGGCAACACGGTCCGGGATACCAGCGATCATATTGAGAAGCTCGAATTTCCGATATGTCTGTGCAGAAGATGATTGGTTTTCGAAGTTGGGGGGGAAATTGATAGCGGTCGGAATGATATGGGATGTCATAGTCGAGTCTAGCGGGAAAGCGCCGACTGGGCAGTATACGTACGAGGAAGGAGCGGACAACCTCCTTCTTCAGTCAGGCTCTGCACTCTCGAGTCTACGATTTTATGAAAACAGAAAGGTGCTTTAAGTCTTTTCTGTCCTTGCATCATTGGGAAACGAGTAAGATCTTACGAATCGTGGTTTTCGATGCTTCTAGGTACACAAAGTTTTTATGTTTTCTGCCAAAAAATAATCATTGGGGGGACCCCGGGTACATATACGGATAACGGGAGGGAATCATTTCATCATCAAGCCTATTGTGTCTTCTATTATATTTTCTTTCAAGCATACGACATGTCTAGTCTTCTGTGTTCGTTTTCATTTGCATTCATAGGGTGTTTGAAGATTTGGGGATGTTTTCCTTTTCTTTCGCGCTTAGCCAGCCAGTGTTTTAGAGGGAAGAGTGTATTCATGTCTCTGATCTTCAATGCAAACAACATACCCTTCTTTAGCATTGTCTGTTGAGCTATCTAGATATATGAATATAGAAATTAGAGCTGAGGGAGAAAAGATAGATAATGAAGCTTACGTAAAGGCTTGTCTGCTCTTAATTAACAGCTACAAGACGGTTTAGAAGTTACAATTATACTGCAAGAAGTTTAAATTAATTAGCAGTACGACACGTACCATCCTATGGCCTTGTTAAGCATAAGCACTCGGGAAAGTTAGCAGAAAGAAAAGTTGCACATGTGAAGGGGGCTGCGAATCATATGCCACAGTGTATTAAGTTTGTCGTACATGTGCAAGGCATAGCAAGGATGATTATATGAAAGTAGCGCAGAAGGATATTCCTGGATGCAGGTTGCTCATTTCTATCCCGTCAAATGATCGAATCAGCGCTGATGGCTGTTGCTATGTCCTTCTCTTGCGTCGACGAAAAATCCAGGTGGCACACTGGAAATAATTCTATCACTCGCCCCCTAAGAGCCAAGCAGACTAAGTTAAAGGGCTCGAGGTCTAGCATCCCATGGGACACAGCTAGGTGCTGTCCAGCACCCATTCCGGGGTAGAAAGTGCGGGGTTGGATGTATGCCAATCTTATCACTTGGATGTATGCTATTGGATTGTGGGCCATACTAACATCGTAATCAAAGTCTCTTTTCTTCAAAGAAATGCTGGGGCCTGTCAGGAAACGAGACATAATTCGCCGAGGTGGTCAAACGCCTAAAGTTTCGACCAGACAGCGAAATACGATTCGATGCTGATGGATTCGACCCCATGGTCTCGGTTTAGTGGACTTCACGTCATAGACTCGTCGACAGTCGTGGCGAGTCTATCTGTTTGACTGTAAGCTCCAGTCTCGTTCGCGTCGAATGCAAGAGAGAGGTTTCCTCGAGCGTTGCCAACATGCTCCAAGTGTCACGGAGCGGTGGTAGACAACTTGGATCCGTGATTCACTCAAGAATGCGACAACAAAGTCGGTGGCTTATGTAAGGATTAAGGATTAAGTTGCCAGGGTGGTCAGGCTAGGCCGAGTGCGGCTACGGTGTGCTTTTCCTGCTGCGGCTAACCCTATCGGTCGAGTGGTGTAGTATACTACAATGTATGCAGCTTCACTTGCTCCCGACCGTTCGTGGATTCCAATCTTCGAATCTCATGTTCTGCGGACTGGCCCAATCACCGCCGGGCTTCTGATTGATCATCAGCTTGCATGGCATTAGATAAGCATTCGTCCCGGATGTAACTCAGTTATGTAGTAGCTTCCTTGCTGATGCCGTGTATAACAATGCATGATGCGTCTGTAAGCATTGCCCGTTATGGATTACTGATAGGAACACTGAATGCACAGCGATCATTGGTTGCATCTCTCCACGGCACACACAGCAGGAGATCGATCCATGATCCATCCGGCCCAGCCGCTCCTTCCCTTC